CTCCTTAAATCTTGGCATACCAGAAAAAGATACTATGTTACAACATAGATTTATTAACATGAAATAAATATACTGTTAAAGCATATTATTTTTTAATACGTGCAAACTTACAACATATAAAATAAAAAAATACATTTGGTAAGAATAAAAGACATTTTCTTTGTTTAACAAATATAAAGAGTTGATTGCAGTGCAATTTTAATTTTTGAAAAAAATGTAATTAGCAAACAACAATGATAAAAAAATTCTCACGCACATTTCAACTAAAAATGGGCACATAATTTGCTGTGCTTATTTAAACACACCTTGCAATACTATTTTTTTCAGATATTTCATTTTATCATTAAACCGCTGGATATATTTTACTTAAAATGAAAATAAATTTCTATATTTATTTTATTTACATGTCATATAAATATAATACCCAGAATTACGCAAAATTCCTTGGTTTATTAAATAACACAACATAGTTATATGCAGCATTTTAAACATTTTCATTGTCCTGCATGCATTAATTAGCGCACAATTGACTGTTCATTTTAAAATAAATTATCACCTTTATTAATACATATTGAAAATGGAGTGCTATTTTCTTCATTGCAAATAAGCGTCAATAAATAATTAAAGTGTTGCTATATATAAATTGTATTCTTTATATTCCAAATATAATGCAAATTTATGTTTTGCTTATGAACACAAAAAAACTTTCACACTTCTTAAGTGCATTGTGTAATCTAAATAATTTTTTAAAACATTTGTACACGTGTGGTTATATATTCATTAATATTAATCATACCACCAATTTTTAGATTCCTTTTTAATAATTCTATATTAATTTGCTCGTTGTGGAAACCCTATAGCATTGAAATGATAAATGTTCAATCATTATAATTATAGCGAAGAACATTAATCCAAATTTTACGGAATATCGATATTCTACCAACATGAAATTCACATATAAAACACATTATGATGATTTCGCACTGTAAAATTTTGAGAGAAGGAATATTTTTTTAAACGTTTTGTGAAAATTTTATTAAAACAACTAATTCTTTTTGGAAAAGTATAGTAAAATACATAAAATAATTTTTTTGCATTCAGTTACATGAAAAACCATTTTGACCTGACTTTTAAGCCTTTAATTGAATTAGGAAGAATATGAGAAAAAAAAATTTCCCCTTAATAAATATTAATAAATGTGTTTATTATTAAAATCCTTTATTTAAAATGCATATATAGAGCATTTAAAACGATCAATTGTCCATTATAAATTAGGAAGAATCTGGAAAAATTAAAAACTCATTTAATCTCTAAACAGAATGTAGCACCTTAAAATGTATAGGTACATCATCTATGTAATACTTATAGTGTAGAAATTCTAAAATAGATATTTATAAAATCCAAGAACTTAATTTTTATAGTTGGGGAACAAACAAAACTGCCTAAATGTAACTCATACAAATAACAAATACGAAATGAGTATATATTATGGAAGTAAATAAGACGAACTATACATAACGTACCCAATTTGAGAAAAATTAGAACTGTCCATTTCAGGAATTTTTATTCTTCTTCAGTGTAGTTAATCTTTTAAAAATTAAAATTAATAACTTTCTTAAATGAAAGTTATATAAAAGGGTCCCATAATACTACATGTAGAAAGCATCAGGAAAAGGAATAATGCTATTAACAATACAACCATGGAAAGAGTAACACTGTTAATAAGTTGAAATAAGAACTAATATACCTAAATGCCAAATAAAAAATAATACAAGATATGCTATTTTCAAACAATAAAATATGTTCTTTTCGATAAGAAGCTCATTATATACTTATTAAGCATTATAATTAATAAATTCCCTAATAGTGTGAAAAATATGAAATTAATAATAAATTAAAATAGTAATATACAGCAGCATGCAGCTGAGAATATAAAAAATTAATTCTGTTCTGTTCTCTTTTAATAAATTACAAATTTACAGATATAACTAAGTTTACATAATTTTTTGGTAAATATAATGCCTTTATACATTTTATGTATGCTTTACATTTGTCATATGTTAATATAATAAATTTATATATTCCAAAAAAAAATAATGAATAATTATGTTTATAACGGAAGAACAATATGTTAACACTTACTGCAATGAAAATTAGTAGGCATTTATATGTACTAATTAAACAGTTTTAATCAAATTATTAAAATAACCTAACAAAAAGTAATAAGAATTGCTATATAGAGTATTGTTATTTTATATATAATATTTATTGCAAAAATTCGATGTGAGAAAAATATGTTGTATTTATTTTATGTTTTTTAGTTTTAATATTATAAAAAAATTCCGCATATCTATTAGCAATTTAAAAAAAAAATGATAAATTTAAGCATTCAATTATTAATTGTATTAATTATTTGTTTGATTTTATTTAGATTACAACAAGTAAAACTAATCATTGAGAGCAGAACAAATATACCAACTAGTATTAAGCAATTATATACATACTGGGAAAGATATTTATAGAAAAAATGTTTTAACTCATGTAATTAAGAAAAATATAAATAATTAACTTTCAAGTTATGCCTAGTTTAATTTGTTTTACGTATTATATGCTTACTTTATTCACAAATCGTTTTTACAATAATAAAGCAAATATACTTTTAATTTATATGCAATTTGTTCATTTTCTTTATATGCAACATTATAATATTCAAAATGTCTTAGTATAATATTAATGAAACAGACCTATAAATTGGTGATATCTCATTCAACACCAAAATACAACTTCTATTTACTCATAACACCGTTTTTAATAAATATATAATACCATGACAGAAGAATAAAAGCGTTGTAAGAGAAAATGCAAGTATAGAGTTATATATATTTGTTATTTTGTTATTAAAATAAAAAGAATATACATACATATATATATATAACTATAATTGTATGAAAAAAATATTATTTCAATTTTTAGTGTCGCTAGCTCAAAAATTTTGGAATTCATTATTATGTTTGTGTGTATGTACTGTATATGAGCCTTATATGCAAATTTTACAACACTTTGTTTTTTAACCCTTACATTCTGATATATAAGAACATATGTATGACATATTAATTTAATTGTTAAGAATGTTAAAAAAAAATTTAAAAGTGTATTTACTTATTCCATTATTTTGTTGATATACTCATAAACAATTATAATTGGCAATATTATTAAATCAAATGATACATATATTCCCTTTCGCATCTCCCTAATGATATGAGACAACACGTTAATTTGTAACTGTTCTATGTATAATTATTTATACTTATCTAAATGTGATAATATAATGTCATGATACTAAAATGTTAAATTACATCTTTCACATATGTCTCCTCATGTGCACAGAGTACTTTCCAAATATATGAATCCATGGGGAAGAGCGGGAGATCTAGGTACACATGAAAATGGTACAGGAGTGGCTTCTGTATCTATTAGTACCCATAAAAGGGGCAACCAAACATATGAAAACTGCGAGCAAAAAATTTCAGAATATCTAGATTTTGATGAAAACAAGTATACAGATTTGTGCAAAAAATGTGCTGAAATCAAAGAATATATAAATAAAATAAATAATGATTTAAATGAGTGTAATCAATTCAAAAGTGTATTACTTACCCTATATGAGAAACAAAAAAAAAAAATTTCATGAACATTGTGCTGCTGAATACAATTGTTTTATCCATACCGTGTCAAACGAACAACAAAATGTTGAGATAATATCAAAAACAGAAGAAACATGTGAACAAAATAAGGAATGTAAAGAAAATAAAAAAAAGGAAGAAGATAGTTTACAATCAGTACGTAACCCTGAACCCCCTGAATCAATAAGCTCGCAAAGTACAGGTCCCGCAGAAGAAGTCCAAGGCCATGCTTATAAAAAAGAACCAAAACTAGAAAATGGACCCAGGCATTCCCAATCTGATGTAACGCCCTCTGAAAACAATAATGGATCTCATAATGAGGTTTCTCAGTCAACAAATAGCCATCATTCTAGCACCACTGATCAGGCAGAAACAGGGGAGAAAACAAATTCCCCCCAAGATTCTTTGAAAACTGATGATATAGATAGTATACAAAGTTGTCTCCCTGGAGAGGGTTCCAATAAATCATGCCATCCTCAAACCAAAACTTTAAATACCCAACAGAATCAAACAGAAACACATAATGCAAAAACATTAGGTAATAAGCCTCTTGGGGAGGAAACTACCCCTCCTAAAACACTTCATAGGAAAAATAGTGATAATGAAGCTGTTACTGCAGAAACTTCTGATGGTTTCTGTTCTACAGAAAAAGGCCATCTTAATGACACAGGTGGAAGAAATACTAATTCTGTTTCTACCCCTGTTATTTACAGTTCAGATGATACTACTGTAAGGCCTCGTGATGTAGCGTCTGATTCTGCTACAGCAAGTGATAGAAAATCTGCTTCTACTAGCAGAGTTACTGTTAGTGAAGATCAAGCTAGTAACGATGATAGTCGTACTACTATTCATAGTGGAGCTAGTGCGCTTTCTGTACATACTAATGGTAAAGCTGATCGTGATCAATCACTTCGTTCTGAAATTTCTTGTACTAAAACTTCTTGTACTGACAGATTTGGAAGTGTAAAAGTTGAGAATGAATTAATTTACCTGTATAGTTATTCATTTTACCCGTGACAATGCACAACATTCTTCATCTGAAAGTACTAAAACTCCAACCTATAATAATGCAATGTATGCTAAAAGTTACAAAGTAATATACATCAATATATATATATGTGATATATGACTGCCTGATATTTCTTCAGAGGTTGATGATATTTCTAGAAGCCATTCTCAGAGAGAAACACATAATCAAGAAGAGAAACAACAAAAAGGAATAGTACAAAGCACAAAAATATCAAAAGAAAACTTTCAAACAAATGGTGCCTCTGAACAAAATCTAAAAGAATCTTTGCTTCAAAAAAGCCCTTCCGAGGAAAATTCAGTATTGGACCCAATGCCAAACTCGCACACCATAACAGGTGGGTGGTCACTCTATATAAATTTTACTTATTGTATCAGTTTCATCCATAAAAAAATTACAATGTCTTACATAACATATATTCTTTCGAACCCCCTCCACAAAAGCAACCAAAGTTATGAGCACTTTACATCTCTCATACTACAAATGTTCAAACTTTTAATAAATTTATAGCTAAAAATAATACTGATAATTCTTGTGGAAATAATGAATCTGGGACAGTAATTTGTTCGGGTATACTAGAGATATCGAATGAATTAGGTCATACTACTCCTGGTATCGTTGCAACCAATCCTAAAAGAGAAGACCAAGAAATGTCAGTTAGAACATATATTATAATTGTTTTAGTGCCCTTGATTATTCTTCTGTTATTGATACTTCTTATTAAAGTAAACCAAAATTTACTGTGCTGAAAATGTAACATATATATTTTTAATTATATAAACAAATTATATTATAATTTTATGATTTTATTTGTCCATTGCAGTTCACACCATTGGGGATACATTTCACTAAGAAAAAGAGGAAGAAAAGAAAAGAAATGAACGAAAAACTACAGAAAATACTATTAGAACCTTCGATTCCAACAGAAAAACGTATCCATTTGGTATATAATTCCTTTGAAACTTACAAATAATGATCAAAATGGGGTTTAAAATAAATGATAAAGCACGTTTACGTTAAACATAAATAAAGCATGAACTAACAACTTTAACTTATTAACGCATAATTAATTTTTTTTTTTGTGTTATTGTAAAAATTTTTAGCATGATATTTTTAATAATTTATTGTTATATAAAATTTTTGTCGTAATTTGTATTACACTATTGTAACAAGAGCACATCAATGTGTGCTAGTACACATAGTATTCATTTTTTTTTTAGTTTGTCTTATTCGATTCATTTAGAACTTTTTACATACTAAAATATTTTTTTTTTTTTTTAATCTTAAACTAAAACACAATAAACCTTTTTTTTTTTTTGGAATGTTTGAATAATGTTATTTTGTTTTTTTATTTATTACTAAATAAAAACATGTTATAATGTCCATAAATACTCCACGTCTTTTCTAGCAATAAATTATATTCATTAATTTCGTGGCGTGTGGATAAATAGAACTACAAATCGTAACTAAACATTAAACGAATATTAATGAAAAATGCAACAATAATACAAATAATATTCATAAACTCAGGGTTTACACAGTTAATTATTCAAAAATTCCTTTGATTTTTTTAAGGCTACTAACCACTCAACTTGAAAAAGTCGTAAATAAAGTTCTTGGAAAAGAATATTCTTAAAATATGAACTTGTGGTTAAATCGTTTTTTAGGAAAAGATAAAAAAATGAAAACATTAAAAATATATTTTAGTAAAAATTGGAACATAATTATAAAATGTTCTATCCATGTCATAGCGTAAATCTTAAAATATATATGTTCATAATTTGATACTAACGTGCATGTACAGAATATGAATTATTTAAAATTATTGCTAATTGAGAAAAAGTTAGAATCATTATTCGAATAATTTCCATGGATGTGCAAACAAATTTCAGTTACAAGTCTAAAAATATGTCTTCTTCAAGGCAACATTAAATTTTTCGAAAAAATAAATGGTGTTAATTTATGAAATGGCTATGGCTTAAGATCTCATAAAATTCCTCAATATATAAATACTACTTATATGAGTAAATTTTCTAAAATTACAAAAAGCTTTGTATATCAAAATTTTTTATTCATGTCTCTATTTAAATATTTTCACTCAAATGCATGATTTAACATTTAACAATAGTGCTAACGGATGTTCTACGTTAGTGCAGGTAAGAATTCACATGTATATTTTTTCAAATTTTTGTACTCTATATAAAAATTTTTAAATGATTTCGTACATGAATATATGATATTATTTTATAATAATAGTAGAAAAAAAAGGACAACTCCTTATACAATCAATATTATATACATTTTTTCAAAATTATAAGGAAAATAATAGAATTCCAAAATAATTTTTGCTTGTGTAAGAATTCATAAAATAGTACTATAAATTATGTATATACACAAATTTTTACAAAAATTTCTACTTTTCTGAAAGATAATAATAATATTTCCAATATTATAGTTAATCTAATGATAAATTTTGCAATGACTTACCACTTATAAGTGATATATATCTGTAGGAACAAATTGAAAATGAATTAAATGAAATTTCAACGTTAAATACAACAGATGCATTCCCCCCAAATGTTATTTTCCCCTATAGAAAGGAAATCCTATTATTGTAACGTTGTTGAACGGACAATTGTAAGTATTATATACTTAGCACTATTGAAATATTGATTTATGTGTAAGATTCTCAAAAATGTTATTATATATGTGTATTTATATATATATACATATTGCGATTTTAGATAAACAGTCTCAAAATATAAATAATATACAATATCGCATTTTTTTCAAAATGTATGAACATCATAATACTATGGCTTCATAGTGCAAAAAATAATGTGTAAATTTTCAAGACATGAACATTATGTAAAAGGTAAAATAAGGACAAGATGAGCTACAGATAAATAACTATTTAAAATAGGTTTATTCTGTAAATATGTTAAATAAAATATTCTGTATATTTTTTAGAATGAAATATACTGCAGAATTTTACTGAACACCTAGGTTTTTATTTGTTCTTTTACATAGTGAATTGTTAAAATGATCACTTTTCTTTAAGCTTATGCTATTCATTTATGTTATGAAAGATATAACGTTTTAATCTTTTTTGTGTGTATAACTATTTGTATTAGTGCTGTTGTTCATGCGTATTGTGTTTCCATATATTTAAAAGTATATAAAGTTCTCAATATAACCATCAAAAATGTATTCAACTAAGAAAATCACTAAATAGATAATAATTTTAATATAATAAAATTTGTTAAATGTAAGACAAATATATATACAAATTATGCTAATATAAATGTGTCATTGAAAAAACACACTGCCAAATTAAAAATTTACTATAAAGAAACAAGATTCAATGCTTTTTCATCCTTTCATATCTTGTTATAAGCGTTTTCTTTTAGCCCTTATTATGTAGTTTTGTATTTTACGCTATAAAACATGCACAATAGCTTTTAAATTATTTTACAAAAACATTAAATAAACATCTATGTATAGTTGTATTACAAAAAATATTTTGTGATAAACTACCAAAAATGTAAAAAAAATTATTTTTTTTTAATGAAGACGTAACAGTGTGTATGAAAGTAATGCAGCAAAAAGTAATTGCGTGAACTTTTGCACTGTGATTTGAAAATATTTTAAAATATATTATGAACTTGATAATATTTTATTCTACATTCATGTTAATTTTTTCATTATAATATTTTTAGCCTATAATCCAAATAAAATAAAATTATTTTAAAATTTAATGAAAAATATTTTAATTCGCCAACACTACTATTGTTCTATAAACCTTAATTTAATGCATGCGTTTTAAAACCTACGTAGAACGAGTCTTCTATTAAAAAGGAATATTCTATTGTATCTACTTCATTTCTCTTAATTTATTATTTTTCCTAAAAATATTTTTTTTTTCCAAAACTATTTGGAATAGTAAAATTTGATATTTTTTAGGAAATAGAGAAAATAATTATTTACTAAGTGGGTTTTCATAAATTTCTTATTTTTATATTACACTAATTAACATTTTATTTGATGTATCATAAATATTGAAAATATTTCCCAAATTGCAATAGTGTACATGTAATGGGTTTTTACCAATTTTATTCTGAGTTCTTTTTTATTTTTTTATTTTCCGTATATAAAAAATGTCAATTTGTGATAACTAAAAAATGGAAAAATATTTAATTTCCTTAGTACAATGTTTTTAATGTCATAAAGTTATTTTTTATTAAGTTAAATGCTAAATTTTTATTGTATTATTTTTAAAATGTTAAAATAATGATCCTACATAAGGAAAATTAAGAATATTACGTTATAAACAATTTATAATTTATAAAAAAATGATTGCATTAATTTGCTACCTATATAAATTTTACTTTATGGATATAATAACTAATAAAAAACATGTATACTTTACATTATCTTTGTTTTTAAGGCTCTGAAATTATAAATGCTTTCAGGGAAAACTTATACCAATTTGTAGTTATTTTTATCTTCATATTATGTAGGAACATTTTTGAACTATATATTATATATACAACTTTTATTGTGTAATAAAGCCTGATTTTCATTATTCACTAATTAGCGTATTCCATTATTTAATAAATGTCTAGTATAACAATTATCTAATTTATGCTTTTTTATATTATGAGTTTATTTATTCACAATTTTTATGCATCAATAAAAATAAATTTGATTGGAACTCTCTTATATTTATAAATAATTTCGTGTTAGTAATTTACAAATATGTTTTCATATTTCCACTTTCAATTTCCACGCATTAATAGTTGTAACGTATATGTTTTTTTAATGACATGTTAATCAAATATATAAAATGTTAATATAATGACATTATAAATAACTAAACCGTTATATTTTAACATTATAAATATATAAACGTGCTTAAGCATTGCCTAACTGAATACATGATAAAACTAAAAGGAAACACCAAAGCAAAAAGCTTTATTTTTCACCTTTACACAAAAATTCTTACGATTTTATTTTTTATTTGGATATACCATTGTCACATCGATGATGTAATATTATAATATTTCAATTGTGTTCTCTTGTTTATGTCTTTTTTTTTTTTTTTTTTTTTTTTAAAGGATAATTTCATAATACTTGAAATATAAATTTCTATTATTAAAATATATTATTTTTATTTTCACCCTTTTAGAGGTCTCCTCATAAATCGGTTGACTGTGTTCAAATACTAGACAACTCATTAAATTCGATAAGAAGTCGATTATTATTATGGTATGATACAGAATATATGTCGAAATGTGCTAACATAGAAGACTATATAATAGGTGAAATAAAAAAAAACTAATATAAAAATTCCATTAAAAGAGAATTACTTAAAAATGATTAAAACGAAAAGAGAGAAAAACATCTTAAAATTAAGTAAATTGAAGGATATGACAACAAAGGAACTAATGAATTACATGTATGAAAAAATAAAAAACATTTTGAAAAGTACAGATTGCTACTGCGAAAAAAAAATATTCACTAGACTTTGTGAATTACATAAAATGACAAGAGATAAGAATACTGATCAGAAAACGTTTATAATTTCAGTATTAAAAAATATCTTTATTGTATTGACCATACCTCTTTTTATATGTTTCATAGGAGCTTTATTTTGTACAGGTAACTCTTCGCTGCCAACATCTTTGTATCATGGTACTTCATTCTTTTCATTATTATCTATATTATATATTGTATATTTTTATATCAAAATTTTAAAGTTCCACATTATTCTAGAAAAAGGATATAAGCCTACTTTTTATGATTACATTTATTTTTATAAAGTCATATAATAATAATCTGTAACCTGCTATAGTTATTTATATGATGTCATATATGCAATAATATTTGTATGCATATGTAATTTCTTCAAAGAAAAATATACCTAATAATTCATATTTACATAAACAACTTTAATAAATATATATCTACATATAAATGAAAAAAGAACTGCATCTTACTATTATTTTATTTTTTTTATTTTTTGTGCCATAATGTTCTTGCAATACAGTTCATTAAATATATTTCCATTAACCCTTTGTGTTTTATAGAAATTATTACTATTCTATATATACATATGTGCAAATACTTTTGAAGCATATAAGCTTCAAATGTATATATTTGATTATTTAAATATGTTTGCTACTTATTTGTAATTCTATCTGTATAATATAATGTGATTCAAAACTAATGTATATTTGTTTAAACCTTTTTTTCGAGTTTAAAATCATGTTAACGTATAATGATCAATTTCAATGGTTTAATTTGATCTTTCCTTAATTACACAAAAATAAAACAGAAAACAAAAATTTTATTTTATTTTGTTTTAATTTAAACATAAGGATGTCTAATTTGATACATTATAAAAAAAATAATTAGTACAATTCTTTCATTTAAATTTTTCGCTCAACTTTGTGAATAAATAAAAATAAACATATATTTATTAATTTTATTAACACTAATTTTAGCACGTATTATGTGTATTAGCATGCTTTAAAATATTCTATTAAGGATAAAGATTGAAGAGACATATTTGTGTAGAAAGTTCTGTTTGGAATTACTATAATGTTGATGGGGGTAAAAATAAAAACATTTATTCAAAATATACTAAATATAGTAAAAATTGGCGTAAATTTTGTGCATGTGACAATCAATGTAAATATAAAATAAATCTATAATTAAAAAATGAAATAAATAATTTATACATATATGTTAATATAAAACGAAAATTAATTAAAAACTGCACACCATTCAATTCCTATGTATATATTTGCACACCATATTAAAAACTGTACCTATATATATCCTAAAATAAACGGATATTGACGGGCACAACATAATATTTGTGTTTATTTGGCATTTTATCCTTTTTGTGAAAGGTTTATAAATTTACCTTTTTAATGATGCGTTCAAGACTCTATATCAATTATGATGTCCCTTTTATTAATATTTTTTCCCGAAATTCTTGCAACTTAAAAATTTTAATATTATTTTTTCACATTATTATTTTAGATCTATTTTCTCTTTGATGCGTAAGAAAAGTACAAAAAAAAAAAAAAAAATTAACGGAAATAAATATATTTATATAAATATACATATGTGTGTGTGTAATATAATGTAGCAATTTTTCACTTTGGCGCAAGTATTTTGATATTGTTGCATGGTTAATACAAGTGAATTATCTTGAATGTTTCAAAATAAGTGAATTTGTATATTTTGCTTTAACTTAAAGGAAACATAATTTTTTTTTCTTTTAAATATTTCGCAATTTTGCGTTAACTGTAAAAATTTTATAAATATAATTATATTCGATGTGCTCTGTTTTTAACGCATATTTATGCTCCAAAATAATTCAAAAAAAAAAAATAAAATAACAAGCATGTTCCTTCGAATTTTACTTATGACTGTTTTTGTTGTCACCTACTTATATAACTTGTTCTAAGAAAAAAAATGATTCTTAATGCAGGAATTAAATTAATAATCTTTGCATTTTCAATCGTTCATTTTTATTTCCATTTAGTCTTTTACACGTTCATGTAAAATATCTTTAATTCATAATGTAAAAAATTAATTTAGTGAATTTTTTTATTTCCCCATCATTTCTAAAATTAGCAACACTTTAAATTCATTTATTCATCAAATTAAACCTGATTATAAATAATATAACAGTTGTTGCACATTATTCTATAGCATTATTTGTTACATTTTTTGTAATTTAAAACGTAATTATTATGCAGATCCCTTCGGTGTAACGACACAATATATCAAAAAGGCACATATGATATTCTTTTATCATTGTAACTTTATGTGCTTTTCTACTTTTTAGCCCACTTGTATGAAAACGGTAATAACATAGAAATCTAATGAATATAATACAGATATAATCCATATATGTTTCTATACATTATATAATTTTGAAATTTGTTATATAATATCTATTATTAATGCATTATACTAATATTCCTCATCAAAGCATATATATGCCTTATAGAATATAAGTGTAAAGGTAAATAACACAAATGGAAACATACACGTTGTCATAACCATTCCGATGATAGAAATATTGTTCACCGTTCTTGAGATCAATTTATATAGAATAACAATTATTCTATAAATCATGCATACAGAGATGAATACAAATTGCGTAGAGTTTTATATATATTCTAAACATGTCAATTATTGTTAACCTTATTACTTATATAATGTGAAATATTTTTTCCACGTACTAAAGTAAAATTTTCTAAACTTAATATAACTCTTACACCATTTGTGTAAAAACAATCTCGTAAAATTAGTAATACACCTGTCAATTTCCTAGATAATGTTTTATCTTGTTTATCAATTAATGAATTAGGTAATGCATTACCAATTAATTTGTTACATACGTTCTTAGATGAACTGGTGTTTATGTTGTTACTTTCGTTTAATGTATTAATATCCCTTAAAATGTGAGTATTGTTAGTAATATAACTACAATAAGACTTATCACCAATAGAATCATCATTATTCTAACAATAACACTTATTTTTAATGTAATCAAGTAGTAAAATAAATTTCATAAGCATGCAAACCGTTTTTTTGTACTATTCCTTAAAAAAAATCATTTTAATTTTCTTGAATAATTACAAAAATGTTAAAAGAATATCCACTTTTCTTTATTTGATCATTTTATTAATGTAGTTTTGAAAAATAAGTAAATTACAGAAGATTCAATTTTGTACATTTTAAAAGAAAAAAAAAGTTATAAAATTTCAAAATTTAATGAATTATACCTCCGATGATTCTTTTCTACGCATGCTTTCAAAAAATATGGCAAATTCTTGTTTACATTTGCTTATATCTTGTATTCCAAAAATTTAAACCATGTACTTGTTACACAAATAATATAATTAATGCACTGAAACATACAAATGCTGATATGAATAGTATATCAAAACACAACAAATATATTTTTTATATTTCATTTATATTATTGTACAACAAATGTTTATCCAAAATCGATTATAGAGATGAAAATTTTAGAAAAACTCAAAAATAGACAAGATAAATGGAAACGTGATGTAAATTTAAAAAAATATATATATGTATACATATAAAATTAGGGATTCGTTATCACAGGTATAGATTGAGAATTTATTGTTAACATTGATGAATACATTCAAATTTTACAATAATGTTGTTTTTTATCATACTGAAATGAACATGAAATGGAGTAAATCCATGATGGTATTAATAATAAAATAACACATTCTAGTATTATATATCAAGGTATAATTTTGAAATAGTTATTAAACTTGTTCTTTCAAGTGTTCCAAAAATATTTGGTGTCTTTCCTTACATATGTATAATATATTTTAACTCTACTTTGTTGTAAAAATAGATATTTATTTTATTCTAATATGTTTCATGAATCTTTCTTAATTAGTAATTCAAATTTTCTTAAACGAATTAAATATGACATCCTTCTTTTTATGTATTTGTTTGTAGCATTCCACATGATAAAAAAATATGACATTTTTATTGAAAAGAATAAAATGAAAAAAAATTCAGAGATAGCGTTTAGCAAACTTTTATGATTTTTTCCCCTCATTTTTATTTCTTCCTATTTTGTGAAATTACTAATAAATAGTATAGTGTAAAATAAACTTTTTAACAAGAGTAAATAATGAATAACAATTTGGTAGTTTGCATTATCTGGGTATAACAAAAAAAAAAAAAATAGGTCAAAAATATATTTAAAAGAAAACTTATAAATTATGCTAATTAAGTTGGGAGCCACTTTGTAACTATATTTTTATTTTTATATACAGCAAAATTAATTTAATTACATTTTTTCCTCTTTTTCATATTTATAGCACATTGAATTTCGACATTTCTTATACATTTAATCTTACATAAATATTAGAAATATAAATGGTATATATGCAATGTTTTAGAATAACACTCATATAAATGAAAATAAAACGGTAATGTTACATTATTTAAAAATGAAGAACGATTAAAAGTACCTATTTTTACAATTATAAAATTTCATACACTTTTTTAATTTACTTAGTTATATTTGATAGCAATGTTCCCATAAAACTATACATTTATTCAGTTAAAAAGTATTTATATTTTATAATGAAATTCAATGTTAAAACATTTGAAAGACGCATTTACATATATATTAATAATAGGTGAACTTTAATATGTTCTGCTAGTTTTGAACAAGAAATTTAACAAAAAGTACAGAATTTGTGTGTTTGTTATGTGTTTTCTTAATAAACACAATAATATATTAATTTCATAAGTTAATTATTTTTTAAAATGATATCAATAACTTTTAATCCTTATTAACCATATTCATTTACCAGAATTCGTAATATACATTGTCGACAATGTTAATTTTGTTTTAATAATCATGTTAAAAGGAGCAAAAATCTGAACATGAGTTTAGAGTCTCTCTATTTGGAAATATATAATTATTAAGTTTATGTGAAAAATGCGCTTCCAAAAGAGAAAAAAAAAAAAAATTTTGTAAAAATAATAAAAATAACATATTAAATATATATAGTATAAAAGCGTAAAAATTGTTAAATACATGTACAAAAAATGAAAGGGAAAATGAGTTAAATAGAAATCTAAAAATCTTAAATTAAATAAATAAATCCACATGTGTATAATAATTTTCCATTTGTAGATGACAAAAAAAAAAATCCTCATTTAAAAGAAAGTCATAGATAGAAAATTTCCCATTTTTAAAAAGTTTGTGACGATATTGCTAAATAATTGTTTGTATATAATAAGGCCTTTATAAAACTTTAGAACAAATAAGTTGCATAATTAATTTATGCACACTGCACATTCAAAAGTAAATCTTCAAATATATATTAAAATTCTTTAATCACAATTTTTACATTAATTTTTATTATTTACGTATTAGCAAAGATCCATTTTCAATAATTAAACCTGTTAATTATAAATGTTCAAGAGTTACAAGATAATCTAAATAAATTGTGTTGCAATAATAAAAAAAAAAAAAAAAGTTTCATCTAATCTAGAACATTACATGGTGTAAATATAATTAAATTGTAAATACGTTAGATTACTAGGATCTTACCTTTTAATTTTTATATACAGTATTAAAGTGGAATCATTTAAAAAAAATTTTTGGTGTAAAATTAGTGACTCAAAAATTATTTCACTAATAACATAGGTGTAAGATCCCGGTTTCAATCAAAATAAAAGCCCCCAATTAAGAATGTGTTTTAATTATAAAATGACCATTCAGTAAGATATAATTTATTTAAGAAGCATATGTTTTATTAAATAATGATTAATATTTTTTTTATGAAAAAAATTTTTTTTTAAAGCTAATTACGATAGCTCAATATGAAAAGTTAAAAAACAATTCTAATAACGCTCGAGCTTTTTAAAACATTTTTTTTAAATTATTTCTAGTTTTATAGGGCTTTTTTAACGCACCGTAACTTTTTTCTTTGCATAAAATTTTTCTATTTCAAAATGCTCATTCTACAGAATTTCGAATGTTGCACATGTAACAAAATTATTTTATTTTATTTTTTTTTTTTTGAGGTGTAATTTATTAAAAACGGTTCTAGAGAAATAATATGCTCTTGTGTTTCTTATTTTTACATGCAGGCAGTTTTTTTTTCTAATTAATTAAAATGGAAATCTAAAATTAATTGATTTTCTATGAATCTAATTTCTACTTAAAGTGAATTTTATTTTATTTTTTTTTTTTTGAGGTGTAATTTATTAAAAACGGTTCTAGAGAAATAATATGCTCTTGTGTTTCTTATTTTTACATGCAGGCAGTTTTTTTTTCTAATTAATTAAAATGGAAATCTAAAATTAATTGATTTTCTATGAATCTAATTTCTACTTAAAGTGAATTTTATTTTATTTTTTTTTTTATATTTTTACTCTTCCGTTACAAATGTTTATTTTACTTTTCTAACAATTCTTCAGCTTAATTCTGTTGTACAAAAAAAAAAAAAAAAAAAAAAAAATTTTCCTTCACTTTTTTATCCTATGATAACTATATATGGATCATTTGGTTTCATATTAGAAATTATAATAACATTATATAATATTATTTTTTGATGTGTTATTTGTTTTTTCTTATTTTAACCAAATTTAGAGCGACCGCTTATTTTTTCCATTACATTAAGATAATGAAAATATTAAAGTTACACTTATAAATAAAATTATTTGTATTGGTTAGATATATGTTGAAATATCTAACAGTGAATACGAATTTATACTAGAACCTCCTAATTATATATATAATTAAGTTGTGTTCATGTGAAAAAAATTAAGATTCACCATTTCTGATTAATTAAAAAAAAAAACATCACACCTCCCCTATTACATAAATGCAAGTAAGAATCCTATATAAAATTTTATTTAATCTTCTATTTGCCCTATTAGGTAATATTAAAGAAAAAACATATATAAAAATGTGTACAAATAGATACTTACATGGGTACATGTAATAATTCTTTGAACGTTCACACATGCATACATGTGCTATTTCATTTATTAAAATAAAAATTTTGAACAGTTGCTCATTGTAGCACATAATAATTCTACTTACACACATATATATTTTTAATATAGTGTCAAGTATAGATAGTAATGGAAGAAAATTCAATAGATCTAAAAAAAAATTAAACTTAACACCGCTATATGAAAAATCAATTCAAAGCAATGAATCCCAATATGGTAGTGAGGAACAAGAATATAATAAAAACAAGGATGATAATAAATTTAATGTTGAACATGATAAAAATGAATATTCGTCTAGTAGTTCTTCTTTGGTGGCACCAGAAAATTATACGAGTGATAGTACAAAACCATTACATTTTTCTTACATAAATAGTGAAGACACAGGCACAAATAAAAAGTTAAATATAAATAAAACATTGAATACTATTAAAAGCTCATTTATTCAAAATAATAAACGTACTGTGAAGCCAGGGAAAGTTACACAGAATACTACCCCTAATAAGGAAGTATATGTTATGACAGATAATTTAGATTATGTTGATGCACCAGATTTTTCTGGATATTATTTAATTTCTCAGATAAGTCCACATTACGCTTATATGAATTTTTTTGATGAATTTAGACGTATTTCAGTTGAACACGGTAGTATTAGAAATAAATATAATAAAATGTATGCAGAACAAGTTCTTCCCCTTTTAAGAGAAATAGACCAAAAATTCAATTTTTGTGAAAAACATAAATATCAATTGAAAGTTATAGTACACATATTCGAAAGTCCAAATTTGATAAAAGAAAGAAATAAAAAACATGATGAAAAATTTACAGAATACATAGATGCTAAGAAAAAGTATCTAGACTGCATAGTAGGTGAAAATAAATACAATGAAATGAAAATATCAGTTATGAAATTAACAGTTTATAAAATGTTAAAAGAAGCAATACATCATCAAGTTTATAAATATAAAGTGTACACAGACATGATTGCAGTATATTTAGTGGGACTTAAAAACATGCCTTATGACGCTATTAGGAATTATATAAATGAATTTAAAGATTTTTACAACTCTAGCTCTAATGTGGTACAGAGATTAGAAAAAGAGGTTAACAATAAAGATACTATATATTCAATAAAATTCATTCGAAAAGAAATGGAATACATTATAGATAGATTTACTTATCACATGGAAAAAGTAAATTATTCAATGAATTATATTAAAGAATTTTCTACTGTGGGTTCATTAAAAATAGATTCTCAGCGTTTTCTTGAAGAATATTACTATAACGCAGCTTGTAACTACTCAATATTTAGGCTTAGCTCAGAACATCTCCAAAGTCTGAGGTCGGCATTAATAGATAAACGATATAAAATGTATGTACTGTTTAGTACATTAATTGGGGATTTAGAAAAAAAAATAAATAAACTTATGTCATCGATAGGTTTTTTCTCAGAAAGTAATAAGATTTTGGCCCAATCTGTACAAATACTAAAACGTGGAGAAGAAGTATATAATAAAAATGAAAAAATACTAGAAACATTTGCATTATATAATAGTGTAGAAGTTAATAAACTTAAAAAGGAATGTGACATTAAAATGAATAGTTTAAAAGATTGTATAAATTCTATAGGAACATACAACATATTTATAAAAAATGCATATAATAAAAATTTGCTAGAAGAATCCTCCTTAAAAAGAAAAAAATATTCCATTCCTTATGACACTGATCCCTATGAGAAAACTGTTAGTTTTCTCAATTTATTAGATAACATAGAATATAGTAAAGTTTCCGTAGATAAAAATTTTGACCAAATGAAGAAAAACTTTGAAGAAATCCAAAAATTAAAAGACAAAATAGAAGAGTTTGCGTTGAGTATTAATGATGATGTGAAAGAACTAGAAGATTTGGTGGAAAAAGAAAAAGAAAATAAACTTCTCAAAGAAGAAATAAGCCCCAAAATGAATTATATCAAAGAAAAAATAGAAAAAATAAAAGAAATAATACATATAGAAAAAAGTGTAGAGACAGAATCCCAATTAATTGATAAATTAATTAGTGATGCAGAATTCAAAGGAGATGAATTTAAAAATAAAAAAACAGGACTATACAACAAAATAAAAGATATTATTAATAAATTTCACACAAGTGATTTACAAAAAATTGTAGAAGATATGACAAACTTTTTAGAGAGTAAAGAAAACCTCCTTAAGAACACAAACAATAAAAGGGAAATTGAAGAACTCCTAAGAAAAACAAATGAAAATCACAACAAACTTAAAGAGATGAATTGTGATGATATTTCCAAAGTAATAGAAAATTTGAAGGTCGAAGTAGAAAAATTTATGGAACTCAAAAATGAAATTGCAAACAAAAAATTAGAAAATATGCGTTCAGAAATGTCAATCATGTTGGATCAATTAAAAAAAGAATATGAATATTTAAAAACAAAATTATCAAATTATGAAGGAGAGAAAAACAAATTAGACAACAATAAGGAAAATATAATTATAATAAAGAATAAAATTGCCGATAATGAACATGAATATGATAAAGCAGTTTCAGAAGGAATAAGTATATACAATGACTTTATACAAAATAAGAAAAATATTTTAGAAAAAGAAACGGAAATCAGTAATGAAATTAGTACATTAAATGAAAAAATAAGAATTGCTAAAACCACATTAGAGAAATATGATAATGCAATACAAAACTTGGAAACAAATGCTAAAAAAACTGATTCACATACTGAAGAACTGTTAGAAAAAATTAAAACTGAAATTAATGAACTAAAATTAAATGAAGATGAATCTAAATTTGACACGACGAAGGGAAACGTTAATAATACTATCAAAGAAATTGAAAATGCAAATATTAATATAGAAACTCTTAAAAGGCTAAAAACTATTACAGAACTCTCTACTGTTAACAAAAAGTCAATTGAAGAGGTAATAAAAAATAAGGGTCATCTTCTAAAAGAAAAAATTGAAAAACACATTCAAAAAATGAAGGAAGAAGAATTAATAGAACAAAGCGCAAAGTCAAATTTGTTAAGCAATATAGATAATGAAAAAAAATTTATAAACGAACAGTTAAATGATATTCATTTGAATGAAATAAAAACACAAATAGAAAAAACCTTAAGATATTGTGAAGATTCAAGGAAAAGCATTAAGAATAATAATGAAATTAATCTAGAAGAATTAAACATAAACGAAATTCAATGTGGAAATATGAAAGGAAAAATAGAAACGTTAAATAGTAATTTTCAAGAATTAAATAAAAAAATTGATAATGTAATTAATAAACATCATAATGAAATAATAAAACTCATTGATAGACATATAACAGAGAAGGGAAAAAATATCGAAAATAAGGCAGAAGAACATATACATGCTCTAGAAAAAGCAAAAGAGAGGCTATCTTCATTTGAAACTAACGAAGATGTTACAAAATACGACAATAGAATAAATAAACAAGAACTTAGTAAATTAATGGATTCAATACAACAGAAAATGAACAAAATTAATGAAAGTAATACTAAATTAATTAATATAAAGCAAAAAACAACTGAATACATGGCACAGTCGAATAAGGTGAAAAATAAACAATCCCAGATGAATGAAATGAAAGACAATGAAATAATATTCAATCAAAATAGGAACGAAATTAAAGACATTTATACAAACATGAATAACACATATAATGAATTGGATTCGATTGAAAAATTGGAAACTACTTCTCTCGACATAGACAATCTCGAAATACAACAGAATAGACTTTTAATTACCACTGGGGTTCAAAAACTGGACGATGAACATGCGAAGACAAAAGAGACTATTGAAAAAATTAAAACATTTATGAAAAGTATTGAAACTTTAAGGAGTGAATTACCCGAAGAAACCGGGAATGACATAGCCCATTTAAAATATAGTAAACATGAGACGGAAAATATAATTAATAATAAAAAAATAAACGAAATTATCCAAAAAGCAAAAGAGATTAAGCAAAAAGCAAGTACAAGCACTAACCTAAATGAAGTAAAAACATTCAAAGATGAAGTTAACAAGCATATAGAACAAGTATTAGATGAATATAACTCTATGCAAAATGCGTTAAAAGATATTGAACATATGCAAGATTTATTAAGATCGACTAATAGTAATGTAATTGCTGAAGGCATATCAAAGAAAACTAAGGAAGCTGATACTTTTAAAAAACAAGCACAAAGCGAATTAGAAAAAATGAGTACTATAAATGAAGGGATAAAAAAAAAAATAGATCAAGCAAGAGAACATCAGAGCAAAGTTCAAATAAGTTTAGATGATAAAGAAATAGATGAAAAGGTAAATCAAATTGAAAAAATTAATAAAGAAGTTATAAACATGGAAAATAAAATTAGCGAACATTTAAGAAAGATCAAAGAATATAAGGAAAATTGTTTGTCCGAAGTTCATAATGCGGAAAGGGCAAAAATTAAAATCGATTCTTTGCAAAAAAAAGATGGAAATACTGGCTTAAAAGATTTCGATGTAAAAAATGTAGAGAACGATATTGCTAATTGTAAAATATACAAAGAACAAGTTCAAAAAGCTGAAACAGATGCTGAACAAATGTATAAAATATTCTCAAACTATCTGGATGAAATTTCCGATGTTTTAAAGAAGTCCCTAATTTTAGGAGTAGAAACAAAATCAAAAAAAAGAAAAAATGATGCTGCAAAAATAATGGATGAAATTAAAAAGGAATGTTCTAGTATTAAAATAGAACTTCAAGAATCACTAAACAAATTAAACGAAATGAATAAAAAGCACACTATTAGCGTAATAGAAGATACCCTTGACAATAAGAAATCTGCAGACGCGAATGTATCTATTCAGCAAAGCTTAGAAAACGTAAAACAAAATTTATTACAGGTAAATAATGTATCAAAAGAAGTGGAAGCCATTTTAACTACGGCTAATAATTCATTCGACTTAATGTCAAAGGTTCCGGATTCAAAGGAAAAAACTGAACTAGAAACTCTGGAAAAGGAATCTGCTGAATATGTAACTCATCTCGAAAAACTGAATGAACAAAAGCGACTAGTGATGGAAAAACGAAAAACTGTCGATGAAATTAAATCTGATATTATAAATATTGAAACCAATTTGAAAAAAAATAGTAAAAATTTTGAAATTGGACTTCTGAACAAGATAAATGAAATAGCTAAAATTAGAAAGTCGTATGTGGATTCAGCAGAACAATTATTAGCCACATCCATGAGCAACTTTGTTTCTCTTTTTATCGGATTCGATTTAAAAAGATATAATATTGGAACAAACATAGACAATTATAAAAGAAATATAAAAGAACTCCTTAATGAGTTTCAGAAATCATACGAACTAATTCAAGACAAAGAAAAAAATGCTTTGGAAGATTCAGTAGACTCTGGTAAAGCAAAAGAACTAAGAGTAGAAGCTCAAAATGAAGAAAAAAAACTTGAAAATATAGAAAAAAGAACAAAAATGTATTTGAATGATATTGATAAAATGGAGTCCTTTAAATTAATACATGATATGAAGGAAAATATAAATCATATTAACAAAATGTGTAAAGATGAATATACAGAAGTAAATGAAGGCCATGGTAACCTTGAAAAGATTATTAAAGATATTAAAAATTTAAATGATGGTAGTGATTCATCAATTAAATTACAACAAGCAGAACATAAAAACAATGAAATAAAAACGAAAACAAGTCATTATTCATATAAGATAGAAGCACATAATATATTAGAACAAATTGCTAAATCAGCCAAATTTATAGGCATATCAATTACAACAGAATTACAATCATCAAAATTAGCTGCAAAAGCTCATTTACAAAGCACATCAGAATTGCAGTTTCAATCAAAAGATGAAATAAAATTAGAAAGTGAAGAATTTTTAGGAAATGAAAACAAATTAGACTTTCATAAAAATATACAAGACGCTTATAAAAGTGTCCTTCAGATATATAAATACTCAGATGATATAATCAAAAAACAAGAGGAATGTGAAAAATTAATGAAAGAAGGAAAAAAAATTAATTTTAATATTAAATCAATAAATGATTTAAAATCTACGATAGAAAATATTAAGAGTAAAGAAAGCACAATTACATCCCAAATTAACGATGCATTTGCTAAACTGGATCAATTAAACAAAATTTCGTGCAGTGATGAAAATTCTGTTAACATTTTAGAAAAATCTCATGCTGAAGAATTGAAGAAAAAAAGGGATGCATTTAATCAAGAAAAAGTTGCCTATGCAGGTGAATCGAAACTGAATGAATGTAAGGGTCTTTTGGCATCCCAACTAGAGTTGTTAAATGATTTAAAAATAACGACAAACACAATGAAAGCAGATGAAACACTTCAAGAAAGTATAGGAGACAGAAACTCATCTATTTTCCAAATTTCAACCATTTTTGAAGATATAGAAAAGAAAGTTACCGGCATTAATAATTCCTTTTATGAATTGTTACTTAAAGGAAAAATATGTGAAACATTTAAATATACATCAATAAAAGATAGCCTTAACGCAAAAATAAATGCTTATTCTACATTTATTAACAACAAAAAAGGTAAAGTTGCAGAATATCTGGCATACATTCAAAGTAATTATAACTCCATTTTTCAAGATATTGATGTATTAAATCAAAATCTTGTTGAAAAGTCAACTACTACATATGCAATAACGAAGATGAAAGAGGCAAATGCACTTTCCGCACAGTTAACGAATACATCCAATGAATATGATGCAATCGTTAATACTATCAAAAAAGAATATATAGACGCAAACGAAAAAACTGAAATTGTTGATTTAGAAAATAGTGCAAAAAAATTAAAAGATTATTTTGTGAATATAAACAACAAAAAAAATGCCATAAATGAGCTTCATAATAAAATTAAATTAATTAAATTCCAAGAAATGAGAACAACTTCTGACAAATACCTAGATATTGCCAAACGATTTACATATGTAGTAGATGATCAAAAAAAAAGATTATCAGAGATTCACAATAAACAAATTACTCTAAAAAATAACTTAAAAGATAAAGAAGAAAATTTAATTCAGGTCGATAACACATTTACCCTTGAATCTATTAAATCATTTGATGAATTATATGACAAAATTAAGTCTAATATTGATGAATTGAATATACTAGAACAAAATAATGTTAATGAACTTAAAAAATCTAAAAGTTATGAGGAAAATATTTTATACTTATTAACTAGAATGAGTAACTTGAAAGAATATGCCCATAAATATGAAACAAAAGACAAATTGAAAGATGAAAATAACGAAATCAAAAGTGCGGTAGATAACGAAATGAGACAAAATGATGAAATCCTAAAAAATTTAGAGGAAGAGTTGAAAAAATTATTAAAGAGTATTAAGGAAAATGAAAATTTATGTACTACTAATAACACAAAGGATTTTGTTTCTCACATTTTGAAAAAAATAGATATTATAAGAGAAAATTTCACAAAAAATCTTCCAGAAAAAGAAAAAGTTTTTCAAATAGAAAGCAAATACAACGAAATTAAATCTATTTATAATGAGATTTATGCAGATGCTAATGTAAAAGAATTTACTGAAAATATAACTAAGAATGTTCAAAATAAATTTACGAGTGTCCGAGATTCCAAAGAAGCCCAAAAAATAAAAGAAGCAATAGATGATATTACAAATAATTATACACAAATAAAAAGTAAATTATCTTCATTTATTAATGCTTTAGATAAAATTAAAATAAAGAAAAATGATATGAATGCATTATTTGGTTCATTATCTAAAGAGCGTGTAAATAACTATAACACTTTGCAGTCATTTATAAATGATTCAGATAGAATGACCAATCAATTAGAGGAGCACATTAGTGAAATGTCAAAAATAATAAAAGATACTGAAAATATAATTAAAGAATTAGAAGAAAAACAAGATAATATATTAAATCCACGTGTTATTAACAAACTAGTTGGTGGTCAAAATAAATTGTTAAGTGATGCCCAACAACAAGGAAGTGATAAAATTAATACAAAAGAACAGAATTTAACACAAGAACAAGGACATTCAAATAATGGTGGTAATACTTTGTTTAGTGCAAATATTATGAGTCAAGATGGACAGGAAAAAACCCAAAATAAATATCATTACAAAATAGGAGGGGATAACCAAAATATTCGCTATGCAGGAGCTATTTTGGCTTTATCTATTTGTTATGGTGTATTTTACATTTTAAATAATCGTGATGAGAAGGATAAAAATGACACCGATGTGTTCGATGATCAATTTGAGGGGTGTGACGCTTTTAATTTGGATGATAAGGAGGAAGTCATCGATGTTTGTTTTAATGATGCTTATTATAGTGATTGAAAAAAGAAAGAAAAACAAATATATATATATATATCTAAGTATAAACATAAATATAATTTAAAAAATATATATAAACTATGAATTTGATTAAGAACTATACCACGTATAGCTTAATAGATTAAAATTTGTTTACAATGAATCAAGTTCACAGAGAAAAAGAGCGCAAACAAAATACACACTTCAAAAATACAAAATAGGAACAATAAATTACAATAATATATTCTGACTTATAAGCTTCTTTAGTAAATTTTTTAAAACAGAAACACCTATTTGCTCTATTGTATCCTTTTACTTGCTTATTATATACACATTCGTTAAAGATTACACAAACAGTTCACATACATGGTAAAATTGTTGTTATAGGAAAATTCCTCTTAACAACAACGAAAAGTTATTATTGTGCTTTTTCGTTTTCTTTGTAATAATATAAGATTTTTTTTTTTTTGCAAAAAATATTATTTGCTGGAAGAAATGTTCCACTATAGAAAAAAAAATTCATATATATGTTGAACCAATATATAACTATGTACTGTTTTATTTAACGAATTGATATAGGAATAAGAACTTATAGTTTGAATATACATTTCTTTAACATTATAAAAGTAAATGTACGAAAGTATGTTACACTTACATTACTTTGTTTTATATAATTCCTGTTTCTCTCAAAATGTGTTGCTTTATATTTGCCACACTTTTTTCATTATTTGTTTTTCTAATATTTTAGTTCGTGCTGTAATCATTCCTCACATTAAACTAAATCTATATTTAAAGATTAATGCAAATGAATATGCAACTTATACTTAAATGTGATGTTACATTAAAACATTTTTTTAAAATCTTGTTAATTTTTTACGTATTAACATCATCATCGAAAAATTGTTAACATTCCATTTGACTAAATTTTTTTTTTTTTTTTTTTTTTGTCTAAATATTTTTGTTCTTTATAACGAAAATATTTTTCATAGCTCATTATTTAACTTTAAATTATAACATTTGATATAATTTTACGTAAAGTATTCATAACAGGTAAATCACATTCAAAAAACTATTAAAACGTTTTCTAGGAGTAAAAGTGTTTATCGAAGAGAAAACTCAAAAAAAAGGTACCATAACATAGCAAAAGATACGAATACTAAAATATCTCTTAACATTTTTACTATATGTTTATCATTACGCTTCATAAATAATTTATCATGACAAAATGATAAAAAAGGTCATTTTAGTGATATTCTTAAATCCATCATGATGTTGGGAATAATTTTCTAAATATGCTCTTTGCACAAATGAATTTGTTGCTTTTTACAGTTTAATCGTCTCATTATTTTTGTGCTTTTTTTCATTTAATAAATTTTTATTAGGACTATAAGTTAAATCTGCGTGATTCAACACTTGTTCTAAATTCCTGTTATATACGTAGAAAAAATCTCTGCGATTGTCAGTGTATACTTATAGGAGAAATTTTTAAAGAAAAAATAAAATGTAGATAAAAATTCATGATTTAAAAGATATATATTTTCATTCTAATAAAATACATTTTCTTAAAGGATAAGAAAATAACAAAAATGTACAAAAATATTATATTTCTTTATTTATTTGCTTACACCTTTATTGCAACATAAACATATTCAAATTTTTAGGAAAAGTATGGAAAATTTAAGAGTACTAAAAGAAATATTTAATTGATCATTCATATGATGTTTTAATCATATAGTTGTAGCATTTTTTGCCTTGGATTTTTACAACTTAACTTAGCCCTCTTTTGTTAATATATTTACAAATAATTTAGCCTAATTTGTTTGTATTATTTTACTTTTACTTTTGTAATATTTAAAACACATTTATAATAATAAGAATAATTAAATAAAAAAGGAATCATTTTATTTGCATAACTTGGTTATTCCCTTTCCCATCCTTTTTCTTTTCTTGTGATTATTGTTATTTCAGAAATATATGTATGTATATCACATTTATAAATTTAATAACTCACATTTTCAAGAAATTAATATCAGAGAATGAAAATGGCAAAAGCGCCGCCTTCTGTAATTATTCCATTTAAATAATACAGTAACAATATAGCATTTATGGTTTGGGCTTTTAATTATAGAATTGAAGGGGTTATTAAGAGAAAAAAAAAAAAAAATAAAAAGTGTCAGTGTTATACATACATAAATTAATAATTCATTGATGCAAATTAATCAGTTTATGAATAGGGTAAAACTGTCTTAATCTAACACAAAAAATCATTATATTTAATATTCAAGAATTGTTAAAAATCAAATAAAAAAATATAAAAAAATGAATATACTTAAATTCTATTAAATCAAAATAAAATATACATATAATAATAAATACGGAATCTGCTTAGTTCAGCGCAAAAGGTTAAAATAATATAGCATAAAAGCAATATGAACATATATGTCTTGTGAAGGTTAAGAATATGAAATATATCTTATGAATTAAGCACAATTACTTAAATCATGCTATTAATAATTGATGAAAAAGAACACATAATTATTGGCTAAAGACATCTATATAATTAAACATGTATAATTCCTTTAAAAACATGGGCGATAATTACACAATTTTGACAAAAACAGCTGTGTGAAAAATAAAATAACAAAAGCAAATACATAATGATATAGTATAATATGTTGAAAACGCGTTTTATGGACTAACAAAAAAAAAAATAAAATATATACAATGAATGTACACATATTAGGCATATATGTATTTGTAAGTTTAGTACCCATGCTTATATACTCACGCACAGGGTACTATGAAACCTAGGAAATCACATGTATATATTTTAATTTGGTAATACTACATATTATGTTCCTCTTACATTTATTTTATTTAAAGCAAGCTTTTAGTATCCCCTCTTTTCATGGCAATTTTAATCAGATTTTTAAGTTTTTTAATTTCTGAGATAATATATACAAACTTCTGTATCGTTAAAACATAAAAAATAGTTCCTATGTATAATAACTATAATATATACCCTGATAATTCAATTAAAAGTAATGGTAAATATTCCGCATGTTCCTTATGTAATTTTATAATGTTATAATGCAATTTTAATAAATACTTCTTTTTTTTTTAATTGGAATTTCAATTCGTGAAAAATATTTTTTTTTTTTTTTTTGGTGGGTGGGGAAGGGATTTTTTATTGGTCCTGCTTGCATTGGAATTCTTCACATTATCGCAGGAACATATAAGTAAAATGTTACTAGTTTATATATTATTTCCCAATTCTTTAGTCTTGACGCATCGTTTTGTTTATAATTTAGGTTTTTTGGGAATTTTTTTGATTTTGCTTTTTTAGGGCTTCCTCTTTGGAAGTTTCTTGTTTTAGGGTTTGCTCCTTTGGAGTTTCCTGTTTTGGGATATCCTGTTTGAGGCTTTGCAGTTTTGGAGTTTCTTGTTTTAAGCTCTGCAGTTTTGGAGTTTCTTGTTTTAAGCTCTGCAGTTTTGGAGTTTCTTGTTTTAAGCTCTGCAGTTTTGATGTTTCTTGCTTTAGGTTATTCATTTGGGGGGGTTCCTGTTTTACGCTCTGCAGTTTTAGGGGTTCTTTCTTTGGGTTTTGGAATTCTGGAATCTCCGGTTTGGGGTTTTGGAATTTTGAAATCTCCGGTTTGGGGTTCTGGAATTTTGAAATCTCCGGTTTGGGGTTCTGGAATTTTGAAATCTCTGGTATGGGGGGTTGGAATTTTGAAATCTCTGGTTTGGGGGTTAGTATTTTGGGAATTTCCGCTTTGGGGTTTTGTATTTTGGGAATTTCCGGTTTGGGATTTAATATTTTTGAAATTTCCGGATTGCTGTTCTGTAATTTTTGTATATCTGTTTTGGGGGTTTTCAATTTTGGAGTGTCATCTGTCAGACTTGGCGGTTTAGGGGCTTTTCTTTTTAATGATGGTATTTTTGTAATTTTCTTTTTTATTATTGACGATTTTGAAATATCTTCTTCTGAGCTTATTTGATTTAGAGTTTCGTCGTTTAGGCTTTTTTTTTCTGTAGTTTCTGGTTGTGAGATTTGTAGTTTCTCCATATCAGATTTCTTATTTCTTTTTTTTGATTCTGATGTTTTTGATAAAGAATGCTTTTTAAAAAGGGATGTACTTTTTTTTAATACTCCCCATTTCACATGGGGATTTTTCGGAAATTTTTTTTTTTTTTTTTCTGATTCATAAGTTTTTATATCATATTTGCATTGTTTACCTTCTAATATATTTTTATTTATATCCTTATTTCCTAAATCTAACACTTCTTTGCTTCCTCCACTCATGATGCTATCTTTGTCATTTTTTTTGTCAAAATAGGATTTACTATATAATGAATTTTTACTTATTACTGTATTTCCTGAATCTAGCTTCTCTTTACTACCCTCTTTGGTTTTATCAGGTTTATAAAATTTTGTTCCAGTATCTAATTTTTCGTCTAATGAATTTTTACTTATTTTTGTATTTCCTGAGTTGAGCTTTTCTTTACTTTCCTCTTTGGTTTTATCAAGTTTATAAAATTTTGTTTCAGTATCTAATTTTTCGTCTAATGAATTTTTACTTATTTGTGTATTTCCTGAATATAGCTTCTCTTTACTTTCCTCCTTGGTTTTATCAGGTTTATAAAATTTTGTTCCAGTATCTAATTTTTTGTCTAATGAATTTTTACTTATTTGTGTATTTCCTGAATATAGCTTCTCTTTACTTTCCTCCTTGGTTTTATCAGGTTTATAAAATTTTGTTCCAGTATCTAATTTTTCGTCTAATGAATTTTTACTTACTTTTATATTTCCTGAATCTAGCTTTTCTTTACTTTCCTCTTTGGTTTTATCAGGTTTATAAAATTTTGTTCCAGTATCTAATTTTTCGTCTAATGAATTTTTTTTCCTTTCCACATTTTGTAAATATAACTCCTCTTTACTTCCAATTTTCGTGTTTTCTGGATTGTCACTTTTTAACATGAAATTAATTTTACTGCTGGAAGTATTTTTTTTTAAGCCTGAACTTGAAAATTCATACTTCACTTTTTTTTCTAATTTTGCATTTTCTATTTCAGAGGTCCCTTTATTCCATGGAAACTCTATCTTTACTTCACTCTTCTCACATTCTAAATTTGTTTCAGATTTTGGTATATTTACATTTTCTCCAATAAACTCAGATTTCAAATCAGCATCATTATGAGGCGCCACATCATTAGATTTTACTACAGGTGAACTGTTATCTATTTTGTCACTTGATTTATTAGTTTTCCCTAAATTTTCTAATTCAGAACTCTTTTTCTTTTCCAGTGATTTTTTACACTCACTTAAATCTTCTGATTCGTTTTTAATGGAATCTTCATTATTCAATAATTCTTTTTTCGATGTCTCTTCTGTTGGGTTCTCCAAATTCTGAGCATTTTTTGCAACTGTGCTTTGTGGTTCTATATATTCAGGATTATAACTTTGCGTATTGTTATGAAAATTATTATTCTGCGAATTTGAATATTGCGGGTCATAATTCTGAATAAAACCAGAAGAACCATCCTGCGAATCTACCTGTTCAGAATTGTAATTCTCCATATTATGCGTTGACTTATGTTGAGAATCCATAACTTGAGTATTATAATTCTGCATACTTCCTGGTGGACTATGTTGAGAATCAGTATATTGAGGATCGCCATCCTGAATATAGTATGATGTATCATATTGTGGATCTACATATTGATAATCATAATATTGACTACTGCCAAAAATATGATATGGATTTACGTATTCAGAATTATAATCCTGCATATAATATGCTGAATCATATGGTGAATCTACGTGATGAGTATCGTAATTCTGCATGTTGTATGCTGAATCATATGATGAATCTACATGATGAGTATCGTAATTCTGCACATTGTATGATGGACCAGGTTGTGAATCTACGTATTGAGTATTGTAATTCTGCATACTGCTCGAACTATTTTGTGAATCTACAAATTGGGACCCATCCATATCATTGTGATGATCTTGTGAATTTACCCTTTGGTCAACAAATTGTGATTCATAGTAACCACTATTATTCGGATGATTTGTGTAACCTTCTAAATTCTGTGATGCATAATTCTCATTATAAAGCAAAGTGTTATCCTTATCGTCTACATTTTGTGCATTGTAATAACCATTGTAATGAGGATAGTTTAAATTTTCCTCATTATAATAAGATTCATAATTATTATTATATTGTGGATGATTGCTCACTCCTCCTCTATACTGACTCTGGTAATAGTCATTATAATGAGGATGTTTTCTCTTGCCTCGAACAAATTGTGGTCCGTAACTGTCTTTGGAACCCGATAAAAACTGTTTCATGCCTACAAGCTGCGATTCATAAACTTCCTTACAACCTGATAAAATCATTTTTACTCCAGCTAATGGTAAATCACCTACATCTTTACAATCTGATATAATTTTCTTAACTCCAGCTATGGGCAAATCACCCAAATCTTTACAATCTGATATTATTTTCTTAACTCCTGCTATGGGTAAATCACCCAAGTCTTTACAATCTGATATAATTTTCTTAACTCCAGCTATGGGCAAATCACCCAAGTCTTTACAATCTGATATAATTTTCTTAACTCCAGCTATGGGTGACTCACTAAAATCTTTATAATCTGATATAATTTTTTTAACTCCTGCTAATGGTAATTCTCGTAAATCCTTATTTCCCAAAAAAAAGTTCATTACACCTTCGAATTGAGATTCACATGTATCTTTGCAATCTGATAAAATTTTTATCACTCCATTTATATGATTTTCATAAATCCCTCCATCACTGGGAGAATTTCTCTCTCTCATAAAAACTGACATATAATTATCTTGATAGGGTTCTCTATTTTTACTTCCTCTAATGTGTGGTGCTACTTGATTATTAATATTATGCGGAGTATTTTTATTATTATTACTTCTTGCAACGTATGATTCATAATTAGCAATTGTTTCAGCTAAAATTCTCCTTTTTCCTGAAAAAATTGGGTTAATACTACTACTATTCACAGGGTGATACTTGAATTTAGATTTTTCATAACTTTCTGCCCTAACATCTATTTTAGAAAATTCACCAATCGTTAATTTAGTCTCTAATCTGTAAATTTCACTATTATTTTCAGTAGACTCTTTTGATTCTGCAATAAGGGGGCCATGATTATTGTTAAATGCTTCTAGTATTCTACCATTTTCTGAATCTGAAATGCTATCTACACATTTTTTTTGGTTCAAGGATTTGTTAGAAATGGTCTAAAAAAAATGAAATAAATTTTATTGTTTTGTTAAATTGCGTTTTTCTACATTAATATATACATATATATATATTTATCGCGGCATGTTCTGGGAACAGCGATAATAAAAAAAGACATTTATTATAAAAATTACATTCCTGTAAAATTGGCATGCCCCAATGAAAACTGCAACTATAAGAATTTTTTGGAAAAGAGGTAAAATAATTTTTTCTTTTATGTTATGCTTCTTTGAAACATTCATGTTTGTAGTCGTAATACTATTAATTACATTATTATTCTGCTCATAGCGTGTAGTACTGTGTTGTAGTCATTATTATTTTAATCATTTTTTATTTGTTTAAAAATAAAAACATGTTACAAATTTACTAAATTTCTTGTAAATTTAATAAACGTCTAAAAATATTAATGTAATGATTAACAAAAATTACTTATTAAATATATTTTTCTAAAAGTTTTTGATCCTACAGAGATTATAGCAGTATTAACATGTATAACTTAAAAATAAAATTAATACATGTTTAAAGTAACTATATAGAGCTCTTAATTCGTTTAAAAATAATTTGTTTTACAAATCAAAATAAACTTCGTTTAAAGGTTATTAAAAAGTGGCATAATTACTTTGCGTATAAAAAGGGTTAGCGCTGCGTCCAATATATACTGTATGGAATATGTAAATCACATATATAATTCTAAATGTAAAGAGTACTCGTAAATAATACTTCATGTAAATTATAATGTGAAAATATTTAATCATATAATACTATAAACAGTAGAAATGAAAGAAATAATATATTAGTTCCTTCAGACTCCTACACTCTCTATCGCGTGAATAATGAAAATGTAAAATATATAATAATATAGCATATATTATATTTATTTTAGCTATAAAAATACTTTGAAACGGAAAAAATTAACAGAATAAATAATGAATTGTAAACTAAGAATTTTTTTATTTTAGTAAAGATGTAAACAAATTGACGTATTCGAAAAATTTTTCCTTCATTATTTTTAATTAAACCGTAATGAAATTTTACAAAACTCTGCCTGTTTTATATATATATAAGATTGTACCATGTAAAATAATATTTATTATAAATATATGCAAATTTTAAAAAGTTCTCACATGTTTCTAAAGAGTGTTTTTAATAAAAATACATAATAAATGAAATTGGGGTATTTATTTATTTATTTTTTTTTTTCCGAATAGATAAATAAAATTATGCTGTCGTTAGTCTTCGAATAAAAAAAAGTAATATATACAAAATTAAAATAAAATAAAAATCCTATTAAAAAGAGTAATTTAATTTCTCTGAAAATGATGCTGCTATAATCTAATGTTAATAAAGTCCATAAGATAATTAAAATAAAAAAAAAAAAATTAAATCTTGAATAGTTTAAAACATAAAGTTGGAATTAAATAATAATAAAAGTAGGTCAAATCATTGAATTTCCCCATTTTAGTTTGCTTTTTTTCTTTTTTTTTTCATATTTGTATATTTTCCTAATGAAAAAAATTCGTAATTTATATTTTTTACTTTTAAATATTGTGAAAGTTATCCAGCTTTAAAGAAAAAATATTAAATGTTGTTTTTTGTTACAAAATTTTTTATGCAGGGACGATAAAAATTGCGCCGATTTTAAAATTCCATCTGATAAAAATATTAAATTTTGAAATTTTTTTTCATCAATTTTTAAGCGCTTTATTCAGTTCATGATTTTTATGTGAGTGGGGGAAATGTATACAATAAATAAATGAGAAAATGTATTTTTAGAAGTAAATTCAAATTTTGCTATAATAATATAAAACATACATTTTTACGATGTCTTAAATTATCATGTAATAAGATAATTTAGGTCAAAAGTTCAGAATTGTCCATATTTAAACGTTATTTTATAACACAAGCAAACAGAAATGGATAAATGAAGGATTATGTACATATGTATATATATATATATATATATTTTTATGTATACGTATATTCAGTTGATAAAATGATTCCTTCACAACATGGAATTGTGCTATTTTTATGCTTTCTTTACCAAAGCAAACATGTTTAGAACTACGCTTCAAATATAATTCCTATTTATATTTTGAAACACGCATTTTTCTAGTACATGTATAGATGCAATTTTACCTCATGGTATATTAAGCACGTTCATATGGAAAAATTGTAATAAACTTATTTAACAAATAAGTGAAAGTATTTCTATGAAAGAAAAGGAAATAGCTAAATGAAAAACCAAATATACTATGTTTTTACATGATAATTTTTTTCCTTCTAATGCACGTGTTTATTTTTACACCTCTATATTTCTGTAGACACATTTTTTAATTTCTTTTTCTTTTTTTTTTTTTTTTCATGTGAGATAAATATACCAATATGCAAATTCAATTATTTGTACACATGATAATATACAGAAATATTTTCATAATGATATATATTTCAGGTAAATTCGTGCTTTATGCCATTAGAAAATATTTATTTCATAAAAACCATTTTCACCTTTGTATATATTAATATTTCAGGAGCTTTTCACACATATGTAAACTAGATGATAATAATTACATAACTATTTTACACTATTTTATTTTTTGTTTTTCTTCATGGAGATGCAACTTCACACGGGAGTTCTAGTCTTCACCAGCATAACTTATATTCAATAATTTTTATTAATATTTTTCTGCTTTGTCACATTCCGTAATTTACGCCTTTTTTCAGATAATAGGTGACACTAAAATCCATCCAATATTTTTTCACGCTTTTCTTCCACCTTTCAAATATTTCTGCCCACGCTTCATTCTCTGAATGAATAAAATATAATTGGTTTTCGTTAAAATGGAATATGCTAAGATCATTGCTTCATTTCTCACTCATTGCAATCACACTAGTTGATAAAAAAAATGAACCTTTTATGTTCTAAAATATATCACACTTTATGTAAAATAATTATCTACTAAGTAAAAATTCTAAATAAGTACTCATATATTTATAAAAATGTAATGATTTATTTATAACAATTTTTTTTTGTTTTTTCGTCCATTAAGAGGCTTTGCGTAATAAAATGCTCATTATTCTCATGGGGGGATCATCCTAAAAGGAAAAGTTGGAATTCTTGAAATACCCAACTGAAATATATGTTTTGTAGTTCTTAGGAATTATATTCAATCTAGAACAATCTGTTTAGTCTTAGAAACACCTTTCTTTTTCAATTCGTTGTAATGTGAAGTTTTACAAGCCTTCAGTTAGTGTGACATTTGTCTTATGTAAAATTATATGGTCTCTTTACATAAGTTATTATTAACATGTGCTCCCCCTTCAATTTTAAATTTTGTATGTATATCGTCTCTTTCAAATTAATTGTTATTGTAATTAAACTATATTGTAGACAAACCATGAAACAGGCTTTATTAAAACAAGTAGTCTTTTTTTTGGATATAACTTTTCTTTTTCTATAAAAAAAGTTAGGAATAGTTGATTCCACAAAAGGAGGAAACAAGCACAGACTTTTTTTTTTTTTATTCCTTAAAAGGTATCTTGGTACTTGTAATAATAAGATTTTTTCTTCAAATATATATGTATTTATATTAAGTTTTTTTAAAAAAATGATTGAATTTTGCAGTTAATAACATATATATCTATAATATATAATAATTATATACTCCATATACATGTACAATGTAAATGATTACACTGCCTTTTTGATTAATGCAATGTTTACACAAATATGATATTACAATAAGCAATAATGCTTTTAAGTCATGCTTTAATTACATGAACTCAAAAATTCGATAGAAGTAGTTAAATTATGACTTGGTATGAATTAAAATTAATTAATATGTATGTATTTGCTTTAACGGTTAAATTAAATATGTGCAGATTGTACAACAAATATATTACATATTTTAGAATAATTATAAAAAATTAATTATAAAAAAAAAAAAAAAAAAAATGTACATAAAATATTATAATTATATATGTTTCTTGACAAAAACATTATTGTTTTTTTTTTTTTTTTTTTTTTTTTTAAACATATAACAATTCTTAAAAAGAATATACAACAATAATATCTTTTTTAAACACAAATAATATTAATCATACATTTGTTTTATTATTGTAATATTTTATGTAGCAAACATTTTAATGTATTGTATTCACGTTTAAAATATTCATTTTCAAACCAATTAATGAAGTGGGTAAATAATATATTTTACAAAAAATAATATATTCAAACACTATAAAAAATAAGCATATAATTACTTATTATTTTTACATCTTGGAAACAAATAAAAAGGAAAGAAAAAATTAAAATATGGTGAATAATAACTAAATGGAAAAAGTAATGATACATTAACGAATATAATGGTACCGACGTTTAAATAGTTTTTGTCGCTTCTTACTTTTTTTCAGCCTTTTAATATAATATGACGTTAGTACAAATGATAAAGTACTGCATATAATGGGGATTACTACATAATGAAAAGCAGAAAATATTATACCTCCAACAAAAAATACGGTAGAAAGAAAAGGTAACTTTTTTACAAAAGTAGGGTTACCCCTTCCCATGTATTTTTCCAAACGCTTATCACTAATGTAACCTCGACTGGGATGAGACATTACTCTTAAGTCATAAGTTTCATAATCTTTATCAGCTCTATGAGAAACACGATAACTATCATTATAACAATTGTGTCTATTATTCAAAGGTAGTTTATAGTTGTTCTCTAAGAACGATAAATCGTCCTCGTCATCGTAATCACCTTCAAATATATTACAATTATTATTCTCAGAAACTACATAATTGATGTTCTTCATAGATGAATCATCATATGTATCTTCATATGTTGGAAAATCGTTGCGTTCATGTTGTGAATACGCAAAAGTTCCTTTATTTGAGTACCTACTACGTCCACGGCCTGGTAGATTATTATTTAATGAAAAATTTGAATAATACATATCTTCAGATGATGAACTATCATCGTCATCATCGTCGTCGTCAAGAGGTGCATACTGAATATCATCAAATTTTCTGTCATCACTGTCAAAAGATGGAATCTCATGGTAATCAAAGCTTCGCATATTTGTTCTTTCAAATTTTGGTCTATCATCACTTGCAAAGTTTCCCCTATTACTATATTCAAAATTTTCCATACTCCTGAACTCAAAGTTTCGCCTGTTACTATCCTCATATTGTTGTCTAAAATTATCCTCAAATTTATGTCTAATATTATTCCCAAATCTTCGTCTCTTATTACTATCCTCATATTTTTGTCTAAAACTATCCTTAAATTTTTGCCTATAATTATTCTCATGTTTTCGCCTATTATTATCTTCATATCTTTTTCTAATATCATCCTCAAAATTTTGCCTATTCCTATGCCCATATTTTAGATCATTATAATCCTCATGTTTTCTCCTATAAGTATGCTTAATTTGGGGAATCTCATCATCATCATCAGCGGATGAAACATCTGTATCATCATAATGTGAATACCTCGTACTCTGATAATACGGATCCTTATTGCGTTGAAAAAGTACATAGTTGTCATCATAGATAGATTCATAATCTCTATCATATGAGCGTGAATACGAGAAATCTTTTGCATTTCTTCTATTTTCATAGTTATTGCTCCTTTGGGGTCTATAAGAAAAATTTGTATATAACCTATTATTTTCTTTCCTGCATCTTGCATGTTCTGTTAATGTTCTACTAGTTTTTTCATTATATTTAGCTTGTGCTTTAAAATTCTTTTCCCACACGGCACCATAAGTACACTAAAAATTAAAAAAGACAACACGTAAAAAAGTATAACAAAAATCAAAAATATATTTTGTTCTCATTGTTATTCATTTAATTCTTTAAATTTCATTATGAATATTATGAAATGCTACACAAAGGGGTGGGAGGAAATGAAAAAAAAAAAAAAAAAAAAACATCATAAAAATGCATTTGACTATATAGAAAAGTCCCTTACGTTCAAAACGTTAAAAATAACCAGTATCCATATTGAAATAATAAGTAACAAACAAGTTTTAATAAAAATGTTTAACATGTTTTATCAGAAGCATCACTTTATTTTTCAATGTAAACATGTGGACACACAAAAAAGTTAAAAAAAATGAAAATTAAAACTTTTTAATAAAACATAAAATAATTATTCAAGAATGTTATATGATCTTTCATAAATCATATAACATTTTATTAATATTTTTCTCAAATTTTAATATGATGGATAAAAGGTGGTATGAATAGTATTTGGTTCTAAAAGGTTAAAACATAACTGCGTTAAATATAGGCATACAAAACAGAAAATATAAACACTGAAATTAAAAAAAATTGTAGTAATTACAAATTTGTATAATTAACCATAGGTCAAATATAGCTAAGTACTAAACATTTTATATATCACACATGTATATATATGTATGTGCACGTATATGTAATTTGTTAGCTTTTATTAGAAAGAGCAGTTAAAATTGCAATTTTATTTTCTTTCTTTTTAATAATTTTTTTTTTAGCACAAATAGCATAAGTGTTACGTCTCATGCAAACTCTTCAACATTTCAAAAAAAATAAAAAAAAATAGTAAAAATGGACAACACTTAAGCAGAATTTTATCGTTACAACCAAATATTTAAATGTTCAAATGTCTATATAATGGTAGCATGCAGTATTATTTACAAATTCTACTAACAGTAATAAATCTAATACTATTATATTTGTGTTATTATCAAATGCTGTAACATTTTTATAAATGATGAAAAAACATAAACATAGGAAAGAAAGCTTAGATATATAAAACTGTTATAATAATAGAAAACAAATACTTTGTACTGTGCGAATACATAATATTTCAAACATAAAAAAATCAAGGACACATAAGTATTTTATTTTATATGTATTTAAATTATTTTATTTTATTTTATTTTTTTTTTTTTGTTAAGAAATGATTATTATATAAACATTTTCGAAAATATATATAAATGCAAATTACATAGTTTGTTTTATTGTATTTATAAATACATAGTACTATACTGAAATAATTTTATTATGAATAATAAAATTATATATCATTTAACAACAATAAATAGAAAAAAAATGCATATTTTTTGCTTCAACCATTATATTAATTTATGGTTTTCTTTTTTAATTAAAAAAAAAAAAAAAAAAAAAAAAAAAAAAAAAAAAAAAAAAGTGTTTACATAATAAACTTTTTATATGCACTTTACCCACTTATACATACTCGTAATCATATATATATATATTTTTTTTTTTTTTTTCACGCACTAATGTTTTTATATATTCTTGTACTTTTAAAAAATAATTCCAATTCTTACAACACAAAAATTCATACAAATGTATAATTATATATATAATGTACAAAAGTAATCTTCAATCTTTAGATTTTTAGATAGTACTAAATTTCAATGTACGAAAAATGTAGAATGTAATTCTATAAACTAAAAATAGCATAATATTACAATATGTAATATTAAATATATTCATTTTTTACATAATATTTAAATAAAAACTGAAATAAAAAAAATAAAAAAAGGATTTTTGCGAAATAAATTCATCCATTTTGTCAGTAATTTTTGTTAACAAAAAAAACGAATTGCTTCTCCCTTTATAAATGCTATTTATAAAATGCATCATTTATAGACAGGAGTAGCATAATTATATATCTATTTATTATATGATGAAAAAAAAATATATATCACCTTTTACGTAAATGATAGATGGTAATTTATTTCTGGTTTTATTTTTACTATAACGAAAGACATATTTTACCGCTATTCTTATTTCAAGCGAAGACCTGTTTTGTACTCTTAACCCATACCTGTTATTATTAAGCCATTGTATTGAAAGTGGTACAATAATCATTTCTCAAAACGTCATTCGTGAATCAATAGTCTTCTTGTGTTTTTATATTAGTTTCGGATATTTCATGTACATATGTATATATATTTGTGCCACAATATTATCTGAAATGAAAGCATATCAATAGATGTAAATTAAAAATATTTTATTCTCCCCATTAAGCAGTATGCAGAAACTTGTATATATACACTATTTATTTTGTCGAAACTAAATTAATTTACCTAGTATGTGTTTATATCTTTTCTAGCATTTCTTATTAATACATCGTCTCTGCAAATACATAATTTTGAGAAAAAGTATAATATTTTATTTTCAAATTTTTGTTATGGATGTCATAACCACTAACTACTTAATTCTCATGCTCAGGTGTTCAATTATATATATTTTAATATAACAAAAGTCCTTGTGTTTAATCATAAGAATAGATAATTTTTTGCACCCATATTAATCACCACTAAGAATTTTCATATTTTTCTAAGCACATAGTATATATAAAGGTAAGATTGTAGTTATAATGGCACGAACATGTTTCACCAATTTGAAGTTATAATTCATGCGTTTGTAACGAACTCTTTTATTTTTCAAAACATTTAGCCATTTAAAATACATTTTTAAAAGTTTATCCTGAAAATTCTTTAAAAAATTTGTTTTCTCTTGTCTATAAGTTATTATGTTAATGAGAAAAGCTTTAATTCTCTTTTTTAATTTTCACGTTTTTTCATCATTCTGAACATAAAATTATCGCGTCCACAATATTTATCTTAAAATTATGAGCAAAAATAATATAAGAACAATAAAAAAAAAAAAAAAAAACTCTGTACCTACGACGAGGTAACTTAAATGAATTGCACGAACGACACAAATTTAAATGCATATCAAGGTTTCCCTAAATTATTGTTCTACACACATTTCCTGCACACATTAGAATCATATAAAATTAACAAAAGCATATACAATACATATGATTTTACGGATGAGCATTGGGGCCCATTACATTTATATTATGATGCATATATATTTTTTGTTGCATATAAACAATATATTTAGGGAGAAAAAAAATGTTTTCCTATATGTATGTATATAATTTATAATAATGGCAACCACTGTAAAAGAAATATTTTTGTATAAATTTGTGTACCTTTTAAAAAAAAGTATGCATTTCTTTTGATGCCTGTCTTAAATATCTAAAGTACACTTTAATATCTCAAAGAACTAATAAAATTATATGTCTTGCAAAACATAGTATATGCATGCGTACATTATAGCATTAATTAAATATCGAAATATAATTAATATAAAATAGCCGTTCATTGTGTCTATAAACAACTTAAATTTATTCCAACAAAAAAAATGAAATTTTCACAAATAAATATAAGACATATTTGCAACATTTGAACGAGCAGCACAATTATATTAACGTATAAAACAAATAAAGATATGTTGTTCTCATAGCATTAATACTGAGACTAGCAAAAATCCTTGATCCTTATGGGTAGAGGTATGTCGTTCCTCTTGGAATTATTTCTTTTTAGGTATAAAAAATCACCCTCTTTCTAAGTATATATATAGATTATTTATATTTCATCCACATGCATTTCAATTTATGTTGGCATATATTATAAATAATGTATACATGATAAATAAATCTTTTTTTATTAAATCATGTATTTTTTTTTAATGTATCCCCCCAATTAAGCTTAATGTGTGTATTATATTTAACTAATTAATATTAAAATTTAAACATTTGCTTTCTCGTATATATATGAAGAATGAAAAATATTAAACATTTAAAACTAAGAGTTGTTTTAATTCGTTTTTCTTTTTAACTTTTTTTTTTTTTTTTTCTTTTTTTAGTAAGCGTTTTCCCAAAACAGCAGTCTATAAACGTCAAAACAAATTACATTTAAAAAGAACTTGTCTTCTTTTCCTTCTTCCTTCCAGAAAGATGCAGGAAATACAAGAATAAAAATATAAAATAATACACATAATTTACTTATTCATAATTTAAAAATACTTTAGTGTGAAACTAATACATTGCTTTCGACCTGATGCATAGGAACAGATAAATTATGAAATAATCTATTATTCGTTTAAAAAAAAAAAAAAAAGGATTTTACTGTCAAAAAAACTTTTATATAATTTTTATATGATCTTTCTAATATAATAGTTCTAACAAAAAAAAAAAAAAAATCTAAAACATGTGAATCCCCGTTATGTTCAATATAGAATAAAAATACTATATGTAAAAATGTGAGAGGATACACCAAAGATTTATAAAAATAATTTTTCATCCAAGGAATTAGATGAATGTATTGTTATTACACCTATTAAAATATAAATTAAAACATAATGTCTATTTTAATATGTAATTATCAATAATTTAACTGTAATAAATGGCATATGTTCATTCACACTTATATACACTTATTAATTAAAGCCAAGTGCATGAAACACAAACCCTTGATGTGTATTAAATGCAAATGCAAACTAAAGCATGCAATATAATAATATAATGGCAGAAAAAATATTAAAAAAAAATTATGAAAACTCTGCAATATATAAATTTGCTAAACCAGAATTTTCGATTTAAAATGTATAGTAACAAAATATAATAATTTTGAAACTCACAAAAAAATTAATAAAATATATGAGCTCACAAAATCCACACTGTAATTTCTAAAGTGAAATATTTTTATATTCAGCTGGACTCCTTAAACGAACAACATAATTTTATTTATTTATTATTCTTTTATTATTATTTTCCTATTTTTATTTTTTTTTTAATATTTAATTATTATTTTTTTCTCTCATATTTTATTTTATATTATGCTTTTCAACTCAGATAACAATGAACTCACTAGTGCAATTATAAAATATATGAAAAAAATTCTCGTAAAAAACCATAATTACATACTTTTCGTCATTTTTGAAATCACATATTTTAAATCCCAAAAAAAGTTTACCATTTTAAAAATCAAAATTCCCACTAATGTTAAAAAAATTTTATGATATCCATTAGCTAGCAATATAAAGGAACTCACTGTAAGAAAATAAGGAGAAGATAATTCTCTGAATCTATTTAAAAATTTTGAAATACTGTTATTACTACCTAGTTTTATAATATCTTCACATTCTTCCATTTTTTTCCTATGTTCTTCTTCATCTTTGTCTAAATCTGCTGTTTTACGTAAATGTGATTTCAAAGTGGTTTTTATTTTTTCAGAATCCTCATCACTACACCCCATTTTCCTTAAAAAGTTTTCTTTATATAAATCAAATATGGCATCCAATCCAGTTTCTGACTCTGCTAATGATCTATAGACTTCTAAAGGTTTCGCACATCCTTCATTATTCTTGACTTCATTGCACGTATTCTATGAATTATTATGATCGTTAAAGATGAAAAAAAAAAAAAAAAATTATATTTTGCTTTCACATTATAAAAAAAATATCACTGTATAATATACTTGTGTATGTAAGAAATTCTGTAAATGTTTATGCATATATATGTGTACTCCTCCCATAAATTAAGCTCCGTCCAAAGCTACTAAATTTTTCTATAAGCTTACATTTCTACAAAGCTGTATTATACATATTAAAAGAAATAACATCAGAGCTTTAAAAAAGGAAAAGTCATTTATTTTAGCTTGGATAATATCCTCTTTTTTTATTATATTCTCATTTTTGCCCCTGCAACTTAGAACTTTATTTTTTGTAGATTTTACATATGTACTAATATTCCACGTTTTAAAAGTTGTTAATACCATTTTGCATCTTTTACAATTTTAATGGTTAAAATTCTAAAATATTAAAAATAGATGTAAAAGGAATTACAATTACTTACATCTATTAATAAAAAAAATAATAATGTAAACTACTTTTGCTTACATCTGTTTGCAAGAAAATGTTTCTATTTATGCTTAGGCAACATGCTTAAGTTCTAACGATAATGTAATAAAAATTAAAGTGGCTAACAAATAATTGCTTAATTAAATTTATTCATTATTTAATCATACATAATGGTAATAATGTATATATTTTTATGTTTTTATTTATTTATTTTTTACAAAAATTAAAATATTTAAAAATTTTATTTAAAATTTTTAAATGTAGGCAAAAAAAAAAAAAAAAAAAAAGAATTTTTTTTCGTCCAGTAATATATTAAGATATTTTTATTTAAGCACAAAAGGGATCCCACAAATGTCGCATAATTATATTTCTGTGCTTAATAACATATTTTATAAAATTCTCAATAAATTATGTTATACATAAGGTAAAAATATTCAGAAGAACAAAATAAAAATAAACTAGCTTTATTCTATAACTTAGATGTTATATAATACAATTTAAGAAATAAAATATTTGGTACAAACAAACATACCTTAAGAATATTTTTATTATGATATGGTGAAAATGTTTTATTTTTTTTCATTCCAAAAAACGAAATATAACATCATGTAAAATGTGTAAAATTTGAGATTTAAGGATATTTACTTTTAAAATAAATTATGATCTATTTTATATTTTAACTTTGTAAAATTAAATAAAGTTCATAAAAGGAAAAAAGTTTGTTAAAATTTTCTCGTTCCTCATTTTATAACATTTTAACAGTTGTAATGACAAAGGATTTTCTACGAGTATTTAAGAATATAGTGCAAATTCATACATAACATCTATAGAGACAAATAAATTTCGATGTTCAGAATTTATGAAAGTGTGACCTTTTCTCTATTTCCGTCTATGATTCATAAAATCTTTTTAGCAAATATTTAGAGAAATACAACACATATGCGTATATATAAATGTGTCTATGATGTTTTGATATTTAAATATTATTTACTCTAATTCTGTAATTATCCAGTTCAATTTTGGAAAAAATATAGACATACATGTGTACAAAATGTATAGTATTTTTTTATTTTTTTTCTTACAAGCTATATATGACACACATATTATCCTTTATCCGTCTCATGAGTCGCTATAAGGAATATAACTATTTTCATTTCCTAATCAAAGTTTATATTAAATAATTTCATAAAATATAATAAATTATTTTTTGCTGCACATACTGTGGAAAATTATTTTTTTGAAATATTCTGCATCCCTGCGTTGGTCAATGTGGAAGAAGTTAGTGATAAAAACTACTTTTTCAAAAAAAATTGTATCCTTACTATACTTTTCAAAAATCTAATTCACGGAATCAATTTAGGCTAAATATTATTAAGCAAAAAATTCTCAAAAAAAAAAAAAAAAAAGAAAAAATTTTTATATAATGATCATTTTTGATAATTCAAAAAAGTATGCATTTTCTCTACGTTTAATCGAAAAACCAAAAAAACACAAGAAAAAAAAAAAAAAAAATGTATGCACTAACGCACGTAAGCATACATATATATTAAAAGATTTAATTAGAGAATATGTTTTATCCTAAAGCTATGAACTAAAGCATTTTTTAAAATATAAAAGAAAGCATAAAACATAATACAGAGACATGAAATGCACAACTTCAAAAATTTGGTAGTAAGTCTCCATACACATTAAAAAATCAATTCATGTATAGAATATCTCTCCCAAAAAAGGCCAGAGTGAGCTTACGTACGGTGGAATTTCATATATAAATCATGTATACATATAAATATACATATATTCAAGTTACAAATACTATGGCATCTAAAATATTACTACTTTTATCATAATGCTCCACACACTATGTACTATTCAAAACTATAAAGTTTTATTGTTATTAGTATAAGCATTAGAATATACAATAATGTTACAATAATTAAATACATGTAATGCTTTGTATGTATAACATGACTTACAATTTAAAGATATATATATATATTTTTTTTTTCTTCGTTAATATAGCATTGCATGCTAAACTTCAAATGATCCAATATTGTAAATGGATTTATTTTTAATTTTCACATGAATTAAGTGAAAATAATTTTTTTTTTTAAAATTACGCGAATTTTAATTTTTTATTTAAGCTTTCTAATTCCCAAAATAAATTTAGCATTATAATTATTCCCATAACGAAAAATAAATATTTAGACTTAAAATACATAAGAGTAAATATAAGAAATGTCACACACGTAAGCTTATAGTTTATAACGAAATTTATAAACGAATTTAAAATTCCTTCAGATTTTAAATTGTTTTTTTCTTTACTTGTTTCTTCACATTTTTCTTCTGAAAGGTTATTTAATTCTCCATTTTCCCCTGCACATAGATTTGAATCTTGTTGATTTGTGCTTTTCCATTTTATTTCATCGAAATAAGATTTCACAGAAGATCTAATTGTTTTGCATTCTTCTTCATTACATCCCAATTTTTCTAAAACATTTTTTTTAAATGTCTCATACACTTCATCGAAATCCATTTTGGGCTCTGCTAATCTTCTATTTGTCCTTGCACATATTGTTGTTACTCCTTGCATTGAACTGTCCTTTATGGCGCCGTTGAGGTTACTCTAAATATTATTATAGTTATTCAGAAAGAAAAAATATATATATGATACTTTTATGTTCACGTGAACATGCTTAAGAGTTGCATATAGACATATGTATATAATAAAATAAAAGCAAAAAATTTAAAACTGTGCTATTAGCTTTTACCTCATTTGAGCGTTCTATAATCCATTTGAATAGGGCAAATATGAAAAATTTTAAAATAATAAGAGAACTTATTCTTTTTCTAGAATGTTTTTCTTTCAACCTTTCAACATTGTCATTTTCGTTTCTTTTAACTATATTTTGCATGTTTTTCTCATAGGTAGTTATCAAATTTGGTGTCATATAACTTGAATTCATTATGTACTTTTTTTTTTTCTAAGTATCACGAAATAACAAAAAAAATTCAATAAATAGTATAATAATAAAAAAAAAAAATACATATATATTTACTTATGTAATTTATCCATGGTCATTCCTATTCTTTCATTATATTTTAGGCTTCTTTTTCTTTCAGAAAAAAAAAAAAAAAAGAAATGAAAAAAAATAAAAAAATAATAATATATATATTTATATGAATAAAATAGGTGTATTTTTAAGAATAAAAAAATATTAAAATTACAATCATAAAATAAAAATATCATTAACCCATTTTAGCTTCTCACTATATTTAATTATTATATTAAATAATATTAGAAAGAATTATAAATTTCTTTTTATATTAAATAGAAATATAAAATTACAAAGTCCATCCACAAAATTAATCAAACTTTTTTAAATAAAAAAGAAAAATATAAAGTGAGAAATACTTCAACCATTATGTATACTAGACTTGTATAATAGATACATAAATATACAGTTTTCTTAACAGATTTTCAGAATAATCAAATAAAAAGGACATTCCTGTTATTTCATTTTTGTAATTGCATAATAAATGAAAAAATAAAAGATGATAACTGAACCATAAAAACAGAACATAACTAAGTGTTTATCCACATAAAATATTTTTGTTTCCAATTAAGAATATTATACTATCTATATATATTTTTTTTTTAATCATCTAAATGTAGATAACATTATCACAATATGTAGATATATCTTCAACTTTTTTTTTTTACCCCCGCCCCCTCGCCCACACGTCATTATAAATAGAATTTATGTATGTTCTCATTATTTATAAGTGTTTCCAAAAACTAATGTTATATATTTTATGATATTTTCTATGTGATGGTAGTCAACTGCGTGAAACATGGATCCTGTTCTAACCCTTGTATATTGCAATGATGTGTAAAAGGTATTCGATCCTATATTCATATGCACGCCTTAAAAATGACAGCCGAAAAAATTCGTGAGGAAAAAAAAAAAAAAAGTGCTATGTAATGAGTATTTTTGAATGCAAAATTATTTTTAATTATTACAAAAAAGGGAAAATCAAATTCACGGTACGGTAGAATAGCACGTATAGCAAAAATGATCATGTATATATTATATATATACATATTGACAAAAAGAGGACCGCTTTATTAAAATGAATATTATTTAATACATGAGTATTTAGCTGTATATGTAAGGTCTCCTTACCATTTCATAAGTAAAGAATGGAAATACAAAAACTAACTGATGTAAAAATTATTTTTTCCTTTATTTCTTCCCCACCGCTTTGGTTACGCAACCCCGGTGGAAGATGATTTTGCAGTTTTCTCAGCGCAGAACAATTTCAAATTAGACCATTTCATTTCTTCATAATAATTAAAAAAAATGTTTAATGATTTAAATAGGAGCATGCTTAAAAATACACTAATTTTATGTTAAACATAAAATTAATTTATTAATGCACAAACTTTTTCATCTCCCGTTATAAAAAAAGGCCATTTATATAAGGCAAAATATATAAGTGGTTATGAAAATGACACTTTCAGCATGCTAAGATTCCTTAAAAGTGTTTTCACAATGGATTTTAGACAGATTTAATGGGTATGTTTTTGTTATCAAAATCATTATATTTATTCAGTAATACAAGAAAAATTATTTTATTCATTTTTTATGTTAACACAAAAGTTTCATTCTGATATTTAGTTCAAAATAAATATAGAAATGGAAACATTTAACAAGCACTTTTTTATAAATTACAAAAGTGTATATGTGTAATACATACGCGATTTGTATTTACACAATTCTATATGTTCAAAGTTTATATTTTATAAGATTTTAAATAAGGGATATATAAATATTAAGTAATACTTGTTTTATACACGTTTTCATAGTTTAATTGCAACACACTTGGGTTACTCATAAATGTTAAAAAATAAGGATTCATTGAAGGATTGTTATCCGACATATGCATTAAAATTTCTATGTGATACAAAAAAAAAAAAAAATAAAATAAAATAAATCTGATATAAAAACTTTTTAAAAAGGCTAATTAAAAATGTTTTCTTATTCTACAATTTTTATATGTTCAAATTTACACATACCAAAAAAAAAAAAAAAAAATATTATTTTATATAAAATTAAAAGCATTATAATATTAAAATTTTTTTTTTTTTTTTTATCATTGTGGGGGCTACGTTATAACTTCATCATCATTATAGATGTCAACTAATATTACATAACTCCCTTCTCATGCATTCACTTAAAGATTCACATTTCTAATCTGTTCATACGTAAAAGAAATAATAATTTTGTTCTAATATATATATTTATTTTTTTGAAGGAAAAAACATATCATGCATATTTTTGAGACCCCAAATAAAATTAAATACTTTCAAAAATAATATTGAAAATAAGGAAAAAGAAATTTTATACTGCCCGAAAACTGCTGATATAAGTGAACTCGCTATAATGAACGAGAAAGACCACAAGAAATTGAAGAAGTTAAGGTATTGAAAAACGGGACCACTCATAGAATTAGTACATGGTGATATTATATTTGTTTTATGTTCTTTCTTTCCATTTTGTTCCTCTTCCGTTACTTGACCATCATGAGCAGAATTCGTAGAACCCTCCTTTTTTCCTTCTTTATTCACATGTGATTCTATTCCTTGATTAAAATTTGGGCATGGTGGTTTAATCATACATGCATTTGGAAGAGGAAACATTCCGGGATTCATTGGTGGGAATGCACCAGGTCTTATAGGTGGACATTGAGATATACCACATGGGCTTTGTTGAAATTGTTGAGCTAAGGCAGACAAATCTATTTTATCGAAATATGATTTCATCATGGTTTTAATTTGCCCCTTCTGTGCGTCATCACATCCCATTTTATCCAAAAAACTACTTTGATACATATCGAATACTTCATCAAATTCAACAATTGGTTGTCCTAATAATCTATTGTGTATCAAACCACTAGCTTTTTCATTGCTGTAGTATCTCTTTGTTTCTCCACTAGAATGCTGTAAAAATTGTTAAAAGAATTCAAAAAAGATATAAAAAAAAAAAAAAAAAAGGGAGATTTTTACATATTCTATTTATAGTTATGTCTGTCACTTATATACACTAAGACATGCAATTATTCATGCAGAAAACATTGTCGCACACAGACATAATTATTGTCTTAATATGCAATAAGTTTGTTATCAATCTGCTTTTTGAAACATTTAATTTGTGTGTGTGACTTACCACGTTCGAACATTCTATTATCCATAATAAAAGAGAAAAGCCCACAATTTTACAAACACCAATGGTACTCATTATTTTACTTGTGCAATTATCATTCTTTGTTTTTGCATCATTATTATTAAAAGGGCTCGCTACATATTTTGCTCGATTCGCACATATGGAATCACCCTTTTTTGATTTATTTAAAAACATTTTCTTCGTTTTTTTTTTTTTGTTAATTTTATGGGTAAATGTAATACAAGTATACTTATACCTTTAATTATGTATAAATGCGTTTGAAAATATAATTACAAGTACTAGATATGTAACAAGAAGGTTATAGTCAACTATACTTCTTACTTTGTTTTATTGTATTTACATATACAAAAGTAAACATGTACGTACATATATACATACTCATAAAGATAATATTGCATTTATATTTTGGTAGTATAAATACGTAAAAACACAAATAGAATTTGTTAAAACAAATGTTTTGGGAATTATAAAAGTCTGTTAATTTGAAATGGATTTATCAATAGTTCATATATATATATATATATATATATATATATATATATATATATAACTAGCCTTCTAAGCAAAATAATAACATTTAAATGTAATATGTCAATCTAAATCAAAAACAACGACAAAAAAAAAAAAAAAAAAAAGAGGAGTATTTTAACAGAAAAATCAATGTCTTGCAAACAGAAAAATTCTATAAAAATAAAAATAATTTTTTATTTAAAATTCAAAAAAATGTCACTTATTAAAAAAAAAAAATGAGGCGGCAATTTATTTTGCAATTCTATATATAACAGATACAATACTACGAATAAAAATTAATAAAATAAAAAAACTAGGGTTTAAATATATAAAGTATGAACATACATTAGATGAAAAAGTTTTTTTATCACAATTTATATTATAAAACAACCTTAATTGTTATTTTAAAACGATAAATCTAACATTATCAATAAAAGTCATGTACTTGTTATTATCGGAGAAAAATCATTAATCTTGAATTAGGTATAGTTATAATTTTTGTTCATATATATTTTTTTCATTTATTTATTGCTAAAAAGTATTCTAAATAAAATTATTTATGCCGTAAAGAACGCAATTTTATATGTCATAAAGGAATGAGGTAATAATGCATTTTATTTTTCAACACTATATATAATAACATATGTTAATATATATAAAAGTTTAAAATAAAAGGGATACGTGAATTACATATTTTTTTTTTTTTAGTACTTAAATATTTTATTGCATTAAGATTAATTAAAAAAAAATTGTATGAAAAGTGAAAAAATAACCGTTTTATTATTACAAATGTGAATCCGACATCGTTAAACAACAAGTACGCAATAACAAATAAATACATGCATTTTATCTTATAAATCCTTTTCATTTGTAAGAATATAAATTCCTTCCCCTATAATAAATAGTACATAGAGGTTTTATTTAAATTATGCATTACGAAATATATATTATAGAATTGAAACATAACAATGACACAATATAATATATATTCATATATTTTTACAGCAGTCAGGTTTAAACTGCATCAATATAAAAATAAACGTCGTACTATAAAAAGCAAATGCACAAAAACAAACCCTATTTTATTGTTGCAATAATATTTTATAACTATAAATTATGAGTAATAATATTAGACAAAATGGCATAAAATATCATTAAATATATATCATAGAAAATATCACTACTTCATATTTTGTTGTTAATGAATCGAAATCTAAAACTGTACTAGGTTAACATAAATCCCTTAACATATTTATTTTAAATTTTATGCATATCACCATAATTTTCATTATCCTCCCTATTACATATTAGGTTTAGTTACATAAGCTAAATGTGATAAATCCCAAAATTAAGGATATTTTTTTTTTTTTTTCCGGCATTCTAAAAATATTATGTATATATTGTTGTATTATAATACGTACAATTGATCCTGTTTTAGTGCAGTTGAATTTCCCCTTTTTGATGTAAAATGCGGAATTCACATTTTAAAGTTATTACGTTTTTAAAATTTAGTACTCTTTAAATTTTAAGTAGTGTAATCCATTTAAAAAGTTAATTCAGTTTATATAATGTTTCCTTGTTTTATAGTGTATAGAGATATTCAATTAAGTGCACTTTTTTTTTTTTTTTTTCCCACCTCCCCCTATGGGTTGCAATTTTCAGCTTGTGTAAAAATGTTGGTTTATAAAATTCCTAGAACAAATTACCTTTTAATTTAAGTTCTCCATTTGTCTTGCCCATAATATAAAAGTTAAGAAGTTTATTAATATTTAGTGATATAATAGATAAAAAAAAAAAAAAAAAAAAAGAGGTTCATTCATTGTTTTATTATTGTGAGGAAAAAATTATTCTAATTAATAAAAATTTTAATCCGTCTTCTTTGTCTGGTCTTTGTAGAAAGTAGGTAAGAAATGGTAAATGCAGAATCATTTACAAAATGAGAAGTGATTTAAAAACACCCACAAATATATACATAAATACGTACAATATAGTAGAATATAACAAATGTTTTGTTCAAAAAAAGTTTAATAATATGTCAGAGTTTTTAAAACATTGTACGTGTGCAATAAAAATCAGTTTATTTTGGCTACATAAAAACTGAAAACATACGTTTTTATATTTACTCTAAAAAGTTTAAAAAAAAAAAAAAAAAAAAATATAATGTGACATAATATAACATAGTATATATAATATATATAATTTTTTGTGATATATACATATATTACAAGGTAAATTGTTTAAAAAATTAATATATAAAGACTATTTGTAAAACAGGTATTTTATTATCATTTGAAAGCTTCATAATTTTTAAGTGATAAAACATGTATTTATATTAAACAAAAAACAGTTAAAAAAAAAAAAAAAAAAAACATTTATTTCTTCAAATTGTTACACAACACAAATGAGGAAAAACATACCACATATAGATGTGTGCATGCATACATATTAAATAATAGTTTAACGAAACATGTTATATTTTTTATAAAATTCTGTTCAGAAAAATACATCATTCATAATATAAAAGTAGGAATTTGACTTCAAATTCTCAAAAAAGTTGAATATCTAAGAATATCCTTATGATTGAAAAAAGTATATCTTCGTGTTCCAACTTTTAACACGAAAATATAATCATGTTATTATTCCATAAGATTTTACTTATTTTCTGTCTCTGCATCTGCTAATCTGTATTTCCACTAATTAATATATTTTTATAAATATAAATATTTTTTTTGATTCTTTTAATTGATAACATAAATAAAATTATGTTCTTAAAAAAGGGTTCCTTTTTTACGTAAATTGTTAAAGATGCTTTTCATTTCCCTAAATAAATTTAGCCCTATAATAAATACCATAGCATATACAAAATATTTAATCTCATAATAAGCAAGTCCAATTAAAAATGCTGTATTTACTGCAAATCTTGTATTAATACCAAAAAAATTTAATACATTCATGTAATTTGCAAGTGCACTAGTTTTTTCATATTTTATCACTGGTGGATGAAATATGAAATCCTTAACAGGAGCATCATTATCACTTATATTTACACAAGGTTCAGGTTTTTCTTGATGTGCTGGCTGCTGTACATCATCAAGGCTTTCAAGTGCATCTACAAATACTTCATCATTATCTTCCGATACATCAGCACTTACTTCCTCCTTTTTCTCTTCCTTTACTTTCTCAGCAGATGCTTCTTTTTTCTTCTCTTCTATGCTTTCTGATGCATCCTGAAATGACTCATTCTTTTCTTCCTTATTTCCTTCAATTGCATTATCCTTTTTTTCGTTTTCTTTTTCACTGTTATTTTTCTGTTCTTTAGGTGCACCACAATTTCCTTGAAAACAACTTGCATTCTTCTGAATTTCCTGAAATAAATTTACATTTTTTTGTAGCTGTTCTAAGAAATCTAAATTTGGAACAAATGGTGGAGGCCCAACAGGGTTTGGGCATGGACCTGCTCCAGGTGGTCCAAATAGGTCAAGGAATGGTGGCAGAGGAGGAAATGGTCCAGGCATTCCAAAACTTGGACCTGGTACAGCTCCTGCATCTAACATTGAACTTGTTCCAGGTTTAGGTACTCCATCATTAAACATTGAGCTTGTTCCAGGTTTGGTTTCTCCATCATTAAACATTGAGCTTGTTCCAGGTTTGGTTTCTCCATCATTAAACATTGAGCTTGTTCCAGGTTTAGGTACTCCATCATTAAACATTGAGCTTGTTCCTGGTTTAGGTTCTCCATCATTAAACATTGAACTTGTTCCAGGTTTGGTTTCTCCATCATTAAACATTGAGCTTGTTCCAGGTTTTGCTTCTTCATCATTAAACATTGAACTTGTTCCAGGTTTGGTTTCTCCATCATTAAACATTGAGCTTGTTCCAGGTTTTGCTTCTTCATCATTAAACATTGAACTTGTTCCAGGTTTGGTTTCTCCATCATTAAACATTGAGCTTGTTCCAGGTTTTGCTTCTCCATCATTAAACATTGAGCTTGTTCCAGGATGAGGTTCTCCAGTTAAATTTGGGGGAAGTACTGGTGGGAATGGCATAAACATATTTGGATTATTTTGAAAATTTTCAAACATATGGGGAGGTGGTGCGAACTTTTCTAACACACTAGGTGGGAGACTAAGTTTTTCTAATACATCAGGAGGAGGTGCAAATTGCTCGACTAAATTGGGTGGCAATTGGAACTGTCCAGGCATACCAGGGTTTTGCGCTAATTGTTGAAACATAGCTGGATTCTCTTTAATCTGCTTTTCTAAACTAGATATATCTAAATTATTAAAAAATGTATGCATGGCATCTTTAATTTGGTTTTGTTCCTCATCTTGTAATCCCATTTTGTCTAAAAAAGTATCTTTAAATGAACTAAACACCGAGTCGAATTCTATTTTGGGTTGCTCTGCTAAAAATCTACCATTTCTTGATATTATCCATCTTCCCTGGTTTTGTGCACCATTTGAACCTTTATAGAACCCATCCTGTAAAACAATGTGGTTAAATTTGAATAAATAAAAATGTATTTTCTCTTGCATCCATTATTAATGCAGACAATATGCACATATATATTATGCATATGGAACGAACATACATAGAAACATATAACAAGACACAAGATAACGAATATACACATAACTCAGGTGTTTCTACATGGATCTTACATTGTTTGAACACTGTCTTATCCATACTAAAAAGATTAATATTGAACTTCTTAAAATGGGACTAAAAACACTACTTTTTTTTTCCTTTGTATACTTTTTTTTTCCTTTTTCCATATTTGTATAGCTGATATGAAAAGCTTTAAAGTAAATATCACTGCTAATATTCTAAGCACCGGTTGGTATAATATGATGAACAGAATTATAACTATACTATGTTAAAATACATACAATATACAACACTATTCTTTGTTTTGATCAAACCTATTCTTCTAATTCCTTCGCGTTTTGTTTATATAATATAATTTTGCGACTTATTATTCGATATATATAAATATAAGAACGAAAAAATAAAATTTATATTGTAAAAAAAAAAATGGAATCATGAAATCATTGCTAAAAAGTTGTTAGGCATACAAAATCAATTTGTAGAAAAAATTAAATACTTTTTTTACTACTAATAAAATCAAAATCTATATTTCTCTATTTCTTGTGTATATAAATAGATTAATAAAAAAAAAAAAAGGAAAGAAACAGAAAAAAGCATAAATATAATATGCTGAAAATTTTTTTTACGTAAGTTTATAAAAAGAAAAAAAAAAAAAAAAAAGAGTATATTTAAAAACAAAATTATTATTTTTTGAATCGTAAAAAATAGGATGAAAAAGAAGAAAAAGAATATTTTTTTATTAATTCTTAAAAATTCTATAATAATTGTTATATATATATATATGCATTACAAAAATTATGTTGTTTTGCCGGTGTTTTTATTATTTATTTTTATAAATTGTACAGCAAATAAATTCGTATGTTGTATTGCAGTATATATACATATATAACGGAATAATAGACCCCTTGTTGCCTTCTATTTATTATTAATTATTTATTTTGCCTATGTTTTATTCTCATAGTTATAATATATAATAAAATATTAATTTAATATACGAAAAAATAATGTAAATAAATGCAGTGCTTATTATAAAGAAAAATGATTTAAACGTATACATTCAAATAAATCACTAAATTTTTATAATAAAAAATTGTACAAAAATGTTATATCTTTATAATACTTAGGGCGCATTTAAATAATTTTACTGTGCGGGTAAATGAATTATGTTATTTTTATCTAATTTTTTTTTTTTTTTTTTTTTTTTTTTTTGTTTATGGATGGTCCATAAAAAAACTAGTCCTTATTTTATAAGGTTTCCAAGGATTAAAACAATAGGAGAGCGTGATAAGTATCAAATGCATTATTTTTTTTCAAGAATTAACTTAAGAAATTGGACAATCTAAATTAGAAAAATTATACAAGTAGTAGTATTCTCAATTATTATACTGCCCCCAAACATAAAATAAAATAGAACAGAATCTACATTTGCTGTATAAAAATTACCTATATTTATGGAACATGAATTTACCCCCAATGATTTCGAGTAAATAATGAAAACTCACAGTATCTCTTTTGAAAGGACAATATATAATACAAAGCTAAAAATAAAGAAAAAGAGCGTAGCCTGCCTTTTCGTAAAAAAAAAAAAATTGAAAAAAAATACGCTCTTTTATAAAAGAAAGTTAGGCGAATGTTTTAAAAATTGAAGAATATAAATATACATACAAAAATAGTAAAAAAAATTTGTTTAATATTTCATTTTTATTTTTGATCCTTTTTGTACTTAATGCTGCACAATTTTTTCTAAACCCAAAATACCGAAGTACAACGAAAAAAACATTTATTCTATATATTACAGTTGTGCCACCTCGTAATTATATTTACATTACTGTTCATTTTTGTTGTTCTTGTCAACAAAAATTGGAGAAAAAAAAAATTAAAATTATATGATTAAAGTTATATAACTTAAGTAGTTATACTATTATATTAGCAAATATAACAATGGACGTTTTTTCCATAAAACATATACAATCACGAAAGCAAAAAGCAATTTTATTCTTATGTTCAGTTGACAATTAAAATGATATGTAACATACTGAACAACATTAGGTCCATTGTCCCACTTAAAAATAATGTGCAGTGTAAAGGAGTATTTTTCGTCAATTTTCGTCAATTTTCGTCAATTTTCGTCAATTTTCGTCAATTTTCGTCAATTTTCGTCAATTTTCGTCAATTTTCGTCAATTTTTGTCAATTTTCGTCAATTTTTGTCAATTTTTGTCAATTTTTTGCTTTCTTTTTTTCTCTTAATATGCTTATTGATAAAATGATAATAACATATTTTTCAATGATTATGCTAATTAGAAGTGCTTAGGTAAAAGTTTTTATACTAAAAAAGTAAGATTTGTAATTTAAGATATACAGCACATTTACTATTGTTCTAGATATATGTTGTAAAGACCACGAGCACTAAAAAGCGATCTCTTTAATAAAACAAAGTAGCAATTTAACGTAAGCGTTTATTAGCTCACCATGTGTTTACTTTAATGCATCTGTGTTTTATAAAAAATAGAATTCGTAAATGATGCAAAAAGAATAAATAATAACTCTACAACCACCCATGGATGAACATATGAGTGATAGTAGTTGTTATATAAATAAATATTTACATATATACAACTTCAATGCCGATTATGTCTCGTTTATAAAAAAAGACTCGTATAACTCTATACCCTCACACCTTTTTTACTATTTTTCAGAAGAAAGCTACATTTTTTTTTTTTTTTTTTTTATCGTACAACACAAAGTACCAAAACCTTACAGAAAATTCATCATCATTTTTTTTGACAAATGTTTCTAATTAAAATAAAAAAAAAGTTAAGCAAATACATATGTCATATGATATACTATAAAATTTGTTCCCTATTTGTTTATTTTATTGGATCATTATTATGATTACATACATATATATATATGCATTTATATATAAACTAAATTATAAAGGATATAGTTTCTTACACAAGTAGTAGTATCTACTATCACCTTATGCTACCACCACCCCACGTCCTTCTAGATAATTTGTCCACAAAAAGAATGTTTTCAAAATATTCTCATCAGCATAGGGCTTCTTGTTATATAAAAAATAATATAGCGCCAATTCATTATTGATTTAAAAAAAAAAAAACAAAATTTTAACCCCTGTAGCAAATATTTAGTAGCATATACAGTTAAAATGCAAAACAATAATAAATAATGTTTTAAATTAATAAATCGTAAAATGTTCTAAATAAATCTGTTTTATTCTTTAACCCCAATTAATCTGCCTAATATTTTTTCCCCTTTAAAAAAATAAATTCTTAATTAACTATTTAATAATGCTACATGCACTTTTCTTCTTTTATTTAAAAATGGTGTTTTTTTACATCCATATATTTAAATTCACCATATTAAATAAGTAAATAATATTATGCACAAGTATTCTACAAAAATACATGCAACACCACATATCATAAAGCTCATTCTATTCAAATACAATGAATAATGTATTTTATGTCCTGCATTTTAGTAGAAGTTTTATAAAAATATAGTTATTACTACCCTTAAAAATCAAAGAAAAATTGATAGCATTCGTATAATTGAAACAAACTTTACATATTGTATTCTGATGTAGTCAAAATAAATTCTGATGAACATATATTTATGTCTTAACCAAAGCGTATAAAAAAAAAAAATAAATAAAAAAATAAATAAAATAATAAAATGAAATAAAATATATGAAAAGCAAATATATTAACAAAACATATATGAAAAAAACAAATATTAACAAAACAAGTATTAGCGAAACATATATTGACAAAATAAATATTTACAAAATAGATGCTAACAAAATAAATATTTACAAAATAGATGTTAACAAAATAAATGCTAACAAAATAAATGCTAACAAAATAAATACTAACAAAATAAATGTTTACAAAATAAATGTTAACAAAATAAATGAGAAAAATAAAAAGTGTGAGCAAAATACATTTTATACATATATATTGTTTTAAATATATTTATTTATATGATTTTTTTTAATTTTACTTTTTTTAAAAACGTTTTATTTTTTATCAAAAAAAAAAAAGAATTCTTTTTTTCTTTTTTCACGTGCTACAAAAATAGGTTCAAGGATGGTAAACAAACTACAAACTAAATCTTGGAGCATAAGAAGCTTTCTTCTAAAGGTAAAAATTTAATTAATAAAAAATTTTCAATTTTATCAAATATTAAACAAGTTATCATTATTTTATGTAACCCACTTTTTTTTGTAAATTATATTAAAAAAATAATTTTTCACTTTTGTATAAAAGTCGTGTACTATATTTTTTCTTTTACTCTTTTAGTCAATATATTATATATTTCTGTATACGTCAATAATTATTCTATTGCTCAACATCCAAGTTATCAAAATGTGAAATGTGCAATACAAATTACATGAATATAGTATTCATATATAATTAGATCTATTTATTATCTATACATATCCCGAGAATAAGTAATTCACATGTCCATGTATGAATTTTTAGAACCTTGTATTATATATAACAATTTACATGATAACTAAATATTTTACGATTTTTTTTTTCTTCTATATTCAATATTTTTTTATGCACAGTTATATATGTTACTAATTGTTATTTTGTTTTGTTTTTTTTTAAATTATAAATAGAAATTGATTCATTATAAATAAAGTACATTTTGCACATAATATCGTTATCTTTGGTATAGGCTTATCCGCACCTCAAAGTTAAATAGATTTTATATATATGCACCTAAATCTGTGTATATATAATATGTAAATTTTATACTAGAGAAAGTTGAAGAAATTATAAATAATATAGTATTATTTTTGTACAATTGTGAACAGATTTAAACGTTCTTTTGTTATATATTATTCAAGTATTAAGACGACACACATATGTTGCAAAATATGCAAGAGACATTATTATTAACTTTTTTTATAAGCATATAAATCTGATTTATTAAATTCTGTTATATATTGTTTTTTTACTTTTAACAACAACTCTCGATACTCATGCTTTTTTTTGATGTGGAATTCAGCGAAATAGGAAAAGTGAAATCTGTAAAAATATTTTACACACATATATATATTGAATTTTATTAATTTTACGTGAACAACAAAAGTTTTTATTATTTCTTCTCAAGTGCAAGCGTTTTTTTCATAATTAAAAAAAAATTCTTTGAAAAGATATATAAAAAAAAAAAAAAAACCTAATTAGTAGAAAAATGGAAGACCAAATAACATTAGACGAACCACAAATTAGCGAAATCGTCACCATTCCTGCAGATTTCAATAAATGGAAAACTCAGATAATATCCGACTTTATTAGTAATTTTAATGATTTAAATAGTGCAAGTAAACCAAGATGTAAAGGCATATATAGGAACTTAAACTATTGGTTAGATGACAATCGTGATGATTTTGTTTTAAATAAGGCTGCATTATTTGGTATAAATTCCCCTGAGGATATATGGCTGAAAGAGATCGAAGAACCATTAGTGAAGAAGATTGAATCATTGGATTATTTATCATTATTTAAAAGAGCTCCTTATAAATTTCCAAAAAATCTAAGAGATGTATTAGGTGAAGTAGAAGAATTTTTAGATGAAAGAGATATATATGTGCAAGAACTGAACATAGATTGTAAGTCAAATGATTATTTAATGTTTAAAGAATGGATAAATGAAAAAAAAGATTACTTGACAAGTCACGCCGATTGGCACTTGGTAGAAAAGAGTAAAGAAGATATTCCCTCCTCATTGAAATCAAGATTCGATGTAGACAATGTGTTTAATTCTGAATACTATTGCAGTGAGACTTACATGCGCAACAATGGTTTAATGAATAGTGCAGCATTAAAGGGTGCACAACCAGTTACTTTTGTAAATAAGGACCTTTCTGCAATACTCACTAAAGATTTCTGGGCTAATTTTCCTCAAAGTCTGATACATTCTAATAAGTTAATAACTCTCGGTTTCATTGTTTTTCAAATTTTTTTATTAGTTTTCGTTTTTAAAAAGGTAAGGAAAGTGCAAAATTTTATTTACTCAAAAAAGAAAAAAAAACCAAAAAAAAATGGATAATATATTAGCATATTGCTCCTTTGGAGCCATATTATTTTTACAATGTTTAGAAAAGCTTGATAGTTTCGATCCGTTTATTCACAAATATATTTTTTTGTATTTATATATATGTATATATTTAAGTATGTGCATATATTTAAATATTATGTATAATCTACACTTGCAAATTTGTAACATTAAAACTAACCTAACTTTTAAATTCCTAATTCTCACACTAATACACAGATCTTTCCAAGTGATTCTTCTTCGGGTAAAAAAAAAGGATTCTTTGATGATGATGATGATGACGAAGAAGAATATATTAATTTGGATAGTTCAATAGATCCAGCATTACTTAAAAAGGGTAATAGATCCAAAAACGAATACTATGCGTTTTATCCTGTTAAACCAAAGAAAGCAAAAGATTCTGGAAGTAGTGACGATCAAAAGGAAGGTGAATCAACAAGTTCATCAGATAATGAAGATGGTGTAGATAAAACAAAAAGTGAAAATATACCTGATCAAATTGATCTAGATAATTTAAAGAAAAAAAATACTTACGTATTCCCAAATGAAAACAATGATGGATTGATTATAATAGATGTTTTCGTCCCATTGCATAATACTGGAGATGTTGTAGAATTAACAAAAGAAGAAGTTTTAGATGTTTGTAAGGAACTTTTTAAAAATAAAATTAAAAATAAAGTAGAATTAACTGATGATGATAAAGAATTAGTCAAAAATGGTAAGAAGTACGTTGTTTTATAATAAACTTGACATAATAAGGAACGCAATAAATAACTTGAAAAAAAAATAGTTGAAATTGAATGCTAAATTTTTTTATCCCAGTAGAAAAATGCACAATATATGCAAAGGTTTATTAACATATTCTCCCTCTCACATGATGCCAAAAAAAAAAAAAATTGAACAGGAAGGAGAAAAAAATATATATTCAACTCATAGTGAAAATATTCTTGTTCTCCGAATTGTCTTCTACGAAAACTGCATTTTGTATATAATTATTCTATATATATATGTATGTATATATATTTTATAAAAAAAGTATTTTACCAAATTTTGTAATTGTGTCCTATGAAATTTCATGGAAGATTATAAACATCTGCAAGTGTTACAGGAAAACGTGAAATATATCTAATTTTTTTTAGCAATTACACTTTTTTCAAGTCTATTATGGAGTATTGTTTTAAGCAACAAACACATAAGTACATGGTCCACTTCCAACAATATTTGGTTAAATGGCATTTACATTATTCCTCTGTCTGTCTGTGTGTGCGTGTGTTTTTTTTTTTTTTTTCTCATTTTTTTTGGCCTTTTATGATAATTTTAAGAGAAAAAATTTCACCATTTACTATTTAACTACTACAGTGTTAAAACAAAATGAATGCATTTTAAAAGCATAAATTAAAAGGATGATGATCTACATGTTTTTACGTTTATGTAATCGAACCATATCAAATATACATATGTTCATTTATACCAAGTGTAGATATTCACTGTGTAAGAAATAGTTAACCGTATTTATGAATTCATATTAATATATAAATTCATTTTTTATTATTTTTATTTATTTATTTTTTTTTTTTTATCTACACATCATTTTCTGATAACTTCATTAAATTCATAATATTCACTTTTTGAACATATATATTAAGTAATTATAAATACTTATAAAAATATAAAAATACGTTTATGATATATATCAAAATAGGATAAAATAACTCAAATTTATGTTTCTTAAAAAATTTCCATAAAAGCATTTTTATTATTTTTTATTTAAAATGTTTTTTTTTTTTTTTTTATGTGTCCATATTAAAGCTTCTAAAAATATGAACACAAAAAAATTATTTTATCCTGACATGTTATATAACGAAAAAAATGAAATTGGATACTAAGAATTTTATTTCCATACATTTACCTTAAAACCAATTCCTGGAGTTTTCAATATATTTCCCATTACATCTATAAATATATATCTATCATTTGTCGTATTAACAAACCATTATAAATGCACCAGTAGTAAAAATTATATGATTTACATGTAAAAGATATATACGATATTTGTTGATTCACTGGATACGTAAGGTTTTGAACTCTGTAAAATTTATCCTGACGCCTGCTTTTAGCATTTTTATTAATTATTTTCTCCCTTTTATAATTTTGCATTTGGTTCCACTCATAAAATGTAGAAAATTGTTGATGAACGTTAACACAAAACATAAGCTAAAATATATAGCGGAACACATAACAAATATAATATATATAGTAAAAAGATCTGACAGAATAAATAAGGGGGCTTTTATATTTATGCTGAACCCCTATAAATAACCTGTAAATTTCCGTCTCATACAAAATATTCATTTCTCCCGTATTACCAAAGGGGCTACTTGCTTGTACGAAATGGTGTGCAACATTAGAATGCAGCAAACAGGATTAATACATGTAATTAAATTATAATTTCTTAAAAAAATATATTATTAAAGTTCAAATTTATTGTATACACATAAATAAAACATATATTTCTTCCATTTGAAAATTAATATAGTACTTCTGCACCCCCCATTAAGAACAATAAACATGCAAACAGAACAATGAATGCTTTCTTATATATAACGTAAAATATGCTAAAAATTGCAAAATGAAAAATATCACAATCATAAAATTTCAATGTGTGTGAAACTATCTATGGAATATAGAAAATCAAAAAAAAATTATATTTGAAATACACACACAAAAAAAAAAAAAAAAAAAAAAAAAAAAAAAAAAAAATTATAAAATAACCCTCATTTCTTTATAAGAATTTTTCTACTATAAATGAATTGAAAAAAGAGGAAATGATGAATGAATTAAACTTTTATATTTTAACATTAAATATTTTAAAAGTGCAAAAAAAAGAACAATTTAAAAAAAAATGTAATGCCTTTTCTACTTTTTGTGCACAAAGCAAAGGCACAGAAAAAAAGGCTTTTCATTTTTTATCTACTGCAAATTCGCAGCACACTTACAACGGTACTTTTAAGAAAAGAACTCTTATGATTTTTCTCACCTTTGTGTGTTCTTCTTGTAACTAATATGTGTGTGTTGTTCTTATAAATTTTTTGATTTGTAATTGTACGTAATGCACAAACCCAAAGGCATAAAAAAGAATGATTCATCACATGCTGAAGTAATAAAAAGTGTTAATTTCATTTCATATTAAATTCATTTATGAAAACATATAAAAAAAAAAAAATTCCTGCAGTTAAAATGTTAAAACCATATATGAAATATGTATATGATATATCAGCAGCACTATAATGTGTTATATATATACATATATATATGTGATTTTTTTTTTAATTTTTTATGTTTCTTAAAATTCTGTTTTGGTTTTATTGTTCTATTGTTTATGTTTATGCCTTTTCAATCGTCATTTTTAATTTTATGTGTTTTAAACCTTTCACATTTATGGTTTTTCAATTTTATATTTTTTATGATGCCTCTTCTCTTCCATTATCCTTATATCTTAGATTTATGATTTTTTATAGTTCACCAAATTAATTTTTTACTAATTTTAATTTTTCCCTATTTTTCCTTTTTCTGTTCTACTCTTATTTATTAAAGAACTCTATTCATATCAACCCAAAACAATATTGCAAAAAATTGTGTATTAACAGAAATAATGAAAATTACATTTTGATTTAAATTTTTTTTTTTTTTTTTTTTGTTCACATCATGTTGGAGTACCTTCCAGGAAGCAAATTGGCTTCCACAAGAAAATGATAATTATATGTAAAAACAGAATTTTCTCAACATAGCATATTTTTCACGAAGAATCAGAAAATATATGAAGAAAGGAATTCTTATTTTCCATTATATATTATGTGTTGTAATGTCTACTGTTATGTATTATGACATAACAACGTGCGTCGCTAATACGGTAAGAGAGATATCGATAATATATGTACATAATCTATCTATATATATAAGAAGTACACTTGTACATAGATCTATTTATGTGCATTCTAAATATCTGTATGCACGTGTACATCTACACATTATATGATTTCTCTTTATGAATCTGCTTCATTGAAAATTATAAATTACAATAACAGAAATAATAGCAATAATAGGAATAATATAACACTTCTAATAATGAGTTTCTGCCTTAACCTCACTCTAATAATGAACCGTATGAATTACCATTTCATAAAATTCTTTATAGAACTCTTTTAAAAAAAGGAAATTTCGTCCACACCGTGACCTATCATGCTCAGATTATGAGAAAGCTGAAAAAAATGAAAATGTTGTAAAGGTGAGAAATCCAGTTATTGAACAAATTAAAACTCCATATTTTGTAAACATAGCAGATAGAAAAAATTCTAGATTAACAAACATAATTCTTGAAAAATTTACAGGTCCATACTTCCTGAATATAGCAAATGAATATAATTTGAACACATCAAACAAAATTGTTTCACGCGTAACAAGACCAAATGCTGAAAACATAATAAAACTCAATTTTGAAAACTTTACAAGAGAAAAATGCCCCAATGTAACAAGAGAAAAAAGTCCTAACATAACAAGTGAAAAAGAATCGACATCCAACATACCTAAAACGAAGCGATTTGAAAAATCAAAGTTCCAAAAATTAAGGGACAATATTACCCTTTCATTAAGTAAAAAAAAAAGTTCAAATAATAAGTTTATGAGTAAATTTCTATTACCTATATTACAGGTTGTTCAAGGAAACCTAAGAGAATGTGGTAAAAAAAATAATGTGGAAAGAGAACAAACAGAAGAATCATCCGATGAATGGAAGCAACAGCAGTTTCGAAATTGGATGAACAAATTAGATGATGATTACAAAGCTTGGAATGATTCATTAAAGGATGATAAAAAAGAATGGGTTAATCAAAAAGAATCTGTATTTCAAAATCTCCTAAAGAAAATAAATATAAATTTGTTAGAATGGAACAAAGCAACTCTAAAAGAAATAAATAGAAACAAAATTGTCTTAAACGATTTGAACAGTAAAGAACAATGGAATAAGTGGTTTGACATCATATGGAAACCTTATAATAGACAAACATGGCTTGATATCTTAGATTCATACGACAAAATTCGTAGCCAATGGCAATCTAATCAATGGAAAAAGTGGAAAGCGCAAAAAATGACAGAATGGATGTTACAAAAATGGAAAGTTGAAGAAGAAGAAAAATGGGAACAATGGGAAAGTAAAAAATGGGCAAAATACTTTCAGCGAGCAAAGAAAAAGGAATGGATAAGGTGGATAAAAAGAAATGAGAGAGAAAATGCAGAGATAAATAATTGGATACGAAATAAAGAAGAATTGTCTTTACAAAGAGATGATTGGATAGAATGGGATAAATGGAAAGCAAGAAAAATTATAGCTTTGGATAAAAATTTGGATTCTTTAAAAAATAAATGGATTGCTGAAGAGAAGTGGAAGGTTTTTACAAGTGTATCATCAGAACAAAGGGAGGGAAAAAAAAACGTAGAATAATAAAATACTGAACAAAATTCAGGATATTAAATAAGATTTAAAAGAAAAGGCTTGTGTAAATTTTCTTATTTTATTATTATATCTATATAGAAATATCATATTCTTTGTAAAATCTGCACTTGAAAAAATACCAAATCGGATGAATACATATACCCCCCACACCAACACCACATTCACTTGGGATCAGAAAAAAAGGGATAAAAAAGCAAAAAACGATAGGTTTTTTTTTAATTCCCCATTGGGTATTTTGTAACCCAAATATATGGTTCACAAAAAATTTCACAAGCTGTGAAGTTGGGGGGGACATATAAAAATGCATGTGCAAATGAGGGATATAAAAGCATAAGCCCCCAAAATAACACGTGACCATTATATTTGTGCTTGCCTTAAAAATAACGACAGTCATAATATAACCATATCACTCCAGTTATACCCACATTGCAAATGCAATTAATATAAGAAGTTATATTTTTTATAGCTTAATATATCATATTTTTTTGTATGCTTTGTATATATATATATATACACTATATAATCTTTATCATTTATTTATTTTTCCACCATTTACAATTTGTATTAAGTTCATATAAAATTTGTTACATGTATTTGAAAAGTAAGGGAGATTAATAATTCTTTATAGTTCCCCCCCCCCTTCTTTGTTCCCTTTTTCCCTTTTTTTTGTTTAATTTTTTTTTTTCTATAAAAGGCAAAATTTTTTAATTTCATAATAAATATTAAAAAAATACATGTATGAAAAGTAAATGCTATACATATATATATATATACATATATATATGTAGTAAATATATATATCTTAATAAAAAATTTGCGTATTATGGGTAGATGTGTCGCATTGTATAACTTGCACAAAACCCTGTAAAATAATCATCAAACATCTTTTTTGTACTTTAAATTGATACTATAATTATAAGGATGATGAGCACACGTGTGAATTTGTTTTTCTAAAATAAAGTGTAAAAATTATATGGAAATATCATATTAAAATAAATGCATATGGAACACGTACAAAAAGTCAAATATTGCATAACCAAAAAAAGTTTAATTATTTATCACTAAGTTTTTATTTCTAAAAAGGTATTCCAATTCCCTTTGGTTGACTATAGAAAATTATGCTAAAAACATAAGTGCAAAAAAAGTACATAAAAAAAAAAAAATTATTGCTTACATCAGAAGATTTCACTAAATATCAGGGGAAGAGGGGGTAAATAAAATTACCAAAATTTTAAATTCTTATTAACAATTTCATTTTTACTACATCTACACTTGTGTTTTTAAAAAGTCGCAGAAATAACTGAGACTATATTATATATGTAGCAAGAACAAGCTTGACATGTTTTTATTTGTTACTTTATTTATGGGTAGATATTTTTAATTTTCAATTTTATTGTTGTTATATCATATAAATATTTTTCATTTTGCTGTTTCACAATTTCGCCTGTTAATAAATAAGGATATTTTTCTTTTGGGGGGTAAGTGGAAAAGGGTCCCCTTTAAAATGTAATAGTAAAAAAGAATTAACGAACTACTTTTTTCCACGCCCATTTTATGTCCTGATTATAAACATATCTCTTATTTTTTTTTTTTTTTTATCTATAAATAAATAAAGTAGTCATAACTTATACAAGAAGAATTTTATATAAAAATAAAACAACTCTCTTTTTAGTACCCATTTCCAGGGTATTAGTAAAATATAACCATTATAAACTTATATGGGGGGGGGGGGGGGGGGGTAGGGGGGACTTATATGGGGGGGGGGGGGGGGGGTATGTGAGTGTAGCTATAATATTTAAAAGGCCTGACACACAAAATGTCGTCCTTCACGCACATGTTTATTTGTTTAAAAAAAAAGAAAAAAATTACATCACCCCCCCTCATGAATGAACATAATATATATTCTTCACTTGGTATGTCCATATAAACCTGGATAGGAATATTCCATAATATTTTATATTTTAAACCATGAAAAAAATTAAGTTTAAACGAAATGAAAAAAAGAAATTGCTACTTCAAGGTTTTTCACCTATACTATCTACCGCACCTGTTATATACATTTTAAATCTAAATTTTCTTTTTTTAAACGAAAAAAAAGAGACAACGGGGGGAAGGCAGAAAGAATTTTCCATTGCACCGTAAAAATGCTCTTAAATTATTTACTTCCCAATTACCAATAGTTTCATTTTCTCGCTGGGAATATCCCCCCTTTAAAAATATATTTAAAAAATGGCATTTAACAAAAAACCATAGAACCAAAAAAAAGTAAAAATTAAACAAGAATGAAAAACACTTTAGAAAACTTACTATTCTATTGTGATTTTAAAATGACATTTCGCATGATGTGATGTGTATGCCGTACATAATATATATAAGAATATAATGTATATATATTGAGAAAATCTGGTATGGGCATATACATTGTGTACTCATTGTTGTACAATACATATATACCGATCCCTTATTTTGTGAAATGATTTTACCCAAAATTGCAAATCATGGAAGATAAAAAAAGGGACTATGACGACTATTACCCACCAAACAAATTGTCTCACATAAAAAACATGTAACTTGTATACTAGATGATGACAACATCGAACGAATTACAATAAACAATGGAAAGAAAAAATGTATAAAATTCCATGCTTAATTAACGTTTTAAATAAAAAGCATGCACTTTATTATGAAATTATCTATAGAGATAAAAAAATTTTAAGTACATTTTTTTTAAAATACTTTTTGCATAAAGATATAATAATAAAATTAACCTCTAACTTTTTCCTTGCCTCGCTTTGTTTTCGGCAAAATAGGGTAGTATTATATACATACATATCAGCATATATTGTATGTTTAACATTAAAGCTATGAAAAACAGGAATACCCGTTTATATTATATCAAAAGCGTAAACGAATTTTGCTAGATAACTAAAAGGAGCCAATTATATGAGAATATGACAAGAAGTATATGGCTTATACTATTGGGGAACTTATTACCAAAAGCAAACCATAAAGAAAAAATAAAAAAGAACTGATATACTTGGTTTATAAAAAAGCCGTTAAAAGTTATACATATATTTTTTTTTTTCCTCATATTACATATATATATGTATACATATTTGATGAATTATAAGGACAAATTTTTCCCATTTTAAAAAAAGTTTTTGGGACAATTGAAGAACCTTCTCACCTACCCTCCTAGACACACACAATGTGCCACGAAAGAAAAATACCATAAATATTGAATACCCAAATGACGTAGTTTTTCCTCCCTTGTTATATACACTATTTGTATTATATCACCAAGTTAAAAAAGAAAGAAAAACAAATTCCAAAAAAAAAAAAAGGTACATATGTCCGTCAAAACTAGTATTTTAAGTTTATTTTATTGATACAACAAAATATTGTACACGAAATATTTTTTAAATAGGGGAAAGATTTTAGTTATATAGTACATATATATATAATATAACCAAAGGGCAAAACTTTAAAAGGGATAACATAAAATGCACATACATATTATGTACATACATGTGAGAGAATGATACATATAAACATAGACTTTAGAGAATGCATATGAAAGTGGCACATAAAATGACATATTTACTGAAGTGCATATATACATATTTACACAAAATACAATATACTTATAAACAAACGCACTTGTTACATATACTTTACAAGTCCATATATACAATAAGTACATTTACACATATATATTAAGTGTATACTTAAGCAAATAAGCATAGGCATGAAACAATCTGTGCCCTAAAGGTTGCGCAAATATAAGAACAAAAAAAAAAAAAAAAAAAACACATGCGCACCTTTATATGGCAGTATTATGTATATATATATATATATATATATATATATATATATATGTAAGGGCTCCTGATCCGATGATATATATTCTTGCAATGAATTCAAATCCTGGGCAAAATTACACGTATATATTAAATGCTGGTCCCACGGGTCACAGTTGCTTATTTGTTATATAGCACACACTCCATATGTTATATATGTGTACAAAATTATGTACAGAATAAAGTAAAAAAGTTTATTCAGTTATATTAGGTAAAAAACTTACCATTCACGAGGAGCCTCAACAAGTCTGGAAAACTAAGTTTTACTTCCATGTTTACAGCACTCGAAAGAATATCTGTCGTATACAGATTGTTTTTACCACGATATGCATTTTTTACGAATTATTGTAAATACTCCCCCCTCCAAATATGATGAGAAGGTAACACTATCCCTTTTGTGCCATCGCTCAAAATGGAAAAAAGGACAACCCGGTGTTTCCCTTTCAACTATGCGTGTATATACAAAATATACAGGGATAGAAGAAAGTATAACAGCGAACCGCTCATCCTACCATACTGCAAAAGGAAGCGCAATGTCACTCTACAGTTTGGAAAAGCTTGAGCATAGCTGCTTCTACCATAGATCGCAAAATAGCTCATAAAAAAAACAGTGCACAATCTCTCCAATAAGTGATTGAGGAAATACCTACGGTAGAAAGGATTATATATATATATGCAAAAAGCATAATTGTAAATGTTACCCGTTTTTTTTTACTAGATAGTAAAATCCGTTAAAAAGCATATCGTTCACTATAGTATTGTACATTTGGCATGGATTCCGCCTTCAGATGCATTCAGCCATTATCCAACAGACGTAGCTGAGCAACACTGATTTGTCAATCAATTGCAGGACCAGAGGTCTGAACCAACTATTCCTCTCGTACTAAGTTGGATTACCATCACAATACTATTATAGTTAATAAATTAACAAAAATTTCATCAGTAGGTTAAAACTAGACTTGTCTCGTGAAAGTCCTAAATTCAGCACACGTTCCCTATTAGCGGTGAACAATCCGACACTTTGAGATTTCTTCTTCTCAATGATAGGAAATGCTATATAATAAAATAATCAAAAAGCCACGTCGCTAAAATTGCTCGGCAGCCGCAAGATTGTTATCCCTATCATAACTCTTTTACTATCACCACTTATTTGCACATATATCGGAAAGGCATGTACATATATACATGCCTTCCCCATGTCTTTTTCGCAAAAATAAAAGTAGGTGATCATTACAGGCCATACATACTACCTTAAAATGTCATAAAAAAAAAAAAGCAGTTACCATTAACGAGCGTTTCTTTTGTTACAAAGTCTACAAGAGATTTCTGTTCTCTTTGAGCTTGTTAATTTTTTTCGTGTATTTTTTTTTTTTTTTTTTTTTTTTGCTTTACATTCTTTATAAGTATATAAAAAAAAGTAAAGGGAAAAAAAAAAAAAAAAAAATACAACAGCGCTGTAAGTTAACTCCCCACTTGGCTCTGTCTCCATATAATGCAATTTAGAGGTCACATTTATGGATAAAGTAAAGCAACTTAAGATGGAGTGGTATTTCAATGGCACGAAAACATCTTTCAGAATTTCGCTCCCACTTATGCTACACAATCGGAGTCGGTTTACAAAGCCAAACTAGAGTCAAGTTCAATAGGGTCATCTGTGACCTAACTGATTTTACCAAGACTATCACTTGGTTGTGGTTTCGATAGATTGCAAGTAGGGACAGTAGGAATATGTTAATCTGCTCTAAATGTCCTTCATTATTATCATAGTCATCGCATTCTTATGATGGCTTTTTCTTTTTTTTTTTTTCATACATATATCATCATAAATTTATTACCAGATATAATATATCGTGGTAATGAAACCTACAATGGGATATGTATTAAAAAAAAAAAAAAAGAAAAAGTCATGATAAAAATTCGATGATAAAATTAATGATGAATCACATTTGGCCAATTTTAAGAGTCATAGCAACTACTCCCGCCATTTACCTGTGCATTTATTGAATTGCTTCTAATTGTTATTCAAAAACACTGGGCAGAAATCACATTGTGTCAAGTTAATCCCAAAAATATCATCTCCTGATACTGGATTTTCACAATGTTATGTCTTTAAAACAGTCAAATTCCTCTTGTCCGTTTCAGTTCTGATTTGACATTATTTGGTCCTTTTTCCAATATGGATTCTTTGATTTAAGACGCTGGAACATCAAATCAAAGAATTTATCATAAATTCGAAGAACAAGAGGAGAATGGGGAAAAGAAATGAATAGTAACAAAAAAGAAAAAAAAAAAAAAAAAAAAAAAAAAACATATTAAAAATATAATTTATATTTTTAATATGTTTTTTTTTTTTTTTCTCGCTCCCCTCTTATTATATACTATTCATTTCTTTTCCCATTATCCTTCACTTAATATCATCAGAGCCATATCCTTATCCCGAAGTTACGGATCCATTTTGTCTAACTTCCCTTACTCACATTGTTCTATTTAGCCAGAGGCTTTTAACCTTGGAGACCTCATGCGGTTATTGGTACGTTCAAAAATGGTATTTTAATATATATGAAAAAAAAAAAAAGAAAATGTAGAAAAAACTCACCTGGAATAGTATGTTTTTTCCACTAATTTTTTTTTCATATAATTATTTTTTGTTCCCTCCATTTTTCATGGGTAGTTCTTACAGATCCGAATAATTCAAAAAGAATTACTATTTCTTACAAATCAAAAAAAAATTATATATAGAAACCGAGATCTCTATTTATAAATTTTCTCAAAATGGAAATATCCTGCAAACCTCTTCTCCAAGTAAATTGTTACTCCGAGGTTTACTATAGAAAGTTAAGTGCAAAGAAAACGCACTTCGAATGAAAGACCTACGTTATGGAGTTCATTTTGTTATATGTTACCACTTCGTTCCGTTTTTTATGAATAAACTCAAAAAAAACTACTGAACATTGTATACCATGAATTTGGCACAGGAATATAAACCTGTTTCCCTTTTGAGTAGGTGGGGATAAAATGTACATACATACACATATACGTACATGTATACATACACATATACGTACATATATACATACACATATACATACATATATACATACATATATACATACACATATACATACATATATACATACACATATACATACATATATACATACACATATACATACATATATACATACACATATACATACATATATACATACACATATACATACATATATACATACACATATACGTACATATATACATATATACATATATACATACATATATACATATATACATACATATATACATATATACATACATATATACATATATACAAACATATATACATATACATATACATACACATATACATACACATATACATACACACATACGTACATATATACATACACACATACGTACATATATACATATATGTATATATATATACACTATATGCCCCTCCATATAAGAACTTTTCAGTTATCTCTTAGGAACGGCTAACTCTTGTTCAATTGCTGTTGACAAGAAACCCTTCTCCACTTCAGCCTTCAAAGTTTTCATTTGAATAATTTCTACTTCCACCAAGATCTGCACTAGGGAAATGTTCCACGAAAACTCACGTATTTCGCTTCGACACAAAACCCTACGATTTTCTACTCATAAAAAGATTTTAAAAAAAAAAAAATTATTCATTCCTTTTTTTTATACCTTTTTACGGCTTGGTATCGGTAACTCGCTTTAGCGCCATCCATTTTCAGGGCCAGTCACTCGGCAGGTGAGTTATTACACACTCCTTAGCGGATATCGACCTCAATGATTACCGTCCTGCTGTTATAATGCACCAAACACCTATGTTTTATGGAATCTCATGAGCGAATATTTAGGCACCTTATCCAAGCTTTAGGTTGAACCCTCATAGCCATATCCGGATCATCAGAAATGGTTCCACTTGGAGTTATCATTATTTTAAACAAATAAAAAAAAATAAATATAATGACGTATATACTTTATACAAAAAAAAAGTATATAACTTTTCCTCTATTGTACATTTCAGAAAATTGAGACAAGTTGTTTTAGAGGAAAATAAAAATCACTTCCATAAAACAAACTTTTTTCACATCTCATGTCATTAGTATATAAAATATATACATTTTTTATTTGGAAAACTACGTTTTTACAACTCCAGCAATCATAAGAGATCTTTCGAAAATAACCAGGTATTAGACTTTTCGTATAGTATTTCACCCCTAAACGCAATTGAAATGAATGATTTATAAAATCATTATCAATTCGATCCTCCATCAGTCTTTCAACTGACTTCAATCTCATCACGCCTAGTTCAAAGCCCTTCGGGTCATATCAAATATACTCATACTCGAATTAGCACATAATTTTGCTTACCCGGTAAATGTATGCGTTCAAGAGAAATTGCTTTCTTCCAAATTCTACAAAATTATATTTTCTTATATATTGCGCGTATAAAAAGTTATAATGTTTAAAATTATCATATACACTTGCATATTTGATATATTCCTTGGTCCGTGTTTCAAAACGGTTGGGTTAAGAAAGTATTATTAAGAACAACTTAAAAAGTAAAAATTTTTAAAATTTAGACTTTTTTTATTTTCCTCAGTAAATAAGATAATTCTTTTTTTTTAATGTATGTGACAAAAAAGCATTATTATCGTCAACGCGTAAATTCAAAAATTTAGAGACAATTAATCTAAGAATAAAAAATATATTTTTACCCTGGCTTTAGCCATATTATCCTATTTCACTGATATTCTTTTTTAATAAAACAGAGTTGTGAGCCCCAATTTATCACAACTCATGCTTTACTGATTTTCTTTCTTAATCCGTTCCACCTTAACGATTTCAGGTACTATTTAATGGCTCATTCCTGAGTACTATTTCATCTTTCCCTCACGGTACTTGTTTGCTATCGGTCTCCTACACATATTTAGCTTTATGTGAAAATGTTTATCACACGTATTAGTGCTCCAGTTTCAAAGAACACGACTCTAAAAAAGTAACATATTTTCCATGTAACTTAAGAAGTAGAACTACGGGCCTATCACCCTCTATGGGGATTAGCATTCCTGCTCACTTCGTTCATTCTTCTACTCGTTGCTGGAAAAAAGGTAAAAGTTACTTTTAAATAACACGACAATTCCCATAAAATGGCTTGCGCTCATATGTTAAGGGATTTTACGCTTGAGCTTTTCCTTTTTCAGTATAACTGTATTCTTTTACTAAAGGAATCATTGTTATTTTCTTTTCTTCCGCTTAATTATTTTTGATATTCAGCGGATCTGCCCTTCTATTAAAATTTTTTTCATAATTACTGAAGTATGTTTTACAGATCGTGCAAGTAGGCTGCCGCAAATACATACCTGCAAAACCTATATCATAGAGTAGAAAAAAATATATACATATACAAAAAGTATAACATGTAAATAAATATATCATATATATATATATATATACCAAAAAGTATATACACAATATATAATATACCTATTTTTTCCATACAAATTTGATTTAATCCACAAGTACAACACCCGGGAAAAAATAACAAAATTGTAGGACATGTTTTACTCCTTATACATGCATAAAATCTCAACCACCTTATGACGAATTTTAATAATTGTCCATCCCTTAATTGTAAAAATTAATGGACACACACTTATAATAAAATTCATAATTCATAAAAAAAACAGTTTGTAATAAGAATATACATATACATATATGTACACACTTATTACGAACTAACCCTTCTTATGGATTATTTGGGGGCAATTCAAGACACACGAAAGAAATTTTCTTCGATTAATTCAAAGGGCTATAAATATGGATAAAATCCATTGTAAACTTCGTAAAAATCTACTGTTGATTCATACGCATAAAATAAATTCTACGCGTATATATCTCTACAAGTGGTATCCAATATTGAACCGCAACATGAAGACTTACTAAATAAGGTTTCTATCATGCTCCGCGACAAGGAACATTTTTGACGTCTTGAAATCTATCCAATCGCTTATGGGCAAATGTAGAGATCCTCCTTCATTTCCTGTACAATCAGTTTTTTATTTTTTCTTTTTTAAAAAAAAAAATAAGAACGTCATTTTGAACAGTTGTCAAGAATTCATACTTCAAATAACAAAATTTAATGTAAAAAATTTTTCAAAATAATAGAAGTACTACCAAATTATATACTCTTTAAAAAGGGTAAATTGGTGTGTAGTTTACATTCAGCGTTCTGATGATGATTCACAGAGATACATGCAAGTTTCATTGCTTATCGTATTTTGCTACGGCCTTCATCGCTGTAGGAACCGAGACATCCATCGTTAAAGTTGTTTTAATTTTAAAAGGTTACCATATTTATTTTTGCAAACTTCCATACCAAAACATGACACATATATATTTGTATATCAATATATATCAATATAATATATTTAACACATGTAACATATTTCTATATTTCAGTTATGCTATATGGTCCTTTAAAATTTTTTGTTTACACAGTTGTTACGTATATATATATGTACATTTATATATGTATGCACAGAAAAAGTACGGCACAATTAAAAGTATATGTAAAAATAATTGACGTTTAATTATATTATTACAACACATAATTAGTATTTAATTATCATCGTCGTATATAATATATATTTGTATTTGGTGCATTATATGTTATACCATTACTGTATAAAACCGTCTAAAAGACAGTATATATTATATATATATGCATATATATAGTACACATAAATGCACAAGTACTTTCCAAGTATAGCATTGCAACCCACGTAATATTCCCTTTTATTTGAGAACGGGGAAAGATGTAAAAGAAGTTCCTCTTATTATACACAGAGTTATTCGTTCTCCGAAATAACATGCACCTCAAAAAAAATAAAGTACCAATAACAATAATTAATTAAGTGCTATAAAAACGTACAAGTTTAAAATTTTCATCTAACCATACTTAATTTATATATAATTGGTTTTACATATATATACTAGTGTATATTTCTTTCTTATTGCAAAAAATTTCATTTACTTATAATTTTTTTATGCTCAGAAATATATTTACTATTATATATATAGTAATCGACAATTCATGCTTTTGTGGACATCTTATTACGCCATTTTCAGATATCCTAAAAAAAAAGCTTATTGACGGATAATAATATGTGGTATATATTTTAAACTAAGCAGAAAAGGAGAAAAAAAAAGCCTAAAATAATAATATATCCACCACCCTCACAACGTAAAAGAGAATATATATATGGTTCTATATTGTCTTATTTGGATGGAGGTCTATTACAATTGTGTAGACGGACAAACCGTATAATGGATATTTATTAATCTTTAAATATATGATCCATTTTGCATTATAAAGAAAAAAAAATTCAACCCTGATTTTTATACTTTAATAATGCTTATCATTTAGTACCACTTCTGTTGTATAGTAAAAGAGTTAAAAGTTATAGAAAGGGAATTAAATTATATTGGTAGGATTAAATATACATAAATATATATATAAATTATAAATATTATATTCTCAAATATGTTTGCACACCTGCAGAAACATTATTTGTAAAAATATATATAATATGCTTCTAAAATACAGCACTTTCACATTCACGTTCACTTAGTATTACTGTGTTTTCATGCTTTTATATTATTCCTTATTATACTTTAGAAGATATTTTTTATTTGTCTATTCAAATAGAAAAAGGATATTAAAAAAACCGTTCATTTTCTGCTAGATAAATATATGTGTATATAATATTATGTACACCATTTCCTCACCTATGCGTGTAAAAAAAATATATTTTGTTATCTACAAGAATAATAAGTAATAGTTTTTAAATTTCTTTTTGAATATAAATATAAACACGGCATATTGCGCCTAAATAACATATATATATATTTCCGAATATCACAGAGACCATAATCCATTTTTTAAATTTAATTTTTTTTTTTTTTTTTTTGCTTTAACAGTTGCTAACACCAAAAAATATTTTTAATGGTTTCACAATGCATTTAGTACTTTTATTGTATAATCCCAATATGAAAGTCTAAAATTTTCCAAAAAAAAAAATTTTGTAACCCTTATAAAAATTGTTTCAAAAATAAGTTATTTCCCTCAGTTATATTTAATACATACCCCTAATGAGTGAAAAATGTTTTCCCATTTTTTGTTATATAAAGGAATGAGTGGACTAAAATTTTGTTTTAATACGTTTAAAAGAACATTTATTTGTATCATTTAAATAAAATGAGTGCAAAACATCTTAAATTTTTGCATTTTTTATAACTCTTTTTACAACTTCCTCTATATATGACTGACACCTTTAGGTATCATAATGAAGCATTTATTACGGATCGTTATTCTGATATTATTATAAATTTTATTTAACACTATTCTGAAAAATATTTACTGCTAAATAGATGCGTATTCCAAAGTGTTAATGATACAATAGGTCAAGGAAAAAAACTTATATGGCAAAAAAGAAAAAAAAAGAAAAAAAAAAATTTCGCACATTCATTTTTAATGTATCTCTTAATATATTAAATACTCTTTTTTTTTTTTAATTAATCATTGTTACTACCCCAATATGCAAATATTTTGAAAAACCGTTGCTACATAAATGTGTTAATTCGCGGTTTTAACAGATTGGGGAAAAATTTTCAAAACTCAATCCTTCGTAATATAAAAGAATTCATATCCCATATTGTGCTTTTTTTTCCTCCTTTTTTCTATACAAGCACACAACTATTATATTAAACATTTTTTACAATTTGTTTTTATAAAACATGTGTATATATGTTTTGTGCTTCTTGAGATATCGTACTGTCGAGAATTTTTTTATTTTATTACTTTCTTTTATTTCCTTCATATATATATATATATATTAATATTTCGAAAAATCATTTAGGAGATGAGGGAGTGGAAGAGCAAATGTAAAAAAAAATGACATTTTCTTATTAACCTGAGCACGAAATATTTCCATGACAAAATGCTCACTAACTTCTTGTTACATTATATGCAAGAGAACGAATAGGTATGATCTATATGGGGTCATATTTTATACATATAAATGTATGTGTTTATGAGATTCCGAACAGTGAAATTGTTTTAATTAAATTTTGAGTACAAATTATTCATCTTTCTTCTTCGTCTTATCTAAAAAAATAAAAATTTTAACATGACACAGAAATATCGTACTTCTCAAAAGGCACTTACAACAATTTGTGTGTATCTTCACCTGTGCCTGTGTATGTTTATATGTGTATGTGCGTATATGGGTGTGTGCCCATTTAACTCATCACACGTAATAATGTAACATACGTGTAGATTAAGCATAAGCAAAGACAGAAACACGATTATTAAGGGACGCTTTCAAGATTCGCCAGATACAAAAATGAATTAAAAATAAAATAAAATAAGCAAAAAGTATTAAAAATTACTTAAATGTATACAATCTTGTATATAACTATAAATACGTGCATAAAATATACACATGGCCTATTTTTTTCTTTTAAAACACGTAGAAAACATTACATCAGAAACGAAACACTTTGCCATTTATACATTTTACACATATTTTGAAAAAACACTCTTCATTCATAACATTCAATTCAGTGCTTTCATTTTAGAAATATGGAAGGAAATATTGTTTTTGTTGTTTTTATCTTCATTCCCATTTGTGCATGAATTCACAAGCATAAAAAAAATATGAACGACAACATTTAAAAAAAATATTGTCTCACCAAAAAAAACAAGAAGCAGGAATTGTATAATGGATAGCATGTGACACGAATTAAATGAGGATTACTCGGGGAATCCTATTAAGGGTGAATTGCAACGCCAATATTCCAACATCATCCATGTGCCATATCATGATTAATGCATAATTAAACATAAACGAAAGTCAAAAAATTGGACACAAGGCAATTATTACATATTTAACAAAATAACGACATGCATAATATATAAATGTTTATTTACTACAGAAAAAAACACAAAAACTTACCCAAATGCATCTGATTATAAAGTAATAATAACATATCTTTTAATGATGCTATACTTCCCCAAACTTGAATTTTAATTAACATTTATGCAACCTCATCTGTTAAGTGAAAATTCAGCAACCATAAAAAATGTATAATATTAGCGAATATGTAATAGTTGTAAAAGCAAGCAACATGTTTAAAGGAACATAATATAGGTCAACGGAAAAAAATATTTTAAAAAAAATATATTTTAATCAATGTGCCATAACAAAAAAAATGATAGTATGCAATGCTATTAAAATTGATGTTTCAAAACGTTCTTTTTTATGAAAAAATCTTCAATTACATCTCCAAATAAAAGATGTAGCAAAAATAAAACAAAACAAAACGAAACGAAACGAAATAAAATAAAATAAAATAAAAAAATGATGTTAAAAAAAGTAAAAAAAATTACAAAGCGATGATATATGGGGAATGATGCAATATACCACAAAGGGAGAGGGGGTATCTTCTTCTCATATAGGCAAGCATCACTTGTTCTCCAATAAATATGTACATATTGTGAATAAATTATGTGAACACGTATATTTTTTAGTATATAAAACGAAATCTTAAAACAAAGCAAGATAGCAAAGTATTTTAGTAGTTCCCAAGTGGTTCATTTTTTTTTTTTTTTTTATATTTTTGATTTCCTTCCCCCTCTCCACTCGGCACTTTCTATCTCATTGCTACATTGGTGCAGATTTTATATACCCTTTTACTTAATATGAAAGAAGTGTCGTTTCCATTTTAGACCCATTTACATGTCGGTTCTTGCATCCCTATCTTCTTATTTTTGTTAAAGGTAACAGTTATAACCAATGCATATATGCATCATTATATCCTACAATAACGTCATATAAATTAAGACACACACAAAAAAAATAAAATAATAAATAAAATACAACAAAACAACAACGAAGACATATGCAATATAAACTTTTCTCTTGTATTTTGGCCATTTAATTTGCTTCTTTCCTTATTTTATTTATTTTTTTTCCCCCCGTTATTTATATATACAATTCATTTTAGCCTTTTGGGTAGCAAGCTATTTTATATTTTTTTTTTTTTTTTTTTTTTTTGGTTGATATTTATTTTGGCTATTTAACTTTTCCCCTTAATTGGGGCCACTACTTTTCTGCACTTGTTTTGGCACCGTATATACAAGCAAAGTTAAGAAGAACATCCATATAGGTGCTACAAAGTTTAAAAGAATAGTTTCAATCCTTTTTTGTTTTCTCATTATTCGTTTTTTTTTTTTTTTTTAATATGTTACTTCTCCCTCTTTTATGCTATGAATATATATATATATCTAAAGCATTTCCCCGGTTTAACTAATCCCTACATTTATTTAAATCCCTCTTTTTACAAATGTCTCTCCCTTTACTTTACCTTTTTATAACCCATTTAATTATTAATTTTACGTTGAACAACGCCGAGGTTGTCAAGACGCAAACAATAAAAGATAGAGATTTTGAAATTAAGTATGAACCGAATAGCAGACACCTCTATGTTAGCAGCCTTAATATGGAAAAGTGCAACAGCTACAACTATTACGTAAATCAGGAATGCAAAATAATTCATTCTCTCGAAAAAATCGATGAAAACAATAGTGAATTGTGTGTAAACAAAAACAAATGTTTATATATTTCGAATTATGTGTTCCAAAGTTTGGGTATAGAATCAGTTCCCGAACAATACTTTTCCGAATTAAATACTTCCATTGATTCAGATATAGAAACAAAAGAAAAATGCAATAAAAAAGTTTACATAAATGAAAAAGTAAAATGCATATGTTGTATCAAAGAAATAGAAAATTCTGAAATACATAGCCTAGAGGGAGAATTAAATCCAATACAAACAAATAAAAAAGATTTTTATCCCTTTGACCATTGTAAATGCATTTTAAATTATGAAATAGATCATGATAACATTTTAAATGTTAATAAATGCGAAAACTTCATTTGTAACAACGGGTTTTGTACACTCCAAATGGATGGAGAACCATTCTGCTCATGCTCAGACAATTACTATTTCGACCAAAGCGTAAATGCATGCATAAGACATGAAGATTTCGTAATGAATGAAGCAAACGAATCAGTCATCCAAGAGGAAAAAGAAGTGGGTAATAAATCCGAACGATCCATGGTAAAAAAGAACAAAACACATCAAATAGTAAATGAAAAACAGAACGATAAAATATATGATAATCAGGTAAATGAAAAATCAATTAATTTAGATAATGAAAACCATAATTCTATCCTCCCTAGTATCGATAATAGAACACATTATTATCATGCACAAAACATTCAAAGTAACCACAACAACAGGGACATTAATAATGTACTTACCAATGAATGCCTAACAAATCAAATAAGAAATAAACAGGGAATTTGTGAAAACGTGGATAACAGTTCAGTGAAGAAGATTTGCTTTAGAGTAGAATGTTTTGTTAACCCAAATAAATCAGAATGCTTATGTGTAGATGAAAATGGACAAAAAATAGAAAATGATATCTTCGACGTTTCACACATAACAATTTGCACACTTAACGGCATAAACTGTGATTACGGAACCTGTATTAATTCGTTAGAAAAAAATGAATTGGCATGTATTTGTGACAAAAATTATAAATATAACAGCTCTTTAAAAGTATGTATTGGAGACGCATCAACAAGTCTTTTAAACTCGGTGCTCATAATCACGTTGTTTGTTATAATTGCAAGTGCCCTATGAAATGAATGAAAAAAATAAAAATTACGGTAACAAAAAAAAAAAAAAAAAAAAAAAAAAAAAATGCATGAAGTGAAAACATGAGAGAACTCGATATATGCTCTATCATCCCCACCCCCCTTCACACACATACACACGTAGTCTATTTAAAATGGTGATATACTTTACCCATGATCAATATACATTTTGATATTATTTTTGTCCCGTTTTTCTTTTTTTCATATTTTTCTACAAATGTAAGTAAACGGGAAAAACATCATTTCAGGATTACTTACGATTTCTCCCTAAGAACATAAAAACGTTATAACCATGCTTAATGGAGATGTAACTTAGTTCTATATACCTCATTGAACATATACATTTAACCACGAATGCTGGTTATTTTTTCTTTTTTGCAAAGAATTAATTTCACTAGCTGCTGTAATACATGGCGTAATTAACACAATTGTTATTTTATACTATGTTTATACATCCTTCAGCGATTAATTGTTTATATGCCGAAAATGTGGAAAACACATTTGTCACACCACAAAAATATTTTTTCCTTCCTGTTTTTAAATAAAAAGTAAGTCGCATTTTTACTGTCTTATCTTGCTTGAACAAAAAAGGCTTTTCATATTCTTTACTGCGAATAAAACAAAACTGTTTAACCCTTATGGTGGCATAACAAAAATGGTATTGTAGTGATTGATACAGGAAAATATCAACTGAACTATAAAATTACATCATTTTTTGTTATAATTAAAGATCATAAGTAGACAAAACAACTCTTAAGTTATCTACTCGGAAAAGGACACAAAAGAGAGATAATATTTTGCAGTTATGAAGGAAAAAAAAAAAAAAAAAAAAAAAAAATTCTCCTTTTCATTCATTTTAAGATTGTGCAACAACATATATACCCATCATTCTTATTTCAACTCTTATGTCACCTTAGAAATTACTTATTTCTACTTTTATCCAATTTTAAAATGTTCTTATTCAAGTCCGTTCAAAGTATACACTAATTGGTTTTTCTTTAAAACATGCATCTCAACCAAATAATTTATAAGTGATGTCTATTTAATTTATAACTTATAAGAAAAAGATAATAGGAAATGTGGATTACTACACAAATACGTATGAACAGGTAGAGGGGGAGGAACAGTATGCATCAAAGAACGATATACATCTGACTCGTTCGTTTGGGTGTGAAACAAAAATGATACGTCTTTTTTGGTCAAAGTTTATTTTGAATAACTTGCATTAGCAATGTTGCAATAAAAATCCTAAGAGTTTAATTGTTTTAGTAAAAATGCTTGCATATTGAATAATAAATTAGCAGAAAAGTTTTATATATTATCTTAATATGTCCACTTTGCCAGTAAATCTTTTACATCCCTGCCCCTACCCATTTTGCTACAAACATTCGTGATATTTCAATAATGCCTATTATGAATCAGTATGGTAATAATAAAAATTGTAATGTAATTCACGTTAACACTTTAAACATTTTTAAATATAACAAAATTAGGAACCCTTAAACATTTTCCTTAAATTTAACACATAAGTCTTGTAGTCTACAAAGGAACATATATATCTGTAATATGTGTGTATATATATACGAAACATTACATTAATGATTATAATGATGGAAGAAATCTGAATTCTGATCCCATTTTTCTCCACATGAAAATACTACCACATAAATATGTCATATATATGTTTCCTTCCTGGGAGTATATTTATATACTCTATATGCACATTACCTACACTTCACACACATGAGGTTTAACAGAGTCTACACCTTTGTCACCTAACTCTGATGTGGGTGCTTCAAAAACAGAAAAATGAAAACCATATACGCTAGACTGTTATTTTATGCTCATTTACAAGCTCATTTATGCTTTTTTTTTTTTTTTTTTTTTTTTTTTTTTTTACTTAACACGGGAATCATTCAAATTAAGAACGTTAAAAGCATAATATAATAACTTTGTCTTGATGAGAATGAATAAAATAACTAAAATACAAACACACAAGAGAACTTAATATGTGAGGATTAGCTTACATTTGCTTTTTCCGCCCATAAGTATATGTGTTTGTGTATGTCTACTTGATGTTAGTACGGAATGTAAACGTTATTTTCGAACTTTCTTATTTTTTTATGTAAAATAAATTTTACACACATGCCTACATGAAGCGGGAATTGCAACCTTTCTTTTGCCAGTTTAAAAAAGCTGTAAATTTTAGTAACAGCGTAAATCGAAAATTTTATTTCAATTTTTTAAAACCTCATTATGGAATGGCTCTTATATTTTTTCGGTTAAAAAATTAACTAAAAATACACAAATGAACTGTTTTAAAAAGAAAAAAGTGTTATAAAATTTCAACTTCAGCGCCTATGTTTTTTTTGTTAGGTATGTAAACTCTCAATATTTTTGCTTAGCCTCCATGAAATCTATAAACCCAAAAAAAGGTATTGTGTAAAAATTATATGGAGATGGAGGAACTCAGCATTCTTTATAATATATTCTCTTTAAATTTATGCACATGGTGTTATAGTTGCAAAAATATATTTTTATAGTTATGCTCCGTGTAATAGAATATGCATAATAACGTAACTAACATGAATTTTTTCTTGTTTCATTTTTGTAAAAAAAAAAAAAAAAAAAAAAAATTAATGAACCAGGTAGCACTTAAGGGGGAAAAAAAAAAAAGGGAAGCATTTTTAAATAACCAAAGAAGCAAACATACAAAAATTTAAAAAAAAAAAAAAAATACAAAAAGACCCCTGACTCCAAAAAAAAAAAAAAAAAAAATATATAAAATTCAAGCATTACCATTTATTAAGTCAAAGAACCAACATTTTTGCTTTGTTAGCAATAACAGTTTTATTATTATATATAAATAAACACCATATTATTTATATGTAACTTTAATTTCATATGTATTTTTCATTCTTGGTTACCCGTAATTAATATGTGCTTTATAAATTAATTAACAATTGCAAAGTATTTAAAGCAAAAAAAAAAAAAAAATAAATAAATAAATAAAATAAAAAAGAATAAAAAACATACTTAGATGAACCCTCCCTATATATATAATATATAATGTACTGTATTGTAAAAAATACATTTCAGATAACATGTAATATTCATGTGATGTAGGACAAGGGCATGTAATATTTGAATATCATATTGTACATATGTATTCATGCGTATACATTTGTATACATACATATATATATATATAGTGTAAAGCATTGTACCGATCCAGTCGATCACTTTGCAGCATTTTTTACATATGTATTGATAATACGTTTGAATAACAATACATAATAAATGTGTTACTCCTTAATTTTAAAAACGCGTTAACCTTTCTTTCACTTTCACTTTTTATGAAAAAGAAAAGCATTTTATTGATTCTTCTCTTCAGTGTTTTTTTTTGCTTTTGAATTAGTTCCTTTTTACTTTTTCTGTTCTTTTTATTTCTTTTTATTTTATTATTTTTTTTTTTTTTTGTTTCACCCCCTTTCATCAATCATCTTTACATATACATCACGTAATATATGTTATTTCTCCTTTTATACCATTTTTTGCTTAATTGTAAAAGGCATATATAGATATATATATATATATATAATTTTTGAGAAATTAAAGAAAAAAAAAAAATGAGTTATAAAGATGACAAAAAGGAATCTGAAGAACGTGAGCGTGATCATAAAAACGATGGTAATACTAATTAAGGAATATATAATACTATACATGCAAACATATATATATTCACATATTGCATTTCAACATGATAATGCGTAACAAAAAAAACGCCTCATTCTTGCATGTGTAATGGACGAGTTTTTACACCTCTTCCTGAACATGCAAATATGCATATCCTTAAGTGCTACATTTTTAATTCACCCTCAAGTGTTATTTTAAAATAACCGTATTAGCTTAAAAATAAAAAATGACACCATTGAGTATATGAATTCTACTAACATATAGAGTCCCCCTCCCTCAATAATTATTCATTTTAATGGAAGGATTAATAAATTTGTGAAAATATTAGAATTTACTTATTTTTATTTGCATATATAGTGAACATCATGTGATACATAACAGTGAACAAATGTTCTTTCATTTGTTTGTAACACAATTGGATTATGATTTAATTTTGATAAAAATATTAAAAGAACGAATGAGTTCTTTCTTATTTTGCCTTCTCACCAGTGAAAGTTGTTCACAATAAATTGTGTTCATGCGAGTTTGTATATATTTCACTTTCTTTTACATTACTTTCGCACCATCCTCAATTTTCCCTCGAAGGAACAACACTGTACGTGTCAAATTTAAGCTCAAAAATAACAACATCCAAACTGCAAGATATATTTGAGGAATATGGAACAATAGAAAAGTGCTACGTTATCAGCAATCCAATCACCAGGTAATAATTTGCACACGTCACATTTTGGCAGTACATCACGTGCACATCCATGTATATGTATATATATATGTATATGTATATATAAACATTTGTATTGGTCTCCTTCAGATGAATAATAATGCTTTACAAAATTTTACAAAATATTCATTGCATAGTATATGTAATAAACAATGTGCAGATTAAGTATAATATTTTTAAAATGGCACTTTTTTTTCTTTTTTAAATTGTATAGAGAATCTCGAAACTTTGGATTTGTCACTTTTAATAATCCTGATGACGCGAATAATGCTATGAATAAAGCAAACAAAATGGATATAGAAGGTTATTAGCAAAACGAATAAATATTTTTGCATGATGTATGTACTTATCATTGTGATAAATGTGGCTTAAACAGGAAAAAAAAAAAATAAATAATAAAAATAAATAAAATCCAATGATAATAACAGAACAACACACTGGTTCAGCATTACTCTTTTTCAAAAATAAGAAACCCACAAAAGCAAAAGCAATAATACATACATATTAACAAAAAAAAAAAAAAAAAAAAAAAAAAAAAAAAAAAAAAAAAAAAATCCAATGAAAAAAAAAAAACAACACACTGGTTCAGCATTACTCTTTTTCAAAAAAAAAAAACCCAAAAAAAAAAAAAAAAAAATAAAAACATTTAAAAAAAAAAAAAAAAAAAAAAAAAAAAAAAGATGAAACAGGATATTTCTGCAATAAAGGAAATTAATTCCTTTTCGTCGCGCCCACTCCCCCCAAAAAAGAAAAAATTGGGAAATTTAAGATCATACCCAATATTCAGAAAATCTACAAATCTATATTCTATTCAATGGTAAAATTTACTATCGAGTTTAGTTTGTTATCATTTCGATTCCTTCTCCTCAATTATAACGAATTTATCACTATTCGCACGACATTCAAGCATGCATGCTAATTCACATGTGTTAGACACATGTTTATAAATGTATGTACATATATAAGAACGTGGGATACACTCATCTTAACAATGTTAATTTAAAGGATTTTGAAAACTTTAGTATTTCAAATATTATTATTTATAATATGTTTACAGAAAAGATGAATACTCAGTAAAATATTTAAAACTTCAATTCTGGCAAAAATCGCATACAAAAATAATGTAAAAACAAACAACATTGCCAATCTTCTTCCCAATATTCTCCTTTATTACGTTATCGGTGTTGTACACATCTAAATATCTAAGAATTGCAATTTTTCTAAATTTCCAAAAGAATGATAAGAGGAAAAATGTAACTTTCAAAAATTATTTGCTCCTTATACACATATACTCCCAAAAAAAAAAAAAAAAAAATTCAAAGTTCCCGTGTTTCATAATATCATTTACAAATATACATATTTCCGCACACACAAACACATCCCATCCAAAATGTTGAATGTATTTATAAATCATATCAAAACTTTTATTAGCAAACAAATGAAACAAACATAATAACTATCGAATTTTTTTTAATAACAGGAAGAATTATTAACGTAGAGATAGCCAAACGAAATGAACCTCATGATCCAACACCAGGAGAGTACAAAGGAATTCAAAGTAACTAATACATTTTTGATATGTCACCAGCCCATTTTGTGTTAATATTATTTGTTATCCTATTTGTTTGCATATCATCTAATGCACCATGTAATGCTCCATGTATTTGTTTATTTATTTTTTTTTCACATTTTAAAAATATATGTGTTTATAAGATATGCATAATACTATGTTACAACCTTTTTGTTAAATATTTTATTTTCATGTCCTTCACTGTCCATTTTTCATCCTCTAAAAGATATGATTAATAGAAACGGAATGAGGTACGATTTTTATGGAAGAAGATACGACAGACCATTTGATAGAAGAAGATATGATTCAAGAAGGTAATTTAAGCAAATTAATAGAGAATTGTATATATATGGGAAAAAAAAAAATTCAGACGTCATTCCATTGATTATTGTTTACCAGTATTTTTAATTGTTCCTACAATTACAAACTTGTTGTTATATCCATCCTCTCCAGTTTCTCGTACCGTTTTTATATTATTACTCATTATAAGATTATTTGACTGAATTTGTTCAACAAATTTGCTGAGAATTTTATTTCGTTTTAAGGGTTTTCTTGTTTAAAACCTGCAGTGTTTAGCTAGCTTTCATTGTATATATGTATAAACATTCATTGATAAACTCCTATGTTTTTTTTTTCTTTTTTTTTTTTTTTTGCTCACATATTGTGTACATGTATATATATATAAACCCATTAATGAACTTCATTTCACGTTTCATAGGCCATATCCATACTACCGAGATCACGGGAAAAACTTTGGATATTATCGAAATAATCCATACCGACATTATGATAGATATGGAAGAAATGCATATGATGACCACAGGCATTATGATCGAAGGTCCATAGATGACAAGTACTATAAGAAGAATGATTATTACAAACGAAATTTAAGAAGTAGTGATAATGAAAGAGATTATTCTAGGGATAATAGTAAAAGAAGGAAAAGATATGAACAAAGTAGAAAATCGTCAAGTATTTCGAATAGTGAAAAGAGACACTACAAGAACAATTCCCCAGTTGAAAGGTGTTATATTTAATTAAAATTTTTGACAGCAGAGAGAGATATTTTCTTGTTCTTTTTGCATCCACCTCGTGGAGAAGCATTCATGCTTGCATAAATAATTCTCCAAATGAGTGCATAAAAAATAAGCAAAAACTCTTTTTACGAAATGTGCGTGTAAACATCACTCGTATATATATCCCTTTCTCTTTTTAGAAGCCCACATTACAGAAGAAAGTAAAATGATATCATTTACAAATTGTGAACCTTATACCAGAATATTTGTTTATTAAAAACATCACCCAGAATATATTTACAAAATTAGAGGGGTTCTTATTTTTGTATTTTTCTAACTTATGACAATTTTTTTTTTTTTTTTTTTTTTCCTTTTCAAAACTAATAAATCAATGTTTGGAATATGTTCATAAAAATTCAAATTTAAAAATTTTTAAGTTTAAGCATGGTCACATACACACCAAAAAAAAAAAAAAAAAAAAACATATATACATATATATATATTTATACATGTACAAATAAATGAATAGCATTTTTTTCATTTTTTAATTCCCACGCATATGTCATAAAAACTACCAAAATTTTAAAAACAACATTAATAAAAATGCTTCACTTCAACAATCAGCTTGTTCAAAAAAGAAAAAACAAACAAAAAAACAAGCAAACAAGCAAGCAGATAAGCAAGCAAACAGGCAAGCAAACAAACAAACGAACGAACAAGCAAATGTGCAGTTAACTTACCTATTGTTATTAATTAAATATAAGCATCATCATACCTCCATCTTTTTAGCAACTTCTTGTAACTAAAAGAAAGATTAAATGGAATATAACGTTGTTTATAATGTGTCAGTAAAATGTTAGCAAAATCTTCAGCAAAAATATCAGCGAAATGATATGTGAAACAATTCACTACAATAAAAGAACTGAACAAAAACGTTAATATTTCTTGACAGCTTCCAAAAATAAAGGCACAAGAAGCCTTGGATTGTGCAATGCATTTCCTACTGTAAATGTACTCCAAAAAAAAAAAAAAAAAAGAAAGAAGAAAAGCAAAGCAAAACAATACAAAACAAAATGCAATGCATCACAAGTTATATTTTTGCGTTTTCTTAATTTTTACTTAAAAATTTTTACAGGTATGCCTGCCTTTTGTCTGCAGTAATTTTCGCACATTTGCAACCATGTCATCACTTCTTCCCGGGTTTGCGCTCTTACAATTTTAACACGTATAATTATGAGGCAATTAAAGTGAGAAAATGAATAACATAATTAAAATACGATAAAAAAAAAAAAAAAAAAAAAAACCAATAAGTGAGCTGTTTAATCGGGCAAATACTAAGCTGCACAAAGTATAAAGCCAAAGGATCATGAAGAACTATATGTAAAAGCAAAAACGGTGAATCACATCGACAAGCGTGAAGAAGAACAGAACAAAAAACAAAAACGACACGGTGTCCTATGTAAAATTTGTTACCTAAATGGATATATTTTGGAAAACTCCAGGAAACAATTTTTACCCTTGCCTTTTATGCACTGCTCAGGAAAATTGGAATAAAATGAATGAACATGCTTCCTCTCCGCGTCTGAAAAATTTTCATTTAAGTATGCTGCGAATACCCAAAATAAAAACCATTGCGCATGACAAGGATGCTTAACAATATTTGAATTTAAACTTTCATCAAATAAATAAAAATTTTCTTCCTTTATTTTTTCAATTTCATTATTTTTTGTACTATTCTGCATATGCACATTTTGCGTATCTACTTGTTTTAACTTATCCCCATTTTGTAAATTTTCGTTTTTTGACAAAATGTCTGGCACGGACAGATCTTTTTCTTTTTTTTTGTTATTGTCTTCATAATACTTATTACCTTCCGCATTATTTTTTTTCGTATCATTATTTTTATAAAACATGCTGGATGTTACTTGATTACCCATAATGACATACAGATCTTTTAACCCAGTAATGATTAAAATAATGGTCATTAAATAATACTACCATATAATAAAACGAATAAGCAAATCGGTTCTCTCTATCACTTTCCATCACTCTCTATCTCTCATACACATACACCGCGTGCGTGCAGTTCTGTACAATAGTCCAATTACTAGAAATATATATAGAGCACATCTGTCAAGTCAATGCTGCTGCTTCAAGCATAGCGTGTTATGCAGAATACTTCAACAGTTGCGAACCCATATAATCTTATATGCAGATACGTAAATACGAATATTCTGTGTGTTTTTATGAAAAACACTCTGAGGAGCTTCACTTTTCTTCACAGTATTTCTCGCACCATTGGGTTAAATCTCACGAAGCCATTTATTTTATGAATTATTAGTGAACTTTACCTTGTTTTTAAAAAATACCATTTGGGAGGGGCGAGGGAAATCTATTGGGAAATGTCTCTTGTGTAATGATTTTTTGCCTATTATCTTTTCGGTGAATCACAGAAAAAGGGGAACTTTTCCAATTCTCAAAAAGATGTAGAAAGTTCATACATACATGAGTATACATATATATACATATATATATATGCACAGATTTTGCTATCACAGGTACGCTTACCCCTCGATGTAAGCCTCGTGGATTCAAACTCTCACTTATGGAAATGCAATGATTGTTGGTCTACAATATATTAAAATTCTCATGCTTAAATAAAGTAAATCTTTTCTCCGCCACGTAGTAGATATGGCTTACGAAGTTCGTACTGCTCGAAATGATATATGCGTAATTTCTACAATTCGTGTAAATTGTGAAGTAGATCATAATTGAATTTATTTTTTGTTGTGATTGAAAAAAATCAATGCAAGTAAAAAAATACGCAAATTTCAAAGTCCCCTTATGTGTTTTTATATACAACCAAGTTAGGCATATAATTTCAGAAAAATAAATAAATAAAATGGGATCACTTTTTTTTTTTTTTTTTTTTTTTTTATCATGCTTTTCTGTCACTTTTTTTACCCCAACTCCTCCTCCCCCCAACCACTCACAATCTCTTCCGCGACGCTTCCACATTTGTACAAATGGTCACGCAACAAAAATCAAGTTTGCAAAAAAGGATTACGAATTAGTGTATCCTTAAGTAAATAAATATGTTTACAATGTATACACCTTAGTCATAAGTGTTGTATTTAAAAAAAAAAGAAAAAAAAAAAAATAATCGATTAATCAACATATATAAAAGAATAAAGGAAAACCAAGAAAGCAACCCTCGTTTTTGCCATGTAAACGAAAATGTATGGACTTAAAAACTTTCACACATTTGAATAAAACTAATGAATGAAGGCAAAATGAAATGATGCGAAAAAAGGCTGCAGAAAAACAGTGATATTACTACTACTAACAGATGACTTCTTACCCAGCCACCACGAACACATTATTCTCATTACGAATACAAAAAAAACTTGCAGAAACGTTTACCTCATTTTGCACACAATGCTTTTAGTCAACAAAAGTATTAGGCTCGATTATGCTGTAAATCTTATCTTATTATTTTTCTTCACAAAATTAGTTATTCTCACATTATGCAAACACAACTATACCCTTCAAAAGAGTAACATTTTGCATTATAAAAACAGTAACACTTTCCAAGTAGAATTATATTTAAGAGAGAGAAAACATAAGAAGTGTCCAACATTTATCCATTTACATAATCCATACAAAAAGATAGACGTTAATGAACGCCAATATAAACTGAATGATGATTTAAGGAACATTATCCTACTCTTTGGGAGAATAGCCGAACCTTATTATCCAAAAACAGCTGAACAATTTAATTTTTTTAAAGAACCGTACAGTAAATATATCCATACGAACGAAAATAAAAATTCTACAAAATGGAAATACATTTTTAAGGATAAGAACAAAATCAATAAAAATATTTTTTATGAAAAAATTTGTGAACTCAAATTTAAATGGCCAATTAATGAAGATGAAAATATTACAGAATATAATTTCTACAATTTAGTCATAGAAAAATGCCTAAACAATATTAATATTGTTAAGAACAATATACACAATTTGAAAGTCTTTTTAACCAAAGTGATAGAAAGTAAGAAAGAATTTGCAAAAAAGGGCGCAACGCAAATTAATCCAATTGAAGAAAAAAAACTGCATTTCATTCACAATTTGTACAATGACCTGAAAAAGGAATTCTTAAATGAAAATGATAAGGTAGAACAACAGCAGGAGGAGGATGAAGAGGAAAAATGCAGCGACGACTCGTCATCTACAAAAGATGATAAATTAGAAACAGACGGAAGAAAAATTCTTGAAAAATTAGAAAAATTTCATTTAAATGACATTTTTAAGCAGCATAATAGATCCTACAGTAGACTACTTCTTAATGAAGTTTTTAATAAAGAATATCCATCCAAAAAAACAACAGATATATTCTTACATTTGGTTTTTCAAAAAAATGTAGAAGAATTTTCATATGAATATTTTTTAAAATATCTGGACAAACTGGGAAAAAAAATTGAACTTTTCACCTGCAACTACAACTGCAATATTCATTTTGATCAATTTTTTTTTCTTATGAAAAATGAATTTAAAAAAAATTCCATTCTTCTTAAGAAGAAAAAAACATGTCCTCCTAAAATATCGAAAGCGAAAAAGGATTATAATAATGACACAAATAAAAATCTAGCTGCACACAAAACTAAAATGAGAATTATTGAAAATAGACATAACAACATAGCACAAAATGGGAAAAAAAAAAAAAAACAAAATTCTCTCATCATAGAAGATCATGATATTATGACTGAGCACATTAATAAAATACAAAGTGATATAAAAAATGAAGATCCAATGCATCATATAGAAAACTTGGATAATCGCCAATCAAATTTTTTAATTCCATCTAATTTGGAAAACGAAAAAAATATAAACCAAACTAAAAAAATCCACATACATATTCACACAAATTCCCAAACTGTGGTGGAAAACCTCAAAGGCACAGTTATTAAGCTATTTAACTATATCGTAAATACCATCAAAAATGCCTTCTAAAATGGGTGGTGTAAAAGATAACATGAATTTTCCTTCAATATAGTAACACACTTTTTCATACACATTTCATACAATCATCGTATGCATTATGCATACATGGAATCATATGTGCATGTTGATTAAACCCCATCCAACTAGTTAATACTCCACCAGCATATTATTATTTACCAAATGCTTCAGACACAGGAAAACTATATTTACATTTCTTCCCTTTACACCGTTATTTTTATCCTGCTTTTTTTTTTTTTTTTTTTTTTTTATCAGAAATAATTTTCAAATAAGATATAATTACTTTATCTCATTTTTGAGGAATTTCACAAATTGTCACAATTTATTATATCTTCTTTTCAAAGTATCTTAGGATAGGTGCTCCTAAAATATATCCTTTGTCGTCCCCTTCACACGCTTGTCCTTATTCTATTTTTTTTTTTCTTTTTTTTTTTTTAATCATACACTCACATTACAACAGAAATAATAACACATACACATGTAAAACCTATTTGTGTTTGTTTTCTTCCATTTTCGTTTCAACATAGGCTTATCATTTCGCGTACACATTGTATAATTGTTCCATATGACAACAAAACTGTATTTTCATATTAAACGGAATTGAGTCACTTTTGTGCATGATTCATACTTTTGTGTTTCCCTTTTTTTATGTCTAGAAATAAAAAAAAAAAAAAAACTCGAATAAAAATAAAGTTGGAAATGTCTATATCTTAAAATTTATTTAAAAAATGAAAACCTTTTCAGTTTCCTGGCTAATGTTAAATATTTTGCACCGCTAAAATATAAGTAGGGGTAATCTTCCAACTAGCATAAGAATAAATTTTTTTTTTTTTTTATTTTTGTGATAATACTATGTGTCGTCAATAAATGGAGGGCACAAATCGCTTCCAAAGTGGATAAGAAAAAAAAAAAAAAAAAATTACCTCTAATTAGAACTTTTTTTTTTTTTTATTTGTGCCCACTTTAACAATCTTGTACGCAATTTTTTTTCTAAAGGCATATAATATAAATTCCTTTTAAGTCCTCTTTGATCTGCTGAATCATGAGAAAAAGGAGCTCATAAAAGTGTGTTACATTCCCCCGTAATGTGAAAAATTTTGTATGATTTTTCATTTGTGTATTCCCCTTTTAGTCTGCACCAAAAAAATTGTCTCAAAAAAATAAACGAAAGAAATAAAAATCTACGATATACATTTTTTTTTATTTTATTTTTCTTTCCCCCCCCCCAAAACAATTCCTTACCCATTTGAGAACTCCTAAAATTTGAAGTACATACATAAACGTTTAACCCTTATTGTAATATGTTTATTTCATTTCCTATTACCACCTTTTGAATACAACCCTGTGGGTAGTTTTTCCCCTTTATGTATGAATACATACATATATATACATGTATACATACCTTGTTTCATTTTTATTCTTTTCCTTATTCTCGAAGAAAACTCTAAAAAGGAAGCATTTAAAAAAGTGGACATTCCTTCACACCACTCAACGGATGCATCACAATGTACTTTTTCATTTTAGTTGAAACTGCTTACTGTGATTAATATTTCTCTTTTATTTTGTTCATTACTTTGTTCACAATACTGACCACTACCCTATTCCGGCCACTACCCTATTCCGACCACTACCCTATTCCGACCACTACCCTATTCCGACCACTACCCTATTCCGACCACTACCCTATTCCGGCCATTACCCTATTCCGGCCATTACCCTATTCTTGCTACTACCCTATTCACTATATTGTTCATTATTTTATTTTTCCCTACACAACCCTTTCAGACATTACCCTCCGTTCGCATCCATCTTCCTCCCCTCAACAGCCTCTCATGAAAAACAAAGAATATCAAAAATGTTAGGAAAGTTTATTTCCGAAACTTACAATAAAGTGAAAAGCAAAGCTGATGAAGTGAGATTACATGTAAGTGTTCAGGCTATAAAAGCGAAAGAAGTTTTGGGGTTAGTAAAGCCAACAACTATTGAACAATTGGAGATTTTACTAAATTATGAATTACAGCAAATAGATACAGGAGAAGCGTTAATTGGAACATATAAAAAATGGATATACAACATATCCCAATCTGAAAAAAGTGAATGTATAAGATATTATAAATCTATAAAACCAACTAACGAAAAAAAGGAGTCAACAACTCTTACCACCCAATCCTTTACGAACAGTAATGAAAAACATAAATACAATAATATTCAGGAAAGAAGGAAAAGCGAAGTTACATTACCGAATAGTAATATCACGAGTTCATGCAACAATGACATGAATGATGTGTACGATTCCCACTCCAACAATGAAAAGAGTCATATAGAACAAGAGACAATTTTGGATATACATGCTCAAAACAATGCAGTAACAACAACCACAGTTAAGTTAAACGACAATGTTAATTCCGATCCACAGCAACATTTAAGTCTTAAGAGCAAGGAAGTTCAATCAAACGATAAATGCAAAATAGGAGATGAGTTGCTCATCACAGATAAGAGTAAAACGAATTCAATCAATAAATATGAATCCAATACTATTATAAACAAAAAGCAGATGACTACCTACATCTATGATGATCATTACGGTTACAATTTTAAAGAATATTTTTTAAAAAGTAATATTTTAGAAAAGTCTATTAGCTTAATTTTAGAAAAAAGAGAAATCAGATTATCTCTAGTTGGACCAATAGAAACAGATGATTTAGATAATCCACGAACGACAATCCTAACCATGTTTAATCATTGCCTTATGGGAAATGAAAAACTACATAAAGATATTCTTTTCATTATATTAACAACAGACAAACTATTTGATAATCACAAAGAATTATTTTTAGAATTATTAACTATTCTTAAATATGATCATTTAGATATATACTTAACTAATATAAGAAAAATTATATCATCTGAAATTGTTTCTTTAAAAAGCAAAATTCACTTTTACGACTCGCAATTTATGAATATCAATAAGTTAATCCATTTAGATAACATTACTCCAAAAACCAGTATCTCTTCCATAGATTTAGAGAAGGACGACGAAAATGATCACCAAAAGTATGGACATATGGTACATCAGGATTCATCGATTCTAAATCCATCATTTAATTCTAACTATCTTCCTACAGAATCTCATCTCAGGAATCATAAAATAGATAATAATCAAGCAATAATCGACAACAGTGATGAAAAAAACGAAAGTTATCCTATAAATGAACAACGAGAGGTCGTAAGTTTGACTGATGAAGCAAACTTAACTGAAGTAGTGGATCCAAGAGATGTGATTAAACATCTGAAAAATCAACAAATCGATGATACTCCAAAAACGAACGAGGAAAAAATATTCGAAATAGAAAACGCTCATGATATCAACAACAACATGTGCACGGAACTCTCGAAGGAAATTTTCCAAATGGATTTATTATCAAACGAAAAAGAAATTATAGAATCAAACAAAATGCAACAAATAAAAATCCTGGCCTCGTCCAAGTTGATAGAATTACACAAAACTTTACAAAGAGTTTTAATATTAGCAACAGAAAATAGAGAAAACAAAAAAATAGAAATAAAAACAAAATTAAAAGAGTTGAAAAAAATAATGGATGTTTGTAAAAAGGATTGTGAAATAACCCTAAACGATACAGAAGATTCAAAGACACATTTAGAAAATGCATATGTAAAAGAATTAGATGTAAAAACAAATAGCATTAGCAAAACACAAGAACAAATAAATCAAATGAAAAGTAATATAGATGAACTCTTAAAAAAAAAAAAAGAATTATTTAATCAATATCAACTAATATGCAATGAAATTAATTTAAGAAATAAAGAGCTATCAACAGTCTTATCCACACTAACAAATTATAAAAAGGATTTAAATGAAGCAGAAATGAATTATTTAAACAAACTTTCAAATACAAATAAAGCAAAGCATATGCACCAAGAAAGGAAATTATATATATCACATCTGGACACTATATCGGATGAAATTCTAACAGAGTATGGAAATTCCTCCTATATAAACACAGAAGAACTCTTATCAAAAACGATTAAAATCAAAAAACCAATAAACCAAGCTATTATGAAACACTTAATTTATTTGAAAGAAAAACTAATTATACTAAATGCTTTGTTAAAATTTTATGTTCATCGAGTGAATTCTATCCTTGGCCAAAACGATATTGGAGAAGGCCCAGACGATCATCACCCTACGAACCAGTCATTGTATTCTGAGATCTACAACATCGAAGGCACGAATAGCCATGACACAACAGACCATCACAACCATGACACAACAGACCATCACAACCATGACACAACAGACCATCACAACCATGACACAACAGACCATCACAACCATGACACAACAGACCATCAAAACTATGCCATAACAGACCTCCACAAGCGTGCCACGTCAAACAACTCAAATGACGACAAACGCGAAGATCACAATGCAAGCGTAATGAACTTCCCAAGTAGCCCCATCATAAATCATCATGAACAGGAAAAAAAAAAAAAACTAATGAAATATAAAAATTGTTATTTTAAGATTGTTGAACAAATAAGTAAAATATGGGTATCTATACAGGAATTTTATGATCTCAATAAGGAGAACATAGATCAAGAGGAAACCGAGTGTTCTCCCAACTTTGTATATCAGCAGATTAACGAAATATATAATTACAGCAAAAAGTTTATCATGCATAATGATTCTATCGTCTCCTCAATTGTTTGATTTTGCAAGTGCTGGTAAAGCAGGTTTTCCCCAGTGTATATGTGCATATACATAATGTGCTCGAGGTCGTGTGTAAGATTTATACATATATATATATATATATATATATATATATATATTCCCTCGCTAGGGTCCGTTTTTTTTTCTTCATATAATACATACACTACATTTAAGCACTTCAATTTTGTGCGTGAATCTTTTTTTTTTTTTTTCTACCATTGTTTGTTCCATTTTCATCCCTTTGAGGGAATTGCCATAATAACCTGTGACACCAAATGAATGGGAAAATTATGCAAACGAAAGCATGTCCCTATACTTTCTTTCACACGACCTCCTCATTGTTAAGCAATAACAATACTTCATTGTGAGTATATATATGTATATATATATACCGCAGACGCAATATTTATTTCATCATTTCTCTGTTTTTGCTTTTTTTTTTTTTTTTTTTTTTTTGTTCATATATTGTTTTTTTCAACACTGCTCGTTTACTAGCAAAACAGTTTAAACTCCAACAGATAAGAATACATATAATGATTTCACCCAATATACATACATAGACACATGCATATGTTTATGTATATGGAGAAAGCAAAAGGGGTAGCCTTCGAGCTATTCTATTTGGGCCTTACGTAACATTTTTCAACGTGAGGAAACGCGCACAATGTAAAGTAACGAAACCTGTAGGAAATAACCACCGGAGAAATATTTTCACCAGCGTGATATCACCAAAATTAAACAAAACAATAATACACACTTCTAAAGGTTTCTTAAAAAATACACTCAAATAAGGAAAAGATGCGAAGTGTAAAGTTTAACAGTAAAAATTTCCTACCTATTTCGTATAATAATGATTCAACATAAATAAATTTATTACAAAAGATCAAGCGGCCAATAACATTCTAATTAAATAAACCTCAACTTAATACCATCAAAAAATTGCAATACTGCATTGTGTATGTAAAAATTTGCTTATATTAAAAAAAAAAATTTTAATTCTGCATTTTCCATGTGGTGATTACATATTTAACAGAGGTAATTTTAACCTCCTAAAAGCCCCGAATAATAAAAAAAAAAAAATAAAATAAAATAAAAAAAAAAAAAAATAGTAAAATTAAAAAGGAAAAAAAAAATGAAATAAAAAGCTTGTGAAATAATATGCATGCATACATAAATACTTAAGGGATAAGAAACAACTTATTAGGATTTAAATTAATTTTCCGTGGAGCAATAACTTTTCCACTTAAGTGACGAATTCGCGTGTGTATGCTGAAGAAGTTGAAATTTAGCGAAGGCTCTGCTCGCCCTACGCTTTTTTGCATTTGCAGATTTTGCATGGGGTGTAGGACTATAGCATTATAAACACACTTGTTAAGAAAAGCAAAAAAGAATCAAATTGTAAGAAATAATCCCCAATTGGACGTAATTGTAAGAAATTATGCGAAATAACGTGAAACACACGGAAACATAAGCGAAACATCCCCACCAACATAAGTTCATCAAACACAATTTCAACATGCAAGAGGACCATGCAAAAAAATGAGGGAAAAGAAAATTTGTATTTTAAGGGATCCCCATATAGCCATGTTAATAATCCGCGAAATAAATGCGCAAGCTACTTCGACATAAATCAGATTAAGCAATTATGCACCACTCAAAGTGCAAATGGGTATGAACAAATTTTTTGTCCATATTATAAAGAAGAAGAAAAGGCAGTAAAAAAAAATAAAAAAGAAATACTCAACATGAAAATTTCATTACCCTTGTCCCGGAGTGGTAACAACAAAATGAATCAAATAAAGAAGAAAAATTGGTACTCAAAAAGAAAATCATTAACTGAATTAACACCCATTCATTACACCCAGTCGTACACAGCAACGGCAGACCAGTACAAAAATTACGAGGAAACAGTAACATCCATAGGGCTAAAAGAAAAAAAAAGAATGAAATTAAATCCTTTTAATGAAGATTCAGACTTTTTTCATGGTAATTCCTTTGATCAAACACCAAGAAAATGTTCTACATTTAACAATTCCAGAACAGAAGAAAAAGAAGAAGGCACAAATGTGTATAATCCAAATTCTAGTATAAACAAAAGTAATAAAAAAACATTCATTAATACAAACAGTTCATTAAATAAATATGATTTTATTAGATATGTGTGTTCTCCTACGAAAAAATCATGTAACAATAAAAATACAAAATCTGAAAATGAAATTTACAACACACCTAAAAATAGTACTCCCAAACGAACAACCAAAACAGATTTATTCGATAATACCAATTCGTATAATTATAACCATAGCACGGACAATTCTATTTTTGTTGCATGTGAAAAAAAAAGCAATATACTTCACCATAGCAGTTTTGACGAATATAATGAAAAATCCAGAATTCATGTGCAGCCCATCGATGACGAAAATCCAGAATCGAGCAAAGGGAATAAAGTGCTCGATGATCGAAATGATCACATCACAGTTTCTGAAAAAAATGGAATCAATAATACCAAAAATTATGACTTCAAAAAAGTCTCTGAATATGAACAAACAGTTGCTACAAACAGTACCATAAAAAATAACGGAAAATGTTATGAAGGGGGCACCACAAACGGCAGAAATAACGACCGCTTGCATTCCCCTAAGAATGATGAACATAAGAATGGATTTATCGATTTGGATAACTACGATTCCATCGATCGACTCAGCAAGAACTTTTTCATAAACAACAAAAAAATTTTCATCAATGATTTCAGCAAATCTAAGGGAGAATATATTAACCATACCAAGGGCAACATGGACAATCATAATAGGAATGTTTCTCGAAATGATAGCACATTGCATAAAAGCATAGAAAAAGGGAAAAATTATATTTACACACAAAAAAGAGATGAAAATATCAGAGGAAAAGATAACAATCAAGGAATTAACACAAATGGTGATATCACACAACAAGACCCTTCTAGAAAATTGAACGATTCAAGTCGCGGAGACTGCATTCAATGTGACGTTGATAATTTCGATGTGGATAATTACGATGTGGATAATTACGATGCAGAAAATTGTGACATCGATAATCACGATGTGGATTATTGTGATGCAGAAAATTGTGACGAGGAAAAACATGATAAGAATAAAACCAGTCGCAGTACCGAGTGGAAATTTGATGAAGGGGACCCCGATGAACAGCAAAGGGACAGATGGAGCTACCTACGAGATATGAATACATTCGTGAGGAAAAACTACAACACGACGAAATCTCTGTATAACTATTTAGACGTGTCATATAACTGTAGTAAGGAAGAAATTAAAAATTCATATAAAGAAAAAATAAAAGTGCATCACCCAGACAAAGGAGGAAAAATAAAAAAATTCCTAGAACTAAAATTATCATACGATATTCTAAGCAATGATAAAAAGAGAAAAATGTATGACAAGTATGGACATAGCATATTAGAATTATTAATAAGTGAAAAATTTCAAGATTATCATATTTCCTCATCAGATGAAAATAATGAACAAGTAATAGATGAAGAAAATTTGAAGATATACGATTTGCTTGTTCAGAAATATAATAATATTTCTTATTTACATAATTTACACGATTTAAAAATTGATAGTAACCAATACAATGAATTTCAAAAATTAATTTTCCATTTTTTCAATGATGAAAACCCAATGTTTAAAAATACATTTTATTTATACCCACTTTACTCCCCATATATATCTCTTTATAAAAAAAAAAAAAAAAAAAGTAAAAAAAAAACACATAATTTGGAATTATCAGAAACTTCAGAAAAGTCTACCATGCATTATGACGAAATGAACGATTCCCTCAGTTCAGGAAGAAGTGATATATCTAAAAATTCATTTCCATCGAATTACAACATAACAAATGAAATTACAATTTTCGACATAATAAGCAGAAAACAGGTTACAAATATGTTTAATGAATTGAACTTAGAATTTGAATATTTTTACAAAAACAGCATAATGAATAAAATAGAACAATCAGAACACTTTAACAACACCAAGTACAACAAAGAAAAAACATTTCAAAAAATAAAAAACCAGAATGACGAATACCATTCAAAGTTATATCCGAATTGTTACAATACCACAGCAACCATAAGGAAAGATACACAACATCCAATGGAATCACCATCAGTAGATGAAAATACAACACCCTCTGGAGCACACAATTATAAGCATTCCCAAGAAAGATATAATTTCAACATTTCAAACAATTTTAGTCAAAATAACCATGGTCATTTTTTTAGGGAAATTCAAACGTCTCCAATTGCATATAAAATCATTAACGAAAATAACGAAAATCATATTACCGAATTTTACAAATGGTTTGAATTTTTTTTCAATCATCAAAAAGAATCTCAAAGGGAAAGATTAGAACGTGACAATCAAACAACCAGCACAAAAGATACACTCACCCAACCAGATACACTCACCCAACCAGATACACTCACCCAACCAGATACACTCACCCAACCAGATACACTCACCCAACCAGATACACTCACCCAACCAGATACACTCACCCAATCAGATTCACTCACCCCACCCGACGAACGAAATATAAGAAAAATTCCTTTTTGTGACTCCAAGTGTGAACAAAATCGAAAGGAGTACCACACCCCGAGAAAAACATTCTTGAATATGAAAAATGGTGAGGCTGAATCGAAGACTCGTAACCATAGCAGACGCAAAGATGAGTTGTACTTTATGCAAAATGATGAAGGTAGTGCAAAAAATAATTATGAAGGACTCAAAACATTTCAAGATTGTAGTCATAATTTCTGTGCATTTGATCAACCGTTACATAACAGAAATAATGACTTCGAGAATGCAGAAGAAAATGGGAATATGCAAAACTCAAGAGATCGATCTAGAAACACACATAACAACGTGTATAGAAACATGGGTAATTATCAGAATAAATATACAATTTGTTATCAAAACAGAAACGAATTTTATGAAAACGCTGGAACTACACCCATTTCACATATTATAACAGCAGAAGAAAAATCAAACAAATTGGAAATACATCACCAGAAGTGGCACAACAATAATACCCACTTTCAGACGAACACGAATATAACTCCAATATTCAAAAATAGTACACCGAAAATGAGCGAAAAAAATAAATGGAGTCAGAATAAATCACACGAAAAAAATCCAGTTGAAACAAGGAACAATAGTAGTAATAACATTGTGGAAGACAATATAGATCTAAATATTGAAGAAAAATATGGCTTCAATTTGATCAAGAAAAGTAAACAAAAAATTAAAGATTTAACACACGATTTTAATTATATATATATAGGAAATAATGTAAACAAAAAGAAAAAATATATATTATTTATAAAAGAAGAATGCATCAAGCAATTTTTAAAAATCAAATTACTAATTCATAAAATTAGAAAAAAATCAAATTTGAAACTTATATCCATATTCGAACATGAAATAGATAAAAATATAAAAAACATGGAATATATATTACTCCTAATAACACATAAAGATGAATTGATTCCCTTAAATGATTTTTACTTACTTGATAAAAATATTTTTTCAAAGGACTATTATTGTATACCTATATATATAAAAAAGAACATAATAATTAGACCAACTTTTTTTCACTTCAAATGGATTGTATACACTATACAATCATTTATTTTTTTTAATTTCTATTTTAAAAAAGTAAACAAGTATATGTGTGCTTTCCCCTTTTTTAATTATAAATATAATATTTTCAAAAAATTTATCGAACCTGAAGAAAAAAACATTAGCATCAGCAGAAGCAACAGAAACAGCAAAAGTAACAACCACTACAGCAACCACAATAACAACCAACATCATATAAAAGATTTATACATATTTTTTCAGCAACATATCATCAAAAATAAACCACAATATTTGAAATACTTCCCTCACTCTTTAATTCTCTATTTAAAAGATATCGTATCACCAAATGAACACAGTACAAAAAATATTACTGTGAACATACCCTCAATTTGTGTTCTAACACCCCATAAACCGTTGGGTCCCATGGAATACTAGGTTATGCATAACAGTATATATCTTATTTATGATTACACAATTGTACGCAAAATAATAAAAAAAAAAAAAATCAGTAGAAAAAATAAAATGTTCATATAAATCCATCTAACGAAATTGTTCTATATATACATAATTAATTCATATCCCCACCAGACATAATGATGTGCCTTATTTTTATTTTATTTTATTTTTTTTTTTTTCATGCGTATTGTCTAGCGCATTTTTATCGATAAGCACTTTTTAATACAGGGCATTCCGTTTGTTAAATACAATTATCTTATACAGTTCCAATCTCATAATTTTTGTTGCCAAATATATGGCTCAAATACATGAATCATATTCCCTCCGACCTGCTTAACTTTTCACCACATCCTATGGTGATTTAACATTTGATTTATGCTCCCTTATGCCATTGTACTGTTTCACCGTTATTCTTATGCTGCTATTTTATTGTTTTTTTTACCTTGTTCTGTTTTCATCATAAAAACTATTATATGCTTATCATATTTCTACCCCATTCTACATATCAACAACTTTTACACGTTTTTACCACCCTTCTTTCTTTCCTTATTTTTTAATGATAAAAAAACAAATGAACCTCACAATTTCATTTCTATATGATACCAAAATATAGGAATAAATTTTTCTTTTTCTCCTTTCGAAATACATTCCCTAATTGATTTTATACATAGATAAGCAAAAATATATAACTTTTCCACTCTTGCATAATATGTACGTAATTCCAAATGTGTATGGGTTTCGGTAAAATTGATTGCCATCACACTTGACACACACACAAACATATATATTTATATATAAAACTGGATCAGCAACAGTATGTCAAATATTGACACTCCTACATCACCATTTTGAACTTTTTTAAAAAAAAAATAAAATTTTCATTCCCTCTCTAATAAACCATTTCTCTTTATCCCACAATATTTCTTACATACAAATTCAATGAAAAGGGGATGAGCACAAACAGGTTATTTAGTTATTATATTTTTGTTATTAACCAACTTGTCCTATCGTTTCGATATTTCATCGTTCCACAATGCATGCACATTGCAAGATTTGGTCTATGTGTCTACAACACCTGATTAAAATACTTCAAATATTGTACTTGCTCAACATGCATACATATTGTTTATATATATGTATACATAAATAGACATTTAAATAGAATCACTTGATTAATTCATTATCAATTCTGACACTTTCGTCAATTTTCTCTCATCACCCCTTTATTAAAATAGAAAATTAGTTCCGTGAAAAATTATCTTATATCATCTCTCTCAGCTCAAATGAGGCGTGTACATACGAATTATGTGCAGCGAAAAAAAATGTACAACTACATGATTGTTCATACCAAAAAAATTACTAAATGTTACATTAACACATTCCTGTGTGTTCATACAAATGTGCATTTGGGTTCTTTTCATTTCCCCCCCATTTCGTTCTACGCATTCTTTATTTTGGAAAAGTTTATTCATCATTTAGTTCTACAATTTCGTGTCCTCTTCACCATTTCGTCACTTCACCATTTCACCATTTCACCACATCACCATTTCACCACATCACCATTTCACCACATCACCATTTCACCACATCACCATTTCACCACATCACCATTTCACCACATCACCATTTCACCACATCACCATTTCGTAATATGTTTCTTTCCCCCTGTGTTTTATCATACCTTGTTTATAGATCTATGTTGGCACTTAATGTAACATTAACATCTTCCACCTAACTTCAGGCCTTTTAACTTTACCTAGATTATATACGCATATGTTATGCATGTTCTCTACAAGTTTAATTTTTTGGAAGTCCCATTGCCAAAAATGAAAAAGAGATTCAAAACGAAGGTAATATATATGTTATAGGGTAATTAAATCTAATAGTTAAAATGGTGCCTAAACTGAACTCAATTCATGAATAATAAATGATAACAAACAAGAAAAAAAAAAAAAAAAAAAAAAAAAAAAAAAAAAAAAAAAAAAAAAAAAAAAAAAAAAAAAAAAAAAAAAAAAAAAAAAAAAAAAAAAAAAAAAAAAAAAAAAAAAAAAAAAAAAAAAAAAAAAAAAAAAAAAAAAAAAAAAAAAAAAAAAATAAAAAAAAAAAAAAAAAAAAAAAAAAAAAAAAAAAAAAAAAAAAAAAAAAAAAAAAAAAAAAAAAAAAAAAAAAAAAAAAAAAAAAAAAAAAAAAAAAAAAAAAAAAAAAAAAAAAAAAAAAAAAAAAAAAAATAAAAAGTAAAAAAAAATTTAAAAAGAAAAAAAAAAAAAAAAAAAAAAAAAAAAAAAAACATAAAAAAAAAATTTTAAAAAGGCCAAAAAAAAAAAAAAAAAAAAAAAAAAAAAAGCATAAAAATAATATATTAAAAAGAGAAAACTCGAAAGGAATCCAACAAATGTAAAAAGAAAAACTATCCATGCAAAAGAAAAAGAAAAAGAAAAGTATATTTTACATATACTAGTGTAAACGATAGATTACATATTTTGTATAGCTACATTATATATTCAAGAAAATATATATATTCGAGATCCATATATTGAACAAATAAAAATATCCAAACTGTAATGCATGGGAAGGAACTATGCAAAAATTAAAACCCTACAAAAGAGCAACACTTGAAATAAACACGTTTATAATGAAAATAGTGTAAATTTGTTTTATATTAATCATATTTGATCGATTTTTAACTCATTTTCTTGTTTCAAAATTATGAGTCAATCAAATAAAAAAATTACCAAAGCCAAAATAGAAGGCATAAAGAAAGATGACCTGGATGTATTTAAGAGTTCCTTAATACCCTTTAATGCCACAGTAGAAAAATACAGTGAAAATGAGTATGTATATATATAGATGCTATTGGAACATCTTGTAGAACTGCTACCACAAAAGCACCATACTGTCACACACCACACATCATCACATATATATAAATATATATATATATGTATATACACACTTGTATCCGTCGTTACATTTGTACAAATTCTCAAATGCCTATTTGGTATTTGTGAACATCTCCCTTTTCAATACCTACACGCTGCAAGCCTTCTTTGCTTATGGAAAGAAGTTCAACTCTTTTTGTCGAAGCATTTTGTGTATATTTTGTATTATATTTTTCAAATGTTTCATTTTCTTTTTTCTTTTTCTTTTTTTTTTTTTTTTTCCAGTGAATCAGCCACAGTATTATTCAAGGGGGGCATAGAAAAAAAGCATCTCGATGGAATTGGGAGCTATACAATTAAGCCCATGTAAGTAATTATGCAAACAGATTAACATAGACATACTGTTGCAGGAATGTACACACCTATGCATTTATATATCCACTTATATATATACCTAGAAATAGTATATATACATATAATTTTCATGAAATAATACATGGTGTTATCTACATACACATATTATGTATACAACGAATATCATATGCCCGTGTTATCACGGTGTATCAATAATTAAACTTATGGCTAGTAAATAGAAAGTGACCCCCATTTTGTTCATCGGATGTGTATACATACGCATATACATAATTTTTTTTTTTTTTTTTTTTTTTTTTTTTCTTACCATTCCCCTCGCAACCCCCCAGGGAATACGAAGGAGATTCTAGCGATCAGGTATAGTTTCATTTCACATACATATTTTCAGAAAAAAATAACCCATGTGTAACATCATGCCTTATCGCGCAAGAACAGAGCCATTACCATCACAAAAATCGAGAATAACTTACCATATAAATCATTTTATTTGCTTCCTTTTTTTTTTTTTTTTTTTTTTGTTTCTTGCAGAATCTGAGAAAACGAAACGCAAATATAATTTGTGATCGAATAGTAGTAGACGAGCATGACATCATTAAATTTTTTTTGAACACCAAGTAATACACATATAAGAAAATATGAATTTTCGATAATAAAATTATGCATAATATTAAACCGAAAACTATAAATGTTGATCAGTTGATATCAAATACCATGTTACACTTATTAAACATATTAAACATATTAAACATATTAAACATATAAAACATATTAAACATGTATTAATAACGTCTTATTCTTTTTTTCCCTTTTTTTTTTTTTTTTTTTTTTTACTATTATTGTTCAGGCTAATCGCTCCCGTGATATTTGTCCTTTTGAGTCTGCTGATATTTTTTTCCATTTTTTGATTAGTCTACAATTATACGAGATAGTATAGATTGTACGTATATATTTTTTTTTTTTTTTTTTTTGCCAATGCATTATAAGGTGTATATATATGTGTGCTTTCCTTCTTTTCCTTTCCTTTTCTTTCCTTTCCTTTCCTTTCCTTTCCTTTTTTTTTTTTTTTTTTTTGGAGATACTTAAATAAACATTTTTCATTTTCACATATTCTCTTAACATATAACAACTTTAACATAAAAAAATAAAACATTTTGAATAATATTTGAACGTGTGTTTCCCTTTATATGTCCCCTTGCATATGCACGCTTATTATTAACGTGTTATTTGTGTCCTAACAACAGAGGTAAAAAAGGAGCATGAGATAAGGCAACAAAATCGTTATTAAAAATATTTTTGTTTCATTTAATTTTCTGTTAGCTTAAAATTGGAAGGTAGTAATATGAAAAAAATAAAATAAAATAATAAATAAAAAAAATAATATTTGTTGTATATAAAATTAAGGGTTATTTTTAATTAAACTATCTCCCCTTTATTTTCAATTTAATTCAAAGAAAATTTTCTATTTTATTAGTCAAAGAAAACGATTCTAAAAAATATGTAATTCGCACACATTTTAAAGAAGAAAATGTAAATTAACAAATCCATATGTGATACCAACCCTCAATATGTGTTTAACATATTAAGTTGTCTTTAAAAAAAAAAAATCCTGATAAAGTTAATGTGCAAAAGGAGTCCTAATAAACTTTTAGTAAACCATGCTGTTTAAATGTTTCACATATGTGTATATATGTATGTATCCATGTATGCATGTAAACGTGTGTGTACACGAATCAGTGTGATTAACACTTTTTTTTTATTCTTTTCGCCTTTATTTTTTTTTTTCTTTTTACATTACTCATACACAGATTTTTAGAAAACAAGTCGGTGCACTAATTTACACGCACTTTTTTTTTTTTTTTTTTTTTTTTTTTTTTTTTTTTTTTTTTTTTTTTTTTTTTTTACTTCAACTTACACATTGACTAATCGAATAAAAGAGGAAGCGGATTAAATGCTTCTATTTTACTTAAAGTTATAGATAATAAAAAAAAATTTCCATTGATATTCTGTCCATCTAGTAGTTGACAAGTGGTATTCCATAGCGTATGTGTGTATATTTATGCACGTATGCATATAGTTCACTACCAACACATAAATCATTGTGATTATTATCTAATTTTTTTATCTAAAATGTGGTTTATGTTGCTGTCTTTCTTAACAGTTCAAAGATCTGCATATGATTTCCCTCCGATTAGTGTGAAACAGATATACATATATATATATATCTGTGTTTGTATTTTTTTTTTTTTTTTCTTTCGCTTTTTCTCCCATTTAAATTTGTCTCCAACTATTGGAGTGTTACTTTCCGCAAGAACAGTCTACCACTGAATATTCAATTTTTCGCTAACGCTTTAAAGATTTGAAGGACTTTTTTTTTTTTTTTCTTTTTCACCACTCAGTAATGTTGATGCACAAATGTGTATTCATTTTTTTTCGATTTTATATATTTCTTTTTACATGTTGTTATATGTACTTTTGAGTTCAATGTGTAGCTCCCATTTTTCATCCCTTTTTTTTTTTTTTTTATTTTATTTTATTTTTTTTTTATCTTATCCCCAAGTTTGCTTAAACTAGCCCAAACCACAATCTTTTAATTTCGTTCTATCATGAAGAAGTGTAGTTGTAAAATTTTTTTCTCTTCATCCAGCTGTATAACATGTCCACCTATGAACTTTTTAAACATCTGTTCTTATGCATTTATATAACTCCATTTATATGGATCTCTCTTTTCAAATATGTATGATGTGCTTGCTTAATGATTTATATATCATCTTCCTAATGCAAATGCTGTAAATTAAATTTTACATATTTTTGAAAGTTATACATGTATATGCTTGTGCTTGTATATGATTCGTATCAAAATGCCGATTCTTCGGCTGTTTGCATTTGCTTAGGGATATATGTGCCTCGGATATGGTAACAACATGTGTCTACTCCTTGGAGACGGCCAAGACTCTTGCTTACAATTGGATGGGCAAGAGGGTAAGAGAAATTTTTGCACCACCATTTCATTAGAGGTCACCAAAAGTGCATCACTATCATATCACTATACCAGAACTGTTGCATCACTACCATATCACTAGATCAGAACTGCTGTATCATTAGCATATCACTATACCAGAACTGCTGTATCATTAGCATATCACTATACCAGAACTGCTGTATCATTAGCATATCACTAGATCAGAACTGCTGCATCAGTAGCCCTCGCCCATCCAGCTAACGAACCAACAGTTTAGAGAGAAAATGGAGAACCCTATCAGACACTCGTTGGACATAAAGTCCGAAGATTTTGTAGTCTTAATTTGTCTTCAGAATTTGCAGACATTTATTATGATAGGTTATACGGCAATTAATAAGGAGCATTTAAATTTTGATTTTTCCTACTTATGGGCATTATGTATCGGAAGTGTTTTATTCATTTATTCACTGATAAGTTTTGTCTTTATAAGATCTTTTGTATTTTCCAAAATAGATATTGGGAAATATGTACTAGAATTATTATTCTGCATAAGTGTAGTGGTCACATGTTCACTGTCAATTATAACAGATTCTTTCAAAATTGCAAATATGCAATTACTTTTTTTTGCTTTTGCCTTAACAGGATATGCATACTACAATTTAATTATCCTGTTTTTTTTTAGTACTCTAATTGGTATCATTATTCAATGTAATTTGAATATTAGTGGATTCAGAACACATATGAATTCTTTAATTATCTTCGATTTCTTTTCTTATATTTTACAAATTATTGGAGGAAATATCTTATACTTTCGTATGTATGAACTGTGTACCCTTATTGTTATATCCAAGAAAAACCCATGTAAATATGTTGTAGCATCCAAAGAAGTTAAACAAATGGAAAAACGAATCTTCTCATCATTACTTAATTCTTACATGTGTATGAGATCAAAAAATTCTTCAGATTTAACTTATAATAATGAATTCTTTACTAAAGGCACTCAATCTATTCTAGATAGGGATACAAATGCAAAGGGAAGTTTTCATGGAATTAATAATTATCAAGAAAAAATAAACCATTCCAAAAAGTTCTTCCTTCGTAGAAGCAAAAAGGAAAAGCGAAGCATGCGTTCTCATAGATCCATGTATGGGGATAATAGCAAGTACAACAATAGTCGAAGTATAGCAAATTTTCTTACAACAAAACACAGCCATTCGCACCAAAAGAAATTCAAAATATCCAATACATTACCATTTCATAATAATCTCATACATAATCATAGTATTGTTATTCATAACTCACCTTGCAAAAAATCCATTTCATCAAAAATTATCTATAATAATGACACTCATCATAGGGCCAAAAAAAAAAATTATGAACATTTCAGCAAATCAAAAAATGTAAGCATATCAAAGAATTTAAACAGTCATGTAAAGAAAAAAAAAGGTATCCATTATTCTACTACCAATATCAATTCCAATGAGAAAGGCACAACCCTCTTGGACGGCAAATTGGACAAAGCAGAACCTACAGACAATGAATATCTCATACCAATTAAGGGAACCAACACTTATAAAAAAACATGCGAGAAACAATCTGTGCATGAAAGTTTCAATAAACCTACTGCCATGGCTCACGTGCTGGATTCAAAATGTACCACGCAGTATAGCAGTGGACGCGGGTGCATTCAGAAGGTGAAAAAGAAAAGGAGAGAAAATTACGACACCTCAGTAGGTTTCACAGGAGGTTTAGTAGATCATCCAGACGTTGACCCAGAAGATGATTTCGAAGTTGACTTAGAGGCTGCCCCATCAGCTAACCAAGCGAAAGGAAATACACTCCGACGATATGACAAAAGAGTCGACCATGTGTCTGCACACGCGGATAAGACATATTCAGACAATTCCAACAATTCAGACAATTCCAACAATTCAGGCAATTCCAACAATTCAGACAATTCAAACCATTCAGACAATTCAGACAATTCAGACAATTCAGACAATTCAGACAATTCAGACAATTCAGATATAATCCCACATATTCGCACGCAAAAGAATAAATCTAAATATCGGAAGTGTTCATTCAAGCAGGCACGTTCCATTGGAACACCCCTCAACAATTTGAAATCAGAACAAATGATGAAGAGGGATATGAGTACACATACATTGGCTGAACGGACAGGTACAAAAATGGACAATTACCAACATAGCCATATGACCAGCAAATCACGAAAAGCACATAAAAAGATCAAAAGAAATGAGAGACTCAAATCATGCCATCAGCATAATGAATGGGACGACTATGGAGCAAATAGCGAAGATAAACTAAATTCAACGTTAGTAGGTAGACAAAAACAAATGCTCAAAGAAGAAAATGGACATGATAATTCCTACAATTGTGATGTGATTACATGCAATTATAACATAATAAAAAGTACATGTAATAGGAATCATTCGAATGAAGGAGGAAATTCTGAGATTTTTCCACAAATAGATGAGGAAGAGGAGGAGGATGCGCAAGTTGTACAACTTGGAAAAGGACAATTAGAAAGAAGTGAAGAACAAAAATTGATAAAAAAAAAAAAAACGGGAATATGTATTCAGAAAAAAAAAATTACGACACAGCAAAATATGGAGACAAAAAATAATGATCTCGAAAATGTCGTTCAAAGACAATACACAAACCAGCCACGCTGTGATCACACAAATCAACCACACCATGATCACACTAACAAATCACAGGAAATTCAGTGCGGGAGGAAACACTCTACATTGAGCAACTGCACAAATCATCAGAATGACTTAATCCAACAAGATGAAAGCAAATTCGAGTGTACTACGAATGAAGATGCATCAGATACTCTTGAAAGAACGTTGGGAGAAAGAGACCAGCGAATAAAAAAAGAAATAAGCCTATCAGACGAAAGTGATGAGGTGCACAGAAAGGTTAACACTACCATTGTGAGTTTCAAAAATGACACGAATTTTCAAAAAAACTTAGTTTATCACAAATCTAATAGTTCATTACAATACACCCAAAGAGACGAGAACAGTTCATGCAAAGATACTGTACAAAGTAGCAGTAACACCAAAATGATCGCATTTGCAAAGAATTATCTACCCAGAAACTCAAATATGGAACTACGGAATGGAAGTAACATTAACTCTAATTATAAATATAAGAAAAGAAGTATAATAAAGCAACAATATGAAATGTTAGACAAAATTATAGAACTTGATATCAGTAATCAAGGTCAAAAAAACAAAAAAAAAAGTAAAAAAAAAGACTCATTAGAATTATCATCTAGTATTTCAAAAAAAAAAAAATATTTTTCAAAAAAAAAAAAAAATAAATATACATCATTTTTTCTTCAAAATTCAAAGATGCAATATTTATTTACGTGTATTCCACAATATTCTAGAATCCTTTTTGACAAGACCAAAAAAATATTTTTTGATTTAAAAAAAAAAAAAATTTTAATGCAAAACGCTACTTGGAAAAATGAAATATTCATACCTGAAAGAGACCCATTAGGTTTATTCAAAAATGCAAATTTAGAAAAATGGTACATATCATGGATGGACGAATTTAACAAAAATATTATTGCAAAAACGTATTTTATATATATTTACTTAATTATGTATTTAATAATGCTAGATTTTATAACAGCCTATAAATTGTACTACACTACCACTCATCGGACAACAATCAAAGCATTAAGACAACATAATAATTATTTACATTACTATTTCTTTAAATTCTTTATTAATGTATTTGTTTATGTCATCTATTTATTTTTTATAACATATAAAATAAAAAAAGTACATCATTATAATATTAAGCGATATTATTTTGTTACACTCTTATTGTGCATTGCAAAGCTCATTATATCAGCATCTGACATTTATGTAGCTATTAGCTCATTGGATTATTTTATGAGCCCCTATTATGTATATGTATACATACATATGCTAATTGTGCAGACATCCATGTTATTAATAGTTAGATATCCGACACACTATTTGTTATTTTTCTTATACGCAATTTGTTTTACTTCTCTCTACTGGTGTTTCTCTATTCATAAATCTTTTATGGAATTTATTTTCATTATTGCTTGTGTTTCCTTTAGTATCATATATTCCTACGTACTATGCTCCAGGACATTAGAGATTAATCGACGCATATTGTTTTCAAAATATGAGCTACCCTACCTCTTATATTTGAAGGAAATATCCTCATGTTTGAACAGGAACAGATCCTTTGGTGGATCAAGGGCTCAGTAATGGAACTGACATTGTAGTAACTGACCCAGCGATCGAAGACAAATGTGTGAAATTTTTCAAAGCTAAATTTTCACTCCCAAACTGCTCTACATCCAAAAAGTTCAAGCACACACACACATGCAGAGATATAAGTGCGTAAATGACAAATGATATTCCCCTAGAGAAGCAACAAAACATGCATACAGACAAACCACAATGTTTGCAAAATTAATACACACTTCACTTCCAGCATCATGCACACTTGTTTTGTTTACGAATTTTAATCCCAATATTTGCAAATCTCTAACACAAATGTATCATTTGAATCCTGAAAAGGAAAAGGAAAAATATTTTCAAGATCTCTTATTTGAGCCTGCTAATTTTTTTTTTTTTTGTCTGTTCATTGATTTCCTTTCTACGATAAAAGGGAATCGCTTAATCTTTTTTAACACTACATATTTCGTGTTGCTCTTTTAACTCTTCTCTTTTAGTGCTGCTTTTTTAACACTGCAAATTTCGTGTTGCTCTTTTTACCCTTCTTTTTTAGTGCTGCTTTTTTAACCACCCCTTTTTGACCACACTTTTTAAGACACAAATTTCAATTTTACATTCTTGTAACTACACACCACGCCGCCCTTTTTATTTTTAATTTAGCCACTTTCATAACATCAAAAATGAAGTAACGTGTTCGAAAATAGTGAAATGTTAAACTTTAGGTGGAAGGTGTAATACAAGGATTTTCTGGTGTAACTGGAGCTGTAAAAATATTTCTTATTTCTATTTCCATTCAATTCATTTTTGTTCAAACGTTTTTACCACTTTTTTTTTTCGCTTTCTTGATACTGGTATTTTCCCCAAGTTCTATTTTGTTTTACGAAACTTCTTTGCTCTTTACACCAAAAAAAAAAAAAAAAAAAAAAAATCCGCCTAGAATTGAACAATTAATGAGGAATAACTTGACATCATCACAATTCAAATTGTTTTATTTATTACATATTACTAAATGATGTGACATAAATTTTATGGAACCACTAAAAAGGAAAGTAAACATAGCAAACATCAATTCTTAAATGTAACTTTTTTTTCAAGCGGTACAAACATTTTACGCAGCTTAATTTTACAAAGCTATGCATTGTCTTGTGTACATACGTTTAAGGCAAAAAAAAAAAAAGCAAAGTTTTACAATGAAATGTGCAATTTTATATCACAAAAGCGGGTTTTACCCCTAATTTATACATTTAAAAAAAAAAAAAAAAAAAAAAAAAAAAGATATATACATATATATACAACTGAGTAAATGTATACAAAACTAATAAATTTAAATATACCTAACACTAATAGAAATAATTTTCATCCTATGTTACCATTACCGTATGCTATATGTCGTACATGAGCAAATTCTCATACAGAGGGAACGCATTTTTACAATTGTTTTAATAAAGCACATAAAACATTTTATCGTTCTCGTTCCACTTGTTTAAAGCTACCAGAATACCATTTCTGCAAGAGGTATCTTAAATGCCGCACTAAAACTATATGTTTGCATTTTCACTTTTTTGCATTTTCATCTTTTTGCTACTTCTCCATTTTGCTACTTCTCCATTTTGCTACTTCTCCATTTTGCTACTTCTCCATTTTGCTACTTCTCCATTTTGCTACTTCTCCATTTTGCTACTTCTCCATTTTGCTACTTCTCCATTTTGCTACTTCTCCATTTTGCTACTTCTCCATTTTGCTACTACACCATTTCGTTTTTTCACCAGTTCGCTAATTTTTGCCCTCCCATCACAGTAAGGAACATTTACATAAAGGAAAAACAAAAAAAAACCTTTAGGACCTTCTTTTTGAATCCATTTAACAACTCCATATCCGAAGTGCAATTGTGTTAAATGAGAATAGGGGAACTTCATTCTTAATGTTTGCAAAATTACTTTAAAAGGTATGATATTTCCCCTGTGGGACAAATTACGACATATCTGTTCTCTACACCCCTAAGTGTGTTCATTCATTACTGATGGGGTAGTTTTGTCGCCTTATATTAATATGCATTAGTTTGTACATGTAGAATTATGCCTCACTGTACATAATTCATGTTCACGTATAAACCACATACACAATATACACGTCCTAATATTTTCAGGAAAAAAAAAAAAAAAAAAAAAAAATTCCAAGAAACCCCCAACCCCCCAAAAATATACATATCCTCAAGAAACTACAGAAAACTCCAACTCTGTATTTCCCATCTTTCCCGTCCTTTTGATAAAATGATCTTAGTAAGATACAAAATGGAGATTGAAAAATAGTGGCATATGAACAAAATTAATTTATGGGTACAAGCAATAGCTTTTAAAAAATGAAATAAATAATTTTAGTTTTCCAAATCTGCCAAATCGTGGGGAAAAAAAGAAAAACGTGTCAAAGTGGACATGTGCAAGTTTAATTAGTGCATTATTTTACAAGTATTATAATTTGTTTAGTTCCGTATTAATGTTCTCAGTATCTGAGAATATAAAGAAAGAAAATAATAATAAACGATTTATGTACGTACTTACGTACTTACGTACTTACGTACACACACACACACACACACACACCATTTTTGAGAAATTAACCATATTCTTTAAAAATGACAGCACAAATGTTGAACCTGTATAAATGCCGCTCTTTCTCACCCATCCCCTTTTAAATGACCATTTGCTTAAATTAATTTCCTCACAAAATTTTATGCAGAGAAATTGTTCCATTCGTTACCTATCAAGTGAATTCAAATCTCTCCCCAAATCGGTTTGTTTAACTAATATTCATATGTTTCTATACACACCACCATCCCCACCCCCTACCAATGCAACTATAAAAAAGCTACTACACCAAATGTGCTATATTGCTGGTTATTAATCTATCCAAGCAATAAACATATACATTATTTATTCTCTTTGTTTGTAGCCTGCCGGTACAGGTGTAGTATTTCACGGAAAATTACAACAAGTCAAATATGCCATCAAATTTTCAAGTTATCTTTTTATCATTTTTTCTGGGTTTATGGGAGCAATATCAGGAAATTTCTTTTTTAAAAAATATATTTTGAGAAAAAATCCACCAAATGTAAGATTCTTACATACATTGGGTCCATTTTCATCTCAAGATGTGTACTAATATTTACGTGTATTCTTTTTATCCTTTACCACCTATTATTTACGCATTCCAATTTTTCTATTTTATGTTCCCTCTAGCCTCTGAGAGACCCAAATGATCAACCACCAGAAAGACATCCACATGCACCTGAAGAAGACTAAAAGAAAAGGGACAATTAATGAACAGATGATCAAACAGACAGTCAAATTAACGTATTTTATATTCAACCATACATTTTACCCTCAACACACACATACATCTCAGTGTCATACATTAAGACTCAAAATTAATATTTTTGAACTTACATTTTCATCCACGTATACCTCCTCACCGATTGATAATACCCAAAGTGAGAGGGAGGTTATTAGGAGTCCAGAAATACACTTAATGTTTTTTCATTAACGAAATAATCTCAAGGTTATAAATTATTGAATATCCATTAAAATCATGTGGGAACTACATGAGTGGATGTATTTGTATATGTAAATGTCACATTTAAAAAAGAAAAAGATTGACCGACTGAATGAATGAAGTGGTGTACTTGATAACTGTTAAACTCAAGCCTTTTCCCATTTGCTGAAATTAACTGTAGTAATATACTATTCCACGCACCAAAACCCTAAAAGAGGGAAAAAAAAAAAAAAAAAAAAAAACGCATAAAAATTCGACAAGAAAATGAACAAATAACCCAGTTTAATATATAAACAGTTGTAGAACTGACGAGAGAAATTTTATTGACGTCAGCTCATTAGCAAGTGAAAATAATTATTTACGGGTTAGTTATATAAAGCTGTCATCAGAAATAGCGATTGATTAGTTCACATCATTTAAAAAGGATCAAATATATTTTTCTTTTCATTTTTTTTTATTTTGTAACACTTCAAGAAAATATAAATAAATAAAATATCCTAATATATACACATTTTTAAGACACTCCCCATTTCACAGATGATAAATCAGACATATTTATTATCACCTAGCGTCATACAATTGTTTTTCACATATATATATATATATATATATATTCATATACTTACATATGTCCACACCACTTGTACTTATTTCTCACAGCATTCTTTTAAATAACACACAATAATATTCCTGGCCGGAACATTTTTTTCCTTCATACCCCCCCCCCCTTTTTTATGTTAACATGTCTGTAATAAATTTGAAATATAACTCCTTTACAAAATTGTCAATACGCAATTTTAATATGTAAATAGAAAAGGAATGAAAATGCTATAATGTAATATATATAAAAAAAAAAAAAAAAAAAGATCCTGAAATCCTATTTCTTCCATTTCATTGGTGATCACAGTTGTGATGCAAGAAGTTGCTCGAGCTTTTTCTTTTTTTCCTTCAATAGTCATTTTATAAGAAGTCCAAACTAGACATTTTTAATTTTGCAAAATGTCGGCAACTCTTTTTTCAGTACATTTTTCCCTACTGAACTAACGAAATATTCCTAAACATCTGCTTTTTGTCCCTGTTTTTTCCTCTGTTTTGGGGATATCCTTTCAGTAATGCCTAGACCTAGCAATGTTCGCATAAATGAGCAGATTGATTTTCTGCCTGTCTCTCTCTCTCTCTATATATATATATATATATATATTTCTTTTTCTTTTCTTTTTTTTTATTGTCCATTTGAAAAAAGCACACAGTTTAAATTTTCCATTTCTCTTATTTTTGTGCCTCTTTGTGTTACATTATATGGCACACATTTTTATAACATTTCAGTTTATGTATATGTAACACAATTATGCCTATGCACAATTATAGAGAAATCATAAATGGGATTCGTCATTTGGTTTGATATGTTCAATTTGTTCTCTCCTCCAATAGAATTTCCTCGTACAATTACTATAACAAACATTTTTCTCCACATATTATTCTGTCGCAAACATGTGTAATCTTTTAAATAAAACCAATTTAAAATATGAAAAAATCAAAATTTATGCAAGTTCCTCTGTCGAAGCAAAAATAAAATGTAGAATGCGGATACGCTGGCAACATTTACAAACAAAAAAAAAAAAAAAAAAAACACTAAAATAGTGCACACCTATGTAAAGCATTTCTAACTTGATGAGCGATTTACCTTTTCTTCTCCATGCACAGTTTGGGTTTTTTAGCAATGAACAAAAATATATGTCAATAAAATAACAAAAACTGTGTCAGAACTGCAACACAAAAGATCGAACATCACAAAAAATGCAAAGCTGCCATAGAAGGAGAACATTTATTTAACTAGGGTTTGCGGTGCTTTTTCATAGGGATAATGATCAACTATAAGAATGATTTAAATTATAGCAAAGAACACATTATATGTATTTTTTCCTTTGTTAACTTTTAAAACCAATTTGACATGCCTTGAAATGTACCTATATATATTTTTTTTTCTTCTTACCCTTGCTGAAAGAAATCATACACTCAACATTAGAAAGACAATTCATGCTTTAAATTACGTTCGTTTTAGCAATGATAATATATCAAGTAAAAACCGAAGTTTGACTTATTTGAATAACAAAAATTCTAGTCGTCATGATATATACAGAAAAAGATTTGAAAGAGAAATCAAAGAGACACTACAATCTATTTTGTACAAAAAAGGAATTAAAATAAATTATAAATATCATATCGATGAAGATATTATAGAAGGCATAGCTATTCACCAAGTTCAGCTGAACAGTGATTGTTCTATTGCAAAAGTTTTTATCGAAATAATGGGAGACTCAATAGATTCCAGACAGGTATTTCCGTAATTAGAAAATATGAGCAAGTATTATCCATCAAAATTGTCATACTTCCTTAATTCCTTATTAGTACATATACACAAATACATGCACCACACATACCGACATGCCTGGACAGTATTTTTTTTTTCCCTTTTCTGAAAATTTGAACACTATTAATCCCCGCCTTTCCACTATACAGGGCTATATCTGGATGAAGAAAAACTGCAAACGAATTCGGTACATGTTGGCCCAAGCAATTAAGCATCGGAAAAAGGTTCCATATCTAAATTTTATCCAAAGTAGTTTAAGTGAGCAAACTCAACTGCTGTGTGAAATGGAAAACATACGGGAGTATTATGTGGACTTGTTTAAGGAGGAAAAGGAAATTTTTGAATCAAATGAGGAAACAAATGGGGAAGAGAGCTGGATACAAAATGAAGAATTGGGAAACGAACAATAGGAACTCCAAAATTGTTCCAATAATACTCCGTCATATGTTCTCCATTCATACAGACACATGGAAGCACACCACCACCGAGTCACAAAATCGTCCACCCTTATTTTTTCTTATTTTTTTTTAAGTTTAACGTGAAAAAACAGCAAAGTTTCCTATTTTCCGTTTAATGTTGTGCCTTGCACAATCCGATTAATCTTGAGGAAAAAACATATAATTAAAAATGGACTACAATATATATTATATGCTTATTTATTCTGTTAATAAAAAAATAGGAAAAAAAAAAAAAAAATAAGTGAAGATTAACACCATGGCACAAAAAATTATGAACCTTCAGGCATTTTACCAATAAAATAAAAAAAAAAAAAAAAAAGTGTGCACGGATGTGTGGCTACCTCAAAAGTTTACAAAAAAAAAAAAATTATAAAATAAAAATCTATAAAATAAGAATCTATTAAATAGGGATCTATAAAATAATAACCACAACGTTAATAGAATAAAAGAATCACCCAACGCGGATATGTTTTAAAGCCGTCTAATACTCTTTTCACACAAACAAGGATTATTTTCATTTCTTGTTATCCAATTTTTAAAAAATCTTCAAACATAGGTAAACCTCAAATCAGCCGTGTGCTCGTTGGCAGGAGGCATCACATTTTACCACTTCATTTTACCACTTCATTTTACCACTTCATTTTACCACTTCATTTTACCACTTCATTTTACCACTTCATTTTACCAGTCTACTTCACTAAACATGAAGTACAAATTTGGCTCACATTCCTACACAATTTTTGTATACACGTTTTGTCATTCAGATTATCCCAATTTTGATCATAATATATGAAAAAATGTCCACATTTTATTCTATAATTTTTTAAGTGTAATGTTGCAAAATCGGGGTCGTGACAGCCTTCACAAAAGGGATTCTAAATATGTGACCTATTTATCAAACCGGTGTTCCATCAAGTAAGCGTCTTCTTTATTTCCATAATAGAGCGGTTCAACTCCCTTAACTTTATAATTTAACAAATTATAATACAAATTCAACGCTGCATGATTACTTACTCGAACATGCAGACAAATATTATCGACGTTGTATATATTGCTTACATAATGGTGCGTCTGCGTTATTAGATAATACGCAAGTTTCTGTTTTCTGTAAGTTTTTAAAACAGCCACTGAAGTTAAATGACCTTTTTTATCATTTTCCTCTTCCAACTTTCCTAGTGTATATCCACAAACCTTGCCATTTTCATCCTCAGCTACTTGGCTTAATGATGGCCATGATAAGGCATGATAAAAATAATATCTCAAGTTGTAATTTTCCGGCAAATTTATGCTATTGCACTGTTGCATTGACAAAAGATCGTAAACGTTACTTTTCCTTATTGACAGCATCTTTTAACTACCAAATTTAAAACAAAACAAGACAAAAAAAAAACAAAAAAAAAAAAAAAACTTACTACTTGTAGATACGGTGAGTAAAAAATATGAACAAAAATGTAAATACTTAATTATTTAAAAATAAATGCGTGCACGTTTTTTCTTCTCCTTTCTGTATATATATATATATATATATATATATATATATATATATATATATATATATATATCATCTTAGCTAATACTGAATTGTCCAAACATAAGACCATAACGATGAAGAGATTATGTAAAAAATTCCATACATTTCATGTATACACAACAATTGCAACTCCACTATTTCGCTCTAGACTTATGAAATATACACTTTTCTTCTAAAATCGGATGGGAAAAGTCATAAATTGTTTTTACTCCTTCTCTATGTCATATAAGTTATAACAAAAATTAATTTGTGAAAATAACCTAAATATGTACATTCTTTTTGGAAAAAAGTATGTTATGTAAGTTATCTTCTATGCATTGTTGATTCTTCCAGTACGTGCCATAAAAACGGATCATATATATATATATATATATATATATATATATATATATATATATATTTATAAAGTTTCAATTTGAAATGTGAAGGATAATCTTATGTAATAGCTTTCCAAACTAGCACCCTCAGCGTTTTTTCCTTTCAAGTAGTTTGATGAAAATTTTTATTATTTTTTCACTATTTAAAAAATGTACTTTTTTTTTAAATTCACATATGCTTAACATTTCCCGTTCCCATATGCCCACTTTTTTATTATACTCTTTATCTTTACACGGCAAAAAAAAAAAAAAAAAAAAAAAAAAAATCAAGTTCCAGATAAACCTTATGTTTGTTTCATCTCGCGCGTAACTTCCAACTTCCACTTTTTACTTTTAACTAAAACGTGTAATGAGTGACACATGATTTATTCATTCACTTATTTATTTACCTATTTATCTATTTACCTATTTATCTATTTACCTATTTACCTATTTATTTAGTTGTTTACTTATTTATTTTTTTACGTTAAAATGATGATAAACAATGCGAACATTTAAAAAATCGTTAGATGTTTTCTTCCCAGTTATGCCATTACAGCGCTTAAGAAACTGGCACTTGAGTTGAGTCTCACTTTCCAAAAATTCACTTTAAGTGATTATAAACCCAAAACCAAAAATGAAGGAAAAATTAGTCCATCGCCATAGACTAACGAAATGGACAAAGTCGCTTTTTTTTTTTTTTTTTTTTTTTTCTCCTTTTTAATTTTAAATATAAATGATATATTTTAATCATTTCCTCGAGGTAATAAAGTTCAAATCTCTTTTTTTAACAACTTTATTCGTTCTACTTTTTGTATGATTACAGAACTGTAATACAGCATAAATCCATTTTAACACACACATAATAAAAAAAAAAAAAAATTGTGAAAAATTTTACACACATCATAACGAACGTCCATTTATTTTTTGAACCAAATATAATTAATTAAAGGGATTGCCAAAAACAGAAAAGAAAAATATATAATCACTACCGATATGCATAAACAGGTAGTATTTTTAATCCATAGGGGATATAAAACATTATATTTCTATTTTACTCATTTCTGCTGCATTACATGAGTATATAAAATGCTTGTAGTAAATGTAAAATTCGTTTATATAACGCACAGAGGGGAATATATCCTCATATCACTTCGCTGATCAAACTTTTTTTTCTTTCTATTTGGGGTTATCCCAAAAAATGGACGATCGTAAAAGAAGGAAATTATCGGAATATATAAAGATATACCAGAATACTCTCGAAATGAACATTAGATGGTATATATCAAAAGGCTCAGCCAAGTAACCACTCGATGTATCTTCTCCATTTATAGCCAATTTGTAAATTTCTGAGCAGTGCATATTTTCTGGTATTTTCATAAATATTTCATGTATGTCTATATTTTTATTTACCTTGATATCACTAAGTTTGAAGAATTTGCTTCCTTTTAATTTTATATACCGCATAGCTATTTCCTCAGGTGTTAATTTATTGTATAATGTAAAAGGACTTTGAAAAAAATACCTCCATTCATCTTCACTCAATGTGCAACACGATATATGAATCATATAAATTAGGGCCGTTTGAATCATAAAAAGTGGATATATTTTATGCAAACTTATTTGCATTTCATCATAGGATACCAATCTCGACAAAAATATATCATTCGACATGTGCCATTTTGGAACAAGTTTGTACGACATCTTTTTCATCTTCCTCATTAGTAATTCTTCTACTGGGTTCAGAAGTTTACCGCTCAAGTATATATTCGGTGGTTCCTGCAACTGTTTGTTGTCCTTTTTTTTAATGTCATCTTCCTCTCCATAAGGGTTCACGCTCGAGTTACACACATTTCCATTATCTTCCTCTTCATGATCATGCACTTCTATCCTTTCACATTTCGCACCAATTGACATATAATCATAAGCCTCATTTTCTTCATCATTTTTTGCATCATTTTCCGCCTCATTTTTCGCCTCATTTTTTGCATCATTTTCCGCCTCATTTTTTGCATCATTTTCCGCATCATTTTCCGCATCATTCTCCGCCTCATTCCCCGACACATCTACACTACTAGGAATATAATCCGAGGGACTATTCGATGAGTAATCATAATCGTTCAAGTTATTAATGCGTTCTATTTCTTTTTTCAAATAATTCTTGTAATTTATGTAATAAGCTGAGTCAACCATATGAACTGCATCACAGTGTGTGACACCAAGGACTTTCCCAAATTTCCCTGTATCGACACCCAAACTCGAAGACAGTAAAACGAATATTTCGACAACGTCATAAATTATTTTATCTCTAAATAAAACCATTTCTCTATTCTTTCCTCTATATTTCAATACATTTAAAAAAGCATTTCTCGAATTAAATATAATACTAGCCTTTTCATTTTTATAGATTGATACAAAATATCTACTGGGTAGAGGAAAATCAGGAGTAACATATGGGACATATCTCATGCTATTCATAAAACCGTTAAAATTCATATTTTTTGGTAAAATTTTATTTTCAATTAATATATGTTTGGGTAAATCTGGATCAGAAAAACATATACCAAAAAAACACTCATCAATTGATGTGAAATTTGGAAACCCTTTTAATTTCCCTATATTTTCAATAAATAATATTAACGTTTCTAAATTTACCTCTTTTACCTTTTTATTAGTATCAGCCTTGTTGAAGAAATTTCTATAAATTGGAGTCATTTCCTCGATTATATCATCATATCCATTAGACTCTTCTGCACCATTAAACTTTACCTCATTTTCAGATGACATGTGTAAGACAGTATCGTTTTTTTTTCCTTTCACATTGTCACCTAATAAAGACTCTCTTTTTAATTTATCTCCCCATACTTTGTTAATATCATTTCTATTTGAATCCTTGCTGACATAACTAAACTTCTTTTTTTCTCCTTCTCTTAATTTTGTACACGTGCTGCTAGTTATTCCATATTTCATATAATTTTCAAAGGTACATGCTGAGTGCTGACTTTTTTCCCTGCTTGGGAATTTTTCTTCACACTTCAAATTTTGTTCTTCATTTTTCGTACCAAAGAACGTAATGCTCACGTTATCAGGAGTGTTCATGCTACGAGTTGTATTCATAACACCCAAGTTTTTGTTATTTACCATATTCCCCACATCTGAATCTGCCATGTTTAAATATTTTTCTTTTACAACATTACCTTGCATTGAACCCTCTCTTCTCCACAGCTTCTGTACTTTGTTGCAATATTTTGAGTACACCATAGAGGCAAGTTCAAATGTTAAAGTGTGCTCATAAATGGGCGTGACAAAATTACCATTGGGGATGGCAGCATTAGGAAGATCACGTCTCCGGTCAAGGGAAGTACATGACCTAATACAGCTTTTCTTATATTCCCTATCAAACTCCAACAATGCCTCAAAAAATACCTGCACAGATGGAAAATCATAGTAATACAAGATATATTCCTTCATCTTCCTCATTTTGTTCTGAACTTTTTTTTTTTGAATGTATCTATAATAATCTGACCTGTAAGGTGGAAAAGAAGAATAAAAAGTGTCAAATATCTTTTTCTCCTTTATGTCTGCTTTTAAATCATTCACTAAAGCCTGATGTACATACAATGTTTTATTTGATGCATCCCTCAATCCAGCATCTTCTGGATCCTTTACAAAATAAAAAGCATCCTTTGGGATAAATATTTTTTCCAGAAAAAAAAAATTATTTTTAAAATGTTCACCCACTTCCTTCGTCAATTTCTGGTAGTTTAATTTATTCTTCATCATATGTAAGTTCAATTTTTTCATCTCATTTAGACTCGAACTTTTCATCATTTTATTTTTATGTGGATGCAGCATATAAAAGCATCCTTTATTTTCTTCATAATCTAATGGGTATGATTTCAACAGGTAAAATAAATTTTCTAAAATCTTCATTTTGTAATCAAAATTTTCAGCGTTCCATTTACTAAATGATTGGAAATCTTTACACATTACATATTCTTTGAAATAATTTTGATTCATTTTTTCGTTTATTTTTTCCTTTAACAATACACAAAATTGTTCAACATTAACATTATCTGTTAATTTAGATTTTATGTACAAGTACCAAAATAACTTTTTCACTTTGTTCAGTTCAACAGCTTCGTTCAACGATATTCCTATAACATCTAGGTGATCTTTTACCTTGTCTAGCAGACCGGTACACCACTTCACTTCAGTGCACTTTTCTTCATTTATGTTGCACAAGGAATCTATTTCATTTTCTCCTTCCTCTTCTTTCTTTTTCATCCTGTCTAAATTTATATCCTCTGATATTTTTCCCTTATCCATATTCAATGATTCGGAAAATATCCGATCTACATATTTAGAAACATTTTCAAATTTGTTATTCTCTATCCCTTGATCCTTATTACACATTCCCATTTTTTCCCCTGATTCGGACTTTTCTCTTCCCCTTCTCCTTCTCCTCATTCTTTCCTTTTCAAAAACTTTCAGCAAATGTGTTACGTACCTTTTGTTTAACTCTGCTTCGTAACTGCTTCCTCTAGCTGTGCATTTGTCCTTTTCATTCCTCACCATCAAATTTCCATCATTTAATTCAGATTTATGTATCTCATGTGTATCTTTGTCGACCATCTTTTTTGATTCATTTATTTTTCCATCTTTTCCTTCCTTTTCTAAACTCATTTCAGTAGTGCAGGATTCGTATGTTGGTGACTTCCACCTCTTGTTATCATCATTAAAAGGATAATATTCCATATGTTCAACTTTTTCCTCCATTTGGTTGTATTCGTCAATCATATGATCACTTTTGATTATGTCACATTCTGTGGTGTTCATCTCGCATGTATCCATCAAGAGATTACTTTGCTTACAACTCTCCATTGTGTCGATATATCTCGCTTGATTGTTCAATCCTTCCATATCCGAAACATGCATGTTCATTTTTTTCGAATCATTTTGTCTAAACGTGTTTTCTTCATCACTTTGCTGCTTCTTTTGCTTTTCATCCGTTGATGTGATGTATAATATGTCGTTATATACATCCTTCCCTTGACTCATTTTCCTTTTTTCTGTTCCAACATTTTCAGTAAGTACAACACTATGTGATTTTCCAACATTTTGCATATTCCCCTGATTTTGCACAAAATAATTATTAATACTTCTTTCATTTTTCAGATTTGTTTGTGTAACATTTTCATGTTCCCCCTGTGTAATATTCACTAACCTATCAGCATTCCATAAATTTATATTTTTCCCAAATCTATCACATACACTTCTCTGTCTCAACACTTCTACCCTTTTGACAAGTGGAGATGTTTTGTTTCTAGCCACTTCTTTCACATGCATACAATCGTTTAGCATGCATAAATATGTTCTCTGTTTATTCCTATTTTTGCAATACTTTATAGAATTATTCTTACCTCCCCCACTCTGTTCATATGATTTTGATACTCCTGCGTTGATTAACAATTCTTTCTTTTCTCCACCATGTTCACTGTTATCCCAGCAACCAGCGGTGTCACTACGAGCATGTGTCCTTTCTCGCTTTAGATTCACATCGGAAATATTTTTCTCCTCCTTGGTATTCAAAAATGTGTGCATGGAAGAACTTAGGCCATGTTTCCCCCTGTTTAAAATTTCTTTTAATTCACTAGGATTTGAGGAATGCATGTCTTTACAAAAATGAGGATTCATTTTTATACAATGCTTATGGTACCAATTCTGATTATGTTTCTCCTCATTGGAGTTGTTAAGAAATTTTTGCTCATCAGTATTTGTCCTGACGCAGTTATACATGGTATTTTTTGTATTAGAGCAGAGAATATTTGGAATATTGTCCTTTCTGTTTTTACCTTTACAGTAAAAACTCATACTATGATTGATATTGCAATTAATTGGGGAATTTACTTGATTTTTGTTTTTTAAGAGATAGTTTAATGGATTACTACATTCGATATGACGAGAAGTAACTAATTTTTCATCATGTGTAACGCTTATTTCAGACAACAGTTCTGTCGAGGGACAATTTTTTTTTTTTTTTTTTTTTTTTTTTTCATCTTCTTCAATGATTATTTTTTCCATTTTGTGATTATTTCCAAATTTTAAGAACATTTCATTTATATTATTTTTCTGACTAAAATTTTGCGTGTATATTTCTATCCCTTCATTTGAATGATCTATACTACCATTACGGAAACAATTAATTAGAGGGATGTTTTTTTTTTCCTTTGAATAAAAAAATTTATTTTTTTCACAAACTGGGGACACTAATACATCCATTTTTCTATATTTTCCTGACTTGTTATAAAATAAGACAGGTTGTTTTTTTTTACATTCATTCTTGTGCACATTTTCAAACTTTTTTTTCATCATCATATTATTTAATAAACATCCATTTGTGTACTCTATGCATTGATTTCTCTTATGTGCTACATCCTTACCAATAACAGTTATTTCCCCCCTTTCCATTCTAAAATTACTATATTCATTATTTGTAACTTTGGAACTTTCATATGTGGTTTCCTTTCTACCATACATCTCTTGTCTCTCATTCGTTTTAATTTTTTTTTCTCCTCTAGCGAAATTGAATATATTCATTTTGCATTTATCCCAAAAATAGCTTTGTGTAAAAGGGAGTGAGCGAAATCTGAAAAAGGATGATTTACATACTGCTGTTGCACTTTTTTTTTTTTTTTTTTTTTTAATAAACCTTCTTGATAGTTTAACTTTTGTTTTCTTCAAGGAACTTAGGCATGGTTAATCTGCATATCACAACTTATTTTCTGTATAGTGAATACTGGAAAAGCACGATTTACAAATGGGTTGCATATGTATACACCTCTACATATATATACAAGCACGTGCGAACATGCACATTTATATCATGTCACTCTAAAAAATGTAAAAATGACAAAAAAAAAGATATTCAATCCAAAAAAAAAAAAAAAAAAGGAAATAAAAATGCTGTGAATTCTGGGAAGAAGAGATTAGCAGGCTTCAGAAGAAAAAATTCATAAAATAAAAAAAAAAGAAAAGGGCATTCCAATCAATTCAGCTAATTTAACAGACAAACACGGATGAACAAGTTGAGCAATAGAGCTTGTGGAAAAAGGAACGAATTGATTTATCGTCATGAATAAATTTCCCCATTTATACATGCACAAGTGGACACACACCTGTGTGTGTACACATGCACATATACTTACATATATATATATATACATACATATATATACATATGCAGATATACATACATATATATATATGTATATATATATATATATGTGTGTGTACGGCTCCTATAGTCCACGAATAAGTAACTCCTAGCATAGACAATAGTGTACCAACTGCCATTGACCCATTAACGGGAGAGAGAAAAAATTAAGTTCAATTTTGCATTTAAAAAAAAAAAAAAAGAGGAAAATGTCTCATGCTTTAATACGCACAAAATTGGTGACCTGCTTATCACTTATTAATGCGTCAAAATAAATGGACACTTTTTACAGACATGTAGATGATGTGCATACATCCATCTTACAACACTCCCCTTTTTCCTAAAAGTTAATTTTTTTCACACTCTCAGAATTAATCGTTGTGCACACATTTTTTTTTTTTTTTTTTTTTTTTTTAACATTTCGAAAAACTTCATACCATAATATGCATGCACACCCTGGGGGAGGAGTGAACGTGGTAAAGAACTTGTGTTGTAAGCAGTTGAAAAATGAGCGCATATATATACAAAAAAAAAAAAACAACAGTGGAATGACCAGAGTGGAACAATGAAATGGTAAATATATATATATACTGACAAAGGGACAAGAAAGCGGAGGAAAAAGTAAGAATTCAACACCTCTCTTATCTCCTTTTTTATACAAAAATTGTACCAATTATACAAATATACGAAAAACGGACAAAAAAATAAATTTGGATAAATACATATGTTACACATAGCACAACCATACGACTGAACCATTTTTAATCATGTGTCCAATTGACATAACTGAATAAATGTAATGTGCACTGAATTGCATTTCTTCAGAGTGATTAATATATAAAAAAAAAAAAAAAAAAAAAAAAAATCGTCTATAGATTACTACAAAAAATCCTAACAAACTACATATATGTACCAGTTAAAAAATTCACATAAAGCCTTAAGTCATATTAAAATAAAAAAAAAATAAATAAAATAATGCTGTGCAATGTGTATGTAGATGTGAAAAAATCCTATTGGAGAGACCTACAAATGTATAGTAGTACTATGTGAAGAAAAAATATTTTTAAATGGAAATAAAAAATTAGTGAAAGAAAATGAAACTTGTGAGAAAACATAAAATTTGACTATTCCTTTTTTAATCTGAAAAATATATATTTATATCAAATGTTAGACAAAAATTAATTTTATAAAAATAGGTTCCAAAAGAAAAAAGAGACCAAAAGTGCTTATTGTACCAGAGACTCCGAACGAACCTTTACAAAAAGTATTGTAATTTTTAATCATCTACGCATGGGGTTTGCATTGGATTTCTTAAAGATACTACGATTTTGCAAATTTTGAGAATATCACAACATTTGTCCAAATTTAACTCATTGTTCATGGGGAGACTCTATTAATATAATTTTGGACACATAAATTCATATAACATATTGGTTACTTTTTTTTTACACCATGTGAAAATTAATTCGTATATATACAAATATTGCTGAATAAGGATAGGTTTATGATAGTATGGTTTCACATCGATCGCGATGTGTATGCAAATGTTTCATGAAAGAAGAAAAAAAAGTCACACTCCAAGATACCTCTGAACATATACAAATGTTTTAATGCGTATTTTTAAAATGTGGAAATTACCAAATGATATTATCATAAAATATACCCAATCAAAGCCATTATCAAAGCCAAAACCTTTTTTGTTTTTTGAATAAATTTACATTTTAACCTTTCCCACAATTCGAACAAGATGTGCTATTCACTTAGTATACACTTATGGGGATTGTAATAATACCATGTGTGTAAAAAAATTTTCACATAACACAATTTTTTTCCCATTTTTTTTTTTTTTTTTTTTTTAAATTAAACTATTTAGAATTATATCTTTTTAAGTTTGTTAGTAATTAATATCCATGATTTGATTCAATTAAAATCCTTTTTAAAAAAAAAAAAAAAAAAAAAAAAAAAAAAAAAAACATAAGAAAAAAAAATAACAAAAGGTAAAATGGATAAGGAACAAAGAATGTTGCACTATATTTGTGACATGTACATATTTTCAACGTAATGATTTTTTAATTGTTTTTTGATATGTTCCTCTATTCAGTATTCCTTTTATACTAATGTATGTTCCATGTCTTCATAAAACCAACTTTTTTTTTTTTTTTTTTTTTTTTTTTTTTTCCTAATTTAAGAATCTGTTATGATAACTTCAACTTCAACTCCTGGATCAATATTGATGGATGTCATTTGTGTAACTACTTCACATTGAGAATATAAATCAATAAGTCTTTTATATATTCTTAGTTCAAATCTATCCCATGTATTTGTACCTTCACCACATGGGGATTTTCTTGTTGTTATCCTTAGTGTTTTTACTGGTAATCTCACTGGTCCTGAAACGTTTAAGTTTTTCTCTTTTGCACCTTTCATTATATCACTGCAAACTGTTTAATTAAGTGGGAAAGTAGGGAAGGGGAAAATAAAAAAAAAAAAAAAATGTACATATACAAGCCATTATGAACACACACTTCAAGTCATTATAAGTAAATATATTAACAGGAAAGTTTAAAACATCTCTGTTTTCTGTATTTGTATAATACTAAGCAGTTTTTTTTTTTTTTTTTTTTTTTTTTTTTGGGGGGGGGATGGAGTTGAAATAGAACCCCAACTTAAGTACAAAAATATATACAAACACAGAGTTGTAAACATAAAAGTGTTAATATATATATACAACAGTTTCTTATTTTACGTGTATACACATGTTCTCTTATTCAATTGGATGGATTCATATACTACACACATTTTATGTTTATTTTGTTTTAATTTATTATTATTATTTTTTTTCATTTATGAACACAAATGATCTTCCTACAGTTCTCATTTGCATGGTTCGAACATGAGATATATGCTGGCTTAAGGATACTTTACAAAAAATGAATTTGACAGCAGTTCTGTTCTCATGCTTACATACATCTTTTCATATATACTTTCATGCAGCTTTTCATGCATGCCTACATATAACATTTCATAAATACTCATAAGGATACATTAACTTTGTTGTCACAAAATTCCTCTCCAAACTCAAACAACGGAAAAAAGAGCATCACGCCGATGTGTAAAATAAAGATATGCTTAAATGGGGGTGTGGAGGTATTTTACCTTTTTCTATGGCTCTCAAACTTTTGGAGGTTAAAGCAATTCGGATGCGACGAAGTCTAAACTTCTCGCTTTCAATGGCTCCTTTCATTAATTTACTCATTTTCGAAATGGTGAAATATTTGATAAAAAATTTATGTTCAAAATCAGGTTAATAAAAATTTCGAAAAAAAATTTATTCCCCCTTTTTCAAATTTTTACAATTGGTAAATTCCGGTAATATGGTAGAGTATATTATGCATAATATAATATTTTTTTTCCTTATGTGCTCTTTTGGAACATTTTTGAAAGAAGCAAAGTGTTTATATTATTTTTAAAGAAAGCCTAATGGTTTATTTTATTTAATATAATACTTTTGTTTATTTTTTTTTATTTATTTATTTATATTTTTTTTATATTTTACTTTTAATCTTTTATTTCATTTTTTTTTTTTTTTTTTTACTTTCTCATGTAATAACAGGTTAATAAGTTGTGATGCAGTGGGGAAGAAAGGTACACGGCGCAAATAATACTTAGTATTGATATAAACATATGTGCATATACATTTATATATATATAAACTTTTTTGCCTTTGAAAAGATAAATCAAAATGGGGTTTTGCAAGTAGTTATTAAAAAAATATGATTTGAGTTCAAATAATAAAATACACTGTATTCACTACTGTTACCACTGCTGGGTGCTTAAAACTGGTCCACCAAATTTTATTTATATGGAATAGGCATTTTTTTAACTGATATTGCTTTTATAGTTGCTATAAAAAAAAATAAACAAAGAGAAGAAGATGCTATTCAAATATATTGAGAAAATGTATACTTTGCTGGCATTATAAAAACATATATATTTTTTCATGAATGCGCCTTTTTCTGTGGATCCTGCGCACTAATTAAACATGCATAAAAAAATAATGTGCTATAATTCACCAAATTTGTCAGCTTTGGCATTTTACAAAATAAAACAATTTCTTTTTGTCAGAAAAAAATTTTCCTTATAATAAACTTATAACAAATTTAATTATTTAACTTATTACGTTAAATTTTATTCATTTTTTTTTTTTTTTTTTGTGTCCTTTTTATATATTTTTTCTTTTTATAAGAAATGTATGTCATATCATCGAAATGAAATGAAGCTTATGTAGAAAGTGTTCCACATAAAGGTACACCTATATCACCATATATGATATTTTGATTCAACATTTTCAAGTGGAATTTATACATATGAATATGAACACACAAGTATATATTAATAATATATATTTTTATGTTATTTTTAAGTATGGATTCTCTTTAAATTAAAATTTAATGAAAAAAGGGAAAATATTAAAATGTTTTATGACTCATTTAAAAATGTACCAAATTTATATATTTAATCTTTTTTTACCACACCGATCAAGTTACAAAATATATGGTACTGTTATGTTAGGTTACATTTCTTTTATTCTTAATGAAAAAGGTGTGTTCAAATGTAAAACCCCATTATCTCCACACGCATATAATTACGGTGTTAACCCAAGGTTTAGAACTCCATACACAAAGGTATACAGTTTTTAAATAACACTTTTACAAAAATGTTTTTTCAACGTACAGGTGGGATTTGCTTTTTGGTGTGCTTGTTTTTGTTTCTTCGTTTTGGCCTTATAATAGATAGATATATAAAATTGACAAAAAGAAGAATATACACGAAACCTATTTCCTAACTCAGTACACACTTTATAATAGAACAAAAAAAAAAAAAAAAAAAAAAATTTTCCCAAATTCGTCAGATATCCTTTTTTTTATTTTTTTCCCTTTTTAATACCTTATTTTTATTATCCGAAAAATGAGAAAATTTAAATAGCTACGCTTTTTTTTTTTTTTTTTTTTTTTTTTATTCTTACGCATGTTCAGGTAAAGGCAACTTTTCCCTCGATACATATTCATGTGTATGTTTTGCTTAAAGGTATACAAGCGAACTTCATTACGTACCTTTCTCACATATCATCTGTTCGTTCTAATAGGGAAAATTGCATAAAACTTTTGCACATATTATTTACACCACATTTTATCAACTAAAAACGAAAGACCGTGTGTCCGTCTCGTTCAACAGTTCTATAAATATTTTGTCAAAATGGTCAATTTGTGGAAGTAAAAATATTTCGTTTGTCATCCCATCCACCATAAAGGTTATATATACGGTAAAGTGGTAAAAAAGGAAAAAGAAAAAAAATGCTAACTATGTATTAAGTAGAGCTACCTAAAAAAAAAAAAATGAGCGAGTAATAGTTGTGTTCATTTCGTAGTTGTTTAAAAGTGGGGGAGGGTATAGAATTTTAACCATTTCTTTTACTCGTGCAGCACATTAAGAAATTCGGAAAATGTGTATACATCTGTGTGTATACACATGTATTTATATATATATATATGTATACAAAAAACTACGTGCTGATAATCTTTATAAACATTTTTAACAATTGAGAAATCTCCCTCATAAAGAGAAAAAAATCATTTTCTCAACATTTTTAAAACATGTAGTTATTTCATATAACAGTTTTTTTTTTTTTTTTTTCTAATGCAAAACCATACTACTTGGTGACTTTTTTTTTTTTTTTTTTTTTTTTTTTTTCTGTTAGAGATTGTTATGAACCGTTATATGAGAATTTTTTTTTTATGAACAGCCATTTTTTTGCGCGCATTTTTTTTTTTTTTTTTTAATTTACAGCTACATGTACATGTGTACACCTCTACATAATGTATAACACACAATGTCGTTTTTGTGTGTACGCTTTAAACAAAAGAGAAAAATAATACAGCATAAAATTAAAGAAAAACAACAACAAAAAAAATTACTTATAACACTCCTTAATTGAAATGTTCTAAAATATCCTTAATTTGTTTACAACAAATGCCTTTAAAATATTTAGGGTTATATGCACTTCCAAAGTGAAGTGAATAAATCTACCTGAACTGTTCATGTAACAACTGGGTATTGTGTCGTAAAGCTATTTTTTTTTTTTTTTTTTTTTTTTTTTTTAAGTAGTGTTAACTAGTAATAGTGCTATTTTTAGAAAAAAAAAAAAAAGAAAAGAAAATTAAATAAGGTAAAGTAAAATAAATAAACAAATAAATAAAAGAAAGAACAACAAATGAAAAAATATTTAAATAAATTAAATCTAAACGTAATATATTTTATCGATAACCAAATGAACATAAACACATAACATTAATCTTTCTTTTTATATATATTTTTTTATTCTTTTGCTTTTTCGTTTTTTCTGTTTGCTCTGTTTTCACAATTTTTATTTCATTTAAAACTTAAAAGAAAAGTTCTTTATCTGTGTTTTTCATTTATTTTTCATGTTCTCACAAACTATTACTGTATTTTGCTTGTGTGTGTGTGTTTTTTTTTTTTTTTTTTTGTTCTATTTGTTTTTTTTTTGTTCTAGTTAAAGTTTTTATCGTTTTTCCTATTTTTTGATTTCTTTTTTTTTTTTTTTTTTTTTCCTCTCCTTAAACCTTTTCATTTAAAAATAGAAATCTTCATTCCAACATCGATATTCATTAAAATTTGCATATAAATAAACAAATCCCAAATGTGATATACATGTTGAATGTTACTAATACTTAGTTACAGATTTTTTTTCTTTTTTATAAACTAACGTTTGTCGTGTGTGTAGTAGTACTTCTGTAAATTACAAATTTTTCCTCTTTAGAAAATTGAAAAAATTTGAAAAAGCAAAAATGGAAGGCTCAATCCAAAACTCCAGCAACTTACAAAAAGCAGATAGCATAGATGCTAAAGAAACATCTACAGTTGATAGAAAATGGGTTGCCCTTACTGCTTATCAACCTGTTGATGTTGTTACCAAAACTGTTGAAATTCCAATTATAAAAACTGTAGAAAAATTTGTTCCAAAAACCATCATTCAAGAAAAAATTATACATGTTCCTAAAAATGTTACACATATTGTTGAAAAGATTGTAGAAGTACCTGAAGTTAAATATATTGAAAAAATTGTTGAAGTACCACATATTCATTATAAAAATAAATATGTACCCAAAATTGAAATTGTAGAAAAAGTAGTGGAAAGACAAAAAATTATCGAGAAATGGCATGATAAAATTGTTGAAGTACCACAAATAAAGGAAGTTGTTAGATTTAAAGAAATTGAAGATGCTGAAGAAGTTATTAAATATGTTCCAAGAAATTCTAAAAACATTGACTGGGAAGAAGAGTACAAAAAGTACACTGAAAGAAAAGGAGGAGAAAGATACAGTTTGGATAACAATATTTATCAACAAAAAATGAGCTTATATAATGATTATAATGAAAAAGCTTACTCACAAAATGCATATAGTAGAAGCCTTGATTTCTTGAACAAGCAGATGTCTAGTTTAAATAACCAAAGTAATATTAGGAGTGAAGACTTTTCTCAAATTAATTTCTATAATCAACAAAGTGTAGGTGCAAGTTATGAGCAACAAAGATGCAGTATCCCAGCATCTACTTTTAATCCACGTGGAAGTTTACAGATGAAGAGATTACCCTCTGAGGAAACCAAGCCAGTTGGATGTTGTACTTCTTCCTGTACATAAATCCTTATAATCGTATACACTACCCACACACACACACTCAACCTCATTTTTCCAGAATTTTGAGAGCTCAATTTGACACGTTTTTGACGAAGGGGAAGAGAAAGATGCGTGCCTTTGCCAAGGCTCACAGAACATGTATGAGCCTACATATATGCATATACACATGTTTGCATAGATTTTACGATTGCCAATATGGTACGCTTTTCGAAGCCTGTGTGTCAACATGACACATTTTTAACTATTTTGATTTAAGCGCACTGCATTAAAAAATCACGCAGAATGAAAAGATCGTTGTTTCGTCTTTCCTTCTTTCCTTCTTTCTTTTTTTTTTTTTTTTTTTTTTTTTTTTTTTTTTATCTATAATTATGAAAATTATAATCATAATTATACCTATAATAATAGTAATAGAAGTGGCATAGCAGTAGCATAATAACGTACTACTCGTTTCGTTTACTCTCTTAATTACACCAAAAACTCTGAATGAATTAACTACATTATATCTGTTATTCTTCATACATACAAGAACAAGACAAAAAAAAAAAAAAAAAAAAAAAATTTTAAGCAAAATTTTAATATATATATTTTCTTCCTCTTTACTTTTTCTCCTTTGAAAATGCATCTTTGATGAGTGTTACATGAAAAAAAAAAAAAAAAAAAAAAAAAGAAAGAAAGAAAGAAAAACTAATACAGCATTGCATTATATGTGAAGAAAACATTTCACATATAGGTGTGTATCTCAATATCACAACTTGTTCCTTTCGAAGTGCTACTTTTCTGTCTTTTTTTTTTTTTTTTTTACAAAATAGTTATAATTAAATTTAAATAAAAAAAAAAAAAAAAAAATATTTTAATTGAATAATATTGATTATCGTTTTCATATATAAAACTTAAGGTAAAAAAAAAAAAAAATTTAAATAAATTGATAAAAGCGTTATTTTAATTTTGGGGATTTTTCTTTTTTTTTTAAGGCGTTAGTTTAAAATTTGTAAAGAGTAGTGGGGGTATAAAACAAATTAAACGTTTTTAAATACGTTTTATTTGTGTTTATTCACTTTTTCTATATTTTAACACTGTCGAACGTGTGTACATAAATATAGGCGAGTGTTGGTGTCACCCTAAATTATTGTTTTACGTTGTAAGTTAAAAATTACGTTTAAAATGGTTCTAAAAATAAAAAGGGTTAACATTTTCATGCATGCACATAGTGACCAATTACTTGGTGTTAAGATTAACATAAAAAAAAAAAAAAAAAAAAAAAAAAAAAATTTCAAATGACGAAAAAATTCTCTACGTATTGTTGGACGAACAAATATTCATGTAAGCAGTGGTTTTATCAAGCCCTATGTAATGAATTTTTTGTTCTAAAAATTTATCCGCTGCTTTCAAATCTGAAACTAGGTCATACACATTAGTGTGTTTCTCCAACTGAGTAATCAAACTTAAGTGGTCTCTCCATGTATTTATCGCATTGCATAAATCAATTATTGGGTTTAGAAAGCTGGGAAATTTTTTCCTCACAGCTTTTTCGAATTCATTAAAATTATTTTCTGAATTATCCGACAATTTAGTGTAATAATTATTCCCCTTTTCTTCTCCTTCATGATCTTCATATTCACAACTGTCATTTGTAGGCGTATCATTTTCAAGGTCTTCTTCCCTGTTCTTCATTTGTATACTACTCATCCCATTGCTGTTGTAGTGAAGAGAACCACTTTTTCCGTCCTCGTTTTGACTCCTTTCCTCCCTTCCGTTGTCCCTATCTATCTGAACATTCATATCATCAGGATGAGCATCCCCCACAGTGTTATCAACCTCACAATGGCTATCCTCGTGTGATTGTTTATTACATATATTATTTTCCTTCCATTTTTTAAGATTCCATTCTTCTTCTTCTTCTTGTTCACTTGTCATATCTCGATCAATTTTTGTGAAACTTTTTTTTAATTCTAGTACGTCCATTTTTTCAACTTGCTCATTTTTACGTACGCTTGCATTTTCAGATAAACTTGAAGAATTTTCCAAAATCTTTTCATTTTTTTCTTTTGGATGAAATATATCTCTTTTCGATTTATTATCCTTTTCCATGTGTTCAATTATATGGTTATTACCATTTGTCCTTTCGTTATTATGCGTTCTATTTGTATCTTCCCACTTTTGTATCTTATCCGATGTTGTTGTTTCACTTTCACTTGTAGTACCATGGGGACCTTGATGATGGAAAGTTTTTTTTTTTTCTGCACTTTTTAAATCGTCAAAATTGAATAACAAAAAATATTTTGTTAAAACTCCCATAAGATGGTGCGTTACAAAAAAACCTGAAATATTTGGGTCATTGGGGTTGTACAGATTTTCTGGAAGAAGATGTATTAAATCCATATTCGTTATAAGAACATTAGCAACACATGCTTGAAGTAATTGCCTTAACGTTTTTTTTATAACTTTTACCACAGCAAAAAAGGCACATAAATCAAAGTCTATTAATCCATCATATGTTTTATATTTATCTACATTTATATTATATAAAGAATATAATCGAGACAATAGAATAACACTTTTCTTATCTTGTTCTTCTAAATGTTTACAATTCATAACTGAAGCATAGGCATTCTTTGGGTACGATTTCCCATTCGCAGGTAACAATGGTTCATTCGTTAAAAATCCAAATTTCAATAATTCAAAAATTATTAAAATATTGTTATCTATATTTTTATTTTTTACTTCTGAGAGTAAGAGTCCAAAAATTGTAACTCCACAATTTTTCGTGAAAATTCCTAAATTCTCCAAAAACATATAATAAACGAGACAAAGAAAACTTTCAAAATTTTGATTATTCACCTTCAACATATTTTTATAATAATCGTTATAATGCTTGATCATTTTATCTGAATTTGATTCACCATTCACGACTTGTTTAGCACTAACAAAATTTTTTGCATCTGGTTCCTTTTCATCATCCGACACCTTGTCCTCATTCTCAATGTCTGCTATAATTTCCTCTTCTGAACTTTCTGTTCCTTCTGTAGATAGACTCATCATCACATGCTCTGGTGATTTCTCTCTTCCATTATCACTTTCTTTGAAACTCTCACTATCACTCCTTTTGACAATGTCGCTACTGCCCACTTTGACAATGTCGCTACTGCCCACCTTGACATTTCTTCCCTGTTTTCTCTTACACACGAGAGATAAGCTCCTACTCTCTGAATACAAATGCCATCTCAATATGAACTGCAAATCGACCTTACTAATGTTCTGCCTTTTTATTTCTTCACTCACGTTTTCTTTGTTGATATCCCACAAAAATGAATCAACTAGGTTCACATCTAGATAGGCAAAATTGTCCTTTTCTTCCCGAATATTATTAACATAATATCCATAATCAAAAAATTTTATTTTTCTTTTATAAAAAAATGGGTTCAATTTTACTGAAATCAGGCCTAATATTCTACATCTATATTCTCTTAAATCTATTAATGAATCTCGATATTCAAATGAATCGATTATTGGATGAGTATAGTCTATCCATTCTCCTAATGCCAAAACGCATACAATTTTTTTACTTAAAAGCCCAATGGACATAAGGTAATAGATGCTTGTTGGGAATTTAGCTCCAACCACTTTTAGGTAGTTGTGTGGACCTGCATGTTCAAAGTTACAAATATTTTCTTTTTCGAATTCTACATTTGCATCCTCGCCCTTTTCATCCTCATTTGCATCCTCCGCCTTTTCATCTTCATTTGCATCCTCTGCCTTTTCTTTCCTTTTTCGATTATTTTCTGAAATTACATCTTCCTCATTATGAAGAAAATCAATATTTGTCCGTTCAAATCTTTTAGTGATAACATCTCCATTATTCTGTATGTCATCATTATGGCTTGAGTTGAAACTTCTGATATGATTCTTAGCTGTGTTACTATTCTTGTTAATTTTCGAATCCAGAGAATCATGTGATTCTGTAATTAGCACATCTTCTCTCTCTTTGCTCTTTGTCCTCTTCACACGTTCACTAGTATTCATAACTTCTTCCCTTATCTTTTTATCTGTACACACATCTTCATTACGTGTGTCATCATCATAGGAGGGGGAGGAGGCGTCTCTTTCTTGCATTCGTGAACTTGGTTCACTTTTGTCTCTACCCTTTTGCTTAGCATATTCCTTTCCACAATTTTTAGATGCATTTGTATCTCTCCCTTGGCACGCATCGTTTGATGTTCCACCGTTTGATTTTCCCCCGTTTGATGTTCCACCACTTGGAACCATCCCATGATTTTCCTTTTCCACTTTATTTTTCGATTTATATTGGATATAATTCCCACTTGGATCGTTATGCAAATGTTCTGAATCATTATTCAAACAATTTGGATCATTTTTCTGAATATTTTCACCCTTATTCATGTTTGACCATTCGACATGCCTCTGATCCTTCTCTTCATCTTCTTTGTTCCCATCAATTCGAATACTACCTCTATGGCCACTAAAATCTGCAATGTTATTATTAACAGGTTCCTTATGATCACTACTAGCTATTCTACATCTATCTAAAGGATTCCCCATAATGGAATCACTTTTGAACCCATTTTCAGGAGAATTCAATTCGTATGAGAAAAAATTAACTTCTCCACTGCATAACAATACAATTGGAAATTTCAAAAGTGTTTTGCACACAAAATATGCTTCAATGTGATTAAAACCAGTTTCATCATTTGGAATGTGTTCTAAGTAACTTATCAAAGATGACTGTTTTATAAACTCAATGGATGTCTCAAAATTAAATTCATTTCTTCCATAATTGAAATGAGATAGTGTTAAATACGGAAAAGTTAAACAATATTCCGTACCTGCCAATAAACATGCATCCATAAACTGTTCATTAGTTATATTCCACATATTCAGTAAAAATAATAAATCTACCCATTCAAAATAATTTTCATCCCATTGAAAATTTACGATCACTTTAGATACATTCTGTAAAATTATAGTTGGAGGCCCATACACTAAATCTATCATATTAATGTGGAAAAAATATGACAACTGTGATATTGCTAAATATGGAGCATACATACATTTAAATCCCTTATTTTTTAAATAGTGAAATAATAAAAATGTTACATCTGAATTACATATATTCGGTATTCTAGAAAAATTTGAATAAGATAATTTCTCTTCATTATTTACATAATGTGCCCACCCTTCTTCCATAATATGATGAACCGGTGCTGAAAATAATGTATGAGCTCTAGGAGTTATTCCATCAAATACAAATATCACATCTATATTTAAATTCTTAAATTTTTCACATTCCTTATCAATTAAGTGGTATATGCATGGTGATATACATCCAGATACATCACTTAAAATGTCTTTCAATTCATTTGATGTTCTTAAAAAATATAAGGCATCTATTCCTAATGTTAAATTTTTTATTTCATCTAATGCACTCTTTTTTAACAACTTGTGTTCTGTTAAATAACTCTGTAAACGTCTCACCCTCATCTTTTCCCTTCTCGTGCTTTTATTAACTTGAATTTTCTTATATATTTTACGTTTCTCCTTGCTAATATGTTTCTTCCTTTAAACGGTTTCTTTTGTTTGTAATGGATTTTATATTATTTACTCTTCTTTGCTTTTGCATTACTTTGCTTCTCCCCAGTACTGCAACTTGGAGTAAGCTGCTGAACTCTTGGCTTAAATTTTTTTTTGGGTGCTTTCGGATTGCTCGAAACTTGTCCTCAATATGGGAGTTCGTTAGATGAGTGTATACATATGTATATACACATACATACATATATAATTGTGTATGTATATATGCACATGCATATGTTTACAGCACATGTCCGCACTCCTTGGGAGTAGCTCACCACTGTTCAATTGTAACCCAACGTGCACACTTTAGAAAGGTCAAAAAGATGAATTTTTACCCTACATGGTAAAGCAGTACCATGTACAGGTGAAAATATTCTCATTAAGTTTACTTCTCCAAATGGCACGTTAAATGAATTTAAAAAAAAAAAAAAAAAAAAAAAAAAAAGGAGATATTGGGTTGGGGATGCGGGTAGAAGGGAATTTTGTCTACATTGCTTGGCTATATATATATGTAAAAAGTTTTTAAGCCAATATTATTTATTCACCTACTTGGATAAAAAAAAAATGTGCATATATTTATGCCATTCAACAACATATTCTAATTTGCATGTACGTGTAAATGTATATATATATATATATATATATAAGCCTATATATTCACAAACATATATGTGTGTGTACGTGCTTTAAACAAAAAAAAAAACTGTACATATTTTTTGCAACCAATATATTTATGCAACTAGGATGATAAGACTAGTGTATAGAAAAAAAATCTCCTATTAGAAATAATTATTTCTTTTATAAGTGAATAAAAAAAAAAAAAAAAAAAAAATTCTCCATAGCGGGTATTTTTCTCCTAAAAAATTACTCTTATATATGTTAGCGTGTGTTACATAACAATGATGTCGTAGCAGAACAATCAGTTGCAGGTACTCCAACTTTAGTATATTAAAACACGTATAAACAGAAGTGTAAGGTTTATTCACACAAATTCGATTATATATGTATCCACGCATGGTACGCATAAATACCATTGTCTCTTATTCTCATTTTACAAATTGTATAATTTGTCCTTACTCATGTGTGTGGGATGATACAATCCATGAATAAAAAAAAAAAATAAAATAGTAATATAAAATAGTAAAATAAAATAATAATATAAAAAAAAATCGTTAGTAAAAATAGATCGCAAACATGGGCAACAAAAATGAATAGCAAAGATGTGGACGAAAAAAATGGTGAACTTTTAAACACAAAATAAAAAAAAAAAAAATAAAGAACACAAGCTTATGTATACAAGCCTATGTATGCAAACCTATGTATACAAGCCGATGTATAGAAGCCTACGTACACAAACCTGTGTATAAATGCAAAATAAAATTTCCTACTTAAACTAAAATTGATAAATGTAGGTTGTGAAAATAGTGATAAAAATTAAACCAAGCGTTGGTTAGTGCATATCTACAATACTCGTAAAAAGGAATATTAAAAAAAAAAAAAAAAAAAAAAACTTGTGCATGCTAATTTAAAATGGAATTACAAGAATAAATGTAAAACATGTGCAAAAAAAATTTCCAAAATTTAGGAGTAATTTAACGAGAACGCGCTAAGACGTACCAAAATGTTTGTCGAAAAGGGTTCCCAAAATTTACCACAAATATAAGTACACAAATATGTACACTTAATTATACATAAATAAATATCTACACTCAAATATGCATAAACAAATATGTACACTCAAAGATGCATAAACAAACTTGTACACTTAAATGGGCATACATAAATACACTTACGCAAGAATTTGACAAATACTCATATACATAGGGTAAGTTCAACTTATATTTTGTGCAGCCCCGCACACTCCATTGGTAGAATAGAACATACATGCACTCTTCTTCAATAAAAATGTACACATGTATAAAAGGCATTCCTATTTTTAAAATAAAATACGTTATTCAAATATCCATGCATATATGAATATATTCTTTTTTTTTTTTTTCAAGTGGTGTTCATTTTGTTTACCAATTTTTACCTATCACCCTTGTTATAATTAAAATTTTGTCCCTCCTTCAATAAACACGGTGGTTACATGTATTTAAAAAAAAAAAATAAATAAATAATAATTATTACTACAATTATAAGAATGTTAAAATTAGTAACATTCTCATATTTTATTTTACTTTTCTTTTTTTTCTTTTCTTTGTCCCCATCGTGAGATCATCAATTATAAACTTTAATTTCAGTCCACTTATAAGAGTAGTACATACTACATTTCCTTTCCCTTCAAAATAGCAAAAAAAAAAAAAAAAAAAAAACCAATAGACCAAAAAGTGACCAATGGATAAAATGATTAAAATACCAGAACTGCTATAATGTAAAATAATATAAAAAAAAAAAAAAAAAAAAAAAAAAAAAACATCTATATTTTTTTAAGCAACAATTTCTCACCTTTTTACACAACATTTTTTTTTCTTTTCTTTTTTTTTTTTTTTTTCTTGGCGTACAGCTACGCTTCTACAAAAGTTGAACACAAGCAAGGACATAAAAAAAAATAAAATAAAAAATAACACATCATTGGATTCTCAAAAGCTTTTGCATGATGATGGACGTGGCAGCACTAAGGTAAAATATCCGCCGTTTTTAAAAATTTTTATGTATTGCATAGATTAAAAAAAAAAAAAAAAAAAAGGAAAATTTAAAAATTGAACACATAAATATACATCAAGTGTGAAGGATAAAATGAAAAATATGCTTGATTTTTCCCAACCCCCAAAAAAAGGGTTTATGGCATTTCTCTAAAGGACCAAAAATACAATACATTTTTTTTTTTTTTTTTTCTCATTTTGTATGTACATGGATACACATTGAATTCCCATATAACTCGTTTGCACATAAATAATCCTTTTGTAGAAGCAGCTAAATCTTCTGCATATTCAGAGCATCCAAAATTCATAGATTTTATGTGTACACACTGCTGTTAAAACTAGCATATGCCACATTATAACACATTTCTATTTCTACCTAAGAAAGCGCAATATTCTAGCACCGGCACACACACACACATATGCACACGTGTAAATATTCACATTTATTAAAGCTGAAAATAAAAAAAATAAAATGAAATGTGCCCAAGGATACAGTACAAAAATGTAAAAATTAAAATTTTCCCAGTTTACCTTATATGCCTTTTTCATTTTGTGTTATTTAAATAAACCCAATTATTTTAACGATTTAATTAGATATAGTAGCAAAGCGGTTTACTTTGTATATAGATTACGCATTCAGGATGACATTTTTCATTTTAAATGGTAATGCATTTTTTACATCAACTTTAAGAGTCCGTCCAAATAATCTGTAAAACGTCAGGAAATTATTATTTATGCAACATCATTACAACTTAATTTTTGTGTTTTCGTTCACCATTCCACATGCATGCGTATACACCCTCTTTGAAGAAAGTTTCTTATGTATCTCTTTTGCTGTAAACGGCTGCACAAGGAGACACATGCATTTTTTTTGAATACCAAAGCTTATCGTTTAACTTCACTTTACTCACACAAAGAATTGACTTTTTCATTTTTTTTAAAATTTAATAGCACATGTTTTTCTAAATTGGAGATCGATCCAATTAATTAGTCTACTGGGGGGAAAAGCAATTGTTATTCTATTTGGTGTACACCTTTTTAAGGGCAAAAATATAGAGCTCACCAAATTGGTTGTACTCTTTAGGCTTCTTTTTTTCTTACTGGCATGCTCAAATTATTTATGAGCTAGCTATATCTAGCTATGTTATCATATTTTTTTTTTTTTTTTTTTTTTTTTCAACAGGTAGCTAAAAATAATGTGCAACTTTAAATTGCTTGCACAGTTAATAAATTTTCTGCTATGTAGAAAATTAAATGTACTTGAAAAAAGATATACACATTTTCAAAATAAATAATTATATCGGTAAAATTAAAAAGTGGTATATGGGGATACTTTCAAAAAATTATCATCTTGCAATATTATATTCAAAAGGGTGGTGTTTTCTTTGAGGGATAAAACTAACGTGCAGTTAACCGGAAAGGAGGCTTTTAATTAGGTTAGGAAATGCAAAAAGGGGCGATAAAATTGTTATTTTTAATTAAAAATAAAATAATACGAAGAAGATAAAATTAAAATGGATAAAATATGATAAAAATATATAAAATAAAGTAGCTGGATAAAGCTGAATGGGCAGCACTCGCGCAAGCTGCTGAGAAAAAAAAAAAAAAAAAAAAAAAAAAAGGGATTACCACAGGAAAACGCATAACTGCGTATAAAACACATATGTAGTACATACACATATAGGCACGCATGGAGGGATATGTTATGTCTATTCCATTCTGTGAAGCAAAAACGATGAATATTTAAAAGTATTCTGCAAATTCATCCTTTATGTTTAGGAGCATTGGATCGTCAAAGAATCTATTTATCGTTACATCCTCTGTTAAGCCCTTTCTTCTTCTTGTTTTCAACAAGAACTCTCGCGCTAGATGCTGAATGGGGGCAGGTTCCAGAGGTCTGAGTATAACTGACTTGTCTAAAGGATCCCCTGGGACAATGTGCCAATGATCAAACATACTCAAGCAGAACGCCTGACCACTTGTGTGTGTTCTTAAGTCTGTTTCAAATCCGAAGGATTCTATTGCAGGTATGTATGCATGAACCATATATAAAGGAGTTCCTACTTTAGGGAAATCTTTCAATACATGTCCTCTTCTTCTTGACAATACATTGTACACAGAGGAAACAGAATCACCTGAACATATAATTTCAGTAAACAAAATAGGTTCTAATAATCGAGGAGTACCTAATAAAAAAGATGAATATATAGCTCTTCTTGTAGTAGGAATAATTTGTCCAGCTCCTCTATTAATTGGGTCCTCATCTATATCACCTCTTAAAATTTTCACCTTGACATTTTTCATACATTCTTCAATTAACGGTCCTTCTTTAGTGGCCCAAGAGAAACCTTGAATTATATTTTCCTTAATAGAATACAGATTCTCTTTATTTGTTTCTTTATATAATGAATCATCAACTAGTACATTTGGACTGTTATTTTCTGGTCCAAATGCCCAGATAGATCTTATAGATAAAATATCCCAGTTATGTTTATTCGTCAATAGTGAGATAACGTTCTTGTCAATATCATAATTTAGTGTGCTTTTCCTCTTCATCATCTCGGTATCTTTCTCAGAATGTTCCTCCTCCGTCTCATCATCAATTCCTTCTCCTTCCATGTCTGGGCTGATATCCCTATTTGTTAGTCCTCCTCCTGCTCCTCCACCTCGTCCCCCTAGACCTCTTTTCACTTCTCCATTTTCCCTACCCTGATCTTGCAATAAACAATCAATTGTATGTAAATACTCATCTAAGTTAACATTTTGATCGTCCTTATTCAGATGAACCAAACCTTGGACAATATCCTCCGCAAGTTCTTTCTGCATTGGTTCAGCTATCATATAAATTTTATTTTTTTTATTTGGAGTTTCAGCAAAACAGTTAAGAGCCGATGTTTCAATAATAGTTTCATTAAACTGAACTACAGGATCTGAAACTTTAATTTCAAGATCTCCATATAATTTTCTTAAATCATGTAAAATACAGTCAAGGTATAATTCTCCTGTTCCTAGTATTATGTGTTCCCCGGATTCCTCTACTTTTGTGCTTGAAAGAGGATAAGATTTGTCAATTTTTCTCAAGCCATCTAACATTTTAGGCAATTCGGATGGATTAATGGGTTCACATGCCACTTTAAAAACTGAATTAGCACAATTTATGTATCTGAATTTTCTATGTAGAGGATAGAATATTTCCGCTTCTGCCTCTTCGTCTTGCAGAAGAATCATCCTTTCTTCGTCCTTCAGATTATTTAGAAATGCAGATGTGTCTTTGCATTCTCCCCCATTTGTGCCCCTGTTTAATCGTGCACTCATTTTTTCATTCATTTTTTCACCCATTTTTTCACCCATTTTTTCACCCATTTTTTCACCCATTTTTGCACCCATTTTTGCACCCCTTTCTCGTCCGTTTTTCCTCCTCTTCACATTCGTAATGGTGCACGTTTTGTTGATGCATATGTCAACACCACCAACAAGCACAAAGTTTCCTGCAGGAACCTCATTCACTTCCACTCTATATCTTCCTTCATACACCCAGAGATGTGTCACAACACGTGTTATCATATCCTCATCATCACTTGGACTATATCCCTCTCCCAATATACGAACCGTTTGTCCTTTTCTGATAGTGCCACACATGACTCGACCAAATAGATCTAGAATCAAGCATTCGGGTCTGTGATAATTTTTAATTATATAAATCATTAAATTATCTGTTTTGTCCCCCTTGACACATCTCATCATGTCGTAACATAATTTCGTTTTTAATGAGCCTGAATATATTTGCCTGGTTTTGTTCTTTGCATTTTCCAAAGGGGAAGGGCAATTGTCCAAGATGACATCTACAAATGCAGTAGTGTCTTGAAATATCATTCTGTTAATTTTTTTCAATAAATATTTGTTATTAAATAGGTAATCATTTTTTTTTAAAGTGATATTAAAATTCTTCAAAAATGGGATCAAAAATTCTTTTTCTTCTGAACATACATATCCAAAAATTTTATAAATTGGATTCAAAATAAATTCAACAAATGATCTTTTCTGACTTCCATATGTAGGAGACGAAACAAAGGAAAAATCCTTCTCATTAAAATATACATCTCCCCAAAGATATTGAGAAAATTCATCAATATCAATATTATATGCACTGTATAAATTACAATAAATTTTACTAAAAGATTTTAATGTAAAAAAAACTCCATATATGCTAGATGCAAAGAGGACATTGTTTTTCAAAGGAGATAATAAATATCCTTTCTTTTCCTTTGGACTTTTATTTAACAAGTCACAAAATGTTTCGATTTTTTTATTTATTTCTTCTATTGTGTAATTAATTTTATGATAAGCATCATTAGGTGGCAAACGTAAATCCATGATTAACTTGTCTATACAATTTAAAATTAAAACCATCTTAACATTTTCATATATACATGCTTTTATCACATTTTCTGTCACATACATACACCCATCTATAACATCAACCACTAAACAACAACATTCGCAGATATTCAAAGCGCAAAGAAATTCATCAAAAAAGTTTACGTGTCCTGGAGTGTCCATAATATTGAATATATAAGACTTATATTTCAAGTTATTTTTCTTCTTATTTAATAAAATATTACTTGGAATATGCTCATAAATTTTATTCTGCAAAATCAGTGATATTGGAATTGCCTTCATAGATAACCCTCTTGCTTGTTCATCAAGTCTGGTATCTGTGTAATTTATTAAATAATCAATTTTTTTCGTGTTAAATGGGTTCACCATAGATGTACTACTACTATTACAATTATTATTATTATTCCCTTTTAGATTCTGTTTTTTTATTACTATACCTTCCATTTCATCGTTTACATGAAAAAAACTTACAGTGCTACTACTGCCATTACCACCACTAGTGTTACTACTACTTGTTATCTTTGTTCTATTTCCTTTTTTATCACGTGTATATTCTATTATTCTATCTATAATGGTCGTTTTCCCGTGATGAAAATGCCCCGCTATGCAAATATTTTTTATAAATTCTGTATTGTGCATTAATTCAGACATATATTTAAAACTGAAGGTATTGTTAGGTAGACTCGTTTCTACCAAATCGAAGTTTTTGCGATTCGCTTCTACATCTAATTTTTTAATAAAACTAATACGTTCTACATTTGTGTTTATCTTATTAATTGTAGACTCTTCGATATCTTGTGTATCCTCCTGTTCAACAAAAACTTCTACTCCTTCAAACGCTTTTTGAAGTTCATCCAAATTTTCATCAGGTTGTTTATTTATTTCGCTTACACTTCCTTCTTCTTCACTCTCATTATCACTTCCTCTTATGCTTTCCCCCTTACTCCCCACGTGGTTATTACCACTTTTTTTTCTACTTTTCTTTACTTTTCTGTACTTATCATCACTTCCTTCGTCACTTTCTTCATCACTTTCTTCATCACTTTCTTCGTCACTTTCTTCACCACTTTCTTCACCACTTCCATCATCACTTCCTTCATCATCGGGACTCTCCCCATCATTCCTCATCTCGTCTTCTTCACCATCACCATCAGAGTAATCCCCTTCACTATCTATGTCTTCTCCTATATAATTTCCAAATTCATCATACAAATTATTTTTAGATTCCATGATTTTCACTTTTGCTCTCGTCAAAGAAATATATGCACAAACCTTGCAAGAATTGCTGTGTCCTCGACAAGGTTTAATTTGGACCTTTTTTCTCCTGCTCCTCTAGCTGATTTTTACACACAAGCATGCATGCATACATAAATGTGCACATATATATATATATATACATACATACAAGTGTGTGTAGTGTAAATCCTCATTAATGGCAATTCCCAATCATCCCTAGCATGTAAAACAGGATAAGGTATATATACCAACGAACCAAGCCCGTTCTCTCCTCTCACCTTACTTTGCTTTCATCAGCTTTTTTTTGCTTCTCTTTCTTTAACAATTTGGATTTCTAGTAGTGCTCTCTTTTATTAACTTACTCTCTCTATTCGATTACTTTTATTTTTATTTTATTATTTTATTTACTTTATTTATTTTTTTTTTTTTTTGTTCTCCCTCTAATTAATATATTGCTTCTTTTCTTTTCTGTTTCTTCACTTCACAGTTTGCACAATTGTATTTGTTTTGGGGTATGTTGTCCCCTAAACGTTCTTCCTTATTTGATTTTGCTTCTATTTTTTTATGAACAAATTTGAGTCAATTTTGAATCAAATTTGTTAGGTTTTTTTTATTTCTACGTTATGTTTTTTTTTTTTTTTTTTTCCCCTTTTTCTTCTAATAATAAATCGTTTCATCTGGGATTGTAATAATAAACAATGGTTATCTTTGGAACCTTATAAGAATGTTATCATTTCTTCTAACCGATTCGACAATTTGGTGGTTCGTTACTTGGATGGTATAGTATATTCCCTTTCTTTTTTATGACAAATCCGATTTTTCGTTTTTTTTTTTCCCTTTATTTTTACTGATCCTTATTCGGACTTTTTTTTTCGTTTTTTTTTTTTTTTTTTTTTTCTTGTTACTTTCTTTTGCCCGACATATTTTTTGCACAACGTGTATTTTATAACCAAATTTCTGTGGCGCTGTATTTTTTTTTTCTATTTTTTTATTTGTAGCTTTATTTAAAGAATAACTTTATGGGGAAATTGCACAAATTTCTCTTTTAACTTTCAGCGAAGAAAAATTCATTCTTTCTTTCCCCCATTAATTTTCAGCTCTTTTTTTCTATTCTCACTTGTACGCATACTTGTACTCTTATTCGTGTTTGTATTTATATTCATATCCTTACTCTTATTCCTTATACCTCAGCAAAATATGTTTATATACAGTATGCGCACAACTGGGTAGGGGAGGAGGAGAGCAATGTAACATATCCCACTATAAAATAGAATTTCCACAAAATGACCCAAGAGAGAAAACTTATTTTAAACCAAGGGAATTATAAAAATACTTTGGAAACTTATAATTTTCCAATCATTATCATAAAGGGAGAATTTTTATTTTATTACTTTTTTATTTTATTATTTTGTTATTTTGTTATTTTATTTTATTACTTTTTTATTTTATTATTTTGTTATTTTGTTATTTTATTTTATTACTTTTTTATTTTGTTATTTTATTTTATTACTTTTTTATTTTATTATTTTATTATTATTTTTTTTTAAATTTTTTTTATTATTATTTAATCACAACGAAGTTCAATCACGTCTTGATAAGGTGTAAAAAAAAATCCAAATATGAACTAAAATCCCTACCTCTTGCCCTTGGAACCATGTAACCACATATAGTTACACACACGTCTTTATATATATTGTGTGTGTACACCATGTGTAGAAGTGCTTGTCCATTTAATACCACGCAATGGTTCCAGATCTTGTAGAATATACCTCTCTTCTCCTGACAGTATTAACATATTTCTTCTCATTTTTTATGAAACCTTTAAAGTAATGCAGAAATAACGCATAATATCTCTCCGTTTTTGTTAAAAAGGGTAAAATCATAATACATCCTCTGAGTTAGTTATTGCAAGTCCATGGTTTATTGTCTCATTTTTGTTTTATATAATTAGAGAACTTAAAATACTTGGATTTGTCATATTCCATATGCTGATTGGGGGCGGGATATAAACCTGTGATAAGATTTCAAAACAGTTAATATTAATCATGTGCCCTTAATACATGGTATAATGAAGCGACATTCTGCCTTATATCCACATAACTTATTTTTGACATTTCTAATAACAAATTGTGTGAAATAAAATTTACATATTTGGTTAAAATGAAATAAAATAACAGCAGATGGGAAATTTAAAGGATGCATTTCCAAATGGGTATATCCCTACGCCCACTTTTTCCATCTTTCAATGTTACTATCTCTATTTAAGTTCATGTATGGGAACTCGTGTAAAATATACGTCTCTCCTGTGTTTTTGCCCCTTCGCTCCTTCTTGGAGAGGTTATATTTAACTACTGTAAAATTTAAAAAGTATTAAAAGATAGATATTTAGAAGGTATCAAACATAACCATATACATCTACACTCTTAGTCCTTGTACATGCCTTTTTTTTTTTTTTTTTTTTTTTCTTTTTTTTGGACAGCTAATTTTGTACCTTTTGGACGAGTGGCATATACCATGAAGTAAAATTTAAAAAAAAAAAAAAAAAAAAAAAAAAGGTTATCCGTGTACTGTTTTTCACCTTCTGCACCTACTTTAACTCTCTACATGTACTTTTTGCACACCTAATTTTTTTTTTTTTTTTTTTCTCCACTTTAAATAAATTAAAATCGGTACAGGCATATAAGAGGTGTAAAAAAAAAAAAAAATAAATAAAATATAATAAAATAATAATAATATAATAAAACTAACAGCTCTATTTAGTAGCAGTATCGCTCTACTTCTGCTAATAGGTGAAGTTGGGAGAGTAAGTTCACTCAACGGTGCTATGAATTAACATGGAGTAAAATTGAAAGTCCAGGAACTTTTAACTGATCTCGTGCTAAGACTTTTATGAAAAAAGAAGATTACATAATAAACAAATTGGGCATTCATGAGAAGGCATAATAACACCAGTGTCATTTCCTAACTTTGAAAGCAGAATGATCGAAATTGCAGAAGAGGGGAAAATAAAGCACATATGCATGAATAGGCACTTACATGATTACACACGTGAATGAATAGACACTTGCATGAATAAACACTTGCATGAATAAACACGTGAATGAATAAACACTTGCATGATCGCATGAGTACAAACTTGTACACTCATCACGTGTGTGCGGAGGCCCCCCCCCCCCAAGATGAATCCAAGTGACGAAATAGAACCCATGAAGATAAAGAAAATGAGAAAGGATTTCATCAAATGTATAATGAAAGATGAGGAATATAAAAAAAAAGATGAGAAAAAAAAAGAAATTGTGAAATACTGTAAAAGTTACAAAGACTTCTGCAACATCGTAAGCTCAGTAAATATGAAACCAATTAAGACATATGAAGAGAAGGTCTCCTATGAAGACTATATAAACATGAAATTCCCTGTATCTACATTTAAAATGGAATATATTAAGAAAAAAAACGCAAAAAATAGATATTTTTTACTACCTGATCAATCCCAGATTAATAACCAGATGGAAAAATCGCTACCTCAGGAAATTCAGGCCTACAAATCCAAACAAAAGATTCACCAATTCTTGTAAAATTTCCTTACCTCGTGAATAAACCTATGATACACATGTCTTCATCATGTGTATGTCTACATGTTGCACAAATAATCATAATAATTTTCTATGCCACGTCCCCTTAACAGACAATATGGCTTTAAACGCCATTTGCTCTTATCAATTACATCCACATCCACATACACACACACACACATATATACACAAACTTCTTAGAAACGTACTATGGAACCACCAAAAAGATTATGGCAAATTCATAAAGTCCAATTACAACTCCGATGAATTGACCGAACTACTGTGTCTTATGAGTAGAAACTGGGATGACCTGTTCGATATCAAGATTCAAGAAGAAGACTTGGCATCATTTACTTCACAATTGAAACTTCCTAACTTAGTGAATTTTCTTACTCACATGGTGAAACATTGGGAAATGGAAGGGCTTTCCTTCTACTTCACACAAGAAGAATTGAAAGACATCAATGTAAACCTCCAAGATGTAATTCATAAAATTGAAAAAAAAATCTCTTCATACAGTTATGATAATCATCAGAAATGTGAAGAGACAATTAAAATGATAAATTACCTTAAGGCATATTCATTTTTAAACTAACTAAAGGACTGATCAACCAAAACAATCCATTATATGCATCTTTCCCACAGCAGACATATAAGAACCGTGGTCTCCTCTCTCATATATGAATATATCTCTTTCGGTCAGAATTTAGCACCCCTCAAAAAGGGGTAGGAGGTAAGGTTAAAATATGTTGAAAATTGTTCACATCACACAACTTTGCAACTTATCTAAGGGATTTTTTTTTTTTTTTTCTTTCTTTTCACTTCTCATTTGCGCCCTATCCTAAATATACCACCAATGGGATTTTCACTTTTTGGTTATTTTAAAATACTGCTTAAAATGTGTGTACATATATAAATATTTTTTTTTTTTTTTTTTTTTTTTTTTTTTTTGTATTAACACGTATGAGAAGAGTCTGTTTAACGCTGTCATATTTAGGGATCCATGTGTATGCAACATACTGTGCAAGTACAAATAGCGTGCATATATACACGCATAAATAAAAAATATATATATGCGCATAAATGCACAAATATAATCTGTTTGTTACACATTTCTTTCCTATTTTCGTATTTTCCTATATTTTATATTTTTTTTTTCTCTCATTTCTACACTCCCTTAATGATAAAATTGCATTAAAAAGGAAGATAAAAAAAAAAAAAAAAAAAAACACACATATGCATGAGTGCACATATTGCCTCCATCTGTTCATACAAATATGTACCAACCTTATTTTCATGACACATACACAAGTTAGACATGTATCCCATACGAGTTACATATGAAACAATGCAATCGAACAATGCACACTAACACTGCACATACACCAGAGCTGTTATATATATGACACATTCTGTTTTTCCCCCTACGCATATCCAAAGTTTTCCAAAACCTTGCGTTCCTCTGGATTAATCATATTTAGAGCTTCTGATTTCAAATTCTTTTTCTCGTTGAGTACTTTTACTTTCTTTTTGTAATATAGCTTGCTTACTTTTTTCCTGATCTGTTCATTTTTTTTAACTAACTCATCATAATTCCAACCAACTCTTGAACTCAACGTTCCCAGTCTGCAATATCGTCTATGCTTTTTTAATCTAAATGCTCTCAAAGCACTTGGTAAAACATATTTTTTCATTTTATCATATGGATATGGCATACCTACTAATACTTTCAGTTTTTTAAGTGCAATTTTTCCTTTGTATGTTTTATGTGGTAACATTCCTCTGACACATCTCCACAATATTTTAGATGGATCACGTAAATGTAATGGTCCTTTCTTTGGGTTTGTGTTCGTTCTGAGTCTTAAAAATTCTTGATACTTTAGTCTGTTTCTATACAAACTACCAGATATGTTAATATCTTCACATCTTACAGCAACTATTCTTTGACCGTTAAGTAGTTCTTTTGCAATAATGGAGGCCAATCTTCCTAGAAGATGTCCCTTGCAGTCTATTATATATACCTGTGTGGAAATTGCAAAAAAAAAAAAAATAAAAAAAAACGAAAGAAATACACAATGGGATTAAAACAAAAATGAGCTATTGACAAATTGTTTCGACAATTTTCCTCCATCTTAAATTGTTCACTCATGTTTCCAAAGAAATTCGCTCTTTTTATGCTTTTAGCACGTGACGTATATATAAGCAGCCTGGTGTATGTATCAATATGTACTAGCAGAGGATTTTTCACACACATCCCTATATCCGTTAAACCATAATGATTGATATGCACTCTCACACTATATAAATTCAGGTGCTGATTTTTTCATCCAAAAAAAAAAAAAAAAAAAAAAAAAAAAAATCATACACCACATTTTCTCCATGTAAGCTTGCATCAAGCATATATATATACATCACCCCTTATACAGAAGTTATATATTTATACGTATGTTACTCTTCTCATCTCACGCATATGGGCATGTTTTAAACTATTTCTTTATTCTCTTTTCTTTTCTTTTCTTTTTTAATAACATTAACTTTGGCCCATACCTTTTTGTACATGATTTTCTATAGGGGGTGTTTATATATAAAGTGATAAATGTGATTTTCCGTAATCAGTTAAACTTATTAAAACCATAAAAATTTCCTCAAACGTGAAAAAAAATTCTACCCTCTTGCGTTATTTTCAAGTATGTTTATTTTGTTATATCGAGAAAGGTATATGGGAAAAAAAAAAAAAAAGGTGTTACTTTTATTAATATGCACATAGATAAACGAAAATGGATGAATGAAAAAAAAAAAAAAAAAAAAAAGAAATGCTAAATTTTATTCAACATTGTTGTAAACGTAATTTATAAATAACATACAAACAAAAATATGTCACACGTACCCACCTAACAACGCACTTATTGGAAAAAGAATAATTGTTTAAAAAACTTCCAAAAAAAAAAAAAAATTATTGTTATTATTTTTTATATGCCACATATTATAGTATATAAATAAGAGTAGTTACGCCTTCTCCCCAAAAGAAAAAGGGGCCTTTATAAAAATTGTGTTTCCATTTTTTTTCAGTTCATACAATTATGAGTAATAAATCATGTACAAATTGTGATGCTCGCGTCGTCAAAGGTGCTGCAAAACACTCGGTGCATATTTTATTGTCATCATCAGCAGGGAAAAAAAAAAAAAAAAAAAAAAGAGCCAAAAAAAAAAGCAAGTACTAAGCAACACAGTATATATACATAACAATACATAATTCTTGTACATATACATATGTATATACTTTTTATATCATTGCCCCCTTGACGACCTTCACCCCCCTTAGGGCTCTCCCTCCACTATTATACTCATATCTTAGGGACCCATGTTTTGTGCTTCACCCATTACAACTCCAATAATATATGTATATATATATATATATATAATATATATATGGTATGCATTTATTTTTCCCTTTTTAAAATAGGGAGAAATGAGTTATTTAGTAGTGCTTATTTTTCTAAGGGTGGGTGCAGGAGATATTCTTTTCAAAATAGTGTATCCTGCGCTGCATTATCAGACTAAACGATATTGTGAAAATAATTTCCACCTGATTGTACATCATACTGAGTTAAAGAATTTCCTCATCATTTTATTTCTTACCCGTTTTATTCATTTACATATTTATTTATTATTTTATTTTGTTTTATTTTGCTATATTTTGTTTCATTTTAAAATGGATTATTCTGATTTTGCATCAACTGCCTCCCCCCCTCCCCCAAAATTTGTCCCATAACAAAAATGCGGCACCTCAAAAATTAGGCGCATGTAATTTTTTATTCCCAAAATTTCGTCATTGTTTTTTTCTTTCCATTTTTAATGCTTACTTCCTACAATGGGACACATTTGCTGACGAAGAAAAAAGAAAGGAGTACAATGTAGAAATCCAATAAGGAAAAAAAGTTTTACACGTATATTCGAAACTATTTTTACCGCTTTACATTTTATGACATGCTTCATCTGAACAAACTTGGCGCGCAATAGTCAAATGCAAAAATGGACTAATTTATGTATAGCTCTGCTAGTTTAGTTGATTTATGAATGAATAAATAAATAAAAATAAATAATGAAACAACAATTTGTTCCGTTTTCTTCACACGTGCCAATAACGTTTTATAAAAACGTGCAGAAATGGATACCCAATTAACGCACGTATTTTTTTGTAACCCCCATTTTAATAAAAATTAATACAGGAAACAATTATTTACTACCTTGGTTACATGGCTACCTATTAAATACAAATGAGACGAGTGAAAATCGGCATAAATTTTACAAGTTTTATGTGTTCGTTTTCGAATGGCCGTACCATTTCTCTCTGTATACCACGTTCACAAACAGCATACATTATTTAAATATTTTTTTAAAAAAAAAAAAATAAGAGCAACAAAAAGGATTGTTTTTATATTTTTAAGTAATAGTCCTTACAACGTCTCGTTGCAACTTTTTAGGCTTTTACAAAACATTCAGGACATAAAATTCAGCACATTTTCAGAGCCTTTTCAATCAATACCTACCATTATATTTTTGTTCTCTTCACAATTTAGCGTGTGTAACATCTCTAATTGTGCAGGGTGATATGTTACTGTTTTCAAAAATTATAACAATAAAAGACATGTTTTAAAAAAATAAAATAATAAAATATTTTCTCCCTTATTTTCATTTTTTTTATTGCACAGAATAGGAGACCAAATCTAAATTTTTTTAAAAAACAAAAAAGTAGAATAAACAAATGATCCATTGAATTCTGATAAAATGTGCTTAAAATAAATGTACACACAACAAAAAAGTACAAACATAAACATAATGTGGAAAAACTCTCTAATAGGCATTTTAAAAACAATCTTACCATAACAAAACTTTTCGTGTTATTAACTTTTCAACCTTGTCCATATTTGTTTCATCCATCGACTAGCTTAATAATAACATTTTGTAAAAAAGAAAAAAAAAAAAAAAATTAAAAGTGTTGAAAAATGTTCTGAACATTCAGAAAAAAAAAAAAACACTACACTGTTCACCGTTAAAAATTGTAATGATAAAGGAGATTAACTGATGGGGGAAAAAATACAGTAAATAAAGTAAAATGTGGTGAATAAATGAATGCAAAAAAATATATTAGAAAATCTGATATGTTCAAAATGGGGAATACAACTTGAAATTATATAACAAAAAAAAAAAAAAAAAAAAAAAAAATCCACACACGAGTGTGCATATTATATGTACATGTCATACATATCTTTCACGTATAGACACTTAGCTAGTGATAAAAAAAAAAAAAAAAAAAAAAAAAAAAATCAATAAAAATGGAAAAAGGAAAAAAAAATCACATACATATATAAATGCCACAAATTTAAACAAGCTACGAACAGACAGCTAAATTAAAACATCACATGAAGTTTTAAGACGTAATGTAAATATAAGTGCCAGCACTGAAGCAGACAAGCCTTAGCTATTGATATTATATATCGATAGATACGCAAAGATAGGTGTGTTATGTGTTGGGGAAGGGGTTGAGTTGTTGGAAGACCAAAATTCAATGTAATACAAGTGAAAAATTAGAGCCCCGAATAAAATAAATATTTTGCATAATTTCTTCGCGTCCATTGGGATACATATCAAATGCTACTTTCTTTTTCTACCTTATCATAACAAGTACAAATGTGAACTAAATGAGTACTATAATAAAAAATTGTACTCTTCATAATGCACTCACTTAAGAAAATGTCTCACACCCCATATTAACTTTCCCCTCAACCCTTAGATGTATATCAAATAGACCGTATTGTCCTCTCGACGCAAAGCCCATTCGTTTTTCTTCTTAAATGTAATATCTATATAATCGTCGGATAAATACAAATAGCTCAACTTGATTCTGGAAAGTTGTATATCCCTGGCACATTTGGATTGAACTTTTAAGAATCCGCTAAACAGTCCTGCATTTGTGCAATTCCAAATTTTGAAAGATAAATCTAACTTAGAATAAGATGCCAAGCAAGTTCCCGTAGTGTTGAACTTAATACAATCGACATTTTTCTTATGTCCTTGAAATATTTTTAATTTTTTTGCATTCTTTAAATCATATAAATATATGCACTTGTTCATATTATTTGCTACTGCTAATCGTTGCGTAAATTTATTAAAACAACAAATAGGATATTGTTTAACTAGGGTATAAATTAAGCTCGTGGATAATTTTAGGCAAAGAATTCTGACATTATTCGAAGGATCCAGGGAATTTAAAAGAATATCAATAATAATATCCATATACAATAAAAATACACACTTATAATTTTTCATTAAAATAATTAAAAGAAATAGAATCTTATTCATGCATGATACTCGCTTCTGTACATTATTCGTTATATAATGTAATGTTTTCAAAAACAAGTATGGTTCAATTCTTCCAGTGTTAATTAATATTTTAAGAAAACTTATATTGTTCAAAGACAAGGTGTATAAGTCGAATATATTTAATATAAAATGACATATACTTATATAGTTATGTTCATTTATTTGTGATTTTCTCCTATTCATCTGATTTTGCATTATTTTATTTTCTTCATATGTCACATATTGCAATTCATTACCGTATCTTTTTTTCCCTCTTCCTACTGCTGGTACAGACATTTGCCTTAGGAGTGAATTTACTTCTAATCCATCTTTAATAATCTGACCAGGTTGAAATGACTCTGATAGATTCACCTCATTAACAACTTCAGTGATGTTCCCACTAGGAATTTCTCCTTCATCTTTACTAACCATGATATGTGATGATGGTTCCATACTCGTTGAACCGAAACCCAAAATGTCATTCGATTTTACATGTAATGCACCTCTATCTTCAATGTGTATTTCTGAAAAAACATTTTCATAGGAATTGAGAGAAAGTTGTTCTTCTTCTCTCTCGGATTCTAATTCACTACCTTTGTTATCTCCATAACCAATAAAATCGTCTAAATAATTTTTCAAATTTATTTCACCTAAAGAATTATGTATCGTTTTATCACTTCCAGCAATAGGCATTGCACCACATGCAAAGGGAACAGTTGCATCACATATCGAATCACCGATTCCAAAAGAATTAGTTAATATGTAATAATCCTTCAATGTTTTAAAATAGTTCTCATTGATCATACGTTCATTCAATTTAAAGTCCTCCTTTTTAAAATGTAAATTGAAAGAAATATATGAAATATTTTTCATATTGTTTGTAAAAATACCTCTCTGAATTAATACATGAAAATCCCACGTAATAGAAAAGCTTAATGACAGTAGATGAATAAAATGAAATAGTTTAAATTTGTTAAATTTGTTATTTTTCTCAATCAAATATTGTGTGTCCACAAATATGTAATAACATATATGATGAACGATTAGAGTTATCATACTTGCATTGGTGTATAAAGTTTTTGATCTTCTTAAATATTGAGGTTTCACTAAAAGTAATAATAATAATAAAGTTAGACATATCTCATCTGCATAAATAAACGGATAAAAGAAAAAAGATCCTACTTTTGGAATTATAATAGTAATAACATATGTCCCTGTAGTATCATATAAAGATATTTCATCTATATTTTTTTCAATAATTCTTTTCTTTTTATTATTTATTCTTAATATTTCAGTTGCAGTTTTTGTATACTTATCTAATGTTTTATCATTTATATTTTCAATAACTGTACACATGAACCTTTGTAATTGTATTCTTATACTCTTGTCATATGGATACATAGATATGTAACTCAACAGGAATAAATTCACACTACAGCTTTCAGGAAGGTTATCAATAATGTATCTTTTTAAATTGAATAAAACCAATTGGTTGTATCTCCCTCTCTTGTTGCTAGTGCACCACATGTTTAAAAATCTGAGTAAGAAGCAACAGTACAATGTTTTCACATATACGCTATTACAGTGTACTTCAATCGAATTATTTTCAAATAAAAAATATCTATATTTTGATTCTTTACATAACTCTCTGTGTACTTTGTTATGTACATTCTTTCTTCGAAAGTTCCTATTACGATGTTGTTCATGCATATCCTGAACCCGTTTCTCATCTGGATACTGCTGAATACAACTTTTTTTGACATACAAATATATGCTGGATTTGTCTGAAGAATAATTCGAACTGTCATCATCAGAATATTTCAAGAACCATTGTATCGAACTTTCTATTCTCTCCCTGCTGTTCCTCTTCCTAACCCCTAAATCTTTGTAATAGTTATACTGTAGCATGTGATACTTTTTCCTCTTTGTTCGGTTCCTGAGCCTTATTTTAGACACTCCAACGGTATTCCAAACACAGCTGGAATTTGATAAAACATCATTAACCTTTGTCTGTGTAGTTTTTTCTTCTCCCTCTGTGTGATTAATAAAACTCTCAGTTTTCTTTTCTCCCTCTGGGTGATTAATAAAATTCTCAGTTTTCTTTTCTCCCTCTGTGTGATTAATAAAATTCTCAGTTTTCTTTTCTCCCTCTGTGTGATTAATAAAATTCTCAGTTTTCTTTCCTTTTCCATCTGCTCCCCGTATACAATTCGGGTCTGTTCTCAAACATGTAGGTTCATCCAAATTGGTTACACTACGGCAACATTGGTCATCTCTATCCATTTGCAAATTTTTATATTCTGAAAATTGCATAAAATCAATACATCTTCTCTTTAAACTGCCCATTTTTAATCCCAGCATTATATACTTCTTCTTATATTTATCACTTAAAAAAATGTTTTTTTTAAATTTTCCATTATATATATATGGTTGATCTAAGTGTAAAGAATCCAAAATAAATTTTTCTTTTTTCTTTTTTTCTTGAATTTTGCGTTCATCTCTCCTTTTACCACTAATGGTAATGTACATATTTCCTTCATATCTACCATGTTTAATTGAATGCATTTTTGAAAAGTAATATATTTGTGTTGAAAAGGGAATCAAAGTTGAAAGGGTTGATTCTTTACCATGAATACATAATGAAAACGGGATCGATGGAAAACTTACAAGAAATGGAAATGCCTCTTTACATAGATGTACACATTTAGGAGGCAAAAAAAAAGGAAATAAAAATTTAGTTAAAGGGAAAGCTTTTTTTGATAAATTCTTATCTCTAAACAATACGAAGCTTATAACTGGTATTGTACTCTTCACAATATAGCTATTATAATTTTTTTCGTTCATACTTCTCGTCAATTTTGTATGTTTATTCTTTTCCTTCTTTCTTGCAGAGTAGTAACATTCTTCAATAATTTCATTTTCACCTTTTGCCAATTGATTTATTTCTTCTCCATGTTCCTCATTTTTTATTTTCCCTTGAGGGATTATATTGATTGCTGCCCTTTTCATGTTATAACACTTGTTGCTTATATCACTACTATTGTCATTGTACATGTCACTTCTCGTGCAATTTCTCGTGTCGATTCCTCCATAGCTTACACACCTTCGTATCTTATTTAAAACGTGAACTGAAGTAAGGTTTACTCCCAGTTTCATGTGACATGTCTCTGTAGGAATGACCGACATGGATACAAAGTCTGAGTCATAGAGAGATCTTAAAAATTTTCCGTTTCTATAATTATATATGAAGACGAAATTGTTTAACGAGGTGATGTAAAGCAAGGAAGAAAATGTATTTATGTACACGTGATTTATTAACTTAAAATTGATTTCATTTTTTTTTTCTAATTTTTTAAAAGAACAATAGAGACATACATTAATTATATTTTTTACATCTGCTTGATTTCCTTTCCTTTTTATTTTGTGTATCATTTTTTTTAATTTCAAATAGTCCATTTTTGAATTACGAATGGATTTATTATTACTGGGGAATGTAGGATAATAGGAATTTTTTAATAACTTCATTTTTAAATCTTTCTTTATTTTTAACATGTGCAATAAGCTTTGTTTATTTTCTTCTGCTTTATTTTTGTTCTTATATAAGTTCTTTCTTTTTAAAAAAGATCTCATATAATTTAGAAAAATAATTTTTTTTTTTCTTTTTCTTTTTCGATCCTCTAATTCTTTTTTTTCTATAGATTCATCATCTGTTGTAATAGCTATCTTATATCCATCATTTTTACAAAATATATTTGAAATTTTCTTCTCTTCACAATTGCTTTCGTTCAAATTTATCAAAATTAAACTATTACTGGCATCACATGTTAGAACCCACATGGATTCCATCTTATGATGATTGTATTCATCTGTTATATTCTCTTTTCTCGTACCACTCTCCTCGATAACACTATGAATACTGCGAACATAGTTAAAATGGCAAGACCTTATAAATTTTATTAATTTAAAAGTTCCTATATTCCATATTAAAATGTCTCCATTGCTCGATCCACCCAATAAGTAACATTTCACATGATACAGGGCTGTTATGAATACTTTTTTCTTCAACAAGCAATTTGGAATGGGTAATTCATAAATAAATTTATGACCAGATACTTTTAATTGTTCCTCTTTTGAATCCCATAACTTAAAACGAGGAAATTTTCCAAATGAATTAATTAGAACACATATTACATGACCATTCCTGAAACTTATAAAAATGTATATGTTCAAATTCCGTTCTGCCATTGCGTACGTGACAATATTTTTTCCTCTTTCCATATGTTCATCATCTTGTATACTTCTCTTTCTCATTAGTATTTTTTCATGAAGCATATCAGAAAGAAGATCACTGCATCTACGAACACTTGGGGAAATGACATGTTCCATAGTTAGCCATTCAAATGGATCCCAATAAAACTCTCTACTGTTTTTATTGCTACATCTACCTTTTTCATTTTCTCTTCCTGTTATGATAACACCACTATTTCTTTCTTTCATTTGATTAATTTCTTGTATTAATTTTTTCTTCTTGGGAAGAAGCCATACCTTTTCCAATTCGGTTGTCTTAAACCATGTATTGTGCAAGCATTCATAGAGGACTACTCTATGGGCATATTTTCTGTTGATAAAAAAGAATAATAAATCTTCCTTACTTTTGGGATATTTATTTAAATCAGATTTGTTCAGATTATCTTTACTTACTCTTGTGTTTTCAAATATCATGTTACTTTTTAAAGAATTTAAATTTTCACTACATATTGTTTTAAAATTAACAAAATTGTCATTTGAATTATTTTTCGATTTCTGGGATTCCATAGAAAAATTACTCTTCAAATAATTTGAAGACATTTCTGTACTATCATTTATTTTTATCACATATTTGTTACTATTGTTATAATTACTTCCACATTCATTGTGATTACTTATTCTATTTACTTCTCCATCTTCCATCAATCCATTTTTATTATTTATGCGTTCCTTGTAAAGTACTATTGGAATAGGAGTTTTATTAGAACCCAAATATTTCTTCCGAATCCTCATCAAAAAAAATGATTTTATATTTGATTGAAAAGATAAAAACAAACTAGAAAATTTTAGTGGTAATGTATAACTATAAAAATTACCTTCCGTAGTCCAAGCAATTACATATCCACATACATTCTTTGATAACATCTGCATCATGTTAAATGATTTACTTTTTGCTCCATTGTTTCTGCATGTTCCTACAAACATAGGAAATATGAGTCATGCAAACATGTTGAAGTATTTTGTAAATAAAAACGGCACATGCACAATGGGGTGATCTTATTAACATGTACATCTATATGTCGGGTCATCAACTGGGCTGTAAGGCCAGTTTCTCATTTACACACGGATACATAAGAGGAATAAAAAAAAAAAAAAAAAAAAAAAAAACAGAGATAGTTATTTGAAAAATGGCTCAAACAGAGATAGATATTTGAAAAATGGCTCAAACAGAGATAGATATTTGAAAAATGGCTCAAACAGAGATAGATATTCGAAAAATGGCTCAAACAGAGATAGATATTCGAAAAACGGCTCAAACAGAGATAGATATTCGAAAAATGGCTCAAACAGAGATAGTTATTCGAAAAATGGCTCAAAAGTTAACCTGCAGAAAATTTCAATAAAGGACGTCTCACGATCTGTATGCCAACCCAATGCGGATTTTTCCTTTTCTTCTTATGCAAATTGTGGTGATAATCTGGACAAAACAAATCCATAAGTGGAATAAAATGAGAAGAACAATCCTTCTTTTCATATATAATTAATCGTGTTTTCTGAAGAATGATAATATAGCTATCTATAACTCCTATGTGACTTGAATTTCCATTAGTAGCTATTTCTAAAAAATTTTCCGATGGTGTCAAATTAGAAATCAAATTGGGTTCAATAGTATACAATCCATTATGTTCTTCAAAAATAGGTTCATTTTTCAAAGATCTTTCATTAGATTTTATATTCACGTCATGTGATGTTTGTATTATTTTTCTTTTTAATAATTCATCCATTATACAATTTTCAGTAATTTCATTTACAATTTCATTGTATAAATCAAGTTCTGTTTTTTCTATTCTTATGACAAATCTGCATTTCCCTTTGTAAAAATTTAAAAAATCTGTCAAATCCCAACAAATAATATCACCATTACTTAACGAAGCAACAATAATTACAGGACAGTTAAATAAATTATTTAGTTTCTTATTTACTTCCTCTTGTTTCATTTTCATATATTCTTCATTTTGATATGATACAGAGTTATTACCATTCATATCTACATTGTTATTCTGTAGTAACACTTTTTGGGAGCTTTCCTTTTTCTCATATGTGCTGTATAATTTTTTCTTCAATATTTTAAAGCATTGAATGAGGGATCGTTGATTACCTTCTTTTAGATATGGAACTTGTCCTGTTGCAATGCAGCAAATTCTTACCTGATCCAAACTAGTACTCCTTTTCTTCTTAAGCTTTTCTCTCTTCTTTTCTCCAAAATTGTCATCTTCTTTATGTAATGCATAATTATTCCACCCTCGTTTGTTAATACCATCTTTTGCTTTACTGTTACTATGGGAACTATTGCCTCCACTATCAATGCTAGCACCGCTAGTACCACAACTATCACTAGTACTGTGAAAATTTGTACTTATCCCTCTTGTGTAGGTTTTTTTAAAAAAACTTTTTATATCAGCTGCTTCTTTTTCTTGCCTTTCCAACGCATCTCCCTCCACTAGTTCACTCTCTTTTTCTGCTATATTTATAAAATTTTTTCTTTCGCTTCCCCAACCTGCTGTATCATCTATAATACCATTCCTTCTATGCATAAACTTCATTTCATTCCAATTTTCCGAACTTGAAGAAGATGAATGATGTCTATCATGAGAATCTCCAATGAAGTAATTCTGATTAGAAGAAACACAATTAATTGTATTACTTTGGTTTGAACTTAGAATCCCAGTAGAAATTCCATTTATATATCCATTTTTTTCACTATCTACATCAGCATCATCATCATCATCTTTATGATTCTTTCTTTTTATATAATTATCTAAAATCAAATGAGCAATTATCTCTTTGCTTTTATTACCCCACAGATCCATTAGTAGAACTTTCTTATCACCACACAAAAGTAAAAATCTCCTGTCTGGTAAAATCCTTAAATTGTAAATAAAAAAATCGAAATTTTTTACAACGCGAAAACATCTTCCCTCATCCAGGGACCAGAAACATATGGAGTTATCTAAATGAAGTGAAATTAAAATTTCTTTTGATATGCATTCGATCAGAGATGAACATGACAATCCAAAACATAACTGCACGATGCTGTTATTGCATGTGTTGTTGTTGTTGTTTAACAACACACAGTATGGAAGAAGGTTTATTCGATTAGATGGGTTATTCCTCGGGTTATTCCTCGGGTTATTCCTCGGGTTGTTCCTTCTTGAGCTGCTCCTCCTCGGGCTGCCGTTCCTCTGACAGTAATAATATGCACTGGTTCCATCAACATTGATCTGTTTTTTTTTGCCTGTCTCCTTCTCAACATGTTTATCTTCTTCATTCGTGTTTCTCAGATTATCCATTTCATCCATGTCATTTCTACCAACACATTTGTTACTCATCAAGGTTTTATTACTCCCATCCTTATTCCCCTGACGTATATTCTGAACACTGATAAGGCCATTATATCCTAAATTTTTTTTAAACTCATCTTTGTGTATTCCATCAGTGGGGACATGTGTCATTCCTTCATTGTTTCTGCACGTTCCGATTGTTTCATTAGAACCTGGAAAGCTAGCACTTTCACAACTTACACCACCTCTACTGATGTTATCAGTGTTTGCAGTTATCTCAAACTTATCAAACTTGTCAATCTTGTCAGCCTTGTCAAACTTCGAAGTAATGTCATTATTGGTACCATTCTCATTCTGATCCACTTTAAACAAAATAATGCTTCCCTCATAACTACCAACAGATAGAACGGTACAACTCTCACTGATTGCGTAACATGAAATACTAAAAGGGGATGTAAAGTTTGGCCATATAATGGATCCTAATTTTAAATCCTCATTCATTGTTTAATCATACTTATTGTACATAATGCAAAAAAAGATAAATAAAAAAAAAAAAAAAAAAAAAAGAATAATCCCTGTTAACGCGAAAAGGTTTTTCCTGGAGGGGTGAATGCAGTGATGTTTTTCTTAGTTAGGTATAAATGGTTGGTGGAAAAGCCAAAAAAAAAAAAAAAAAAAAAAAAAAAAAAAAAAAAAAAAAAAAAAGTTATCTTATGCAATGTCAAACAAAGTTATCTCATATCAAACAAAGTTATCTCATATCAAACAAAGTTATCTCATATCAAACGAAGTTATCTCATGCCATGTCAAACGAAGTTATCTCATGCCATGTCAAACGAAGTTATCTCATGCCATGTCAAACAAAGTTATCTCATGCCATATCAAACAGAGTTATCTCATGCCATATCAAAGCAAGCATACTCAGACAAATCAAATTCAAAAGGTAATTTTTTTTAAGAAAGCTCGAACAATTCATAACTTTTCACAAGGTTCTTCTTCTCTTCAAAAATATAGTATATACAAGTTGGTGTCATTTAGATATTCGTTGTAAAATCCCCCCACCCTCCGTCCCTTGTGATGTTCTTAGGGGACACTTCCAACTGATGTTTCACTTTTATCCGTACAAATGTGTATACATGCATAAGTATTTGCATATGTACATAATATACACACCTACTTACATATGTACAAATAGATATATATATATATATACATACAAGTACTTATGTATTATACATACGTGCATGTACATTTAAACCAATGGGTATTCGCTTAGCTCTTTTACAATTTGGAAAACATTTTTCATCTGCCATGCAGGTATTGCTTGGTGGGGTTGTTTTTACTTTTCTTCATCTTTTAAAAGAATTTCCTTTTTTTTTTTTTTTTTTTTTTTTTTTGATACGCTTTGAAGAATTCACAATGATTTCTAATTTCTATCAGTCACTCTTAGATCTTAGCTCTTAGCTCATTTCTATTTTTTTTTTTTTTTTTTTTTTTTTTTTTTTTCGACAATGCTTTTTTTTTTTCAATTTTTTTCCTTTTCACTCCACCTCGTAACGAGTCGTGCTGCATATCCTTTTTTTTTTTTTTTTTTTTTTTTTTTTTCTCTTTCACCTTTCACTCAATTGAGCGTGTAGAGAATTATTCACAATTTTTTACAAAAGGGCTTAAAAGATATATGTGAAAAAGTGCAGTTTGTTTTATACACATTTCAAACCATATAGAGAAATAAATTTGATAAATCTGAAGCATTATCACTAATTCCAAACTGGTCATATATTAAGAGAAGATATATATATCTCGTGTTTGTGCAACTCCCCTTCGAATATCTCACGTGGAGAAAGGTGCAAAATAACAAAATGAACTGAATTGAAGCAGATCTGCGTGAAATGAAGTAGAGATGCGTGAATCGAAGTAGAGCTACATTAACTACAGCAGAAGCAAATGAACCGAGACCAAAGCTAATATAAATGAAGCATGGAAAAAAGTGGTAAATGTTTCAAATGTGCACACTGGGGTGAGTATAAAGACACATAGTTTATCAAACCCAACCATGTATGATGATCACTTGCTTACGACTGTGCAAAATGTTATCAACACACTTGTAAGACAAGAAAAAAAAAAAAAAATTAAGAATTCTCTACCCAAATATAAATCTACAACTATTCAATTAAATAATTTAGAAAAAAAACATTTCTAAACTTAATCTAGCTGTACTAGGGATTAGCAAGAGTGCTCAGAAAATCCACAAGGAGAAACTAAAGGAATTAGAAAAAAAAAAAAAAATGCAACTAAGGTGTGATAAAAATGATTAAACATTTTCTTATTCATTTCCATACTAACTCATGTTTGTTTCTTTTTATCGTCACTATATTTTCCTTTTTTTTTTTTTTTTTTTTTTTTATTTTAAACGAATATTTACTAAATCTACTCTTCCCTTGTGTTAATACCCCTTGGAAATAATTCTAAAAATTATAGCGAAAACCCATCTATGTTTGATTTTCAAATTGGTTTCATACACATGGGTCACGTGGCATAAAATAAAAGAAATGGAAATGTAGCAAATAACATGCTAAGCAGAGAAATATACTACAGCCCTATGGTGAAAACTTTCCCCTTTTTACAACTTTGGCAACATCTACAAATTGATACTTTAAATATCTTCTCGTCATTCTACAACGCTTTTCCTCCAAATAATGTTTTCAATGCGAGCGTAAAAAAAAAAAAAAAAAAAAAAATTCAAAGTTTTTCAACTATTCTCATTTTCTTCATTCAATAAATTTTAATTTGAAAAAATTTAGAAAATAAACATTTATAAAATTGAGGAATTGTGAATAGACATGCACATATATAGATGAAGTACATGTGTGTATTGGTATGCATGGGGGTTAGTATAGGAGGTACATGTATGCACGCAGACAGTCATATAGACATACGTGCACAACATACGCAATAGACACACTTATAATACTCCAGTACAATTTAAACAATTAAAAAAATAAAGCAGTAAAACATGTCAAAATAAAAAATCGTGAACTAATTGAGTATGAAAGTATCAAGGGAAGGGAGGATATATCATTTCAAACAAACTTTAAAAAAAAAAAAAAGCAAGCTCTTATATAAATATATATGCATATTGTATATATATATATATATATATATATATATATATATATATAGAAGTAGTAGCACACACGCATATGGAAATGTTTTTATATTATCATATATCCAACTTCAAACATGTTTTTAAAAGAAAAACAAGTAAAAATAGGGGAAAAAAAAAAAAAAAACAATAATTATGTCATATAATACAATAAAATTAAATTGCACTATTTTTTTCACAGCTTCCAATAGTTTTCATATGTTTAAATATGGGTTTTGTTTTATGTAAAAAAAATAAAATAAAAAAAAAAAAAATTCACATATTTAAAAATATAAACAAAATGAGTTCATTTTTATTTTATAAAAATGAAGGTTGCAGTTTTTAAATGTGTGGAAAGTGATAAAAATATCGAAAGAACAAATTCACAAGACGTACGCCTACATATAGGTATGCACAAATGTATATATATACACATACATACATGAACATACACATACATACATACATGAACATACACATACATACATAAACATACGCATTTGACACTGCGAGTCTATGCAAATGCATCATTGCTGACCGTATACTTATCTCATACTGAGTAAAATATGGTAAAAACAGAGGACTTAAAAAAGAAGTGTGCATAAAACGTACCAAAAAACCTCTATGAACTATCTATCTGTCTATATCTACATATGTATATATGTATGTATTGCATGAATGTACGTATATATTGCATGAATGTACGTATGTATTGCATGCATGTATGTATGCATGTATATTTTAAAATAGAATTATAAACAAACAACATGAGTACTTTTTCTATCCCTTTTTCATTCCTATGGAGTACCAAAAATAAGGAAAAATTATGGTTCTCATTTTGCCCGTCCTCTCTCCAAGTATATGCTAAATGTGCATGTAACAAATTCTTTTCACTACCCCAAACACCAAACACCAAACACGTATACACGATGTATGTTTTGTAAACTTAATATATATATATTTATATAATTCTTGATGAACAATTTGCTTTTAAGCAAAAAAAAAAAAAAAAAAAAAAAATATTCACACATTCACACATTCACATATTCACATATATATGGATCGATATATAGATATATCTCTGTATGGATTACCCTTGGCACTAATCTTCCTTCGTGCTATGAGCATGTTCACTCTTCTGTTCATCACAATTACTACTTTTCCTTTTTCCACTTCCACTCCCACTTCCATTCTCGTTGAGATAGAGGTAGTCCCGCTTTATATTATTTTTTGAAAAATTTGGCACACTAGAACTATCATTTTTTCCAGTGCCTTCAGAATTCATTGAACTCTCATTTTTGTCCTCATTCTCCTCCGTTTGAGGGATATTATTATCGTCTGTATTATTTCCACTGTGATTTGAGTTTTCATTGTTGTCATTTTTTGCTTTATCTTTACTATCATAACCTTTTAGCCAATTAAATTTATCAAATAGATATTTTTTTACAGTGCTTTGTTTTTTCTGGGCATTTTTATTGACATCACTCGTTTCGTCCTTCGTTACATCATCATTACCACCAGCATCAATATTATCATCATCTTTGTTATTGCTTGTCGTTTTATTTGATATTCCAAGAAGGGTAGATACATTGTTCACATCCGTATCATTACACGTGTTGCAATTATTTGGTGGACTTTCATCACTTTCATTGTTTTTGGATTTCTTTCGAATAACTTCTTTTTCAATGTCACTATTATCTCTGCAGTTTCCTCTACTGCTGTTGTTGCTATTACATCCATTACTGTATGATAAATTCACCTTTTCATAAATCCGTTTTTCGTTCTTCTTAGATGTACTCCTCGTGCTTCTACTTTGCAGTTCCTTAGAATCATTTCTTTCATTTTGGCTATTTCCTATCACACTACCATTACCATTTGCACTTGGACTTATGGAATAATTTTCACTTTTGTTACAGGAATCTCCATCAACATTACCCCTTGGACACTCCTTATTTTCGTTACCAAAACTGGTATCACTTGTTCTGCTTATACTATTTACAACGTTTGTACTGCTGAACCCATTTGTACTACTCATTATGCGATTCAACTCGCCATCGTTATCTGTTCTTTCACATAATTCATTAATGTTGCTAATTATATTTGGAGTTAATTCCATTTCCCTTCCATTTACATCCCTATTCATCATATTTCTTATATGTGCATTTGCAACATCAATAAATGCAGATGCCTCAATTCTGTTGGGACCTGTACCAAATGTCGCTGATGTGACAAATCCTGTGGTAGGAGAGAATCCGTTTCCTGTAGAAAACATGCTAGATGTTCCAAATATATTCACAGGGTCGAATACATTTTCTGTTATGTTAAATACATTGGGCATGGTTCCATAAAATCTTCCCCTCATATGAGCATGGTTGAAATTTCCAACTCCAGATGGGTTCTCATTTATGGTACCTCCGCTTGAGTTCTGCCCTGCATTACTACCATTCGGGTTCTGGCCTATGGTACTGCCATTCGGGTTCTGCTCCACGTTACTTCCATTCGGGTTCTGGCCTATGGTACTGCCATTCGGGTTCACATTGACGTGATCATTATTGCCTTTATCATTTTCCTCATTTTTGTTGGATTCGCTACCCTCACCACCCATGGTAGCCGATACATCTGTGTTATTTTCTTCGACTTTCACCTGTCCCTGTTCAGGTATATTTGGACGGCTATTCGCATCCCGGTTGCTACTTACAGGAAATGTTTGTGGAGTACTGATAACTTGATTTACTCTATTTGTTTCATTATTACCAAATATAAATGTGTTAAAAATATTTTGTAAAATGCTTTGTGTTTGAGCTGACCCAAGTCCCTCCTCAACTACATTTACATCGTACTCTTCTGAGAGAGCAACATTGGTAATTCCTTCATCTACACCTCTACTACTGTTGTATTCAATTGAATTCACATTTGGTTGTGTTGTACAACCATTTGATTGAGAATGTGGATCACTGTTCTGATTTTCTATCTCGTGATTATCATTCCTACATGGGGTTGTGGTGGCATCATCATTTCCAGAGATTCTCTCTTCATTAAGATTAGAACTTGCTGCAGCACCATTACTAATATAAGTACTGCCATCAACCTCATTTACTGTATCGGAATTATTAACGGTATTGTTATTCCTAGAAATTTCAGAATTTATTCTTTCTCTTAGTTCCTCTCTCTTACAATTATATTCATGATCGTCTGTTGGGAGTTCAAAGCGACAAGTAGGACAAGAGTTTCTTTCTTTTAACCATGGAATAATACATGAAGTATGAAAAACATGTCTACATCTTTCATTATCTGTTATTCTATGAACTTCGTCATTTTCTTTATATTCTTCTCTGCATATAGCACAGGAATCTAATTCTTCTGCTCTTTCTTTTGTTAATACTTCTAATTTTAAATTCTTTATAACAGCTTCAGATGCTGGTGGAGGGCCATTTCTTGATGGGTCACTTTCCATAATTATTGTTAATACTTGATCCAGAGATATGTTATCAAATGAATTTGTTAAAATATTATCTATCAAGTCATGGAAATTTAATCTTAATGGAGAATTCAATGGAATGTTTGTGATATCAATAGCTCTAGTGATAATTCTTGGGCTTCTTCTCTGGTTTCTGTTCGCTCCACTGTTATTACCATCCCCGGTTCTACTACCATCCCCGGTTCTATTACCATCCCCGGTTCTATTACCATCCCCGGTTCTATTACTATCCCCAGATCTATTAGCACCGCTGCTCGTACTGCCAATGTTTCCATTGTTGTATATATAATTTCTTCCAAAAAAAACTCTACTACCGTGTGCATCATTTCTAGATGTAGGGTCACTATTTGCTCCTGCTGCTTCTCCTTCTGAGGCGAAGGGTGAACCAAAATTCGCAGTAAAATGGATATCTGTATCAGCTGGTCTTAAATTGGTATTGAACATTTGCTGATATATATTTCTAAACATCATCAAATCGCTAAAAAAATTTTCATTCGTTCCAAAAAAATTGTTATTGTTGCTTGTATTCCCTTGTCTATTCCTGTCATTGTTACCTGTATTGACATCAACATTATTTCCAGAATTATAGGTTCTACTGCTAGCACTATCATTTCCATATAGAGTATTTAAATTACTCACAAAAACACTGTTTGCATTTTCTTCATGATTATTTCGTCTATCCCTGCTTGAATTCATGGAATGAAAACTTAGTGGATCATCTTCGTCAATTTTTTCTACAAATCCCACATTATTGCAGCTCTTACATTTTATCTCTCCTCCAGATATAATTTCAATATCTCTTGTTCGTTTCACATTTTCACAACTATGACAAAAGTATTCATAATCGTCAACTTGATTCATAATAATATGAACGTTTTTCTTTCAACAAAATGGATGCTATACATACATACATATATATGTACATATGTTAGACAAAAAAAAAAAAAAAAAAAAAAAAAAAAAAGGACACGAGGTGGAAATGGATCAACAAGAGGCATGTGTCAAGCGCCCCCCCCCAAAAAAAAAAAAAAAAAAAAAAAAAAAAAAAAAAAAAAAGCGAGAAAGACTTGGCCAATATGGTACAATTAATATATTTTTTTACAATTTAACCATGCGATGAGTATATCCTATGGGTACGAGTATGTACACATATGCATTTCGAATTTTCCTCTTCACATATTGCGTTAACATTTTACGTTAACATTTTGCATTAATATTTCGCATTCACATTTCACGTTTTTCACTTTCTGTTGCTACAGTGTCTGCTGAAGCAAAAAAAAAAAAAAAAAAAAAAATACTTGCATATTCGTCAGCGAAGGGGTATAATCACATGAGCAATTTATATTTTCTCCACAATATGTACATATATATATTTATATATGTTCCAAATTTTTCTTAATTAAAAAAAAAAAAAAAAAAATTTACATGAAACAAAAAAAAAAAAATAAAATAATAAAATAATAAAATAAAAATGGGGGAGGAATGTGCGTTGTTTCATTGAATTCTTATCTGTGTACATTCGGAGGTGAGTGTTATGGAAGTGGAAAAACATATGCACCTGTTCGTGTATGCATATATGTTTGTAAAATGTCATACACATATAAAATGCATATATACACGCAACCCGCATGCGTAAGCATGCTTAAGTTCATGTACAATTGGTCAATTGGTCGTATATACAAATACAAACATCAGGATGAAATATACGACATGTTAGTGTTTGTGTTCATATTCAGGAGATGATAGGAAGAGGAAAGAGGGGCGGGGGGGGAGAAGTGAACAGATTTTATATATATATATATATATATATATATGTATATATATATATATATATGTATATATATATATATATATGTATATATATATATATATATATGTGTGGAACCTCTATGCTTAACATGAAAAATCCACAGTATTAGGAATTAATTATTTTGATGTATAAAGTTATATAAAAGCTTTACATAACGTAAAAATGTATATGATCAATTAAATAAGCACATTTGTTTTCCTGTTTTTTTTTTTTTTTTACTTTTGCTCTTTAAAAAAAAAAAAAAAAAAAACAAAAAAAGAAAAAGAAAAAGAAAAAAAAAAAGAAAAAAACAATTAACTTAAATATAACATTATGAAATATTTCTACATATTAATATGTATTATTAACATGCTCACGTAATCTTCATATGTTATTATTTTCTCTAAAAAATGGAAAAAAAAAAAAAAAACAATGCTATAAATAAAATGGAAACAAAAAGGAAACAGAAAAAAAAAAAAAAAAAAAACATATAGGAAAGAAAGAAAAGAACTTAGCGCGTAGAAGTGCAAACGGATTTTTTTTTTTTTTTTTTTTTTTTTTTTTTTTCTTTCACATGTATATGTAATTTATAAGATGCTTTCCTTTTGTCCATATTTTATGCATAACATATATTAGTGTATACATGGACATATATGAATTTTGTATATTATAAGATATGTTTGGATATTTATAAATATTTGCGTTCATGTATGTTTGCATTCACGTATAAGTGTCATATTCATCACACTCACAAATCCATAGCGTCTATGTTGTTCGTGGGGCTGTAAGGCGAGGCTATGTTCAATTCCACTAATGTTAATGTCAACTGAACATTTGACAGAAAAAAGGAAAGGACGATTACTTGCTTTGAGGTTTTCCAGAAATACATATATTCACATAGGTTAGAGGTATTGTACAAATTTTGCTTTTGCTTTTGCTTTTGCTTTTGCTTTTTTTTTTTTTTTTTTTTTTTAATCCTTAAGATGTATCTTATCTTTAATTTTTTTTTTTTTTTTCTACATTCCTTTTCCCCACCCCCTTTGTACCAATTACTCAAGTTCAGAATTGTTTAATATTATACGTGTTAAAATATACATGTTCTTAGACTTTTTACATTTTGTATATACATATTATTCTTCACTTAACGTTTGATTCGATTCTATTTGTCCTTGCCCCACCCCTCACCCCTATATAACCTCATTTCTTATATGGTTCATACAATGTGAGTACATATACTATAGAGAACATATTTTTTACAGAGAAATCAACTCATTATAAATTATATAGACCGAATTGTATTTATACACAAAGCAGGCGTTGTAACTGTCTTCTATGCATAACAGTTATAAATTTTTTTTTTTTTTTTTTTTTTTTCCCTTACAATTACATGTTTTTAATATAATTATACAAATATTTTTGTGTATTCTTCTGGCTTCCTTTCCATGTATTTCTTCCATGCATGAATAGACGACTCATCCACTGTGTATATTATTTCATAAAAAAATATCATATGAACATATAGAAAATTTGTATATCCTTCTTAAAACAAACGAAATGAGAAAAAGAGTCAAAATGCTCATTTTACCACCCATCCACAACCATCTCCACATGCTCATTTGTCACTTTACAAAATTTCCCATGTACACCATGTTCATGCAAATTAAAATATTCATCTTTTATGTATGAATACATTTGCAAGTATCCATGCAATCATTGTGAAGAATTGTAGATATTACGTGCAAATGAAAACAAATTCGACACAAAAAACTCATGATTCTATATGTTATGTACACAAATTGAAAGATGCACTTTTGCACACGATTTTGACATTTCAGCAGTGGTGTATAATATATATATATATATATATGTGTGTGATCCACAACATTTTTCGTCAGCTTTGAGCTATATTTTAGACTCCTGCTGCAACAGTGGATGATGAACACACAGATGTTAACATGTAAGATGGTATTCACAAAAGGAGATCCCAAAAGACACCCTTATCAAAATATTTTTAAAAAATACAAACAATATATATAGCTAGAAAAATAATATAAAAATAAAACTCCACTAAAATTGAGAATTTCCCATACCCATTTGAATGCAGTTTAAGACGCACTTAACCATTATACCTAGCGTGCCTCCATTAAAATGGTTAACAAAAGATTTGAAGCAAAAGAATTTCCAACCTGTTTATGCAGATCTATTTTTGGCAACGTTTATTGTGTTTGAGCCCATATGCCGATTTTTTCTCATTATGTGTGACTGTTAATCAAATATTGTAAAAATTAAAAGGCCCATTTCTTTTCTTCCTCTTTCAGCTTCTTCGTAATGATATGTGCATTTAAAATTTCACACCATAAAAAATGCATATCCATTTTTTTGCATTCTTATTTTCACGTTAGTGTGAATGGATGGAATAGGAAATTTAACTTACTTCTCCCCACCCCCACCCCATCAGGGCCATATGCTGCCATTTTATTTCCTCTCTTTTTTGTGTTCTTTTATTTTTTTTTTTTCATTTCGAAGAAAATGAACCATTGATTTATTTGCAAAGAATGTGGCAAAATGAGTGTGTAATGGTGTGAAAAATTAATTTATTCTTGCACACTTGAAAACTGCATGCATGCATGTGGATTTTTTTTCTGTGAGATTGTGTATGTAACGATCCTTAAAAGGCGTGTAAAAAAAAAAAAGAGGGTAAAAATGAAATAAATGTACATTTAACACATTTCATGCGTAGTACCATACGAGTTGGTAAATACATTTTAATTAATTAAAATTTGTGAAAAAAAAAAAAAAAAAAGAATAAATAAATGACCGAACGAACAAATGAATTAAGTACACACAGCTGCTTCCATTGTCCAAGTGGCACAATAGTAAAAATCTGATTGTAAAAAAAAAAAAAAAAAAAAAAAAAAAAATCAACATAAGTTGTGTACACGACAGAGAAGCAATGCAGAACTGTTTCGTTTTTGTTTGTTTTTTTTTTTTTTTTTTTTTTTTTTGTCTACTCTTGTAGTAATCCCAGGAATTAAGAACCGCTTTCGGTGGAATTTCCCTTATTTATGCATGCCTTTTTCGAAGTTGACCATTTGTCATTGTTCACTTTGTCATCATAATAATTATCTCTTAAATTTCGTGTGGTGCTAGAACCCTGTGAAGCTCTATTAGACCTTTTTCCTCCTCCTTTTCCTCCTTTCTTGCTTCGCTTATGAGACGATACCTGTTTCACTTTCACACTCAAACTTCTACTCTTGCTACCACCTCTGCTTTTGCTCCTGGCTTCGCTTCTGCTTCTGCTTCTACTTCTACTTCTATAGCGGTCAATGCCATCCTTTGAACTGGGACCTGAGTTATTTTCACTCTTACCTATTGCATTTGTCGAGCCAAGCATACTTCCTTCATCATCACTCTTATACATATTTTCTTCTTCATCATCATCACCACGTGTACTTAATTCCCTATCATTCTTAAGTGCATCTTCTCTTTCATTCTCCATCAAATAATCATCTTTTTTGTCTTTTCCTTTTACAAACATTTGTTGATCTCCTACTATCTCAGCTTCACATTCTCTCTCACTTTCATTTTCACCACTTATGCTATTCCTTTCTTGTCTTGCACTAGTCGAAGATCCCTTTCCTCCACCTGTTCTGTATTTGTTCCTCTTTTTGCTACTTCCACGTTGTTCGTTACGTCTCTCGCTTCTCTCACTTCTTCCGCTTCTCTCACTTCTTTCACTTCTCTCACTTCTCTCGCTTCTCCTTTTGGTTCTCAATTTTTCCACCTCATCTAACCCCTTTTTTTCCTCTACTTCTACTTCTCCTTCTTCATCCTTACCATTGTCATTTGACTTCTTATCACTTAACTGGCTCTGCCTAACCATACCTTCATCCTCTTTCTTGTATTCTCGATTTTGCGTACTCATTTCTTCATTTCTTTCCTTTTCTTTCTCTTTTTCTTTATCCTTTGAGTTCCCTTCCCTTCTCTTGTCGTTCACTCCCGATCCTCGTCTGTGTTCTGTGTTCACTTTTCCATTTGGTTGATCACTGTTTCCATCACTAAATCTATCAAGAAAACGATCCTTTCTCCTCTGACCATTCTTATCAACATCATAACCATCTCGATCATACATTCTGTCTTTATCAGAAACATGGTGAGTAGGATAATTTGTGTCTTTCTTGTTAAACTTCATATATAGAGGGGAATCTAAAAATTTCATTACTTCTACAGTAATTCCATTGAACTTTCTACCATTTAAAACTTCTACTGCTTTTTTCACACTTTCATAATTGTAATATTCTATGATTCCAAATTTTTTCCTGTTATCATCTTGAATAATATTTGCATAATTAACTGATCCTACTTCTCTCCCAAAATCTTTCAAATCCTGCCAGCTTGCCTTTTCATCCACATTTTTCACAACAATTCGTAAGGAATTCTTTTTCTCTCGATTTTCATATCTATTAGGGGAATAATTATTTCCATATTTGTGAAAATAATATCGATTGTCATTTCTGTTGTTATGAAAATAACTACCTGCATGGTGTGCTTGAACACTTAATTCTTCTCCCATAAAAAAATGTCCATTTTCTTCTTTTATAGCATCTTGTGCATGTGATGCTTTGGCATATTCTATAAATGCAAATCTTATTTTCCATTGCATATTTACAATGTCTCCATACTTTGAAAATTTTCTTCTTATATCATCTTCTCTTGCATCTGCTGATATATTTCCTACAAAAATCTTACATGGATCTGCTTTCTTATAATAAAAATTTCTCATATCTCTCCCTTTTTCCCTCCTCATCATGCCTATATTGTTGTTGTTCATTCTATAGAAATCATTATCATGTCTATATCTTTGTCTTTCTCCAACTGGTGAATATTTTCTAAAATGCATTCTTTCCTCTTGGTACTCATAAGCCTTGTTATTATTCTGTTCTGCATCTCTCCTATATGCTAACTCCTGTGGGTAGCGATCATTTGGATAGCGATCATTTGGATAGCGATCATTTGGATAGCGCTCATTTGGATAGCGCTCATTTGGAAAACGCTCTCTTGTGTGTCGATCATTCCCATATCTATCATGTTCATATCTATCCTGTGCATTTCTACCCTGTGCATATCTATCTTGTGCATTTCTATCCTGTGCGTGCCTACCTTGATGATTGTAATAATCGCCACTCTTGGGGTCCCATTTCATTTTGTCCTCCTTCTCATACTTCTGCCTCTCCAGACGCTTTCGTTCACCATCTCGATCATCATACACGGTTGCGTTTCTATTTCTCTCTTTCGAAAAATTCCTCTTGGGTGATTTATTATGATATTTGTCACGTGAAATTTTGTGATGATATGGACTAAGACTATGAGTACGACTTCGACTATGACCTCCACGATGATTACCTTCATTCACATGTTCACGATTATGTTGACGATGTGAATGTTGTGCATAATCTTTCCTGTCTCTTGAATAATTTCTACTTCTTTCCATATTTTGCATTTCATTTCTTTTGTTATTATAATTGTCTTGGGAAAATTTCCTATTTCCGCTGTAGTTACGTTCATTCTTTCGATGATCTCCACCACCAATGCCTCCTCTTCCACCAATCATCTTTTCTCTACTTCTAGATGTGTATCTTCTATTTTCTCCCATGTAGTAAGAGTCCTTATTATGCTTCATGTAATAATCTGATTTATCCAAATGATTCTTATTTTCAACTTTCTTCTCGTGTCTATCTTCTTTTTGATAATATTTCTCAGCTGTTTCTTCTTTTCGTTTGGAATTGTTATGTTTACCCATCCTATGTCACACGTGCCTATACACAATCAAACTCTTTTTAAATGAACTGATTGATTCAATTTTTCCTTCCACGGAAGTAAAAAAAAAAGTATGCGATGGGATCAATTAATTCGTATGGCTAAGTAGTAACAAATGTGCGATAATTCTGCGCACCAAATAGGGGCTCAAAATGGGGACCCAAAAAAGGTGCGCAAAAAATGTTCCTTATATATATATATGTGCAAATACTACTAATTTCCCTAGATTCCCTTTGGGTAGCTTTAGAAACTTTGGGGGAATATAAAAGGAAAGAATTATACTACCAATGCAAAGTGAAAAGAGAAGATGCGTTTAAAAATTAGCTTTAAAATAATCTCTTCCTCTAATGGGGTAGAGTTATATGTTTAAAAAAAGGGAAAAAAAAAAAAAAAAAAAAAAAAGAAAAAGAAATAATGTATTATGCTTGCGTCATACATAAATTATGATCCATACATTTATAAGCATGAATTATAGCTTATCCATTTTTACGCATAAATTAGGGCCTCTCCATTTTTACGCATAAATTAAGGCCTATACATTTATTAGCCCTCAGAGAATTTTTTTTTTTTTTTTCCCTCACTCTTATGGCTCAGTGTACAAAAAGTATGTACTGTTTTTTTTTTTTTTTTTTTTTTTTTTTATTTTTTATTTCCTCAAAATGGTGATATTTCTTTATATATTATTTTGTATAAAACTTCCAAATAAAATTTTACACAGGCAAAAAAGGTAAATAAATGAAATAACCAAAAAAAAAGAGAGGGGTAATGAAACATACAAATGTATATAGTATATATACATGTATAAGTATACATATATATATATATATAATGCATATATGCAAATTCTTAATTCAATTGAAACATGTTTTGCTTTTAAATGTTTATCCAAATAAGAAAATAAAATAAAAGTGATTTATATAGGAAAAAAAAAAATAAATAAATAAATAAATAAAAATATTGTATAATAGTAAAAAAAAATAAAATAAAATAAAATAAAGAATAAAAATAAAATCCCTATTGTGCGATTTTTATCCTGCTTCTTCTACTTCATTCTCAATTAAATAAAAAAATAAAAAGTGGTGGGGGTTGGTCCTTGATGTGAAAAAATGGTATTTTATAAAGTGAGCTGATAATATATGTATATATGTGGCAGGTTTTAAAACTGTTTTGAATAACAACGTGCACCATATGAAGATTCCCACACGTATAAAATTACATACACGATAATGCACATGTGGAGAAGGGTATATAATTCTGCACGTACATAATATACGCAGTGTAATTATAACTACACAATAAGGAGTGCTACATCATATTACATGTATGTGTATTATGGATGCTATAATTATATATATATGCACAAAGATTTTTGCTTAGATCCCTATATATGTTCTTTTCCTCCCGTTTTTCTTCCGATATCAGCAAAAAATACATGGCAATAGAATGGATACCAATCCCATACCCATACTTATATGCATGTAAAAAATGTATCAACTTGTGATATGATGAAGCTTATAGCTTTGCAAAATTCTGATCTCTGATAAGTGAGGGTTCTTCTTTCATTTCATTTCATTCCTTTTTTTTTTTTTTTTTTTTTTTTTTTTTTTTTTCCACTTTAATATTTTCTTAATTGCGCTAATTATTTTCATATATAGCTTATTTTTTATTTTACCATTTTTTTCTTTTCTTTTGACTCTTTTCGATGTTTCAGGGGATATGGGGTTATATTTTATGTATGAAACTAGGACGTTCGGACACTACTTTCATGAGCTCATATATCATTTATTGCTTTTTTGTTTGTGTCGTTATCTGGTTGGATTGGGTGAAATTACAAATTATTTCTTCTTTTCTTCTTTCCTTCTTTTCTCACTTTATTACTCACTTTTTTGGTTTTCTCAAAATGGGCCAATAGTGAGAAAACATAGGTATCAGTAAAATAATCCGACGTTATGGACCCCAAAACTTCACCAGTAAGTATTCGACATGTTTCTCTCTCCACATGTACATACATACGTACTACATATATATACTTAGAGCAGCAGGGATGTGTGTTGATTTTTTTTTTTTTTTCTTCTCGTCACTTGCTTAACTTTTTTGTTCATGCCAACCAACCCCTCCGACATACTACCATGTCATGTGGAAAGGCAACTCCAATTAGGGAAAATTGATGATTGAACAATATTTATGCTCATATATATAAAACAATGTGATCGATATATATCTATATACATATTGCACGATGTATATATATGCATAATACATAATTCTGTGCTTGTCATGCATATACATATGAATTCATAAAATAAGATAAAGTTTTCTTTTATTCCTAAATGCAAAAATGTAAAAGGGTAAATAAAAAAAAACCAGTACTCACACTTTTACTACTTCCGTTCCATTGTAACTTTATAAATTATTAACCGTTTATACATAACATATTTGTACATGTATATATAATTACGTTTTGATTATTTTTATTTTATTTTTTTTTTTTTTCTATTTACACCTTGGTTCCCTGCAAAAATAATTTTTTTTTTTTTTTTTTTTTTTTTTTTTATTTATTTTCCCTGATCCATGCATGGTATAATAGAATGTATAATGAATAAATTTTTACACAACTCATCGTGTAACTGTTTTTTTTATCTTCCTTTAGAATTGGCACTTTTTTAAAAATATTTTGCTAAAGGGGTATGTATGCTATATTTGTTACTCTTTCTTCGAGTGTCCTATCCATTTAAATATGTATATGTAAAGCTGAGCACAGTGTTGATGAATTATGTTCATGCGTCTAAGTCTTCCAATTTGTGGTCCAATTTGTGGTCCAAATTTTAGCAACTACAATGCGTTTATGCATACCGTTATTTGCTGCCCAGAATTATTTCAAAAAACTTGGACTTGTAGGCGATAGGTTTGTGCAGGATTGACATGTGTTGTGCATCATCGTACGTACAGAACAGCCATTATTACTTGAATTTCCTTTTGGTATCTCCATCTACCAATGAACACACAGAGTCAGCAAGGAGCTCAATTGAAACTTGTAACTTAAAAAAAAACGTGTTTTACATTCGAAGATTACATAAATGTATATTCTTATACACTCCATTTATAGTATTACACAAATGAATTAAAATAAAAGTATACACTTTGTACCATAGCTTCATACCGAAGTAAAACCACCTTTCACAATGCATTTGCTGTTCCACCTAACTGCACATGAGCACACATGTGTATTGTCATTTTTCATGTCTCATGCCACTTTTTCCCTTATCCGTATTGCATTAACATGTCTGAAATGTTCATATTTTCTGCGCATATTTTCTACTCCTATATATGTTTACATTTTCTACTCCTATTTATGCTTATATTTATGTTTATATCTGTTTCCACACACATGTATGAATTACTTTATGTACGCACTGGCGTTCTAATGCAAAACAGTCTCACATGGGGTGCAAGGGCGTGTAAATAAATGAACAATACTTTTCAATTATATTGCAAAATCATATCAATATCCAACTATCCCAAGCATGATTGGCACGTGTGAGAAAAATTAAAAGAATTAATAATCCTTACATGACTCTAATATTGTGTACTTCAATTCCACACGATTAACTAATTCCGTTTCATTTTTCAGATATGCAATTTTATCACCATTGCAGTTACTTCTGCTACAAACATTTTTCAGTGTTTATTATTCTTAATGTTGCAGAAATGCACTGTAAAATATTTATCAGCTTCTATCGTCTGTTCTTAAATATTCCACTTTTTAAGCAATGTTTTGTTATAATGAAAAATGGATAAACATACGTGTTTTAATACCCCACATGCTTAGTTAGAATAGTAAAACATGTTTAAAACCTTTTTTATGCACAAATTATTCCCAAAAAGAATGATGCATATATATATACATATATATATATATATATATCAGATTTATATCCATCTTGGATTTTACTCAAGTCAATGTCTGTTGCATATTCAATCTGGAAGGGTTGTCTAAGTGAACATCAAAATGCTTACGTGAACGTATGTATATGTATATATCTATGTATGCAATTCTTTTGCACTTTCCATGTACTTCATTATCTGTATCCTTATTTTTTTTTACTTTTATTATACTTATATTTTTTTTTTTTTTTTTTTTTTTTGTGCTTTACTCATATGGTGTCATACATTTTTGGCTTATAATTCTGAACCATTCAGGTAAAGTAAAAAATAAAATAAAATAACAAAATAAAAAAAACTGTACCAGATAAAGTAAAAATATAACCGTAGTTTTTTAGCAAAATAAATAGCTTCTTAAATATAGCCCTTTTTTTTATCCCACTTTCTTTGTCCCCCTTTTTTTTAACATTACCCAGTAAACTCCCATTGCCTACGTATAAAAATACATACACAAACTTCTTACATAGCCATATAAATAAAATACACAATTGTATTCCTTTATATTTGTTCTGTTTTCCTTTATTTTGTCATCATTTTTTTTTCATATACTTTTTTTAATTAACAAAGAAAAACAAAGTAATTCCATTCAAATTTATATGTATCATTTTTCTAAAACGTGTGTGTGATATTGTGCAAATATATAAGTTCATCATCTCCCTTATTTTAAAATTTATATAGCTTTTTCCCCATTACATTTTTAAAATAAACAACATGTTTGAAAAAAAAAAAAAAAAATAAATAAATAAAATAAAATTGAGTATCCATAAATTGTCCCCTCATTACTATACATGTACATATTTGTCTGTATAAACTAAAAAAAACAAAGATTAAAATAGTAATCTCTCCACCCACCCCATCTCATTTTGTGTGTTGTAAAAATTTTCAAATTTACAATAATAAATATATACTGACCTCTTAATAAGTCTTGCAGGTACATATATTAACTTATGTAAATGTGTGTGTATACTGTATATGTTCTTTTATATATTAATGCACAAATGCTTTCTTGTGAGTGTACAATATTCAACTGAATTTCCCCCCCCCCTCCCCTCCTTTTTTTTTTTCCTCAACAAGCTATCATTTATATGTGTCTAAATCTATTTCCTTACTTTTTCCCCTATTTACATATCATCCCATATATTATTAAAAAGAAAAAAAATAAAATATTCCATTATATATTTCCTTATAATAATAATTTCCGTTCCTTTTATCTTTTCAAAAATGTGACCATTTTACAAAAAAAAAAAAAAAAATAAAATAAAAAATAAAAAAGATTTGAAAAGGAAGAAAATTAAAAAAAAGAAAAAAAAAAAAAAAAAAACGCACCCAACAAATTCGTTAAATAAAAAAAAGATAATTGTCTGTTTCTTTAATTAAATATTTCACAACCACCCTATTATGTGCTCTTAAATAACTCTTTAATAAACAGTAAAAGGGAAAGAAGAAATTATAATATTTATAATAACAACATGACAGCAATATAACAAATCCGAAGTAATAACATAAAGGAAGTAAAAAATTAAATCACTGTATTTTTCCAATAACGCCGTATGATTTTTTTTTTCCAAAAAAATTATAATCATAAAAAATATGGTTACGTCAATATCCAATGGGTGAAATTTTCTTTTTTTTTTTTTGAGGGGGGGAAGTGGGTAGGTTTTTTTTTTTTTTTTTCTCATTAAATCCTTTTCCATATTAAATAAAAAAACGTATTTGAAAAAAAAAAAAAAAATCCAATACTTTTATAATTATCAATTCAATAACCTCAAATATATTATATATCAACTAACTAATTAAAATTTTTAATAATCCTAAACACCAAGAAAAATTTATATGCAATTCATGCATAATGAGCTGCACACGCATCCATACTCCCGAAACAATGACTAGGTGGAGTTACTGTAAGCAAGTATCCTCTATTTTATAATACATTTTGTCATATGATATGTACAATACATATAATATAAGATACTAAAATATTTGGCATTTCCCATATTACTGAACTTGTTTTTTTCTTTTCTAGTGTACATTTCAACAACACTAGAATTTTTACGATTTTTCCTCCTCAGCATTGTTCAAAAATTTTTGAACTTCATAAATTTTGACATCTAGAAATTTATCCATTTCTGTTAAATTGTTATAGTGGTTTTCGTGTTCCTTCATTTGTATTAATAGTTTACTTAAAATATCCTTTAGAGAGTTAAACTTCAAGCTTGCATTTAGTTGATTTTCAAAATCTTCCGTTCCTAAGCATTTGTTCATATTAATGTAATCTAAATTGTAATTATTACTCACATTTTGTAGTTTATAATTTAAATCTTGCTTTATTAATTCATTTCTTCTGTAACTTATTTTGTCATTTATTTGAATTTCGTCTGCTACATTTTCAAAGGATTCCTTTAAAAATACTAAAAATTTGTTTGCATATTCATTCAACGTATCTTCATATTTAATATCTTTTACTTCTTTTAATTTTTCTAAAATGTTTGATGCGTTATATTTTTGTTCAAACTTTATATTCTCAGTTCTCATTAACTTTTTCAATAAAATAATATTCTCTTCGTATTTTTTTTCTTCCTCTATTTCTTCTACTTTTTTTTCTGAAGTAATATTCGAAAATAAAAAATTCCAAATGAACTTTAACTCCTCAACAGTTGACATGTTCGTTTATTAATGGAGGAAAAAAAAAAAAAAAAAAAAAAAAATTACATCAAAATCGAAACTGTATAAAATTTCGCAAACTGGCTGTTCCACCGTTTTCAGTCCTTTAAAATTATAAAGGAATTTTTTTCTTCCAAAAGAGCAGTAAAAATGTAAAAAAAATTCAATACATATATGTGTATATATATATATGTATATATATATATATATATATATATATACATATACATAGCATATATACATTCACTCATTGCACACATGATGCTGTAGTGGAAATACTTATTGACGCGTCAGGTGGCAGTTTGTTAAAGGAACCTTTTAAAAGCAATTTTACCACATGCATTTTGCACTGTATATATTTAATTCATGCCACACTGTGTACATACATATGAATTTATATATTAGTAAGCAACACAAATACATAATATATCAAACGTTCTAACATATGTAAGCATATCATATATACTAATGGTAGCACACTTATGCATCATCCTCAATTACAAAGTGTATCTGACTTTTACTTCTCCTTAAATGCCTAATTCATCAAAACAAAAATTACTTTTCCACGGCTTTGCCCATTTTGGAGTGGATATATAGGTGAGAAAAACAAAAGTGAAAATTTTCCCTTCGTTTATATTTTTCCTGCGAAACGATAAAAATATTAAAATTTTCAAATTCTTAGAAAATTTTAAAAACGTCATTCAATATAATTCCAGCAATTTTGTTAAAAAATTGGGGTAATATCAAAGTGGGGAAAAATCCCCAAGTGGCTATATGTGTGACTGCGTCGAAACTTTAGGTAATTTTTATTAACACTGTGTTCATGCTTCTTTTCCTCTCTTGCAAATAAGGGGATCACATATATGTATGTACGTATGTATATATATATATATATATATGTGTTTTTTTTTGTTTTTTTTTTTTTTTTGTCTGCACACATGTATTTATTTGCTTAATTATCGCTTGAGCGACAATAAAAAAATATGATAAGCCCCCACCCCAGTGGACGTCCCAAAATATTTGATAATTAAATTAATAGATTTCTTTTCTTTTTTTTATTTTTTCCAAATGGGTAAAGGGATGCAGGTTTCTATGTTATTAATTAATCACACGTTTCATGTTGTCCCCTTCCACTTACATGACTATGCACAATTTAAAGAGATTTTTTAAATAATGAAGACAAGTTTATTTAAAAATTTCTGTGAAAATGCTGTAATACAAACTTTTACAAATGGGGGAATATATAATCCGTTTTAAAAAAAGAAAAAAAAAAAACAAAAAAAAACAAAACTGTATATGCGTTAATTCATTTAAAAGCTGGGTATATATTTATATATGTGTCCTTGCTAAAGAAACCCAAACTGTGTATTTTTTATATAATAAAAACATATCACAAACACAGGTGAAATAATTTATATATATATATATATATATACAAAATAGTTCTCTTATTCTCCCCATCAGGTTCATTTTTTTGGGAATTACGTAAGATATTATATATACCCATTGGTATGCTCACTTTAGAATTATTGCACCTTTTGCACACAAAATGGCTATTTTTTTTTTTTTTTTTTTTTTTTATAAAACCCATCAATAATATGCACGGTTAATATATTTTTTTCAACCTTTCCTTGTAACCATATGTACGGTTATAGCATATATATTTATTTTATTTTTTTTTTTTTTCTTGTGCTCAAAAATAGCACTTAAATATTTTACGACTTTTTTCCTTAGAATGTTTGATATATATCCTTTTTGTTTTTTCACCAAAGTAGCACAGAACAAAAAGTAAAAGAGCAATTATTACAAACTCATTTTTATTCGAACATATATTTAAATTTTTGTGCATATATTTTTCCGCACACACCACACTCCATTCACATTTATCGTTATCCCAAATCTCCACTTTTGCATAAACACATTATCGTATATTTCTCCCAACCTGTCAATAAGAAAAAGAGATAGGACATATCTCTCTAGCTCAATATATAAAGGATATTATTTTTTTTTTTTTTTTTTTAAAATGAAAACTCTATGTATAGTATGGGGAGGTATGATTATTCTTATAATCTGCACACTTTGGATATATTTCTTTGAATTGTAAAAGAAAAATGAAACTTATTTATATAAGTTCAAATGACCTACAGAACGTATGCGCAGACCTGATAAAATCTATGTGTATTTTTGTATATCACACATCCAAATATGCACATGAATTAATTTCTGACCAGGTCATAATTATTAACTATTTTTTACCCCCCCCCCTTTCTGGTGTTGTTAACACTCGCACACTTTTGCAAAAATGAAAAAAAGGGAAAAGGTCGAGCCACTCATCACGTTTTATAAAACTTAAGCCATTATTTAAGATTTGCATTTATATATATTCTTACGCACATGTAACCATACACATTCTGCATAAAACATAAAATGAAAAGTTTTTCTTTTTAAAAAGTTTATCTCATTAAAAAAAAAAAATAAAACAACCTGCACAACAAAGACAAATTAGTTACAAGTCACTGTGCTTAAGCTTTTCTCTTCATTCTATGAGTAAACTCCCCAAAGTGAAAAACACCCAAGCGGTATAGTAGGAAAAGAAAACAAAATTTTAATATTTGGCGTATACTTTTTTTCTTGCATAAGAAAAATTCCCTTTTTTATGATAACAACGTATTTTTTACATAAATCTACTGTATTTAATTATATGATCTGTACACTAATTTAGAACTTTATTTTTTTTTAATTTTTTTCAAACATGTTGAAATATTTTACGAATGAGTATTATTCTTACTTATCGAGCGGCAAGAAGAAATCTTTCATGGTTGAGAAGGACATTAAAACGAGGTACTAATTATGAAAAAAAAAAAAAAAAAAAAAATGTCGTGTACTGTCTTATCAATCAAATGGCATCATGCAAGAATCACGTAAAGTGTAAACAGGCAATACATCGCCATATTTTACTTTTTCAATTAAATAAATGTTCATGTTGATATCACCCTCTTTTTATACGAAGGACTACGTTCTTCAATAGAGAAGACCTGAAAAATGTATTTGTGTTAGACCCCCAAGACACAACGGCAGGATTGTGTCTGTTAAACATTTCGTTATTTCTTCTAGGGGGATTATCAAAACATAAAGTAAAAGGAGATCTAGCAACAAATTTACAAGGAGGTCTTTTTATTATAAGTTTAATAATTTTTTCAATACAAAAAGCATTTGAGCGATATATCCTGTCCGATATTTTATTTGTTGTACTTTTGTTCATATCTTGTATGTTACCATTTTTATTGTTAGAATTAAATGGATGTTTTAATAATATTGTCTTTTTTCCCATATGTGTAATGTTCTACTTCACTAGATATCACCTACGAAATTTATTCATTTTAGACTCTTTTTTAATTCTTACCATTCTTATAATAAATGTTTCGATAAATTCAAGTACTATAGATATTTACATTTTTTTATTTTTATTAATTGCCTTTAGTCTCAGTATCCTATTTTACAGATATTTGTATTATTTTTCAAAAGTTATATATAACTCTTCAACAAGCCAAAAAAGTATGATTCTAATGTTCCCTTATATAACTGAATATCAAGAAATTTGTTTCTTAAAGCTAGCTGATATTTTACTAGACTTAAACAATTACATGTATATAAAATGGAATATTTTTTGTGAAAATATTCCAAAAGTTCATTTAAGAAATGAAAAAGAAACTCAAAATTTGAGAATGATTTCTAGCAGATTATCAAATAAATTCTACACACTAAAGAACCAAAAAATGTTCTCTATATACCCACCATATTATTGTCTCAAAGTGTTGTATCATAAAAAATTATACTTAATCACTTCTGCTATTGAAAAAAAGAAAAAGGAATTTATGAAATTATATTCTAATGAAAATAAAAGAAATATTCATTTTCTAATCGAAATTATCAACTTGCAAAGAAAGTCACTCGACTCTGACTCTCATCCAGATCTAGCTCATCATCCTAAATCAATAAAACGAGATGAAAAAAGCAAAGAAAAAAAAAAAATACACACGTATCAAAAAAAAGGGATCAACTATAAAGAATTTTCTTCTTTTCAAAACATTACACGGGATAAGCTAAATCAAAATGATAATATTAAAAACGGTACAACTTGCACAAAGGGTTCAGACATGGGAAGGAAAAAGAAAAAAAAAAAAAAAAAAAAAACAGAGAACATCCCACAATCGTATGAACAAATGGGAATTTCCAAACAACATAATCAGGATGTCAGTGCTGTTCACCGCCTAACTCATGGCCATAAAAATAATATTCATAAAAGTGAAAAAAAAAAAGTGGAAGAACGAAAATGTCTAAACGAAGCCAATGAATCAGTGAAAATGTCGCAAAGGGGAAGAAGAGAAAAGAAAAAAATTATAAAAACATATCATAGACAAAATAATTTTGTAGAGGGCCATTTAAAAAAAAAAGCTGATAGTGATGATGAAAAAAAGAAGCAGATGGGGAAAAGCCAAAGCAACGTTGACAACGATTTTATGAATAAAAATTCTAAAACAAATAAGATAAATGTTGAAAATTTAATGGGTCCTTCGGAGAGAAATGTGCGCACTGATATAGATAACCTACAAATGGACACTTCCATTGGTGGAATATTTAGCAATATCATTGCCAAAAAGGAAGCAAAAAATATCACTCCTTATAGGGAAAAAATAAAAAAGAGAAAAGAAAAAAAAAAAAAAATTACTCAGAAAAATGTTAAAGCATGTGAACAAATGTTTGAATCCAAATATGAAGCAGATAGACAGAATGGACATGTTCAAGGAAGCGTAATCTTGCAATGTGACAACATGAAAGTTTTTAAAAATAAAAAGGATAAGAAAAAGACCATAGATAATATCACACAAATGGTGAACAAACATAAGGTCCACACTAAAAATGATATGGAAGCAAAAAATGTAAAGAAAAAATTCATAAAGAAAAAGGAACATGGTTTCGAATTTTTCTTTGCAAAAAAAAATGTAAGAATGGAACATAAAATATGTGATAAGGACATCACAAAGGAGGTAAAAGAAAATGTGAACTGTAATGAGAGGAATGATGACCCTAGTTGTCCTTCCTTCACTGCTAGCGCAAAACATAGACTTAATGTACAACTTGGCGCAAAATTCCGCTCCCACTTAAACGATAAAAAAGTGTATCGTCCAAACAATCAAAATAATTATATGAACATGTACATGAGCAAACAAAACGGGAAAAACGAACGAAACGAGCAAAGCAAAAGTTACAGTGACCAAAGTGCAAATTACTCAAGCAAACCAATGCCAAAAAAAATGGACTACTCAGAAGAAAATTTTTCTTCATCATCTCTCAAATATTATCATGATAACGAATTAGCACCTGAAGAAAAAATAGTTTTTATAAATTTTTCCTGCTTGTTTTATGTGTGCATATATAAAATTAAATTGCTCTTAAAATATATAGAAAATGTCAACTCAGTTGTTCAGGGCAATTATTTCAGACAGGGAATATCACCAAAACAAGACCATCTTTTAGCTTTTGTCGACCAAAAAATTGAACGATACTATATACTTTGGTCTAATTCTGTTGATTTTGTGTACCACGTGGAAAATTACATTTCACATATTATCTTAATTTTTATTTTCCACCTTTCCTCCGTTTTCGTGAGAATCGCTCCTATACAACTTAGCGCATCCTATTCCTTAGTAAGAAATACAGCAGATCAAAATGGGGAAAACACAAAAAAAAAAAAAAAAAAATGAGCCAGTACAAATATTGACCGTGTACCGTCCTTAAAACCTTAACTAATTGGTTCATATATAATTCCATGTAGAAGGCAACTCAAGTAGCTTCTTCTCGAAACGTGAATTTGGAGGCCTTTCCAAAATGCATAAATTGTGCGCAGCTATGTGTGTACCTATGTGTATGTACATGTATATGCTATGTATATATATATATATATATATATATTTATGTATTTTTTTTTTTTTTTTTTTTTTTTTTTTTTTTAAATACCCTTTTTCAGTTCAAAATGGCTAGCTTCTCAACAATTTTTATGACCAGATTTCTACTCACGCCACCAATTTTTGCTCTCATTATTTGGCCGATAATAAAGACCAGATCATTAAATCCGAGAACTATTTTCAAAATTAAAATGCGTTTTTCCCTTTTGTCCCTTTTTATGTAATGAAAAATAACATTCATCAATGGGAACCACCATCAATTGGTCAAAATCCTCACTATACTTACCTGCGTTGTTTATAGGCATCATGTACATGCGTAAATTTTTTTTTTCCTTTTTTTATCCACCTGTTGTTCACTTTCCAGTTTGGTCTTGTCTATATTTGATTACCTTTGGACGATATTTCTAGTTTACAAGAATTTTTGGAGATTAGATAAAAATGTTCTGATGAATCTAGAAAGGACATACAAGTTCGAAATTGTCATTAATTATTAAAACGATTTTTTGAATTTTCCTTCTAGCTGTTATTGTTGCAATGTTGAGCAAGGTTTTGCATTGCGTTACCTGAACTGTTCATATGTTTTTTTTTTTTTTTTTTTTTTTTTTTTTTTTTTCGATCCTGTCACACACACCGACAAGCACATATACATACATAAAAATACACAAATGGTCTCCTCCTCATGTTCCCCAATCTACACAGTTGCAGCATGTTTTCCCTATCTGGGCTATTTTTTTTTGTTCCAATTTTCTACTTTCTAATTATGCAACGCTTAAAATCTATGTGGTATATGTACATCATTTGGTTATCCATAATAAATGTTATATACTGGAGTTTCATGGATGCCTGGCTCTCTGGTTTAAAAATGAATATTTCCCTCATGACTTTAATTGTAATGTGTATTGTATTTATTATAAGGTCAGTGGGGAACATATGCCACCGCGAAATGCATCATAGCACATGCACGGATGTTGTTTTCATTTGTGAAGATTTAATTTCGATCTTTTCATGTCACAATATCTCATTTACGTAATAATTTTCTAATCTGCACACACTTTTTTGCCTTCCCCTTTTTCCCCTTTTCCCCATTTCATTTTACAGACCCTTCGAAATGGTAAAACGGGATATATTTTGCAGGTGTGTTTTACCGTACATTTTATTTCTGGATGATGTTTTATGCACGATCGATTCTGAGAAAAGGCTTAAATATTTGTACTTCCAGAAAGTAGGTGTTCAAGCCAGATCAAATAATTTTGATACTTTTCACGGATAGTCCATGTTAAATATGGGGTTCTACATTTATCTATATGAGTGGTGTACATACACTAGGGAATCTGTTTTTTTTTAAAATAATTTTTAATTTAAAATAACGGGTTGGTCATTAACAAAGAGGAACGAAATGTAAGTGACGTTTGAAGGGTAAAAATAGAGAACAGGTGAAGGATAAAAAATAAGCGATAAAAAATAAGAGGTAAAAAATGAGCGATAAAAAATAAGAGGTAAAAAATATATGATAAAAAAATTACTGATAAAAAATAGTAAACCTTGGAATGAACAAAACAGTGGAAATCCATCAAATGTATAACTGAACTCATTGCTGACACTGATACTGTGGGACACATTGGACTGGATGAGACATAATTCAGCTCATTCAAAATTTTGGAATCAGTGTAAAAAAGGGAATACTAACTCAGTAAGCTTGGGTCATTCTTTAAGTTCTTCAAAATAACAGTATTGTAAACTGGCGCTGAATTGAAGAAGGAATCCACATTTGGATCTACAGAACATTTGCAAGAAAATATCAATTCATACTTTTTTTCATTATGCACTGTCCTGAATGCATTCGATATATATAAATCTTCAAGTCTTATCGAAAAATACAACTTATTAAATCGTTTGCAATCATTGTATAATGGTTGTATTTCTCTTTTATGCTCGTTTGTTATTGCGTAACCCAGATGCAATGGAACTTTATGTAAAACATTTGACGCCTTTATCAGGGTGTATTTTACTCCAATCTACAAAATTGGAATAATCCCACATAACAGAGAGGAGTGGAAAAGAGAGATACGTATGCATATGTTTATATGCGTGCATCTGTGTGTGGGTGGGGGAATATTTACAGGTACACACGCTGTGGGTCTCACAGAATAATTTAAATTTTATTGCTCATGAATTAATGTTAATCAATCTCTACTCATCTGTCACTGCTTTGTTCATTAGGAGTATTCTTGTTCGTGCAATGATATATATATATATATATATATATATATATATATATATTTTTTTTTTTTTTTTTTTTTTTTGTAATTTTATCCTCTCGCTCATACAGTTAACTTGGTGGGAAAGTCACTTTCATCTTTATTTGAGGGAACGCTTATTTCACTCTTGTGCATGAGAGGACTTTGATTGGCTGAGTTTTCCTCCAGCCCTGCATATTATAATAGAAAAAAAAAAAAAAAAAAACAAATATTCATATGAACATGCACATAAAAATTATTCACACAAGTGTGTAAAATAATCCTATGGTTCATTCGAAACTGTAGGGGATAGATGTGTATATCCATGCATATATATCTATGTATGTATCCACGCTTATTTTTTTGGTGTGATTACCAGCGTTGTATAAGAGACAAGTGTGACTCGTTCCCACAGGGTAGTAGAAATATTTTACACTTTCTGCTGAAAGGGTGTATGACAGTATTGTGCTATTGATGATTTTTAATTTTATGTTAAACTTTCCTCCAATTATGATTTTATTATTTTTGGATAAAAATTCAAAAGTGGTAGTATTCTCTTGGATTATATTTATCTCGGGTGTGTACGACGTAGTCCAGAATCCTAATAATACTCCTGTAAGTTTTACGATAACGAGATAATAAAACTGATAAGTGCTATTTATATACATATCTAGAAAAATTTATAAATAAATGGGGAAATTATTATACAAACATATGTAGTATGTAATGTGTACACACGTGTGCTTGTATATTCAAACGCAACTTGTATAAAAAAAAAAAAAAAAAGGATAGAAGTATTAAATACCCCTAATGTGCATAAGCAAATTGGTCATTTTCTCTATTATTGTATGTCTTTCTCCCTTAAGTGTATATTAGAGACCTCCAAAAAAACAAGCCACAAAAAGTAGCGTCAAGTAAACCATATGAAAAAATAGGATTTTCCTCTTCGGTCTATTCTTTTCTGATAGTTCATTTCCATGTGCTCTTTTCCTCTTGTATCTCACTTCTCCTTCCATGCGTGTGTAACCACAAATTCGATGATTAAAAATGTGAAATTTGGATTGGCAAAATAAGGAATGTTCACTGTATCGATCGGTCGTCGATTTGGCCTCGTATTTTGACCACTTATTTTGGCCGCTTATTTTGGCCACTCCTTCGTCTGTTAGTTCGATTGTGTGAGCCTATCATTCATTCTCAAAGCAGGAATGGGGAACATCAAATTTTAGTACCCTTGGTGGATACAGAGATCTAGGAAGGGTATGAACAAATTAGTGGAATTAAAAAAGTTCTGCATGTTCATGTAACAAATCAATCACGCACGTTCTTCAAATGCGTGGGATAAATGGAAAACGAAATAACTGAATTTAGAACAAATGAGCGCAAAAAGTTTTATACATGTATATTTTTGACGGGGAAGTGTGTAAACCTTTAAAGTTGGGATGAAAAAAAAAAAAAAAAAAAAAAAAAAAAAAAAAAGTGATTAAGAGAGGACGCTATACATGCTTGCATACGGAAATATTTTTAAACAGAAAATTTCAAAAATGAGCAGGCATTTAAAACTTTTTACACGTATGTAATGAGTGCTAATCATGTTATTCAAATGCACCATTCCTCATTTTTAATTCACTAAACCTTTGACAACTCCCACAGCTACCCATCACTTGACTGAAAAAACTAAGCACCACTGCATAATTGTAGTATCAGAATGGGAAGAAAATAATAAATAAGGTAAAATAAGGTAAAATAAGGTAAAATAAAGTAAAATGATGTAAAATAATGTAAAATAATAAAAATTGTTAATAAGGAAAATATGGAATGATTATTATAATTTCCTCTTTGCGAAAGAAAATTAGAGACTACGTACCCCCCGAACTGTTTTTTTAACCATTTTAAATTATTATTTTCTGACAATTATTACATTTTTTTCTATAACAGAATAGTTAATAACTTTTTTTTTTTTTTTTTTTTTTTCTTATTGATATGGAAAATTACTATTTAAAAAAAAAAAAAAAAATTAAATATAAAGAATTATTTATAACAACTTTTTTAACTCATGGGGGATCAAATATCATTTCGAAACTTCTCGTTTCTCCCTTGGAGCGAATTGTAATCATTAGACAAACACAGCCTTTTTTTTTTAGAAACATTTTGCTTCATTCTTCTTTTACATACACAAATATAATAAGAAGTAAGTCCTAATAATAACATGTAGTTGTGCAACATTTATTATTTTATATCCTTCATACCATTTTGTATGTGTGTAAAAGGATGTTAGGTCAAATTATATTTCTCCTTTTGACCACATATGACAGATTATATATAAAATACAGCAACTTATTGTATTTGTTCCTTTTTTTTTTTTTTTTTTTTTTTTTTTTTTCCCCCACACCCACACACAAGGTATATATGTCAACCAAGGCTTTACATCCCTTTGGTGGGGATACCACGCAAGCATATGGAACTTTTTGTCATTCAGTTTTTTCAGAATACTTTTTCATGATAAAATAAAGTACAATCTAGCAATAGAAAACAATAAAAATAATTATGTAATGACATTTTCCTTACTATACACCTCAAGTTGTTTTGCAACTCTGATTTCATATCCATTAGATACTATTCATAATTGCATGGCTTTAAATCATGAAGAGATTAAGAATAAAAAGATTACCAACAGGAGCATTTTTTTGTTCATATATGATTTAATACTAAAAAAAAGTAAGAATCACGGGGAATCAGATAAAAATATAAAATAAATAATGAGATAAAAAAAATAAAATAAATAAAGAGATAAACATATAAAATAAATAATGAGATAAAAAAAATAAAATAAATAAAGAGATAAACATATAAAATAAATAATGAGATAAAATAATAATCCCAGGAAAGGGGACATATAAGACATTTTCATTCACCTATCTTACGTGCACGTGTGTGGAATACTACCGAATGGCATCTTCTCAACGTTTGTGCAACACACACATCCGTGTGAATTATATGTGCTCATTTATATCTATCCATATATATATATATGTGTATATACAATCTTTCGCTGCCCATTTCCCCAGGGGGGCGGAGGCTAATGTGTTCGTGCCCTCATATTCAATTTATTATTTTATATATTTATTTATTTACTTATTTACGTATTTATTTTATGTTTTAGTTATTTTATTTATTTTTTTTTTTTCTTCTCTACCACACGGCAGAAATTAAGCAACTGTACGCTGGATATAGCTTTTGTCTGGTAAACTTCATTCCCTATTTACTCATATCTATAAAGTTGAATGAAATTTTTACAAAATACTTTATTGAATTCAATTATTATTCAAAAAATGACGATTCAAAAAAGGATGAAGAGCAAAATTCATATAACAATATGCATGAAGAATATCAAAAATTGTTTAAAAAAACTCCAAACGTTTTTTCTTATATTTTCTTGGGTGTGCTGACAGGATACATATCACAAATGATCACATACCCCCTAGAGACAATACGAAGAAAATATCAGTATCATGTGATATATGAAAAAAATTTTCCCCAAATATTAATGTATCATAAAAACTGGAATAATAAAAAGCCACAAAATTTTATTACAAAATTTTCTAATATGTATAGAGGTTTTTCCTTGCACACTTTTAAATTAATTCCAGAATATTTAATATTCAGTTGTTTTTTTTACTATGTTAAGAATAATATACCTATATGAGTTTGGAACACTAGTGGTACTTCGACAAAGAATGAAAAAAAAAAAAAAAAAAAATGGGTTGTTTAATTTACCTGAACTGTTCATATTTTTTTTTTTTTTTTTTTTTTTTCCCCGTAATTTATGGCAAGTAATAAAAAATTGCTCGTTTGGCTACAAAATCATGTTTGTTCCAGATTTACTATATGTATGTTACATGGTTTTACATAATTCTGATTCTTTTTTTTTTTTTTTTATTTTATTTCCGCTTCTTTACTTCAAATAAATTTAAGTCTTCCTTTTTTTCCTTATTCTTTCCCCCTTTTTTTTGTTTGTTTGTTGATACGTTTTTGCTTATAACATTTTTGCACATAACATTTTGGCAAGTGCTTTTTATGAGTCCCAAAAAAAGTGAGGTAATAAAATTACACATAACATATTGGTTTTTTTTTTTTTTTTTTTTTTTTTTTTTTTTAAATTACCTTTGCATATTCAATATTCCCATAAGGAAGAACAACATTTTTTATGTTTATGCTATCTAGGACAAAATTTCACATTTTTTTGAACATGGCAACAAATTGTAGAGTTCCATGGAGGGATAAACATATAATAAAATATGTTATCTGCTAGTTCCCATGAGAAAAGTAAAAGTGCATAAAAAAAAAAAAAAATGTGCTTATATTTTTGTTCATTTTCGTGGGTCTTTAAGAAAAGAAGAAACGAAACATGTAATTGGGAAAAGGGTTAGAATTAGGGAGGTGTAGAAGAGCCAAAAGAATGTGGCTTTTATATTTTTTCGTGCTGTACTGCACTACACTGTAATGTACTTTTTTTTTTTTTTTTTTTTTTTTTATTCTACTATATTTTTCTCCATTTTTTTCATGTTTACATATCATTCGGTATATTGTAACAAAACAAGGGACACATCATTTCCGTGAGTGTTATGTGAATAACCTTCTTTGTGATATACATACCTGAACGTTCCTCCCCCTCCCCCTTCCAATTTTTTTTTGTAACCTTGTGTGTATCATTGGGAAATGCGTTAAATTCTGTATAATTTTTTTTACATTTTTTTGTTTTCCCGGGTTTCAAATAAATCTATAGAAAAATATGCAGAGGGTCGTTTTCACAAAGGCACGAATATGCAATCTCTTAAAAATGCAAAGGAGACATGGGGGTGGAACTTCTCTGCTAACAAAAATTGGACAATCATTCAATCAAGAGAGTTTAAGAAATGCAAAAATAAAACTAAGCAATTACGGAATGAGTAATTCATATAACCCGATTGGAAAGACAAGTACGAGTGGTGGAGACTGGGGTAGTAGCAGCAGTAGGAGCAACATTTTCCAACAGTTTATCGACATTTTTAAAAAGAAAACAGATAGAGAAGAGGATAACCTCAAAAGTAACGATAAAAATGAGAAAAAGGAAAAAGAATTTTTTGAATATTACATAAAATGCTTAATGAAATATGAAGGGATTTTCACATATCGAAAATTTCAACTATTTCTGAAAGATTTGTGTAACTATTTTAACCTCTTTGGATTGACATATAAATATAAAAAAAAAATGAATCCACAAATGGAAAAATTAAAAAAGCAATATGAAGTTATGAATTCATTTCTACCCTACGAATTGGATTCAGATGATTACAAAATATTTCATGAAGAAAGTAAAAAATATATAGCTGAGTCTTGTAATGTAGATATGAAATTTATTGACGAATTGTTACTTTTTCATGATTCATTGAAAACTGATAGAACATGGTTCTACAGGAGAATAATTCTGAAAAGAGAACTGCCCAAAAGTTTTGAAGAAAGAGAAATTGAAGCTCCTTATGATAGACCCATAACAAAAACTTTTAATTATGGTATTAAAGAATCTTCTTTAGAATATGAACAATATATGCGTAAAAATGGAAGAAAAATCAAATTTAAAAAATGGATATCTAAAAAACATCCATGGTTCAGGAAAAATACTTCTGGCAAAAATAGATGGGCCACACGACCTTACACAAAAAAATTCCCCTATTTATACTATTCCCGAACTCCCAAACATTTGTATCTATCTGTGAATAAACCTAAAGTTAGAATTTCATGATGCTTGAAAAAATCATACAAAAATTTTATATAGAAGAATGCTTCTCCAACAGTTTCTTCTGCTATGGTATTGGGTTGGGTAACGATAATCTGCATTGCATTCTGTTCTAAATATGGGGGAATGAAGAAATGTAATAAATTCTCAAACAATCTTTATCAATTTAGTTAACACAAATTTCTCGGTTGGGTTATCCAACATGTCCAAAGTAATAATCCCTTGGGGAGAGATATTCAAACCAATATTCTGAAAAATGGCTACAGAGGTACGAGGTATAATGGGGTGTAAGAAAACGGAAAAAAATTTTATGCATTCCAAAGTTTCATAAATGATTTTATTAAACTTAATTGAATCTTTTGTATAATTCCATGGCTCCCTATGAACGAAAAATTTATTCACCTTCTTTATGAGTGTCATTAAATTTTCAAGAAAAAGAGGATATTCGAAATTATGAATTAAAGTGATTAATTTCGTTTTGACATTTTCACATTCACGTAAAATGGTATAATGAAAAAAATCATTTTCTTCAATTTTGAAAATATATTCATAACTATTATCAAGACAAAGGGAAACAACTCGGTATAGTAAATTCCCGATATTATTTCGAACAAAAAGTTGAAAAGATTCTAAATGTGTTTCTTTAAAATTTTTATCTTCATAAATGTTTCCACTACCAAAGAAGTAAAGGCGAATAATATCTGGTTCATATTTTTTTAAAATATCAAATGGACTAATCACATTACCTACACTTTTTGACATTTTGACATTCTCGCTTTTTAATAACCCATGACATAATATTTTTTGTGGAAATTTTAAATTCAAACTTTTCAATAAACAAATATAAAAAATTGCATGAAATTTTAAAATATCTTTTCCAATAATTTGCACAAATGGATTCCATTCCTTTTCAAAAATGTTAGAAACAGTGCAATCACTTTTATTTATTTTGTTGGAATGATGCCACCCATTATTCCCATTTGTGTCATTGCAATGGTTTGAACCACGCATCTCGTCGTGAACACTATCATCATCATCCTCCTCCTCACTACACTGTTGCTTTTTCTCCACCATACTGAGAATATCTTCGTGTGAACACACAATTTCTTCATCTTCCATATCTAGCTGGTTGGAAGCGAGAGAAGATTTGTAAGAGGATGCGGGTTTACATGCCGATACTGAACTGCACGTACTTCTGGCATCATCTGACTCGAGCTGAATATGTTCGCTTTTTCTAACTAGCCTTTTCTTCTTAACTTTGTATAGAACAGAAGATACATAAGACAGAAGTGCATCAAACCATACATATATAGTGCCCTTCTGTTCATTCGGTATATTTATTCCCCATTTAGTGTTATACCTACTTATACAAATATTTTTCAAATCATTTTTTATGAAATGAAGAATATCTTTCTGTAAGTAGGTGGGGTAGATAACCGATTTATTATGTTGATAAAAATGAATTAAAAAATTTTGAAACTTTAGAATATTAAAAAAGTAGCAATTTTCTTCTTCAATGTATATAACATTAGGATTATTTATTTTATTTTTTTTTTTTAATTCGAAATCGTTCAGATATTTTTCTTCATTAATGTCGTAATATCCTTTATATACATCTTTGTATATATAGCCATTTTGAATTAAATAATTCCAAACACACTGTACAAAACTTTTGTGGAATTTGTTTGATGTTCTATAAAATATGTCAGTATGCACATATAACTTCTCATTCATCATTTTGTAATAATTACACATATTATTAATATGTTCAATACTTCTTATATTCATTTCTTTTGATTTTTTTTCAATTTTTAAGCCATGTTCATCCATTCCAGAAAATAAAACAACTTTGAACTTGTCTCTTTTCTTACATTCCCATTTTAAGAATCGACATATTGTATCACTCAGGATGTTGCAGTATGCATGTCCTATGTGTGGCTTGTCATTTCCGTAGTACACGGGCGTGCTAACAAAGGCTACTCCGTTTGCTTTTCCACCATTTACCTCTCCAACATTTGCTTCTCCACCATTTGCTTTCCCACCATTTGCCTCTCCACCCTTGTCACATTTATTCGGTGTATTAATCAAACCCTTTGTATCTTTCTCCGTGCTATCACTCAGATTAAGTTCTACTGATGATGCCTCACAAAGATTATTCAATTGTGTGTATTTCTTCTTTAAGTACCCTTTTTCTGTATTTCCAAATGTTAGTTTCTTATCTTGCACATGGGCATTGCTGTATCCAAAAGGTATGTAATCTTTGCCAATCCTTACGTATGCATCACGATATTTACATCTTCTCTTCAGATTTACTTTTCTCAATTTTTTTGTTGCTTCTTTCAATGGGATGTGTTTTAAAGACCATGGTGAAAGGTCAATTTGGTTCACGTTGATAAACGAATAGCAGAAATGTTTATTACTTGTCTTGAATGTATTTATGAGTAACACACTTATGAGGATTATTATTTTAATGGTGGATGGGATCGATTTCATAATTCTGTTCAGAAGTTTAAATGGGCGTATTAATGGTAACAAAAAAAAAAAAAAAAAAGGAACACCTTGCACTCTTAGCACCACACGAAACCGCACATTCGGTTACCTTGTTATATCACTTTGTTATTTTGCTTCTACATCTATTTGCTTCGCTTCTACATCTACTTCCTTCGCTTCTACATCTATTTGCTTCGCTTCTACATCTACTTCCTTCGCTTCTACTTCTATTTGTTTTGCTTCTATTTTGTTTTGGCTTTTTCAAGCGTTCCCTCAAAATCGGGGGTTTCCAATATACCGTGGTGCTTCATGCCTGTGGAGAAGAAATACAAAAATAAAAACTACCAGCTAGCCAAACTCAGAAAATAAAATATATAGAAATAATTGTGCATGCTGTGAGCTATGAACTATGTATTGCAAAAAAGGTATGGGGTTAGAAGTGGGTTTTTCGCCTTTTCCTCTTCTTGCCATAAAAGCTGTTGAAACTACTCTTCTGTCATGTATTTATTCAAAAATAAGTTCTCCCCTCTTGAGCGTTTTTTTTTTTTTTTTCCATTTTTTTATACAAATATGCTCTGAAAAAAAAAAAAAAAAAAAAAAAATCTTTTTTAATTTTGTTTTTTTTTTTTTTTTTTTTTTTTTTTTTTTTTTTTTTTTTTTTTTTTTTTTTTTTTTTTTTTTTTTTTTTTTTTTTTTTTCTTTTTTTTCTCCTTCCCTTTTCTTTTTATTTTTTTTTTTATTTTTTTCTTCTTTTTTTTTTTCTTTTTTTTTTTTTTCTCCGTTTTTGCTATTTTGTTCACCATTGTTTTTCCATATATTTCTCCCTTTTTTTGGGAGACGTCACTATGTTTGTTCATTTTTCCGATAAAATGGAAATCATAAACACTGTAATGTAAATAAAAATATATGCAAAAACTAGCCAAAGGATTGATTCTCAATTTTTGTTGTGGGGGTGAGAAATATATATATGTATATACCACCTTTTGCTATTTCCACATTTAAAACGTTTTCATGATATTTTTTTTTTTTATGAACATTTTTCTACAAATTTTTTTTTTTGTGCATCCCCTTAGCCGTTTCTACCATGCAGTTGTGTTAGGTCACAAATATCCAGAAGCAATTGCAAACGATGTAACAAATCCTGTATACATATGTGAATACATGCACATGTACATACGTACTGCATACATAATACACAGATATATACCTGCAGGGAGCACGCATAGTGACACGTACAGATCGTCACACAGACCTATCTACATTCAGAAAACACAACGGCTTCTTCTTCATAGGGCCTGGGCCTTGCCAAATTTCTCCAAATTTATGAAAAAATGAAAATTCGAAATCCAAAAGGGAAAAGAAAAATAACCTCACTAAACGAACTATATGAACTGGAATATGTAAAAAAAGAAAAAAAAAAAAAACTAAAACAACTGAGTACATTTAGAAGGAAAAAGAGTGAAGAACAAGTGGAAGAAACACATAAAGAAAACAATAAAAAAAAAGAAAAAGTTAACTACTTATTACTTGAAGAGTACAAAAAATTGAAGAAACTCGAGGAGCCGCTTCAAAAAAAGGATAAATTATTAAATCCCCCGGAGACAAAAAATAATTCAGCACATGCAACTTTTTTGGACATTTTGAAAAAAAAAGAACAACAATATGAGGAAAGTGATTCTAAAAATGGACTCATAAATGGACGTATAAATGGATGCATAAATGGATGCATAAATGGATGCAAAAATGGATGCAAAAATGGATGCAAAAATGGATGCAAAAATTCCCATGTGGGCAGTGCCCATTCCTGTGGATACCCTCCTTTAGATAATTCCAAAGAGGGAAAATTTGCCGAAGAAGACATTGTGAAGAATATCCAAAAAAAAAAAAAACCTACAGAAATGACTTCACACTCTGGAAACACAAATTTAAAAGCAGATACACAAAATAATGTGGACTATATTTATATGTCTTTTTTAATAAAAGCTATAAAAAATCAAAGGAAAAGAGAAAGCAAAAGAAGAAGCAATTTCCATATGTCAGACAATTACGGATTTGCAAAAAATGCAAATCCATGGGGAAACACACGGGATGATAAAATAGTTAGCAATCGCGAAGGTTCGAGGCATAGTAATAGCCATGTGGATCCCAATTCGAGCCGTTCCAATTCGCGCAGTTCCAGTTCGAGCCGTTCCAACCAGAATAACCCCCATGTGGAAAGAACCGATCACAATTTGAGCTACTGCATCCTGTACAAAGCTAAAAGCATTTTTAAAAATTACTCAAACGAGTCATACAAATTGTGTGAAAATAAAATGGACTATTTTTTCACCTTTTGCAAAAATGTAGACGATAATTTTATGCACAAATTTTTTGAAAAAAAAGTAAATAGAATTGAAAAGGCCGATGAATTAAGAAAGAAAAAGAAAAACGAAACCATTGAAGAGTCCTATGTGACTTCCAATTTATTTTTGGAAACCAACATTTTCAGAGTTCAACATTCGACAGAGGATAATGAAAGAAGAGAAGAAAAAAAAAAAAAAAACACACACGAATTATTTACAAACAAAGATGTCGAAGTGGATGGAGAGTTTTTTTGCAATGTCCAAATTAAACCCTTTTTCTTTTCAACTTATCATGAAAGAAATTACATAACCAATTATCTCTTGCACATACTTGACACAACCCCACATTCCATTCTGCACAGTGAGAACTACTATAATCTATACGAACCTATAGTCTTGCATTTGAAAAATTATCTTGAATCCTTTGAACACCCCATTGCATACTTTAACAAAGACATATACAGATACCTCAGGGAGTATTACGATGGTGGAACAATGCAGATTGGAATTCCAGAAATTGGGGACTATGATCCAAGCGTGCAGCATAGGGAAAATGACAAAAAGCCTCCAATTGACACAAAGTCTCCAATTGACACAAAGTCTCCAATTGACACAAAGCCTCCAATTGACACAAAGCCTCCAATTGACACAAAGCCTCCATTTGACAAAATTTTGAGTAACGAGTGCAAAGAAGAATCGAAGAAGAAGCATGAGAACAAAAAAAAAAAAACGTGGGACTTGTCAAATATCATGCATGATGAAGAACTTAAGAGCTACTTTCACTATATCAATTCCTATGTCGATGTTTTGTACTCGAATCAAAATATTCTGAACAACCATTTTATAAGGTTGCTAAATAGTGTACACTATTTAAACCACTTAAAGAAAAGGATGAAAAGAAAAAAATATATAAAAAAAAAAATTGAAAAATTAGAAAAATCACAACACGTGGAAAAAGAAAACGTTCAAATAAAAGAAGAATTGTGTGATGAAAGTTTTGCGAAGCCCAAAATTCTCATCCTATGTGGGCTCAGACACATAGCCAAAGAGTACATCGAATTAATTATTAACTTGTTGACCCCTACGGAGATCAGAAATAAAAATAGATTTATTGACGAATATGATATAACCATAGATGAAAAAAAAAACATGAAAGAAATTTTTTTGAAAAAAAAAAAAAACATTGATTATATAAATTTGTATAAAGGTAATAACGATGATTGTTTCAGGTTAGGGATTAAGCTACTTGATGATGAAAAAAAAATACAACTCTACAGTCCATTTTATGACAGTGATATTTTAGTATGTTCACCCCTAGGTTTGGATATAATAATCAAGGAAAATCATGAAGCTATGCATGACAATAACACTGCTGGTCTATCAAGTGATGAATATTCTTCCGATGAAAATGCATGGGGATATGCAGGAAAAAGTAACAATCGAAGAAAAAATAATCGTACCAAAGATAATGCTACTACACACAAGTCTCAAAAATATACAAATCAGAAAAATAAAAAAAAAAAACTTTACGAATACGATTTTTTATCATCCATCGAAATTTTAGTTATAGACCAAGCTGATATCATATTAATGCAAAATATATTGACATTAAAAAATGTGCTCAATTTTGTGAACAAACCATTGCTAAGATGGGGAAATGCAAATATTAACCGAATCCCCAAATATGTAATAAATGGATATGTGAAGAATTATAGACAAACTATAATTACTGCCAGTATATTAGACACAAATTTTATTTCTTTAATTCAGGGGGGATGTAATTACAGGGGGTTCCTAAAACTTTTTATCGGTGGTGGAGAAATGGAAACAGAGAAAGGAGACCAAACGGGCAGAGAGAAAGGAGACCAAACGGGCAGAGAGAAAGGAGACCAAACGGGTAGAGATAAAGAATTCCAAACGGGTAGAGATAAAGAATTCCAAACGGGTAGAGATAAAGAAATCCAAACGGATATAAATAAAGGAGTCGAAAAGGAAATAAAAATGTGGAACGAAAAACCAATTGGCAATGGAATCGACACAAACCATCACGGTGGAAGTAATTTAAATCCCCTAAGTGGGAACGTCTTGCTAAGCATAAGAAATCATTATAACACAAATCAGTATTTTAAAAAAATCGAATGTGATAACATTGTCCAAATGGAAGAGAGCATCATACAATTTTTTTCAACAAACGTAATTGATATCCTGATGAATATTAAGCAGCTCCTTATTTTTTTACCTACCTATATTGAATACATTCGAATATATGAAATTTTAAAAAAAAATGATATTTCTTTTAAAGGTGTTAATGAATATACAAATGAAAAAAAAATTGTAAAAATTCAGAAATTATTTAAATTTGGAAGAATAAATATTCTATTAGTTACAGGACGTTTAATGTTTTATGAAAGGTGCACCTTCAAAGGGGCTAACCATGTCATCTTCTTTTCTCCCCCCAAATTTATTTTTATGTATTATGAATTAATTAAAAATTTAACACCCTCATCTAATTCTTCATCCATTTGTTATTATACAAAATATCACACGTATGAGTTGGAACGAATTGTAGGACAAAAACTTGCTGTGCAGTTGATGAGAGAAAAATCGGGGAAAATTACACTCTTTAAGTGATCAGATAAACAATAGGACGCAGGTTTGCAAGGGCATAGGAAAGTTCTACGTGCACGGAACAGTGTGCATAAAGATATAAAGAGAAAGGAGAATATATGGAAAAAAAATGAAAGAACGGAAGAAAAAAAAAAAAAAAAAAGGCAGAAAAAATGAAGGAAAAAAAAGCATATCTGCCTTAGCCACACCCCTACGAGGTTTCGTTCACACTTTATCCACTTGAAAGGTCCATTTTTTTTGCACCATAAGGTGAACTATTCATTTTGGTTGATTTTAGGCAGATTTTACAAAAAAAAGGGGGGGGGGGGAAAGGAAAAAAAAAACGCTCTACATTTCATTGATTATTTTCCAGTGAATATCCATACTTAGACTTTTTCTGTAACAAAAAGGAAAGGTGAAAATTTTAATAATTTTAAATATGTGCAGTGTGTTGTTCTTCATTGTGACTTGACCGGAATATACATATATATGTACATTAACATGTACAGGCATATGATTTTTTTTTTTTTTTTTTTTTTTTTTTTTTTTTCGCAATGTTAAGTCTCTTTCCACCTTCAGCTCTTTCCTTTTTTTTTTCCTTTTCCTTTTCTTTTTTTTTTTTTTTTTTTTTTTTTGTTTACATTTGCACCTACCCCAAAATGTTCCATTTTACCAATTCACCATAGAACTCAATTTCCAGATCTTCAAGTTTGGACACCATCTTAAAGATAAAAAATGTGCACACATGTGTGAGTGTTAATTAAGACAAATTAAGGGATGAAGGAAAAAAAAAAAAAAAAAAAAAAAAAAAGAATTAGCTATTTCTCCTTTACATACCTTTTGCGCTTTCGCTAGCTGCAGATCATAATCTGACAATATTACTTTTTCACCTGAACGTTCATTCATTTTGTATATTTCAATGATTGTGTATATAAAAAACCAGAAAATAAAAAAAAGTAAAATAAAATAAAATGGAAAAATAAGAATAAGAGTAGGAATAATAAATGGTCCTATTCCACAAAAAGAGGTAATATATTAGGTATATCCAAAATGAAAGATAAAAAAAAAAAAAAAAAAAAAAAAAAAAAAAAAGGTACCTACAATGATGATATATTTTTCTTCCCCTTCGCAAATATGGCTCAAAAAGTTGAAAGGAAAATCTGATGCAAAAAAGCTACAACAGTTATATTGAAATAAGGTAGGTCAGACAAAATATGAAATAATGTGGGGGGAAAAAAACTAAAATGAAATAGTAGAATTAAAATAATGTTAGCAATAAGTGTGGGTAGCCATGTAAAGAGTAATTAAAAAAAAAAATAAATTTAAAAGGAAAAACATAATTCTAAGATATGCTCACAAACCACACACACGCATGTGTAAACTGTAGGACAAGGGGGAGGGGAAAAAAAAAAATACTAGAAGAACTTACTAAATAAGGATCCAATACATACATACGTACCACCTCTTTGTATCCATTCGACAGGTCATGAGAACTTATTTAATAACTGCTTATCTCAGAGAGGAAAAGTTAAAACTCAAAAAGGGTAGACAACTGTATGGCATCCATGTCATGTTTGTCATCATTTTGCATGTTAAAAATTCTAATAAAATTAATATTCTTACATAAAATATGGTGAAAATTTTTTAAACTTTGCAAATTTACCTCTTTTATTAATATATTTATTAGTTTTTTTTTTCTTCTGCAATTGTTAAAATACTCTGAGAATAAATTAATCATCACATAATCATCATCAATTAAATTTTTTTCTTTTCCTTTTTTTGTCTTGTTAAGTACATCATTATCCAAGCTAGTGGGATTTTTTTTCAAATAAAAATCGTTTAAAAAATTATTCAGTTTAGAAATAAAATCTTTTTTGGAATACATTTTATGTTTGTCTATGTATCTTTCTATAGTTACAATTTTGTTAACATAAGAATTGACCTCTTTATCTCCTAAGTATACATTATGTTTTTCTACACATCCTACATTCAAATCTATGCCTTTAATAATATCATTTATTCTATTGTTCCATCTAGAAAGTTGTGAATTATTATACAAATGAAACATCAAGAAAGCGTTATCAAATTTTGTTTTTATTTTTTTTTTTCCCTTTGTTCTTTCATTATTATGACTTAAGTTAATTGAGGAGTAATTCTCTAGCACATATTGAGTGAAAAAGTTACTATCTCCTTTCAGCGTTTTTAAAATAACTAAACACAAATTAATGAATTTTTCAATGTTTCTTTTAGATTTGTCTAATCTTTGAATGTTGTTAATTTCTGTGTCCCTTCTTTCTCCTATGTTTACGCCAACACACTCTTTAATTTTGTCAAAAGAGTAGTATAAATTGAATATCAAAATTTTGAACAGAACATTGATAAGGGATTTTATTCCCTTTTCAAATCTATGAAAGAGGTTGTGGTTGGGGAACAGGAAGCAGTGATGTCCATGCCTACGTACATGTACAGAAATGGGTTCACTAATAGGTACTGCAATAGGTGCAATAATAGGTTCCATAATAGGTACAATAATACGTGCACAAATATGCCCATGGCATGGAAGCACTTCCTCATCCCAAGAAAAAAAACCTCATACAGAATTCAAAGCCGACATAATTCCACCCTACATCGTGCATTTATTCATTTAACAGAAATATGCGCTCACAAAGAAACATTAAAAGTGTTGAAAAAAAAAAAAAAAAAAAAAAAAAAAACATTACATTGCATAGTATAGTATAGCACTGCATTGACTATATATTGTCACAACTTATTCCACTTTTTTCATTTTTCCAAGGGTAAACAAATGAACAATGCATTTTTGAGTATCTATAATCATCATGTCATAATTGCACATGACAATAAGTTTCACTCCCGTGTGAACATATATAGAAGACTTTTTTTTTTTTTTTTTTTTTTTTTTTCTTTTTATACCCTTTATGAACAATGTTCTTATTTTCCATTTTTCCCTCTCACTTTCGTTCTTCCCCATTAGCACGTGTCATCAGTTGGTTGAACTTGAATGATAGTCGATTGGAAGACGCTGCTGGATGGTCATTCTGACAAAATAAGGAAATATGTGCGCGATAAAGTGTAGTGAAGTTGTTGTTTAAAGGACACATGAAGAGTGGAATGGCACACACTTGTGCTAATTTGATAGCATAATCACATATATATATATATATATATATATATATATATATATATATATATATACATAAACACACACGCTAATGTAAACGCAAATGCACACAAATTTACAGGATACAAATTTATATGTCTTATTAAAAAAGATGCCAGTTTGCTAAGTTTCACTTAAATTTTCACTATGTTCTGCTCAAGGATGAAAAAGACCCCTTATTCGCGTAGGAAGAAGGGTCCATCAAAAGCAGATAAAAAAAAAAGTAAATGCTGAATCATGCATATTTTTATTCATACACACATCCCTGTGTGAGTAACATCTTGCACTCTCACTTACATAAACCCAAAGGAGAAAAGTAATACTGTGAACTGCAGGTCGTCACTGATTTTGTATACTCTTTTTTTTTTTTAGCAGATATGCATAATTAAATGATACATCCCCAGTTTGTATATTCATCTACATACAAGAAGGAGAAAAAAAAAAAAATTCTACCTTTAGTGTAGAAAAATGGAAATTCAAAGACTTGCAAAATTTGCTAATATGCCAATTTACCAACACTGCTGTGCACTCCGTGTGAAGCAGAAATGAAGGGGAAAAAAAAAAAAAAAAAAAAGTTTCATTTATGCGAGTTGGATATATTTTTTTCCATTATATACATACTTCAACTATGAGACAATCTTATAGACGGTAAATTGTAATAATAATGAGGTGTTAATGGTAATAAGGTGTATGCATTTGAAAACGAGTCTATCTTGAGCACTTCATCTTTTTCTATAACATAAGTATCATATGGGTAATTTACTGGTATTATGTCGTTATGGGAGAAATAGTTTGAGGGAATTTTTTTTTTTAAATTGTTACGAGTGTGTTTAAAGTACGTATAACCTTTTGAAATTTCACAATGTGTAATGTATTTTGCTGAATTTTCTTCTTTGTGTGGCACGAATTTTATTTCTCTTTTTACTTCTCTTTTTATTTCTCTTTTTACTTCTCTTTTTATTTCTCTTTTTATTTCTCTTTTTATTTTCCCTTTATTATTATTGGTAATGCTCTTACACTTATAATGTGTGCATAATTTGAAAAAAAAAAATTTCAATAACTTCTTCACGTGTAAATTTGCTATTGCCTCAATTTTTATTATTCCATATATTTTTTTAAATCCTTTGAAAAATTTAAGTCTTCCATTATTCTCCTTAACATGTTTCTTCCTTTTAGATTTACAATATAATTCGTTAAATAATTTAACAAAATTTGACTTGATGTTTCGTTCTATATGCCACAACTTAATGCAATCATTTTGTTTTGCGTCCGATTTTAGTTTGTCCCTAATTTGGTTTTTGTCCCTAACTTGATTTTTGTCCCTAACTTGGTTTTTGTCACTAATTTTTATTTTATCAAATGCATATCTTAGCAAGATTTTATGGCTAAAGGCTTTGTTAAGAATTTCGATTCCTCTTCCTGTTTTGAGTGTACTCATAACTAGTTCTTTCCCTTCCTCAAATGTTAGGAAACGTTTTCTCAATTTCGCGCTAACTTTTAACAGGGGGGAAAATCGTCAAATGTTTGGGAAATAAAAAAAATGAAACGTGAAAAAATGTGAAGAAATGTGAAGAAACGTGAAAAAGTGTGAAGAAACGTGAAAAAGTGTGAAGAAACGTGAAAAAATGTGAAAAAATGTGAAAAAGTGTGAAAAAATGTGAAAAAAAAAATATGAATAAACAAATTTGCTTGAGTCTACTCCTTTGAACACATCCACACTATGTCACTTAAGAAGACGTGAGACGAAAAATTGGGTAGCGTACATGCAATTCACATATACAATGTGGAAATGTATGTAGAACTCATGATGGTGCATATATAACTCACGACAGCCTCTGTACACACACACACACACATACCTGTGGTGTATCCTCTAGGGTTCAGAACTCCTTCCATGTCTTGTGTCTTTTTTCGATTTCAAGTCATTTGAAGTTTTTCTAATTGGTTTTTCACCTCAAGGAAGTATTATATATTTCCACACTTGTATGTACATGAAATTCAACTTTGTTTACTTTTCCCATTTTATAAATTGAAAATACTGTTTAAAACTGCTCAGATTAAATCTCTACATAACATGCTTAACTTTAGGTATTTTAAAAAATTGTATCCAAAAGTGAAAGATCGAGAGACAGAAAAATGTGGTAAAATTTGGGTCATTTATTCTCACATGGATGAAAAAAAGGACACAGGCGTGGATATAAAAATTGGACAGAAATTTCAAAAATTATAAAATGGAAAAAAAAAAAAAAAAAAAAAGGTCATTCCATTAGCAAAGCCATGTATATTGTGTTAATCTTTTTTCTTTTTTTTCTTTTTTTTCTTTTTTTTCTTTTTTTTCTTTTTTTTCTTTTTTTCCCCCTTTTTTTTTTTTCCTTAATTTTCCCTTTTCTCGTGTCCCTTTATACATTATAAAAGTTTTACTCATTTTTTACGTTATGATTTATCGTTTTTTTGGAGTTGAAGGATAAAAAAAAAAAAAAATTCAGTTTTCTTCTACACACAACACATGCAACTTTGTTCGAGGTTTGCAATATTCACATGATTGTCTTACATAAATGAACATGTGGTAAAGACTCAATGCAGATAAAAAATAAATAAAAATATATACATAGGTACGTACGTACGTATATATATATATATATATATATATATATATATATATGTAATATGCTCATGGGATGGCCTGCATGGGAAGGAAATTCCTTGCTTGAGAATAAATGCATGCACACATATGTGAGTAGTGTATATATATGTACAAATTTTCTAAAAATAAACTCCACCATTTAATGCATCTTTGTATTCCTCATTAAAAATACAAAAAAAAATTTCATTCTGCGCCAAAATATGTCTCCCTTTTTTCGCTACTCACCAAACGACATCTCTCCATGCGTGTATACGAATTGTATGCTTTTAAAATTTTTGGAAAAAAAAATGTTTACTTTCAACTTACAAATAATATACGTTATTAGAAAAAAAAAAATAAAATAAATAAATAAATAGCCTTGCTTGTGTTTGATTTCTCAGTTATGAATCAAATCGTGTACAAAAACAAAAACAGAGTTTACATAATTTAGCGAGAAAATATCCCATGTCATTATTCTCCCATCTGCTTTAACAAAATAAATGTTTCCAGTTTTGAAATTACCACCCCTCCTCCTCCTCCCACTTTCTTTATTTAAACCAATGATTTCAATTTTAAAGATTCCTTTTCATATCTGGAGTTTTTTTAAAACATCTCTTCACTAACCACAAAAGAATAAGGAGTTACGTTTGACACTCCATTTTATATACTTATCCACATTTTGTGCATAAAAATGAATCCCCTTTTCTCTGGTACTGCATTTTAACTGCTTAACACGTGCTATACATATATGTATTTTCCATAATTTGAATAATCTTTTCATTTTTCTTCTTTTTTTTTTTTTTTTTTTATTCTATCTCTCAAATTCGTGTAACACTGTGTGCAAGTTTAACCGCTTAATCCCCTTCATTAAGAAAATATTCCTCAGGTAAGTGGGCTTAGAAAATATTTAAGTGGTACTTACTCATCATTTTGTAAAATTACATGGACACGTGGAATGGAGGATATTACATAATCTTTCTTCCTGATTTGTTGGGAGGAAAAAAAAAAAAAAAAATAAAAAAATAGCTAATTCTTCCAAAGTGAATGGGAGAAATATTCCACACAACTATCAAGAAAGTACTACTACTTTTCACCCATCTTAACGTTTATATATATAACTTCACCACATGTGATAAATACAGGGAGACCTTATAATCACCCTTTTTTTCTTTAATTCTAAAAGAGTATATATAGAAGGCCCGTAAAGTGGGTTTACTCTGGGTCCTCTTTATACCTTTATATATATATATATTTATTTTTTCTCTTCTTCCTATTCTTCCAATTCTTGTAACAACAAATGATGTTTTTTTTTTTTTTCCTCCCCCAAACAAAAGCAGTATACATATTACAAGAAGCGGCTTCTTCTCCTCATTCTTAATAACAATTTGATGTTTTGATTTTCCTTATGGATATATAAAATTCATCTTCCTCGATACTACTATCACGAGAACTTTTATTTTGTCAGACGTTTCTGTTTTCACTTTTGCCTCTTCAAAATTCCCAAGTTTTTCCCTTTTCTCACCTGCGTAACCAAACGGTTCAGACAAATCCTCCTACACATGTACAGACACCATATTAATACTCGAGTTATATAAGATCCCATATGCATTGTATTATTTGAATCCTTTACACGAGGAGAGATTTTTATGTCTATTATGTTCGTTCTTCACACTTGAATTATCATTATCACCCCTCCCATTTTTACAAAGGGAATGTGGAAACATATCTGCATTTCTCATATATGAACTAATCAAGTCTCCACTAAAATTAGCTTCCAATAAATTAGTGTTCGTATGATTCATATCCATGGTGCTTATCTGATTTGTTCCATCTCTATCATCTCCCATAACACTGTTGTTGTAGTACATAAAATTAGGACTCATAAATTTGTTCCTGTTTCCTGAGTGTGATTGAATCTCATCATACATAGATAAATTATCAGATAAGGAATTTTTATTATTCATGGAATAATCATTAATTTGAGATAAATGACTCATGTTATTTATGTATGAATTTAATACATGGTTTTTTCCTTTTTCTCCATACCTGTTATTCATGTAGCTCATGAAATCTTTATTCATCACGTCATCACTACAATAGCTAAGATTTGACATGTTCATGTCCATAAATGTTTTCTTCTTTTCCTTTTTCAATTTTCCATTATATGCGTTCCTATCTCTGCCATGTTCGCCACCTCCATCACGTCTACCACTTCTTCCACTTCTGCCATCCCCACTACTGTCTTCTCCCCACCCAATGTCATGCATGTATGACCCTGTTGGAAGAAGACCTGCAGAGAATTTATCCCTTCTGTCAAGTCGCTCATGAGGCATGAAATAACTGAAATTTATATACCTCGAAGGTTGTTTGGTAGGGGTTGGAATAAAAATATTCAACGGTTTCAAATTTGATAAGCATCCCTCAACAATTAAATCTTTTTTTTTAAACTGACTTAGTAGATTAATCCAAACAGAATTGACATTTGTAATTGTTTCATTTGAATTGTGTGATTTTTTCAAAATAACATGATGTCTAGATAATACTTTTGCATTACCACATATGATCAATCCATATTTAGCTCTAGTCAAAGCTACATTTAACCTTCTGGGATCATTTAAAAAACCAATACCTAACTTTTTATTCGATCTAACACAAGAGAGTAAAATGAAATCCTTTTCTCTTCCTTGAAATGCATCAACTGATGCTACTTCTATTTCTGCTGAATGTTGATATGAAATGTTTTTCTGAAATAAAGATGTAATATATGCTCTTTGACCTTCATAAGGTGTTATAACACCTATTTGGCTTGGTTTCAAACCACATCTAATTAAAGTCCTAACTAGCTTTTCCATATTCGATGCTTCAGCTCTGTTTAAGTAGCTAGTTCCAGATGCTGACATTTCTTCTAATCCAGTTGAATTGTAAAAGAACATTGGACATTTAGGATTGGGCCATGGAAAATCTTTCAATGGATATTCTCTTTCTTTCAATGTAATACCATTTTGTAAACAACCATCATAAAAAACATAAGATGGAAATTCACTTAACGCTGGGTGCATACGATATTGTACTTCTAATCTAAAAGGTGTAATTCCTAACATTACTAATCTTTCGAATAAACTTTTACCCAATCCTGCATTTGCAGCTTTTTTGCAAACGATTATTGGACCTAGTTGACAATGATCTCCAACTAAAACTATCTGTTTTGCACCTGTAACTAGCGGAACTAAGCTTTCGGGTTCTGTTGACTGTGTTGCTTCATCTACTAATACTTGACTAAAACGGAATCGCTTCAATCTTTTATCCATAGAACCCACACATGTAGTACATATAACATCAGCATCTAACAATATTTTGTATTCTGCAAAAAAAATTAATTTTTTTAATCTTCTTTCATCTTTTTGTGATAATTCTCCTACTTCTTCTTTCAATTCAAGTAACTTGTTTAATTCTTCCCCTACATCTGACTTTAATAATTTCATCTGATTGTGCAAGTACAAATAATCAGCAATACTTGGCACATATTCTCTACTCTTAGCACATAATCGAACCACTTTTAAACCTGTTTTATGTATCCTTACTGATAACTGATCTACTGCAACATTACTTGGAGCTGTAACTAAAACTTTTCCCATCTTACTTTTCGATAAATGGTAAACCAATGTTGCACATGTTAATGTTTTTCCTGTTCCTGGAGGACCTTGAATCAGAGACAGGGGAGAAATTAAACTTTTTTTAATTGCATCTATTTGTGAATGATTTAATGGGGCTAAATTAGGAGCAGAATAGTTAACAATTCGGAGGTTACGTTTCCCACTTATATGATTACTAAGCATGCTTTTGTAATAATTTAATGATTCTTCTGATACATCATGACCTAGTAGTTTATGATATAAATAACCACTTACAGAGTACGAATTTTTTGCAAATTCATTTAAAGCTAATTGCATTCGATCATATGCTGTACTTTTCCAAACAAATTCAACTGTATATCCATTAGTTATATTATACATCCACGGCCCATTAGATGTATTAGATGTTCTTAATTCTAATGCAATTTCTTCTGTATTCTGTATTCTTGAAATATGCCCTTCACAATTCCATACATTTCCATTTGGATAGGTATAAGATAATTTTAATTCATCTCCTGCTACTAATCTTAGTTCACTTTCTTCTTTTACATAAATAAAATGTGCATATCTTTTTTTATTTAATCCTATGTCCCACCTTACACTTACATTTGTTTGTTTCTGTCCCTCCTTTATAGATTTATCATAATCTGCTTCTAACTGAATCAATGGTGCAAATATGGATTGATAATGATATGCATCTTTATATCTTAATTCCACTTTCGCTGGTTCATCATCTAATATTTCTGCATCTAATTCGTTTATATATACATCTTTTTTGTTTTTCCATAATTCTTCCAATTTGTTTACATTATAAGATGTTGTTTTCTTCCCTCTTTTTTCAGCTTCTTCTGCTGTTGGAATGTTTACTAGCCAATCTAATAAACACCTATCTTCAATCACAGGTTGCCATTTACTTAAATCCCAGTCCTTCATCTTTATTAATTCTTTTAAGCTGTTTCCAAAACTACAACTACTGTTACTACTGCTGCCAATGCTGCTACCAATGCTGCTGCCACTACTGCTGCCACTATTGCACTCAGTCCATGCACCGCTCCTATCATTATCTTCTCCCGAGTCTACTTTGTTCTCACTTCCATACATTGAACTTCTTTTTTCATCTTTTCCTTTTTCTACATTCTTCTCACTTTTGCATCTCTTCTCCCCATAGTTGTGCATGACATCCTTCTCATCATGTTCATTGTTGCTCCACCCATTGCCTTCACTGCTTATGTATTCTTTCCTTTTCATCCCATCAATGTCTTCATTCGGTAGGTGCATATGCCCAAGCTCATTTTCATTCTCATTATCATTTTCATCGCTAACGTTAATTCCATAATGTGCATGGAATCTTTCATCAGGTGAATCTTTTTTTTTCTTCTTTTTTTTCCTTTTTTTTTTTTTTTTTTTGCTTTCTTCAAACAGAGTGCCATTTTTTCCAGTATTACGTGGTTCCATTCGGTTCTGTTCCAATTTCTTGTCAGGTCGCTCCTTACCCTTATCGCTCATGGAAATGCATCTTGCCAAACATGGGTCCCTGCAAATGATAACGACAACTCCCTCCTCAGGTGTTGGTAGAAAACCAAGTAAAAACACATTTTTGCATCCACAATTGTAGCATTCCAAAATAGTTTCCCCTAGTAAACTTTTTTTGTGCAATTTAATTTCTTTATGTTTCGATCTCACCAAATGTGTTACTATGTGACTACCACACGTGCCGTAAGATCCATTGCAGAACCATCTACTACATGTGTTACATTGAACTACACTGTCAACAGAATCCATTTCACAGTAACGACATCTATAATATTTTAATGCTCCTTTATCTGACTTGTTCATACATTTTATATCACCACTGTAGCTATACATGTCATCACAGTTACTGTTGGAGTATTCGCTATATTCTCTTGAGTATTTTTTCGAGTCATTAAATTCTTCGTCCTTTTTTTTCCTATCCATTTTGTAATCTTCCCTCGATGTGTTCCTATACTGATTCGATGTGCTCCCTCCGCCCTTGCTTCTTTCTCCCACCGAATAGCCATTGCTCTTGTTATTACTACTGTTGTTCTCACCATTGTTCTTGTTCCTGCTTCTGCTGTTGCTTCTGCTGTTGCTTCTGCTGTTGCTTCTTCTGCTGCTTCTGCTGTTGCTCCTTCTTCTCCTGCTGTTGTTATGACTTTTCTTCTTTCCTTTCTTAAATCTGCCGGAGTTCCATCCATCATAATCATTTTCATCATCCATGAAAATTCCTCCTTTCATTTCACCTTCAAAATCAATATGCTCATCAGCGTCTATAGAACCATGGGCACGATTGCACTTTTGCTCTAATGTAAAAGATGCTATATCAAATGGATATCCATCCTCCTCCGGTAGAGAATCTAATCTCTTTTCATTAGAAATGTTACAAGAACGATGTGTTGGCTTTCTACTTTTCTTATTAATTCTTTGCTTTCCTTGTGTTTTTTCCTTTTTACTTTCTCCTTTATATCTCGTACTACTGTTATCTGATGAATTAACTGTGTCATCTATGCTATTAGTGCCACTTTTTACACCCATCTCGTGAAATTCTTCTGAAATTTTCTTTTCATTTTTTTTTTTATTTTTTTTATCATTCCGGTTGCAGAAATCATAGAAATCATCGAAATCGTTCACATCCATTTGGTTATAGTCGAATGTGCTGTCCATGATTATGCAATATTTTTGCGCCCGCAGAGAATCACTTAAATGGGTGTGCACGTGGAGACTTAATTATTCACTTCGAACTCTGCTACAAACCCTGCTACTAACTCTGCTTCGAATTATTCTTCTACTCGTTCTGAATCCGTTCTCAATTCGGTCCAAATTCGATCCAAATTTGGTCAAAATTCGGGCAAAATTCGTTCGCGTGTCTGTGTGCACTACGCAACTTTTCGATTTTTGTGCTTATTGTATTTGTGTACTATTTTACACACCCGTGCAGCAGTTCACAAATGAATGGGCTTTCGGTCTCAGCGTCATACAAAAAAAAAAAAAAAAAAAAAAAAAAAAAAAACATACATGCAGGAGTGCACAGATATATACGTACATGCATACATTCATACATGCGTACATATATGCATGATTACATTCGTACATACAAGTATAGTTCCTCTTTCACAATATAGCGGGACTTATATCCCTATCAAGTAATTTATTACAAGTTTAGGAATACCTACGGTGATAAGCAAAAGTAAAAAAAAAAAAAAAATAAAAATAATAATAAAATATGCCAATCTACAGGACAGCATAAAAGCACGTGCGAAATGCATTAATTGGAAAACACTTCATGTGCTATTCATGAACGTTCAAAAGTTCAAACGTTCAAAAGTTCAAACGTTCAAACGTCCAAACGTTCAAATGTACATATGTACATGTGTACACGTATGTATACACGTAATTGTACGCGGGTTTATACTTGGAGGCTGTGGGAATTTATCCAGTTTGCACTTTATTCCTTTCGCTCTTATTTTCCTTTAAGGTGCAATAAAAAATGAGCATGGCCTTATGTGTCACATTATATTTTTTTTGATTTTTTTTTTTTTTTTTTTTTTGTTACACATAACACATTTGTGAGTTTATCGATATGGGTAAATGCTTCGTGTATTTTTTTTTTTTTTTTCCCAACTTATTTATTCTCTCACTCATACAAATACATTTTTTATGTATCATCAAAAAGTATCTCCCTTTTGTTCATTTCGGTAGAGAAATATTTTTCTTGTTGAATTTTCTGATAAATACAAAATTGTCATAACAGGCATTAGGAAGGGGTGTAGGAAACAAAATTGAGAACAACAAAGGTTGAGCAAAATTTAAAAATATATTTTTTGAACCATATAAAAATTATACGTTCAGAATATTTTTACGTTTTCATTTCACAGTTACTCAATTTGTGTGCTTAATAAAGGAGAAAAGGGGAGTGGGGGAGGGAAAACAATATATATTTTTTTTTTTTTTTTTCTTTTTACCTTTCACAAGTATTAGGGGAGAGGTATGTAAATAATGGTGATAAATCATACACCTCTTACAGGTACGTATTATTATCATACGTGTGAAAACAGAATTCGTGATGGCAATTAACCCATACACAAGTTCTGCTTAATTTAGTGGTAACGGAAAAGAAATGTTCTTAAGTTTAACACTACCTCGATTATATTAGTCATATAAGCTGATGAATTCCTATATATATATATATATCTGTTTTGCTTTGACTTCTCAATATCATCCCTTTAACCAGGCCTTATAAAGTTCAGCAAACTGATTAATCTATGAAGTTATATTTTCACATGCTTGTTAAGCTTGTGGCGTGGAAAGTATACACAAATATGCACATAAATATGTATATGCATAAATACGTATATACATATGTATACGTATGTATAATTTTTTGTAAAAAGAGAAAAAAAAAAAAAAAAAAAATCTATAAAAGCTCCATTTATCATTCGTGGTTAACTATGCGTGGAAAAAAAAAAAAAAAAAATATATTCATACTTGTACGCACTTGCATCATCTTTTTAAGGTCTCTATATATTTTTGTAATTTATTATATTTTTTAATTTATCATAAGTAAGCAGCTTAAAACGTTCAGCGTTTTTTCCTTATTTTTTTTTTATACTTTATCATGATATGATAGGAAATGTTTACCTCCTATTGCATTCTTTTTATTTTTGCAATGGTGGCAAGTTTATGTGCATACAACCTGGTTATATGTTTTCGGATCATGAGGTTTGGGTCATAAGTTTTTCCATATACCACACAAGTACATACTTACACGTACTTCTTATATATGCATGTTGTACTTTATCATAAACACTTCTTATGTGAAGTGTACGTCCCGCGTCAATTTTTTTTTTTTTTTTTTTCTTTTACTCGAGTCCATCCACCCTATGCATTCTCCAACATTACCAAATGGAAGAAGCGGTAGTATAGTGTATATTTTTTTTTTTTTTACAAAAACGTGCCTTTCCACTTTTAAAGAACGCCCCCTTTCGAGATTTAAAAAGTGCTGCTTTCATTTTGTAGAATTCTTTCTTTTTTTTGTACATTCAAGTTCATACTGTACAGACTGCATTTACAGCATATAAGAAAAAGAAGCAAAGGGGTGAGGGGAGTGGAGAAAATAAGTTCACAAATTTATTTGTATTCAGTTTTAAAACATGTACATAATAAGCAATTGGATAACAGATCCGGTTTGTATATTTACATATACATTCTGTACACCCGTTTGAAGGCATATATATATATATATATATATATATATATATATATACTTCTTTTTTCTTTTTTTTTAAAAAAACATACAATTTCGTATGAACAGACATATAATATGCCTTATTACAATTCTTCTCTTACACATTCTCATTTGTGCTAAAATAATGTGCATATTTCTCACAAATCGCTAGTCTAAAAAAAAAAAAAAAAAATTATTGTGCATAAGCATTTGTAGAATAACTGTATTATCAGCAAGGGAATACACTTAAGTTAAGTGTGTGGGTATTTGCTTAATCATACATATACTTCTCATATATCATAACTGAAAAAGTAGAAAAAATAAATGAGGCAAAAAAAGAGAACATTTTCCTTTCTTGCTTCCTTCTTCCTTACATGAAAAAATTTGCAGACATTAACGATAAGAAGACTGTGGAGGAAAAAAAACAAAAACAAAAACACAAAGCTTAAGTTCTTTCATGCGTAACTGCTTTCATGCGTAACTGCTTTCATGCGTAACTGCTTTCATGCGTAACTGCTTTCATGCGTAACTGCTTTTATGCTTATCTGCCTTCATGCTTAACTGCGTTCTTGCATAATCACACACGCAGACATGCACATGTCAGAGCAAAAATTTATGAACGTTCAGGCGGTTTTACACACATATATGCACATTCACGTGTACATATACGCATGAACGTACATGTAAAAAAAAAAAATATATATTAATCGGTAAGGCGCAGTACCACAAAACACAGGCAACAAGGAACAGCAGCAGGAAATACAACAATACGCAATTTGAAAGAAATAAGTGAAACAAAAATAAAAAAATAAAAAAAAAAGATGATGGAAACAATTAATTCGAAATAGAGAAACAAAGAGAAATCCTTAAAGAGAAGATCAAAACCGTGTAGCCATACCTTTTAGTGTCAATAACTAAATTGTATATGTTCGAAATGATAAGATGATAAAATGATATCTACAATAATTCTGATACTGTATAGTTTGTTTATATGTAACACATTCATTGGAATATTTCTCCTTTGATTGTTTTTCAAGAATTCACCACTTTGTAACTGCACATTGTGAAAAAAGTGGAAGAATTAATTTACCTTTTCTCCTTTTTCTTTTTTTTTTTTATTTATTAAGCAAAAATATGAATGATTAAGTAAAAAGAACAAGACCAAAGTATTCATCTTTCACATTGCAACCTTTGTTACTCATTAAAAAGTATATTTTTTCCCATTTTGCCCATTTTTTTTTCAAGAGCTACCTAATTTGAAAACAAACTCGCGGTTATTTAAAATATGGTAATGGTTGAGAGAACAGTGAAGAACAAAAAAAAAAATAAAAATTGTTGAAAGGTGAATATAATATTCAAAGTATAAAAAAAAAAAAAAAAAAAATGTGCACAAAAAATAAAGCGGTGTGTCTACTTCACAAGTACAACGTAGGAGTAAACGAATTGTATTTTTATGTACATGAAAAAAAAAAAAAAAAAAAAAAAAAAAAGAGTGTTCACATAAAAGCAATAATATGATTATTAAGGTAAAAAGTTATACACAAAATTACGGTTGACATAAAAAATTTTCTGCAAGCATATATCATAACATGAAATATAGATAATTCATATAATGACAATTACAAATCAAATTGCTCAGAGAACAAAAATTTTAACATAAATGGATTTGAATTTTTTTTTAGAGATGTGACAATTTTATTATATGATAATTTTTCTTACGTTATCTTATTATTTCTTCTTATTTTTATGCACCTTTACATGTGCGTCAGCAACAATCTTATTTGCTGCATGTCCTTCTTTTTGTATGTGTGCAAATAATTTATTTCTCGAATAAAAGGTCTGTTTACACATTTTGCATACCAAACTTTTTGCACTTTCTTTCATTTTACAGTTTGAATTACCATTTCCTCTTATGTCTTTATTGTCTTCTTTTTGCTCCGATATGTTTTTTATTTCGTTTTCCTTCCTGTTAATTACCTCTTTTTTCTTTTTCTTTTTTAACAATTTCTTTTTTCTCTTAAAGGATTCATAATCGTCGCTTGAGTCAGTAATGTTTACCTCCTTCTGCTGGGGATTAGCTTCATCCAACTGGTGCTTCACATCTGACACATCCTCTTCTCCTGTCCCTTCTCCGGTCTCTTCTCTCGTCGCTTCCATTTCTGCATATACGAATTTATTTCGATTCCTCCTCTTTCCTCTATACCATGATAATATATCTTCATCCAGATGTGAAGACTCGGAGCTGCTGTTTCCACTCTCTCCTGAATTAATTCCACCTACCTTTCCCCCTTTCTCCTTCTTCGAACTTTTCTTCACTTCTTTTTTGGGATCATCGTCTGTTTTGCCCATTTCCAAATTGTTTGAATCCTTCCCTTCATCCTCCATTTCATCTGACACTTCCCCGATTGAACTTTCTTTCGAATGAACACGGGGATTCCCAAGGTTTGCTCCAAAAATATCCCCCGTTGCATACCTCTTGGCATGCTTTAAAAAATTGTTCTTATGCTTTTTACTCTTTTCATGAGAATTATACTGTTTCATGCTTTTGAAATTTTTTCTGCATACTTCACATCTGTAGATGATTTCCCCATAAGAGTTATCATTTATCACCTCCTGATGGTATTCATAATAAGCTTTATCATTTTTTTTGTCAAACTGATTTTCTTTCGTTTGATTACTGCTTTTATGTTTGTACTGTTTACCATCTAAATCGTTCCCCTTTAGGATGTCTGATTGATTGTGGGTATTACTTTTCTTATTTTCCATTTTTCTTGAGCAAGAATCTGCACTTGATTGGTTTGCTTCTCCTTCTAGTTCTGCTTCTTCTCCTTCTTCTGCTTCTCCTCCTTCTTCTGCTTCTTCTGCTTCTTCTCCTTCTTGTTCTACTTCTCCCTGGTCCTGATCTGTGTGCTCACGTTTCACCTCATTTTGATAAAAAAGTAACTTCCTCCGAAGCATTTGTTCCCTTTTTTGCTTTTCTTTCTCTTGGATTTTTTTCCTTTTCTGTTCTGAAATTTCTACTACCCGGTTTAAGTACCTAGTGTCATGTCTCTTCAAATACTGAATAAGAGATCTTATATTTTCATTATATTCTTTTTTCTCTTTTAAACTTCTTTTTTCTGCAATTTTTTTTAAATTTCTTCTAACATGCCTATTTTCTTGTTCAAAAGTCTTTAAATATTCATATGAATAATCAAATTTTTTAATCGTTGAAAAATTAGACCAGTATTCATAAAATTCATCAATCTCTTTACCACACGATTTGGAATTACCAAATGATGGGGTTATAATTTTCTCTTTTCCATTTTTACCATAATGTCTATTCAATTCATCATTTTCTTCTTTTGTTATTTCTTCAAATAATTTTTTATAAACATTATAAAAACTTTTCTCATTATTATCATCAAATCCTTCATAACAATTGTTGCTGAAATATTCCCAAATATTTATTCCATCTGTGTTACTACTACTTTCGCTGTTATCTTCTCCATCTGTGCTTTCTTGGTTTGTTTTGTTTTCTTTTTTTTTTTTCTTGTTTTTTTTTTCTTCCTTTTCTTTCCCTTCAATTATTTTCACACGATTTTTATCATACCATTTCCTTCTCCTTTCATCAATTAAACATTCATATGCTTCTTGAATTTGTCGAAATATGTTAGTGCATCTCTTTTGTTCATCCTCTGATAAATGTGAATTCTTATCTGGATGATATTGCAGAATTATTTTTTTGTAACTCTTTTTTATTTCCTCAGCACTAGCTGTCTTTTCAACCTTTAATATTTCGTAATAACATTTGCATTTTTCAATATCCATACTTGCTTATTCTTGGGATCTTCATTTGGAATGTTTATAAAAAAAAAAAAAAAAAAAAAAAAAGGGGAAAAACACCGATATTCGTTTTTTTTTTTTTTTTTTTTTTATATCTGAATCTGCTTTTTCTATTTTATGAATGAAACACTACAAGAGGTATGTTCTTTTCCTTTTTAAATCTTCTTTCATATCTTATATTTAATATTCTATGGGATCTTTTCACTTCAAATCCAAATGTGGTGCTTAAGCCACGAATACTCAAACACTAGTTGAATAAATTTCGATCAAATATAAAACAAAGTATCAAAAGCGGCATGTTCACAATATGTGTATATGTAGATATAACTACACACATGTGTTTGCAATTTTTGTTGCCATGTACAAGCAAACCAAAAAAAAAAAAAAAAAAAAAAATTCTTAAAAAATGATGAGAGAAACGGGAGCAATGGTAAACGCTAAGTTTCTCTCACGTATAATATATCTCTCTTCTGATTTGGGCTCCTTTCCACCACTTGAAACTGGCATAACAAATAGAAAAGTTCCCGAACAAGCAAGTTATTTTGTTTTCCTCATACACGATACATTTCTTCTTACATTATCAAGTTATATATATATATATATATATATATACTGCAGCAAAATGGTGAAGTGTGTTCAATTCTTATGACATTAAGTAGGATATGAGATGCGTATACGCTTGATAATTTGCATCTTAACATATTTATGTTTATATTTTTTTTTTTTTTTTTTTTTTCATCTATTTTATCGTAGTGCACTTTCAAAGATATGTCGTTTTCTTCTCGTAAAGTTATTATCTAATTCAATTTTTTATTTATGCCGATGTATTTTTTTTTTTTTTTTTTTGGGGCGCGGTAGGGAGGGGGCCAATCCTCCTGGCTCCAGTGTTCAGTAACGTGTCACTTTGATGGGTCATTTCCTCAAGGACTCTCTTTCTGAATTAATAAAAATTGTTTAAGAATATACATTTGCTAGTGAACAAGTGTTCATACCTAAAAATACACATATAATTATATATGCTGCAAATTTTTTTTTTTTTTTTCAATTTCTTCCTCTTTTTGTTTTTACAGGAAACGGAAAAGTACTATTGGGTGTGTAGCTTCGTCTAAACCCTATGGGATTTCTTACACTTGAGCCATTACATATTATGTGTAAATATAAGAATAAATATGTTTATACATTTATGTAAATTCACATTAATTCATTTTGTGCACGACTCTGCCTGCGCTTATTACCCCCAGAGTCAGTCCATAATTCCCCAAATTGAATGCCAATTAAATTAAATTAAATGTGCCATACATCCTATAAGCTCATCAGCCTCTTTTTCAATTTGGTTGAGTACCCTTTTAGAAATCCCCATATTTTTTAAAATAATATCATTTGCATTATTTGCTTCGAAACGAAAACGAAAACGAAAACGAAAACAAAAAAAAAAAAAGGCGAAGAAAGTGAAAAAAAAAAAAAAAAATTTATAAACAAATAGATATTCACATAATTTTTAAAATTAAACATGTTTGCAATCGTGCTATCATATTTTCATGTGTCGAATTTCCATCTTTTAAATATTTTTCTACAATTAAAGTTGTTATATATATATATATACAGTGAGGGATGGACAAAAAGGCTCATCAAACGGCATCTTCCCATCTCACTTCTCCCTCTACCCTCTTCTCACCTCACCTCGACACAAGCAATTGCTTATTTGCTAACGCGTGGTCAATGACTGATGCATTGACAATGTCGTCCTGCACAATGGTATAGAATTTTTTTTGAAAAGCCACCAAAGAACTGTTCTTCTTGATAGACAAATCGTCAATGGACATGTTCATAAGAACCCGTATTTCTGCTAATAAGTAGCTCAAAACAGAACCCGCATAATAACAAGAAAAGTGATATGGAAAACTTGTTGAATGTATGGAATAGGTAGATGAAATTTTGTAAGGAAAATATTTTTCTATAATATCATAAAAAGGAAGAAGCAATGAGTTATCTTCACTAATATCTTTTTTATTATTTTCCAAACTGTTGGAAAAAAATAAATTATACGGATTTAAGTCATGTATCTCATAATCTATCACAGAATGTGTATAGATGTTAGCTAACCGAGATGAATCAAATTTAATCGATTTAAATATATGCTCATTTATTTTAGAATTGTCATCAACCTTATTTGATAAATTGTATAAGACACTGTAATTATTTGCTAAATGTTCATTCATATGTGAAAAAAATTCAGCATAATCTAATGGCATATTTGAAAATTGATATAAAGAATACCTTCTTGATAATAATAATAAATGATATGCATGCCCAAATTCGTGAAATATTGTTAAAATTTCAGAACTACTGAATAGCTTCTTATCAATTGGCATCGTTCCGATAAATTTATAATCCAATACTACATGTCCTTTGCATATTAAGCATGTATTTGATAAACAATTCATCGATGGAACTTTAAAATAATCCATAAGTTTTATATCCATATATGGTATTATGTACATGTAACCGAGTAATTTTACATCTCCTTCTAGTTCCTTTCGGTAATTTTCTACTCCTAATGGAATTCTTGTTAATAGAGGGGTTGTTCTTGAAGATATGGAACCCCATACCTTATCATTGTTATTTGAATCTTTTAGATTTATTCTATATATGAGACTGCCTTTTGGCCATTTTCTCAAAACTTCTTTGTCTTCAACCATTTCATATGAAAAGTTGTAAATCCTTGAGATAATTCTGATGAAATTTTTCCAAATATGTGCATGCGGGAAGAATGTGTTTACGAAATATTCGTCTGACTTGTTCATAATTTTGTTATAGTAATAACTCCAATCGTGCATGAATAGTTTACCTTTAGATAAATCTTTGCATAATTTGTTACCTCTATCTGCTTCTCTTCCCAGTTGTGCATTTCCAATGCATGCCTTTGAATAGGCCATCTTTACTATGTTTGCATTTATACGTTCATAATCTCCATCCACTTTTTCTTTTACTACATTAAAAAAATCCTTTAATTTGTTGTATTTATCCTTTTCGCTAGTAAAGTGAGACATAGAATATTGAACCCAATTTTTATATCCCAATTTTGTAGCTATGTCATACCTTTTTTTTAATATATTTATTATGTCTTTGTTTAAATTTCCTTTTTTATAAGGACTGTTCAGAAGATCCAAAACCTTTTCCCTTAATGAGGATTCATTTATTCCATTTAAAATGAATTCGTAGTTGTGTTTACTTATGGGGATTCTAAGCTTCTTCTTATCAAATGTGCATTCATGTTTTTTCTTCCAATCTTCATCTATACTTATTTCATGCCTGCCTATTGTTAAGTATCTGCAAAAGTGATAGTGAGAAGTTAGAATGGAGAAAAATTTTTTGATGAGGATAAGAAGAAAAGTTACACTCGAAATTATCTGTGAACTTAAAAAAAAAAAAAAAAAAAATTATCACATGACCCTACTACTTCCATTAACATTATGTACTTGGAAAATATTTGACATAGAAGAAAAATCGATACCAACCTTATCTTAACTCCATTTATTTTCCTCAAGTAGTTGGAACAATCCATGGATAGCTCGCCCACCAATGTGCTAACTGATTTTTCATTTTTTATGTGTATAGTGTAAGGAATAAATTTCCTATCTACAGTTTCAACTCCAATGTTGTGTATATGCTTAGCAATATTTTCCTCAATATATTCAAGGGCTCTCCTTTGGAAATATGAAATTTTTTTTAACTTTGCACATGTTATTAGAAAATAATACAAATTTAAGCAGTTTTGTACAATTATTTGGTTTTTCCTTTTCTCATTTGTTGTTTCTACTGTCCTGGTTATACTAATAAGCTTATGAATTTCTTTTGATGTGAAGAAAAAGTTTATGCATTTTTTGTCTATAGGATAGCTTATTATTTTGGAATTCTTTACATGTTCTACAATTTCTTCACGTAGTTTTCTCTCTTCCACACTACATAAAATTGGAGATATTTTTGAAAAAAAAACAAAAATCCATTTATTTATCAAAAAATTTATTCGCTTGTTCATTTTTAAGCAGCTCATTATATATTACATTATATGTTTTTCCTTTTCTCTGCCTTACTGTGTATTTTTCATTTTTTGTTTAGGGACTGGGAAAAATCAACAGCTATGCTTAATTCTTATTTTTTACTCACACAGCTCATTTCATTTTTCATTCTTATGGTTAGCATAAAAAGTGCTAAAGATTTCTTTAAAAGAACCAGCGAAATTGGAAGTCATAATTTTTTTTTTTTTTTTTTTTGCACAAAATAGCTAGCCAAGAAAAAAAAAAAACCTTAAAAATTTCAACTTTTTTTATTACATGTTAAGGCAAAAGCATGAGTATTTTTATTTTTATTTTTTTTTTTTTTTATAACCTTCACGAGATGTAGCTATGTGGAATTTCCCTGTGAATGATGTTATTTTCATGCAACTGGAGCAAATTTTGTAATACATAAAAAAAGAATGCACAGCTCCATTTGTTGTAATTTTTTAAAAGAACTAATTGAGAAAAACGTTCTTTTATCTCTTAGAACGAATTGAGAAAAATGTTCTCTTAGCTTTTAGAACTAATTGAGAAAAACGTTCTTTTATCTCTTAGAACAAAATGAGAAAAAAATGGTTTTGTCTCCGAAAAAATTAAGGGTTATGACAGGCAAGGGGGGGGGGGGGGAGTACATACCCCCCACCCCATGATCCAACCACTTTTTTGAATTTACATGTGATCAGGTGCAAATATTACATTTATTGGAAGTGTGAAAGAATGGCATTTATTTTCATAAATCTTCGTGGAGAAGTAAACACAGTTTCTCCATCGCGAAACTTAAATTATTCTGCTTTAAAAAAAAAAAAAAAACACACACACAAACATACAAACAAATAAACACACAAACATACAAACAAATAAACACACAAACATACAAACAAATAAACACACAAACATACAAACAAATAAACACACAAACATACAAACAAATAAACACACAAACACAAAAAAACACACAATTGCTCATTCTACCCGCGTATAAATATTTTTATACATCACTGTATGCATGACGATATATGTTCCCTGCAAAATGCTACACTGATGAAGTAAACAAAAACGTGAAGAGGCAAAGAAAAAAAAAAAAAAAAAAAAAAAAATTCATGAATAGAATTGAACTGAATGTTGTCTACTTGGTCTAAATGTATGTGCATTCATATACAACTACACGTATGCTTGTAATTTTTTTTTTTTTTTTTTGTTTTTTTAAAAAAAAATTCTTTCGGTATAATGAATTTGGGCATTCAATATGGTTAATTTTAATAACACATATGTAGAAGAAAAATAGTGATAAATCAAAAGGACATCTATATTGTTTTGTTCTCAGCTTGCACATGGTTGCATAAATTTTTGCTACAATTTTGTACGTTAAAAATCTAGAGATGTGTATAATTAAAATTTTTTCTTTTTTTTTTTTTTTTTTTACATATATAAAACAGTTTTTTTTTTTTTTTTTTTTTTTTTTCTTTTTTTAAACAAAACATATTTACTTTTTTTACGATAATTATCATTATGTTAATTTGTTAATTCAGAATAGAGTCTTTGAATATAGAAAAGGATAAAATGTGTATGATCATGCATGTGGATATTCGAGTTCAGCATGTGCATATATAAATACAAATATATATATAAATACATATATATATATAAATATATAAATATAATGTGCACATAGATAAGCATATACCTGTTAACATCCGTTTATGCCCATATGTGGACAACACTTCCAACTTATTTGTTTATGCAAAAACTTGCTCCGTGGATGTAACAAGGGGGGCGGGGAGAAATGTCAAAGAAAAGGGACCAAGAGCGGAAAGTGCGTCAAAAAATGAAAGGTGTATTTAGACGCGTAATATTAACAATGAAAATATTTAAAAATTATAAAAAAAAAAAAATAAAATAAAAAAGTAAAAAAAAAAAATATATTATATATAAAAATAAAATAATTTCATATCTGACCACTCTTATGATGCAGCAGGAAAAGGTTTGTCTAAAAAAAAAAAAAAAAAAAGTTAGAAGTGGTGGACATGTCGAAAGCTTGACAACCACCAGTGAGACATTCTAAACACGTTAAAAAATGATGAATGAAAATTAAAACAAAAGTATAACAACATCTTTGTTCATAACAAATGTATTATTTGAGGAGACATATTATGTGTGCATTTCTTCAAGTATTCAATTTCACATATTCTTCCTTTTTTTTTTTTTTTTTTTTTTTTTTTTTTTTTTTTTTTTTTTTTTTTTTAAATTTTTTTTTTAAAAAAAATTTTTTAATTTTTTTTTTTTTTTATTTTTTTTTTTTTTTTTTTTTTTTTTTTTTTTTTTTTTTTTTTTTTTTTTTTTTTTTTTGCTTTATCTAAATGATTTGTATAGAAAAAGATATTGAAATTATATCTTTATTAATATTTTATGAATTTTTTTTTTTTTTTTGTCTTCATGCCAACGTCTTTTATTTCAAGAATATTTCGAGTCATTCCTACACCTCCATATTATCGACAACATCCTAATTAGCAATTAATTCTAATTGATTAAAGTTTTGATGGGATGCTTTTCAGACACCTAAAGGAAATCACATAACATATATGTCTCGTTTGTCACATTTGTCACGTTTGTCACGTTTGTCACGTTTGCCACGTTTGTCTCGCTTATCCCGTTTGTATCATCGGCCATATTCATCACAGTTGTCTTACCTTCACAACTAGATTTTTTTTTTTTTGTTTTTTTAAACGGTTGGTGAAATGGGAGAAGAATAGAATTTTATCACATGTATCCAGATCATTGCATAATATTTTACAACATTTTACAGCATTTCATTTTTTTCATTACATTGTATTTTGTTGTGTTTCTCCGTTGCTGACAAACACACGAAACTACCTTTAAGGTGTTCCGTTGAGAATATCTAACAGAACAGAAGCAAGAAAACAAAAGGAGAGCTGCAAATAAAAGGACAAACCTTTTGAAGACCAATCTGAAGGACAGAACAATAGGGGTTCTTGAATATTGGACTGTTTCTTACCCATCAACAATCAAGCACTGACAAAGTGATAAAGTGACAAGGTGACAAGCTGACACACCGATACACCCCATAGGCGCACGTGTGGAGACACAAAGAAACAATTCCACGCATCCATAGGTGTCTTTTGAAAATAAACATGAACGATAACAACGAGAACCTGCTACAATTTTATGATGTTTATAAAAACGGAAGAAATAAATGGGGGATGGGATTAAATAAACTAAATTTCCATATAGATAATTACAAAACGAGCAGAACGAAATTATTTTTATATGTACTATGGAATGTCATTATATTTATATATATTCTTGAATTTTTTTTGAGTTTATTTTTTATTTTCTATGTCCCATATAGTAATATAATAAATAAAATTATCTTTTCCTTCTCAATTCTGGATTCAATTTTAGTTATTATTTTAACAAGCCAAGGAATATATGCATATTCGAATGATAACTCAACCAAATTACATAAATGTGCAAGGTATTTCCATGTCTTGAGTATATGGTGCTTTATAAAACTGATGATCTATGTTTTTCTAACAATATTATCATTTGCCTTACTGAACAGTCCAAACATAAATCATATTTTCTATTTATATGGGACCAAGGGAATTTATTTTAATTATTTCATGGAAATTATCATAACTCTCAATATTGTCAAGTCAGTTATAACCTTTTTCACAGGTACCTTATTACGTATCTGTCATTTTTTAATTTTTCCATCAATTTACATCACTCCATACTGTAGTGTATGGCTTCACACCTACCTGCTTCACTGTGATTAACTTCTAACCAGTTTATGCACTACTTATTTGCTTCTACCCTCTAACCAGCTTAGGACCAACTAAGTTACGTGTACATCCTCCCCCCTCCTTTTTTCCTGCACATGTACAGGACAAAAAATTCAGTACATCTCTAGATGCATTAGAACGTCTACAATCTTGAAAAGTAAAATTCGAAAAGATCTCGAAAAGCAATCCTTCCTATTTGAAGATCATACATACGGGACTTTCATGACAGACTTTAGGGAATAAGCAAAGGTAATTTTTTTTTTTTTTTTTTTATCAAGTTAGCCACAGTAAAAATATACGTATCAACATTTTCATATTGCATATAAGTTTAACTTTCTTTTTCTTTTTCTTTCCTTCCCAATTCACACTCTCAATTGTTTGCTTTTTCTTCTTATGCACTGTGCTTTTTTGTATATCTCTTTATTCACATTTTTGGTTTCTTCTTAATGAAGTGTAACACACAATATATGTAAACATGTGCAACTTGTTTATAAATGCCCATTCCTCTTGTTCAGTTTTGCATGTAGAATTGTTGCATCTTCTGTATATAATACCTTTTTAGGAGGCCCCAATTTTTTTTTTTTTTTTTTTTTTTTATTCTATCTTATTTGAGTTTTTTTTTGTTTTGTTTCTCCCTGGGGGTTAGCAGATATGTATCTCCCTTTGAATACATAATTTTGTGTGTATTTTCTCGTGTGCAGAAAACTTTGCAAGTGACATATCACAATTGGAGTACATTTTTCTGCTGCCTCTTATTGTTATGGTTATTCTACACATGTATGCACCTGTGGCTTGGGGGCCAAAACTTCACCTAATTTTCTTCCTCCATTTTTTCGTTCTCATATAGCTTATAAAAATAACTGCACAATTTTTTTTATTCTAATTATTTTCCTTTTTTTTTTTTTTTTTTTTTTTTTTTTTTTTCCATTTAAAAAATGCCTCTTTTGGAGGATTACCACAATTGGATATTAACTGCTTTTGGAATGGGAGCTAAATTTATTACCTTGATTAGAACAGGGAAACATTTTTTTTTTTTTTTTTTTTTTCTGGACAGGAATAACAATGGTGCATGGAGGAAAGTCCTAATTTATGCTTAAGTCCCATCGGTTGTTAAAAATTAAGAATTACAAATTGAGAATCACAAATTGAGAATCACAAATTGAGAATCACAAATTGAGAATCACAAATTGAGAATCACAAATGGAATGTGCGCGCATGGCATTTATATTTGTGCTCGTTTAGGAGAAAAACAAAACCTGGGAGAAGTCCGCAAAAAATAGAGGAGAGAAAAAAGAATCTTACAAAATTTTGTCAAATTATTAAGGTTATGAAAACGAATGTATATTGCAACCCAGGCAACAATTAACTCTATGTATGCCCACGCAGATCCTTCTCATGTGTATTTTTTGCTTTTTTACTTTTGCTCATGTTAAAAAAAAAAAAAAAAAAAAAAAAATGAAGGTGTGATGGAGAAATGGAAACATCACACACAGCCCATCCATATTGTAATCGAAACATATATAATGTAACGTGAATCATATGAATGCAGATTTCCACACAATGCCAGATTGTATGTGGATAAGTCTGCTCCTGATTGTTATTCTTTTCCAATTTGATAAATCCATTTCAGTTAAAGTTATCCCTCTTGAACCTAAATACATGAAAAAAAAACTCATGTGTAGTTATTACTCTCATGTTGGTTTGAAAAGAATCAAAATAAAATCCAAATCAAAGAACTCCACTCGTAGGAAGTTTCAACAGACTGGGAAGAATATAATCAAACATATACATTGTTGCAGCACACGCAACAAATTGATGAAAAGAAGGAATCAAAAATGGAAGAATAGCCATCAACCACCTTTGCTGGGTGTGGTGAGCCTAGCATCATCGTACTTGTCTTTAATGGTATCACGTCAGTTGCATCTAACACCATCATACTTCTATATAATGAGAATCGGTCCGAATAAAAAACGTAGGAGAAGCGTAAATGAGAATAACAATTCGAGGAAAAAATACAAAGGGAAGGAAATACAAATGATTCTAGCACCAAAAGGTTCGATGCATGAAAAAAAAACGAAAGAAATATTGGAAGATCCGCTGAATAATTACCCTTGGGAAATTAGTATTCCATTTCATGAAACGATAACAAAAGATTTAAGTCCATATTACAATTTTTTAAAATGTGAATGGGCATATATAGATCATAAAAGAGATTCGAGAAGAGCATGTGGAAAAATCGAAGGAGGAGTAGAAAATTATGATGGGAAAGGGATTAAACTAGAAAAAGGAATAGACAGACCAAGATATAATAAAATACCTTATTATGATGATCATGGAACAGAATGGAGAAATATTAATCAAGAAGAATTAATAAATTTTAATATAGATCCTGATGGAAATCAAGATCAAACATTTTTAGAAACAGAAGAAGATTTAGAATATAGACAATGGGGGAACTGGAATTACAATGCATCTAAAGAAACTACTCAGTTAAATTCAGCTTGGAGAGATCCTGTTTTGTCAAAAAGTTTAACAAATTTAATTTACCCTTGGAATCATAAAGCACATGAAAATCATATTATTCCATATGGATTTACAACTCCAGCTTTGTTCATACCAGAACCCAAAATTGAATGGGAATTGGCAGCTAGAGGATTTTTTGCTGGATATTATGAAGATCCAAATTGGCATCGAATAAAATATTATAGACAAATGAAAAAGTTAATTTTAGAATGGGAAGAAATAGGTAATAATAAATACAATTCTAATAACAATCAGATAGACAAAATTAAAATGGAACTATTTGGAATATCCAGTAAAAAGAAGTACCCTTCGAAACATATTAAGTTAATTAATGAACATGCATTGTTAAGGGCAAAAGAAATTGTACTTGATCATTTATTAAATCCAAGTGCTGATCCAGATTATATTACATATTTTCTAGATAGAAAAGAACCCATAGATTATATAGGTGGAGGAAATCATAATTGTACAGATGAAGAAATTAAAAATAAAACTGTTGTTCTTAACATGTGTGTTTATCCAGTAAAACCAAGACATGAAACATATTCCAGTAATATGTCTATCCCAGAAATGGCAGAAATGTATCATTATTATATGACTGAAATCAGAGGAGAAGGAAGATCTCATCAATCATGTGAAGATCCTGTAAATGATAAATATCAATGTTATGAATTACAAAAACAGAGAGACAAATTCCCAGCATTAGTTTCTTTATATAAACCCTTATGGACTAATAAAAAATATGGTGAAGAATTTGGAGATGCTCCTAAAAATGAACAGAAAGTCCGAATAGATCATTTATATACGTTTAATAAAAAATTAAAAATAAAAAAAAAAGTTAAATTGACTAAAGACAAAATGGATTCCTATAACTATGTCGATGATTATGAGCATGTGGATGAGCAGTATGAATTTTAAATCGCCCTGAGACTTTTTTTTTTTTTTTTTTTTTTTTTTTTTTTTTTTTTTTAACACGCTTTATCAAATCGATCATACTGATGTCTCTCATTATTAACTTGTCATTCTTCTTCAGTCTTCCACATTAACTGAAGCAAACCAAAACGTAGTACACACAATGATGGCTACCCCTGTCCCAAGTTATTGCCATATGTCAACTGCATCTGTGTTACACTTTCCCCCTCTTCTTCACTGCATCTACGCTCCCTATATGATCTTTACACAGCCCGTACACCATTTTTAACAGCTAGGAGAGAGGAGCGACCATTCACACACACATCCACACGGACAAGTGCACACACCTTATATAAGTTCCCGTTCTCCTTTTCAAAAATATGCAACAAACATGTGCATATAAATGTGTGAACTTTTTATTATTATTTTTTTAATAAATAGCTTTATTTATTGCGTTCCTAAAGGGAAGGTTATAATTTTTATACAAAAAAAAAAAAAAAAAGAATGCACATGTGAAGAAATGGAAGATTAATTAAAAGACATAGTTAGACTGAAAAATTACCTTATTTGTTTTACTTTTTTTTTTTTTTTTTTTTTTTTTTTTTTTCATTACTTAAATAATATTACAAATCTAAGAATAGAAGGTGGCGTGAAAAAAAAAAAAAAAAAAAAAAAAGACATTTCATAATATTACAATTAAATTTGTATTTTTGTTCATATGATATGAAAACATGTGTGACGTGCACTTCACACGATTTCATTATTCTATCATGTTGTTTCAAACTTATTTTGCTCTTCATCTGCATATAGTATCGTTTAAGAACACTCAGAAAAAGAAATAAAAAAAAAAAAAAATACTCTCACTAAATACCTTGAAACGCCCCGAAACTACATACATAGGAGCAAAGCTTTTCTGTTTCGATTTCCTCCTGAAATATTGGAAGACCTTTCTGAATAACGAAAATGAAGTTCCCTCTGAATTCGATTTCTTTTTCTATTGGGGCATAGAACAACTTTGAAAGGTAAAAAAAAAAAAAAAAAAATGAAATAAAATGGAATAAAGTGGAATAAAATGAAATAAAATGAAATAAAATGAAATAAAATGAAATAAAGTGGAATAATATGATCCAAGCACCGCAAAGATGACCTCGTATCCATCACACACACACAAAAAAAAAAAAAAAAAAAATCCCTGAACAGCCGCACACATGTTACATCCAAGTGAAAAGTAAAAAAAATGAAATACATAGAGTAAAACATAAATGGTCTACTAAATGAATTGCATAAGCTAGGTAAACTGCTCAAACTGCTTTATCACGTCTTAAATTCTTGAGGAGTGTAAATGAGTTTTCTTTTTATCATGTACCCTATTCGCTTACATTACAGAACAAATTTTTTTTTTTTTTTTTTTTTTCTTTTTTTAAGCAATAACAGTGGGAAAAGCACAAGAAGCAAATTTTGCACTCTGGAAAAACACACAACAAAATATGCACTTTAATTCATTAATTTTGAGTTAAAAAAAATGGTTTTCTCACTAAGAAGGAACTAATGTCCACCATCCTTCGTGATATAATATCTCAATTTGGAAAGAAGCGAAACATCTGGCTTTCTCCTCTCTCCTCTCTCTCGATATCTCTATTTATTTTATTTTTCAATTCCCTCAATTTACCTTCTTCTGTTTGGAATCAAAAAATATAACGTCCAGTTTTGGTGGTGGCTGTGCATCAAACGCTGGTAAGAAATACAAGATACCATTGAATTTTGTTTTCATTTTCATAAAATTTATTACACATTCATAGTAAGGTTTTAAATCATTAACATAAGTACTTTGCATTATTTTCGACACATCTTTAAGCAAAATTTGTTTCATATTATTATTTACAAAATAAAAATCAGGTATACTATTTGAAAAAATATAACCCAATACACCTTTCCCTTTTATTGCTGTTTTAGAATAGTGTAATTCTAATTGTCCATTATTTTCATAACTGTATATTAAATATATTCCCTCTCTAACTGGTACCGAAGTTAATTTAACCTCAGGTGGTGGCCCCACGCATGCAGATGACTCGGGTGGAGGAGGTGCTGAAGCCGCTCCAAGAAAACTAAATTTTGGTTTTTTTTTTGGAAATAATTTAGGTTTTATATTTTTAACTACTAAAAAGGAACCTCTTTTGGGCTGTTCATTTTGTTTGTTAAGGTTTAATAATTTTTTTCTTTCTTCTTCTAGCTCTGCTTCGTGTAGAAGTTTCATTCTGTCTTCTTCCTCCAGCATCCTCAATCGTTCCATTTCCATTAAATTTTGTCTTTTTTCTGCTTCTGCATATTTTGCTTCTTCTTCCTGTTGTTTTTTTTTCCAACTTTCATCTTCTAAAATTAATTCATTCAACATATCGTTATCATCATTGCTACCACAGCAGAAGCATAAGAAACACATCCCACCCCTCTCCCTTTGATTTACCTCTCTTTTCATGGGTTCTACTTTTTCTTTCATAACTACATTGTTCATATAATTTTTCCCTTTGCTCTTATTTTCCATAGTATGCTCAGATTTTCTATCTTGTCCCTTTTCATGATGCCCCTTTGCCTTCGATTGGTATGACTTCTCAGATTCACCAGATTTTTTCATTTTTTTTGTCTCTCCACTTTGTTTTGCTTTCTTATCTTTTGCATTTTGTTTTGTGTGTTCCACTCGATTCGGGATTTTCTGTTCGTTGGAGGACATCAAATTTATTTGATTCTTCTTTTGATGTGCTTCTCCTTTTTTTTCCTTTTTCTCGTCTGTCTTTCCTGCGTCCCTTTTTCCTCCATTCTTATTCACCATATTCGAATTCTTGGATTTTCTCCTCATTCTTATTTTTGCTTTCACCTGGAAGGAACAAAAGTAGGTATAGAAATTCAACAGTTGATTGAAGATCACACCCAAGTAAATGTCTAATAATTCACACAAAACAAAAAACTATACAACTGTTGAATAGAAAACTGAAAAGGGGAAATATAAAAAAAAATAAAAAAATAAAACTTATTCCGATAGAACTCCTTTGTAGCTACAATATTTAGTCATGCACCTTTGTACAGTATAAATTAGGATTTTGTAAAAAAAAAAAAAAAATTGATATGTTTCACCAAGACAGCATGCACTTTTATCCTTTTTTCTTTTTTCTTTTTTCTTTTTTCTTTTTTTTTTTTTTTTTACCATACATTACATGTAAGAATAGGTGTAAAAATATATAGGCTTATGTGGAACAAGGGCTAAAGGTGCATGAACTGATAATTTATGACACTTCAAATTATACTTAAAAAAAAAAGAAGAAAGGAAGAAAGATAGAAAAATAAAATTTGTGCTGTGTGATGAGTTACATATCACTTGATGGTTTGTCAACAACATTCATGAATGGATCTTATAAAAGACAAAAGGTGAATTAAGTGGAAATGGAATTATTCAATAAGTGCTTAGTCAAAAAGAACAACGTCTAATATGTAAAAATATGAGAGGCCACAAAATGCAGACTTTTGTTAGATTCAACTTAGAATTTATAAGAGGCATAGGGAGGGGACAAAAAAATTTGTGAATTACAAGACAAAATGAGGAAAATTGAACGAGTTTCAACATCCAAATTTAAAAAAAAAAAAAAAAAAAAAAAAAAAGTTGTTTGCTTTACACAACTTTATACCAATCTTATCTTAGTAATTACCTACATTTTATATGCAAGAAGATTAGATTTAAAAAAAAAAAAAAATCTTCACAATTTTAAGATTTTTTTCTTTTTTACTGATGTGGAACTTATTATAAAAGAAAAATTTTGCATGTGTGTAACAATTGATCAGTAATATATCCTCCACAATGATAAGTAGAATGATGCATGTCCTCTTTTGATGTGAAAACAAGTTACTCTTTAAACATAGACAACTAGTGTAATGAAACATCACTTCCGTCACCCCTCAAGTGTTTGTTTGTTTTTTGATATCCCAACTAAGCAGTTCTATTTACCTAGATTTTGCTTAAAAGGAAAAAGAAAAAAGTGCAAAGGGCGAGAAAAACATTCGCATATGAGCGCACGAGGAAAAAAAAAAAAAAAAAAAAAAAAAAAAAAAAAAAAATGTTAAATTACAAGCCAGCACTACTACAACGCTTCAACCTTGAGCTTATTCCATTTCTCAATTAATTTACAAATGGAAAAAAAGTTATATATGTTTATCACAGAATAGTTCACATTTTCTATTTTGTTCCGTTACATTCCTTTTCATGCGTTCACATTCACACGAGTAAAAGTAAAATATTCCACGTCCTTATGTACTCTTATCAAAATTTTTGAAATCATGTCTAATAGGAATATTTGACAATTTCCTATGAAGAAAAATACCTGAACAAATATTTTCACCTTTACTTCAACACTTGTATAGTTATGAAAATATGGATGTTCCAATAAATAATCAAAAAGATATCTTCTTAGTGTAACGGGAACATCGATCTACATAACATTTTTGATAATGTTAATTTGGTGTCCTTTTTTTTTTTTTTTTTTTTTTTTCCCGTTACAAGTTTATTTAAACGAATAAATTTGTTTATTTATATGTCTTATGATGCTGATGATATTAAAACTGATGAAAAAATGTAAATTATTTGTGCAAATTATGATACAAGTATAGGAGAATTTGTTAAAATAAAGGCCAAGACACTAATGCCTAATTTTTTTTTTTTAAAGGGAGCACCCTAATTATACTGTTATTTCATCTTCCATGTACATGTACTCAAATGAGAACTCTTCCTTTAATTGTTTTGACCAAGCTGAAAAGGGAAAAGTATGAATATACATGCATAAATACATACATATATACTTATGTGTGTGCATAAATATTCTTCCCCAAAATAGAAAAAAAAAAAAAAAATACACATAATATAACTCTCGTCATTTGTATCACTATTGCCTGAACGGGTCATATTATTTTTTTGGCTGATACATGCATATATGGGTGAAAAAATATTACTTGATTCATAGTCAAATGTCAGGTAGGTTCCTTGTTCCATTTTATCATTCAACATACGAATATTATTGTTGTATGGCAAAAACCATGCTTTGTACTTTTTGTGATACTTCCAGGACTTTTTTTTTAATTCTTTTGCTGCCAAATGTTGTTGGTATGTTCCCTAAATGGGGTATAATTAGGAATACATGTTGTTACACTTTTTTTTTTTTGCATTTTTACATTTTTTGTATGCACAACTATTTCACCTGAACATGCATGCAAATGTGACACTTTTTTTGGAGAATTTTACCGGTTGGTAGTAGAATATAAAAAATAGGGTGTCCAGAGGGAGTTTTTCGAAAAGTTGTGGGCTGAACGGGGAAAGGGAATAAGCGCAAGTATGCTCCATACACATGTCACCCCACAAACACATACAGAAAAACACACATATGCACAAGCACAAGCACATGCACATGCGCACACATAAACGCGCGCAAGTTCAAATGCAAGTATACAGGCTGATGCTCAGGTTCCTCCTTCATGTACTCACCTTTGAAAATCTGATAAGGGGGTTAAAGGAAAATATTCACAAGGATTTCCCCATAGCATCCTAGGCATGTATTGTCGGCAGTGATCTCTATCACTTTTCTTTATACAATTTGTGTAACTACTTTCAATTAATTCTTGTAGTTTTAGTGCTACAAACGTTTAGTGAGTAGAAAAAGACATTTGTGATTTAAATGGAGAGTAAAGATAAAATAGGAATGTAATAAGACAAGCATAACAAAAATAATGAATCATACAAAAATAAATATAACTGGCTAAGGATGCACCAAATTTAATGTAACAAAAAATATATTGTGTCTGAATAGAAATATTCATGAATAATCATTTGTGACACTTTTTTTTTTTTTTTTTTTTCTCTTTTTTGCAAATTTCAAAGGAACTATGATGTTTTTTTCCTCTCCACCCCCTGATGAGACATCACGGGTGTTATACCCTTATTCTCATCTAATGGTGCTAGTTTTCTTTTGAAGGGAGATAACAAAAGTAAATACCCTTGTGTGTGAAGCTTCACCATTCGCACCTCGGTGTGTGCATAGAGTACTCTCATAAGTGCATGCAGAAATGTGTAAATATATGAATGCGTGAATTTGTTAATGGATGCATGCATACACACATACGCAAGGATACGTGCACAGATGGAAATATATAAAAATAAACAAGGATGCTATAAGTGATAAAATATACTATAGCTCCTTTTATTTTGCTTCATTACTGTTACACTCCAGCAACTTTTGAGCAGACAAAGATAATTGTGTATCGCTTTTTTTTTTTTTTTTCTTTTCCTTTTCATCATGTTTTGTGAAATCAACTTGGTTTTCGTCATCCCTTTTTTCATACATTGTGTACGGATTTTTATACTGCATACACGTGGATTTTCTATTCCCTCTTTTTTTCAATTATGTGTAAAAGTAGAGAAAGACTAATTTCTACTTTTTTCTCTTCTCCGTTGTTTATGATTGACAAGTACTGTTATGACAAATAAAAGGAACAGAAAACGGAAACAATAAAAGTAGGAAAAACAGGTTGGAAAAAGTTGGAAAAAAGTTGGAAAAACGGTGGAAAAAAGTTGGAAAAACGGTGGAAAAAAGCTGGAAAAATTGGAGAGAACAACTGGAAAAATTCCACTAACCCAAAAATAAAAAATAAAATTAAAAAAAAAAAAAATAAAATAAAAATTACGATAATGTACCCAAAGAAATATCAGTAAGGTCGTAAAAAAATATTTCGACCATTCAAAATAAAGCAATAAATAAATAGAGGGACAAAAATAAAAAACAAAGGGAGTACACATTTATGTAAAGCTTGCAGGATTCACAAATGTAATTTAAAAAAAAAAAAAGAATAGGGGAAATATGTAGAGGGTGTGATGAATAATATATATATCCAAGATGTTAAGGTTTGAGCTAAAAAAAAAAAAAAAAAAAAGGCACATCAGATTGCCACCTAAAAAGAAAACAAAGGGAATAATGTACACATAAATGTCTGAAAGGAAAAATGAAAAAAAAGAAGATGACATGTTCATAGATATAGGATCCAGTGGGGGGGGGGGGGGGTAGATGAGATTGTATTTAATGGATAAAATTAGTGCTACGCAGAAAAGTCTACATGCACACACACAGTAGTTTTGGCACAACATGAAATGTTGCACGAAAATATAAGGAGAGAGACAAACAGATGAAAAGAAAAAAAGGCGAACAGACAACTGAAAAGGAAAATATTCCAAACGGCATTATGAAGAAATAAATTTCCACGCATTTTTCTAAAAAAAAGAGCATATTTCTCTAGTACATTTTAACCTGGTAGTAGCCTATTTTTTCCCTCATCACGTCAATGGCAAAAGGGTACTTGATGTATCACGATGTAGGATGGAAAGAACCAAACACCAAAGTGGGTGTCTAAGGAAAATAGGTGAGAGACAAAATAAAAAGCAATCAAAATGATGTAAAAAAAAAAAAAAAAAAAAAAAAAAATGCAGTTGGAGGATATACATATACGCATACATATATATATATATATATATATATATACACATGCATGCACATCATATGCATGTGTATTGGAATTGTAAAAGCAGTCTCCAAAAGTAAAAATAAACAGAACGTTCCATTTTTGCATAACATTTGTGAATTTACAAGTTTTTACCCTTTATTAATATAACTTTTCTCAATTACATTTATATGTGATTGTCGAATTATCCCCCTTTTTAAAACCATCTCTCCTCCCTTTTATATTCATTTTTTGTTTACACCCTTTTTTTTCTTTTTTTTTTTTTTTTGAATGAATTTAAAAATACGTGTATATGTGTACATATATATATACATACAAGTGGTTAATTTTTAAGATGAATTAAATGGTGTGAATATATATACACACATGTATGTGCATGGGGTTTGTTCTTAGTGTAGAAACGAGATGATATGCATGGGGTGTGTATATATAAATTTATGTATATACGTGCACATGTATACGTGAATTTTTTTGTAACTTTGTAGTTGTATATACATATATATATATTGTGGTATATGCACAAACAGCATAAACGCTTTAAGGTCAATCAAATTAAAAGCTTTCATAAGAATAAATAAAATTATATATGCACGTAAGGTGTGTAACAGCGAAAGGTAATAAAAATGGAAAAGGGCAAAAAAAAAAAAAAAAAAAAAATATATATATTTATATGTATATGTGTAGATATATATACAATATATGCACATGTATACATAAACATCGAAAGAGCAAGATGAATACATACAAAAAAACATGCAACTGCTAAACATTTCTTCTAATTTTTTTTTTTTTTTTTTTTTTTTTTATATTATAAATAAAAAATAACACTCCCTATCGCCTACATATATTACAATTTTATCATTTTTGTTGCTTCCTCTTGATATTCCCCCTCTCTCCCTTGAACTCACAAGTGTTAGGTTTAGCTCGAATACCGATATGTATCTAATTCAAACTATGTCAAAACATTGTTCACGGTGTGTAGCATTATATATATGTATTCTGTGTATAAATGCCCACAACATAATATGAGAAATGATCAATGGGTCAATATGATATATGCTTTAAAAAAAAAAAAAAAAAAAAAAAAAAAAAAAAAATACATGGTAAAATATATCGTCACATATGCTCCATTCTCTTATTTGTTGCTCCCTTTTATTATATTTTATATCTTGTGCAGAACTTATATGAAAATATTTTTCTAATCAAAATTTTTTTTTTTTTTTTTTTTTTTCTTGTGCTTTGATCTGGTACACGTTATGGAAACACTTCTCAACATATATATATTCTCGGTTACTTCAAATTCTACGTATGCAATTTTTTTTGACACTTTTATAAAAATGTATATCCAACACACCCATATCCCCCAGCTAAACTTTCTTATATGGGGTTTTACATTTCCCAAATTTAACTCGTAACAAAATCTGGATGTTTTTTCAATACAATCGTTATTTTTGGTATTCTTCTATTTATTCTATCTGAGCTGAAGTAGGCTGTTGAAATTTTTGTAATTTGTCCTATATACATGCAAGAGATGAAAAAAAAAAAAAAAAAAGTTAGAGAATGTATGGCATGTGGTTCAATGAAGCACATCATTTGGTGCATTGTGGTGTGTGAAGTATGTATAAAAACATATATGAAAATAGGGAAGAGTAAAAACTATAGCATATATTTTTATTCACATATCAATCAGGAATGGAATTTTTTTTAAATAAAAACAAAATAAGGTAAAATAAAATGAAGAGTGTAAAAAAGGTCGTTCGATTACATACCTATGTCCTCCTTTTCCATTATAGATGCAGCACCAATTGCAATTTTTGTGGCACTTCCAAGACCTGTTATTATGACTTCCTCAAATGGGCTCTTATCTTCATTTCCAGTGAACATCCTTTTTCCAATTCGAGCATAAAACGTTGGTTTTTTTGTCATAGAAACCTGAAAATTGGGAAAAATTTAATAATCATCATAGGTGAAAAAAGTGCATATTTGTATATATTTATTTTTTGCGTGTTCATACATGTATGTATGTGCACGGTCAAATGGGGCACCCCCCCTAATGCTGAATTAGCTTTTGATTCTAAACAGGCATAGTGACACACACACGAGGAGGAAGTAAAATGAAACGGGAGAAATGGGGAGAAAAAGGTGAGAGAGACCACCCAAAAAACCACATAAGACTTAGCATAAAAATGATACATACTCTCAGCAGCATAATAGCACATTATACGATGGATATACATATGTGACAACATCAAAGCATAACAAATAAATTGCCTATATTGTTACACAAAAGAAAAACAAAATGAAATAAAATAAACGAGGGGTACTAAAATCTATCACATGCATGTGCATACATATCCGTGCTTGGAAGCATTTTTTTAAGCAGAATAAAAAAGTCACGAAGAACTTAATGGAATGTAGCAATATATGCAGAATGGGTGAAAATAGTTGTATGATATAAATGTGCCGAAAAATGTGTTCCATAAATAGTTCATTGTGTACATACGTATAAATTCGAAGGTGTGGAATAAACTTTTTTTTTTTTTTTTTTTAACTAGCCACGGTATGCGAAATGGGGGAAAAAAAAGAAAAAAAAAAAAAAAACTCCTTTTCCATTCTGGTTAACATGTACATATATATAAATTTTTTGGACTTTATTTTTCTCTCTTCACATATACACATACACACGATCAAATCTTCTTCTATTTGTAGATTTGATTTTTTTCCCTTCCTCCTTAATATATGCATATTTTTCCCTCCTTATTTACTCATTTCACAAATTGACGTTTTTTTTCGTTACCTGGATGGAATTCTCAGCCCTTTCTTGCGATACATCCTCAATACTACCCATTTTATATAACTCCAAAAGTTCGTTTAAGCAAAGCAAACATAAATATGTTTTTTGGTTCGGTGCTTGTATGGTATACAACGTATGGTGCGCTTAGTATGGGGATATATATATTTGTATATATATATATTTGTATATATATATATTTGTATATATATATGTTTGTTTATATATATGTTTGCATACATATATGTTTGCATGTATATAAGTTTGCATGTATATATGTTTGCATGTATATATGTTTGCATGTATATTTGAAGGTATATGCCTCTATATTATGTATTTTATTCAACCGGCTCTTCATACGTACACGTTACATTATATAATGTAATTTGTTTTCAATAAAAAAGAACGTTATATACATATATATATATATATATATATATATGTAAGAGGCGCAATATACATGTATTTATAGATATGTAGATATATAAATATAGCAAGGGATGCATATGCATAACATGCAGTTTTGTGTAAACCCCCCCACCTAAAAAAAAAAAGTAAAAAAAATAGAAAAAGTAAAAAATAACAAAACAAAGAAGCATAAATGAAAAAAAAAATAAACTATAATATAAAATATATACAACCCCCCTCTTTTTTATTTATCTGCTAAATTTTAAAAAAATAAAAAAATTTTAAATGAAAAAGAAAAAGAAAAAGAAGAAAAAGTAGAAGAAAAAAAAAATATATTTAAAATATACTCCGGTGTATTATTTATTTCATAGTTATATATATATATATATATATATATGCATAACGACATATATAAATTTTATATTTGCATTTTACATATCAATAAAATCAATTTACAAAATAAAGAAAAAAAAATTCAAGGCAGAAAAAACACGACGAAGCATAAAGTTGTAATGATGCTGCATTAAATAATGCAAAATAGGTATCACGTAGTATAGCAATGTTATAACATTATGTAGCATTTTATATATATAAATGTATATTTTCTCTCCTATAAAGCATATATGCATATGCATAAAAATATCAAATAAATGAAAAAGTAAGAATTGAAAAATGTTATACATATGTAGTGTATATATAAAATATACAAAAATAAGGTGTATGAACCGCGCGTAGGAAACCAAAACGGAATAAAATATTCGTATATGCATTATGATGATGTATGTATGTGGGGTATGTTAAATAAAAAAAAAAAAAAAAATTTTACGGGAAAGGAATAAAAAAAAAAGCAAAAAAGTATCCATAAAAATACCTAAGCAAATGGCATATACATATTATATATTCGTATAAATTTGTTCATACAGAATTATGCATTTTGAAATACTTTCATATTTCATATTTGATATTTCATATGGCAGTGATAAATAATATATATATAAGGAATAATATATAAGGTCATGCTATATATACCCGCTTTTTTCGTGAGCACGAAAATATAGAGCTGCGAATGTAACCCCAGGTGACATTTCTTTCGTTTCATGAAGGTTCAAAGAAGGGTAAAATTGATGAAGAGTATATTTCTTTTTTTTAATGCCACGTATATATATATATATACATATATATATATACTTAACCGTGTATGTATAATTATACTTATTTATTCTATGGTACTGCCACGACTACAGTGCCCAGGTGTTAAGGAGGGACGCGATACAACAGGTTCGTGCTTTTTTTCTGCTGCATTTTTTTTTTTGTTCCATACCTTTTACCCCATGCATAGAAAATAATTACTTAATGCGAATTATGTCACTGCAAAAGTGCAATACAAAAGTGCAATGCAAAATTACAAAAACACAGGACCGACCGGACCGACCGCGCGGGTGTTGCAGTTTTACGTACAGCCCCTAATGGCACGAATATAAAATTGCTTGTATATATTTAAAATACATACGAAGACGGACCGACTAAGTCAGGTCATACATATGTATATATAAATGTACAACAAGTTATACAAACCAGCGTCATATATTTTGTCATATATTATATATATCCTTTTGCTCGAAATTGAAAAGCACATTGGATCGTGCAGTGTATGTAATCTTTCCGAAAATCTCAACTTTTTCTTCTTTTTTTCTTTTTTCTTCCTTTTTTTTTTATGGCTCTTTGATAAAAACGTCGAACAAGAAAAAGCACCACTAGGTGTCAAGGGGATAATATATATATATATATATATAAAAATAAACGTCAATAAAATTCCCAAAACTTGTCAAAACTAATCATGGAAGGGAATAAAAAAAAAAAAAAAAAAAAAAAAAAAAACAGTTCTGTCGTCCATGCCTTTATACTCAAAATTTATGACAATTTTATTATGACTAAAAAATGACTTTTTTTTTTTTTTTTTTTTTTTTTTTTTGTCATACAGGTAGCTAAAAAAACATAACTTTTAATATTTATTTAATCTGTACATACAACAATTTTTATGCTACATTATATGGCTATATATATAATTCTACCATCCCCCCCATTAAGGCATTGTTAAAGAATGTTCTGACACATGAAAAGAGATAAAAATAAAAGCAAAAACAAAAACTAAAATGAGAAAACAATAATATTGTGTCTCATAAGTTTCATTTGATTGGCCATGGAAAAGTAAGGAACGAGGGGAGGGGTGTAGACTCTTCAGCCACCAGAATTATTATATCTTATTTATGATAACAGTTTTTGCCAAATTTGAAATTTTTTTTTTTTTTTTTTTTTTCTCGTGGAAAGATTGGGAAAAAAAGAAAAAAAAAATTAACACAGTTATTTGGATGTAGGGGCAAAGGAGAAAAGTGGAAGAGTTATTTTTCATTTCCCCAGTTGAAACTAAAAAAAAGAAAAAATTTTCAGATCACTTTAAAAGCACATAGTCCCTTTATTCATACACAGTTCTTTTTCTTAATTTTATATTTTGAAATTCTTTTTCATCTACTTGTTTAACGTAATGATTGCTTCGAAAGAAATTAAAAGGGTAAATCCAGTATACTTTTTATACATCCCAACCGAACTCCCACTGCTTCCTTACCCCCACCTGTCATAGAAGACTGAAACAATTTCAAATACATCAAAATGTGTGTGCATAGTGATTAAAATTTACATGTTCTTAACAGATGATGAACAAGTAAGTATAGCTAAAAGTGTGTAATTTTATTAAAGACAACTTAGAGTATTATTATATTCCCCCAATTAGTTACACTAATAAAGTTATGAAAAAATATATCTTATTTGTATTAGAAAAATAACTAAGCATTATAATTTAATTTGTATTTCCAATACGCCAACGCTTAATAATTCATTGCAACTACAACAGTACATATCCCCATCACCTACATTTATGCACATTATAAAAACTCTACATCAATATGATTGAGAAGCCAAACATATATAATAGTATCTCCTTTTTTGGAACATCCTCTAAACATATCTACTGTTACAGCAGATGAATCGAAATGGTCGTAAACAAAAAGGGAGGGGGGACAATATATAGGGTAGTGTTGTATACAAAATCTTTACACATTTCTATGCAATGACACAGATATTATCTCTCTCTTTTTATGATCACGTGTAAAGATGCAACAATGAAATTTTTAGTTCCATCAATTTCTTGCTACTTATGCGCGTATTATATATGTACTTTGCATTTGTCACCTCCCGTTTTTTCCTATAACATTAGAGGTTAATTTGCTATTAGGCTGCGCGAACGTGGGAGGCTCAAATGAGCAAGTGCCTTCTCAAAAGGGGAAAAATAAAGTAAAAAATAAAGTAAAAAATAAAGTAAAAAATAAAGTAAAAAATAAAGTAAAAAATAAAGTAAAAAATTAAGTAAAAAATTAAGTAAAAAATAAAGTAAAAAATAAAGTAAAAAATTAAGTAAAAATTTAGTAAAAAATTTAGTAAAAAATTTAGTAAAAAATAAAGCAAAAAATAAAGTAGAATAACAAAATAGAGCAAATAGGAAAATTTATTTTTCCCCGTTTTGTCTTCTCGACAAGCCGTACCTCCGCATAACAACTCACTTGAGGGAAAGACTTTCGTAAAATTCTATATGAGTTTCGATTTCACCTAAAAGCTAAAAAGAAGAAATTTCAAATTCGTGTGCTTGTATGTGGAACTGTAGCACACTTCAGAAAATACAGGTGTATGGCATCACCTGAGCGTTTTAGGTGTGTGTATCTGTTTCACTGTTTATGCCATCCTTGGCCCATTTTTAGCCCAGTTTTCTCTCTTTTCATTATACGTTATCTAAGAACTTCTTCTGCTCAATCTGAGAAGGAAAAGAAAATTTGTGTAACCGTTCACTCATGTACTATGCATGTTATACTTAACTTTTTCTACACTCCACCCACACGTATTTAACATATGACAGTTGACTCAATTGTTAGCAGCAGTACAAATTTTTTTTTTTTTTTTTTTTTTGTCAAAGTACTGGCTCGAAGGTGTCCATTAAATTGGTTAAGATATTTGTCACAGCTACAGAAAAAATAAAAGTATAAAAAGAATAAAGAAGACTTTTTTTTTTTTTTTTTTTTTTTTTACACAAATTTGGGAAGATAAATTAAGGCCAACAGCGGGTAGCACTGCTACCTAATGCTTTTCTTTTATCCCTTTAATTTTCCGTTTCATGTTAAGAAACATTCAAAAGAGTTTGCAATTCCAGTCGTCCTCTCAGATGAAGTTGCATCTGCAATTGCAATCGCAATCGCAATCGCAATTACGTGTGAAGACTTCAAAATTTCAAAGTTTACAAATATTTGTAGGGTCATCCATCTCATCTAAATATCTTTTATATAATTCTCCAGGTGAAACATCTTCCTGTAAATTATATAAACATGCACACATTTTTGCGTTTAAGCTTTTATGGATGTGAAATTAGGAAATTGAAAAAGGGATAACGCTTCCAAATGATGCTTACAACAAAGGTTCATGTTTGTAACGACTTTACAATTTGCATTCGATAAATGGTTGAGTATATAAATTGCATAAAGCAAAAAGGAACAAGAATAAGTGCCTAAACTCAAAATTGTTCTTTTTTGAGTGTTTTTTTTTTTTTTTTTTTTTTCAGTGATGGTAACTCTCACCGTCGGTTGAAGAATAATTAATGGCGTATCAACAATTCCTGTCTTTCCGTTTAGTTGTAATTTGAACTCATTTTTCATTTTCCCATCATATGCTGAGGCAAAAGGGTAGGGGAAAAAAAAAAAAAAAGAAAAAAACAAATTAAAAAAAAATCCATAATTCATTATTCAGCACAACAGATTTTATACTTGCAACTATATAACATCCGGTATGAGATAGTAAGTAAATCTAAAATGTAAAAACTCAAAAACTGGATTGCCTTTTTATTTGCATAAGTATTAGTGACCACCTTGATGTCACACTCATTAGGGCTTTGCAAGTGATCCCTTTATTTATTTATTTATTTTTTTTTTTTTATCTTTTTTTACTTCTTTCTTTTTTTACTTCTTTCTTTTTTTACTTCTTTCCTTTTTTGTTGTTTTATTTCTTATTTTTTTTTTTCCCTTTTTGTTTCCTACAGAGATTTATGTTTATGCCGTCACGATGGTTTGTCTTTCCCATGACGATGGACGGATCTCCCATTGGGTTCAGCACAAGGGTTGCGAATTTGCCGAGCATTGCCAAGAAGAAAATTTTTAAAATGGAATTAATCATGTTAATGTGTGGAAATGTCAAGTGAAAGGGAGTATAAACGTGCAACCAAATGTGCACACAATTGTGTAACGAGGTATTTAACCAACTGTTCAGTCAATTGGTTAGCCAACTGGTTAGTCTACTGATTAGCCAACTGTTCAGTCAATTGGTTAGTCTACTGATTAGCCAACTGGTTAGTCTACTGATTAGCCAACTGGTTAGTCTACTGATTAGCCAACTGGTTAGTCTACTGATTAGTCAACTGTTCAGTCAACTGGTTAGTCTACTGATTAGCCAAATGTCTCAAAATTGATCCCTGAAATTTAGCCTAGCTGTACTGTGCCCGCAGAAAATGCAAAAACGTGTGATACTTTAAGACGCACTGGACATGCAAAATTTGAAACAAAAAAGTTAATCAACAAAATTATGCAGCAAAGTTAAGAAGCAAAGTTAAGAAGCAAAGTTAAGAAGCAAAGTTATGCAATAATGCTATACCAATGAACAACCTTTCTTACACTTTTAAAAAAAGCTACTTCCAACATTTTCAAAAAAAAAAAAAAAAAAAAAAAAAAAAAGACATTCACATAGTCAAAATACTAAACAGGTGAACTATTTTTTTACAAAAATAAATTTCCCCTCGGGATATTTCTTCATTTCTAAAGATTACAAAAAGAGATAAGGCATAAGGCGAATCAACGTGCAATTTGATGCAAGTTAAAGGTGTATGTACAGAAAAAAAAAAGAAAAAGAAAAAAAAAAAAAAAGAAATGCATAAAGGGTCCCCCTCCCCCGGGCGGTAGATAAAACGATGCCTCACATATTAACAGCCCGTGCCAAAACATGTAAATCACACAGATGTACACGTTATATATATATATATATATATATATATATATATATATACAAGTTCATATTTACGCATGTATGAACATGCGTGGGCGCAAGGTCTGGCACGCCCCAAGTCCTCTTTTCCAGAGCATCAGGAACCTTTTCCCATATTTTTTTGACCCGTTTTACCTTGCCCGATGTAGGAGATTTTTCCTATTAGCAGAAATGGAACGCACCTTGTCTTCATAAGTCATACATCTCCAGGAATAAAATGGTATTGCTATTATATAATATCCCTTGATTAGAAAGTAATTTATTTTTATTAATACTTCTGACTTAATAAAATAATTATCGTTGTAAAATATTTCATATGGATTGTACAACATATCACAGATTAAAAGAAGCTTATTTTTCTCCCCTTGTTGAATATTTCTCATTTTGAGTTTCTCTTGTTCTGTGCTCGTCTCGTCTAGTTTGATGTGACCATCAATGGTTTCACGTTGTGCATTTACTTCTCCCCTTAGCTTAGTGTTCATAAATTGGGACATCACAGAATCCAATTCTGATGCCTGTGTAGAAGAATAAAAAAAATCACTTGGCTCTAAAAACATATATGCTATATAGTTGTCATACTCAAGTAACGAAATAGTGTAAATATCATCCTTAAAGCTTATCTTCAAATTTTTCGTGAAATTATAAACAATTCCAAATAGTTCTAACGTCAGAATTCTGTTTGATTCTGTGTTTCTCATATCATAAGGATACGTATAGGGAGCATGCGAATCTTTCTCGGTCATTACATCCACTTCAGTAGTGGCTATATCTGCATCTTCTCCAAAGTAGATTCTGTTTCTTTCCCATAGAGTTATGCTTTTATAACAATATTCAACAAAATTATACACACTCTGATCTTCTATAGGATATCCTATCTGTTGATTTTTACATCTCGTTCTAATCAGTGCATAATGTTGTAAACTTTTTTTAAACAAATTGCCATACTTTTGTTTCATCTCATCATTTACTAAGTTAATAATAAAACAAAGTATCAAACTATGATTATCTACATTTTCTGATGTGTGGAAAATAGAAAAATATCGTTTTACCAATTGTTCATAAAAGTCATTATCTTGGTCAATATAAAATATGCAATTTTCTTTAACTTTTCTCGAATTCAGTATACTCATATTTAACAGTGATAAATTCCATATTATTGGCATTTTACGTAAAGACAAAAAAATTGTTATTAAGCTATTAAAATTTATGTACTCTTTTAAAAAAATAATTTCTTTACTTATACAGTTTAAAATTTTTTTTAACATTTTCTCATACTCATTTACACAATTTTGTAACAGAAGATTTACTAGACCTTCAAAAATATCTACACTCAAATAACATACAAAATTAGGGGTTAATTTTTTTTTGAAATTATGTTGCATGTAATAGTTGTTTAATTCCTCTTCTGAAAAATTTGCATTTTCTATTTCGTTTCCACATAAATGGGCTTCTTCTAAATTATTATCTAAAAATTGGCCATGAAATAGTTCGCTACTATTTTTTGTATCTTCAAAAGGGTTATATTCACCTACAAAACGATTCAATAGAATTTGTTTTCCCCATTCATCTTTGATCGGTGGTACATTAACATCCTCATTGTCTTTTTTAACAAATGTTTTACTAGAACTTTCGGTTTTTAAAATATTCGTGCTATTATTTTTTATATGATATGATTTTTTTAAATTTTGCAAAAAGTTGTCACTTACCTTGCCGTTCAGGTAACTTTTCTTCCCATGTGTACGAAGAAAATTTTTCACACAGAATAAAATTTGATCATACATAAATTCTATATTGATATTATTTATGCTAGATAATATATTTATTACCTTAATTGCAACTGAAAATGTTAACTGGGGTAAGTTTACTTTTGTAAAAAAATTATTTATGGTATGTGAGTGAATTCCTAATTTTTTTAATGAAATTATTAAATCCGCCAATTGTACATTACCTAAGTGTGGAATTAATGAAGGCAACTTGTCTTCAAGTATACTATTGATGTCCTTATTTACAAACCCGAATTTGGAGTATACATGTGCGATTTTTATCACCTGTTCAGCATTTAACTTGTTTTGATTTTTTACAAAAATGTCTATGGATGAATGTAAAAGCATGTCTTTTTTCATATCCAGATAAGCAAAAGAAATCAACACATTTAGTAAATTCTCCACATCGAACATGTGGAGTATATTCATAGTTGCAATGGTTATCCTGTTAAAAAGATTTACATCTTTTATTTGAACTTTACAAAAACTTAAACATAAAATTGATAAATTTTGAGGAGTTGCTAAGTTTATTTTATTCAAAAATGAAATGGATAACGATGCATATAATGGGATATATATTAAATTTAGTTTTGCACACAAAAAAGAAATGTCACATATTTCTTTAATTGAATATTTACATGTCTGTACTGATATTTGGTGTAATATATTTTTTATCATATCCTCTTCTTCATTTAATTTGTTATTTATTTCCAAAGATTTTAATATTCTATAACAATCTTTTGCATCAAATGAATTTATTTCGTTCTTTACCCTTTTTTTAAATACTTCATATATACCCTTATTTTCATTTGACAGTCTTAAAATATCGAACGCGTAATTCCCTAAGCTCTTAGATGATAATTTTGCTACATCCTTCTGACTTGGCACAAAAACGCTTCTCTTATGGTACCAGAAAAAAAACACATTCCTTTCTTTTCTTCTCATTCCGCATTTTGTCATTTTTTCAGCTGATCAAAAAAGTGCAGGACTTCTGAAAGTTTGTGGTTTCCCCAGTTAGTGCTTCATTTTTTTTTTTTTTTTTTCCAGGATGGTCAGATATGTAATGTGTAAGGTGTATGGTATAGGCTGGGGTTGTCCCAACAGGAAATGAAAGAAAAAAAGAAAAAAAAAAAAAAAAAAAAAATGATCTACCAGGAAGAAGAAATTATAATGAGAAAAAGGAAGTTCAAAAATGAAAATACAAAACGACACTGAAATGTGTCATTAAATTAGTTCTATGCAACTTCGGGTGTATGTTTTCCTTCCCCTTAAAAAAAAAAAAAAAAAAAAAAAAAGTTGAGAGAAAAGGTCCAAAATCCGATTTATAGAAAAGGTGATACATCCTTAATATTCGTCAAATTGCATTACATATCCCAAATGGTTATAATTTTTTAAGTCGAAATTTCACACTTGTACATCTTATTTATTGTTGGTACATTCGGTACTTTAACTCATCTTGTTAATGCCCCTTTTCCGATCCCACACCGACAAAGAGGAAAACAAAATATACCTTGCCTGTTCATAATTTTTTTCTTCCAAGTTTTTATTTTTTTTTTTTTTTTTTTTTTTGCCTCCTAAATGTTAGCCTAACTGATTTCTATTTGACTTAATCGTAGCTGTAAAGTGTTATAAATATTATGCACGGATATGTATACACATAATATAAGTATTCAAAGTGTGTCATCATGTGCTTATCTCCACATGCTTAATATACTTTCCATAATTCATAAAAAACCTGGTTGACAACAATGTAGAACTTTTTGTTTATGTCATTAGCTAGCTTTTTTTTTTTTTTTTTTTTTTTTTTTTTGTTTTTCCCTCTTAATTTTTACCCAATGGCAGCATTTAAACCTTACAAGTTCATAATTTTTGATAAAAATTTAAGAAATAACAACTTACACAAGCAGATAATTGCACACCTGGATTTGTCAATTCTTTGTGAAGAAATTTATGTAACTGAAAAATTTTGCCACTTAAATTATGAACATTTGAGTAGGAACAAATTAGTGTACTTTTCAGATCACAATTTAGTTGATAAATTAAAATGCCGTCAATATGGATACAAGGTTGAGGAGAAGCATCCAAAATTCTCACCCAGTGAGCATGACTTAAATGTGGAAGACAAATTTGAAATTAAAGTACGAAAAAATGACATAATGAAAGAGAAACAAGAAGAAATATCCAATAACGAAATGTGTAGAAACAAGGAAGGAAATATTAATTCATTGGTTAGTTTTTTTACATTTGATGATAAGGAAAAGAACAATTTTTTCAACACACTAAATTTAAATAAAAAATATGAAGTAGATCATATAAACATTCTATGTTTAAATAATTATAACTTCATTCTTGATATACTTAAAAAAGAGACATTTAAAAATAGAATTTCGATTTTCTGCCCATTTTACATAATTCATAATCATGCCCATAATGATAAGAACAAATCTCAAAACAAAAACGTTACCCAAAAGTTATCGAATTTTTTGTATACCATAGTTAGCGATTTTCTTCCCATCAATTATAAGTATATCCATATGTCCGATCTTGTTAGGGCGATTATTATAAATACCGAATTGTGTCAAGGGAAGGAGCGAAATGATGTGGAAGTTTTGAAATTTATGGATATGATGCAGATCATAGGGAAAGCTCTCTAACAGAGAAAGGAATAGTCATATAATGTTGGATCGAACTTTCAACCTACACATATATATCCTTATCATTTCTGTGCATGAGAGTTACTTCAATTAAGTGGATGACATTTTCCATACACCTCGCATATAATTTAACTGCTTCAAACTGTTTCATAACGCCAGAACGTTTTGCACATTTTAATATTTTTTTTTATCTTAAATGTTAAAATGCTTAATGAACTAGACAATAAACGACCCTCTCAGCCTAACTGCAAGGTCACACTTTAATTATGACAAATGAGGGGATGGGTAGTTTGGGAAAGTTTCGTAAAGGTATGCATTCGCATCATGTCTGGAGGATATATATATATATATATATATATATATGTATATTCATATGCACACAAATGGTTTCACTGTGCTGCACAAATATTATGATAGGGGGGAGGAGGTGGAAAAAAAAGCATAAGGAAATAAATGAATGAACGAATGGGCAGATATATGAAGATGGATAATCCCATACGACATGTTTACATTTAAATTATGAGCATGCAAGTGGAAATCATGAAAAAAAATAATAATAAAATAACGAAATAGTAAAATAATGAAATAATAACATAATGGAATAATAAAATAACGAAATAATAAAATAATGAAATAATAAAATAATGAAATAATAAAATAATGAAATAATAAAATAATGAAATAATAAAATAATGAAATAATAAAATAATGAAATAATAAAATAATGAAATAATAAAATAATGAAATAATAGAATAAATAACTCACCAGCACAATACACGCGCGCTTATACACACAAGTTGGATATTGAACATATATACGTACCAGTTTCAACACAACCTTTTTGTGTCATCAGAATCAGTTTAGCATAAAAAATGGAAAAGACAAACTGTTGGTAGGATTGCAAGCTATGGATGTACCAAGGGGACACAAATAAACTGCTGCTGACGCATGTACAAATCATCCTTTAAGCAAGAAGGATGTAAATGCTGTGGAAAGAAAAAGGATACAAATCAATCCTCAGGTTCTGCCGAATCAATTAATTTCCACTTTCTTAAAACATTAATTAGAGATTTCTCTGAAAAATTATCACCTCCTAATTCGTCAAAACCGATTATGGAATGCTCAGTTTTTCCATTTTGTATGAGCATCAAGGTTGGTATACACCATATTTTTAATCGTTCACAAAGAAAAGGAGATTTCTCTGCATTTATTTTTACAAAATTAATATGTAAGAATTTTTTGGACATACTAATCAATTTGCTATCTAAATATTCACACCTCCATGTTGTATTCCTATAAAAATGACAGCATACATTTTTTGAACTCTTGCATATTTCAAAAAATTCTTTTTCTGATAAAATTTCTTTATATATTCCATGACCTTTTTTTAACAAAATTAAGTTTTCATTATGTTTATTTTTAAGTTCTTGTAGCCTTTTATTTTTTATAAATTCCAGCTCTTCATCATTTTCATCATATATTTTTTTTTCCAGAGTTTCATACCTTTTAATTTCGAGGTCTATTTCGTTTTCCTTATCTCTCAGTGCTTCTAAAATGTGGTTTTCTATGTTTTTTCGCACTTTGTTATTCATTTTTTCTGCTCTATTTTTCTGTTTACTTATTTGTTCCCTCGTTTGTTTGCTTATTTGTTTTTTTTCGTACTTGTTTGCCTATTTGCTAATTTAATTTTTGCGCCTTCGTGTGAAACGAGTTTTTATATTCGCCCTCCACAGAATGTTAATGTGGATTTGAATGTAGATATAATTTACACTTAACCAAATTATGTCCCTGGTTAAGGTTTCATTTCTCTCCTCTTTGCACCTTCGTTGGAGTCTTGAGGGTGGGAAAAACAAAAAAAAAAAAAAAAAAAAAAAAAAATACACACATAAATGTGTACATATGTTTATACACACTTATATACACATTTTTTTCTAGCTTACATGTTTATTCCTTATCATGTCATCACAAACTTTTTCGAAAAATTTCGAGTCTTCAATTTTTCTCTCAACGTGAGAATGCAGAAAAAATTATGCTATAAGGGATAGGTGTAAATGCACACTAAATGCCTGGTGCATATATTTGTTATTATTAACCTTTTTTTTTTTTTTTTTTTTTTTTTTTTTTTTCTTAATATGGTAAATATGTAAACATTGAAGAAACTTGTTCTTTATTCATGTGCATTTCACCTGGTATACTATTCCCTATATTATATTTCTCCACCTCCTTAGTTCATACCTAGTGTATATATTCCTATACTTTTCTCTACCTCATTAACACAGTCCTAGTGTACTCTTCCCCTATACATATATTTCTTTACCTCCTTTGCAAATACATTCCCTCTTTAGTGTTCAACGTGAGAAGGTATGAGAAAACCGAGAAGAAAAACATACACATGTATGAGTTTCCATGATATGGTTAACAAACCCCACTGAATGGTACTATTATACAATAGGACAGAGAAAAAAAAAAAAAAAAGAAAAAAAAAACAATATTTTTCTTTTTTTTTTTTTTTAGAACATTTCCCCGCACAATTTCTACAAAAAAAAAAAAAAAAAAAAAAAAAGAAAAATGGCAAATATAGAAATAGTGTGTTATTAATTTGTTTGATGGTTTTTTTTTTTTTTCCTTAGCTTTTGTATTTTGCTTCTGCTTGACAAAATTATGAAGAAAAAAAAAAAAGCTGACCATTGCTGCTGTTTTATTTTCATGTGGTTCCCCTTGACATTCACTCCATATCAGTTAGTAAAGTCAATCAATCGATTCTCGTTAGGTTTTTTTTTTTTAAAATAAATTTTTCTTCTTTAATCAGTGTCCAGGAGAGGACATTTTTTTTTTTTTTTTTTTTTTCCCAGGCAACATTTTTCTCATTTGGTGCAAGCGTACTGAGGTGTGGATTAATTTATGCTCTTGGGAGAATACAACATTATTGTGTTGGTTTCTTTTTTCCAACTTTGTTTCTTTAACCTATTATCTCATATATTAGTTATTGGCATGGTCTACATTTTTTCAAATTCCTCTTTTTAAATTGTTAGTTAGAAGAAGAGTCATCTTTTCTGACACTTGTGATGTTAAATGAAGGTTTTTTATTTTTTTTTTTTTATTTCATTTTTTTAATGTTTAAGTTATTCGTTATTATATCTTTGCTTAATTGTTGTTCTTCTTCTTCTCCATCTCCAATTTTACTTTATTCGAAAAAATAAAGGGACATATTAATGGGAACTCAACCACGTGGCAAAGCTCCTACAAATTGTAGATTTTTTTGAAAAAGAAAAGAAAATATATAAGAGGCTCCGAAAAAATAGAATTGACGCTGACTTACATTATATATACCAATCCTCACAGAATCTAGATTTACAATAAATGTAAATAGTTACATATATAAAAAATTATATTGTGCCGTACTCCTCTGTTGTTTTTATAAATATAGTCTGCATAAAAACCTGCAGCTATGCTTTGCCAATTTTTTTTTTTTTTTTCACCCAGTTAAGCTCTTCTTAGTTGATATATTCAGATATACATATTTTCCACTTTCAATCCTCTTACATAGTAATACACTTATTAATTAACAAGGACGAAATGAAAGTTGAAAGCAAGAACAATGACCTTAGTGATCCTTTTGCTGCATCACAAATTATAGGAGATAAATTATTACAGGGTTGGACACTTCTGAATGAATGTTGTCACTTGGTAAGTATTTTCAAAATGTGTTTAAGTATTTCACTTGTTTAACTGCTTTTGTTTATTTTATTATTTCACTTTTATCTCTCTTTATATACACATTTACACCTCATATGTTAGTATGGATTTATTCACGTGTATATTTTTTAGTCATTTCATGGTGCATTTGAAAAATCTATTTTTCAACCTCTTTACCAGAACTAAAAATGAATCAAGCATTTTTTTTTTTTTTTTTTTTTAAATATTTATGCAAATTTTTTTGCAGTGCATGGTTACTCCACTCGTAAAGCAGAAAAGTAAAGAAGAACGTTTCTGTGCAAAATGTAATATATATATCTCATTTGACAAATCGAATGAGAAAGAAACAAAGAAGATATGTGAAAAGAAAAATGATCAAGGACACATTAAAAGAGAGTTACCACATCATCAGAATAACCAAGATTTACACTCACAAGCGGCAAATCCAAATGAATTTGTAGATGAAGAGATTGATGTTGCGATATACAGGAATACCCATACAGAGAGCTATGTAAATAACAATGCAAGACCATGTGTTAATGTACGTGCACATAAAAATGCATATGTTGAAGAACAGCCTTGTATTGAATTCATCAAGGAAATAAAAGTGCAGCACGACGAATTCAATGAAATATTAAACAAAAATATTATTTCCACGGATGAAATTGAGAACTTATTAGAATACAAAAATTACATAAAGGAAAGATGTGGATATGACGTTGGCGAATGGTTAAACAGTAAAAAAGGTTACAAGCAAGGGATCGAAACGAGCATTGAAAAAGTTGATCCAAATGACCCAAATGACTTAATTAATAGAAAAATGGGTACGGACCTGATGCAAAATAAAATGGTTGAAAGAAATAGAGAACAGTTGAAAAATGTATTAAACACGAATCATCACGAGAATGAAGGAGATAACAGTGAAAAGCGAGAATATTTACATCACATACAACACACAAAGCATGATTTAAAAATATCAGAAGAAAATTATTTTTCAAAAAATAAAATCGATTCTAATAAATATACCAACTATGAGATGGAATTGTTCATTCTAAATAAAACCAAAGATGTGCTTTTTAAAAAACTGAATAAATACATAGAACAATTAAATAAGAGTGATATTAAAAGTCAGGAGAAGGAACAAATTGACCAAGTCATAACAATTGTTAACATATTAGAAAGAGTGAATGCATTAAAGAGAAATATTCACCCTGTCAGTTAGGAGTTACATATCAGTTGGAAGACCTATAAACCCACACATGCATACATATATGTGTGCACAAGACATATATATATATGTATGAACTATTTTCATGTTCCCATATGGCATATGTACATATATGAAAAACCACAAATAATGATGTAAGCTATTTGTGCGTCATTTAAGCCCCGTATAATAATACATGTTAACCTTTTTTTTTTTTTTTCTTTTAACGTCATTTTGTTTATCTATATCCCTAACTCTTCACCAATTTGAAATGTGATAAATACGTAAATGAACATATATATATATACATAAGGGTCAGGTGAAAATGGGTTTATAAATATATATAACACTTAATCTATACGTGTTTGTACACAATGAGCAATATGCATTTTTTTTTTTTTTTTTCTTCTATTTTTGTTCTTTTTTTTTATATAACTTTATCCCCCACACAAAGATGACATAGTATAGAGACATCTTTGTGTCATTCTTTTTAAGAGATCAATAAGGCCTAAATCAATTTCGAATTTCTTCACATTTTTCTACTACTCAAAAAAAAAAAAAATATATATATATATATATATCCACCCATTTGGAAAGAAGTTGTTAATGTTAGTACAATATATGATGAATTTTTTTTTTTTTTTTTTTTTTTTTGAAAAGTACGAGCAACGTACACATTTTTTTGTGTGCATTTTTTTCATAGGATGCACTATACATTAATTGAATAAAAAAATTTTATACATGAAAAAAAATATATCCGAACTGATTGACAAAATAATAATTCGAAGGAGTGTAAAATGCAAATGTGCGAAAAATCGGATACGACCATACTAGGTAAATTTATGTAAATGTGCATATATATGGTATTTATATATATATCTTTGGAAATACTCTTTTTCCGTGTGGTAAAAGGAGCTATTATCTACTTGACCTACACATGTACATGTGTAGGTGTTTCTATCTGCAGGAGTACTTGTTGTCTCTGTGTATGTATGGCCAAACCGATCAGATCGTCTCCCCTTACGCACATATATTTCTCTCTCATGTTCTACCCTCATGTATTTATATATGTGTACCCTCATATTTGCTATGACAACCCTTTTCTTTGGTATGTCACATTTGGTAAAAGAGGTTGGCCCTCTCGTCCGTATACAACTATCATGTTCCAAAACCTTTTGTGCATTGAGTAAATTCCCTCTTTAGCAAAAACGTAAACATAAGTTATTTGACGACATTCTTGCGAAGATGCTGCGGATGCTTTGTTGGAACACTCTTCAAAAAAAGTAAGAAAAAATGCATAAAAAAGGTACGAAAAAGGGCACAAAAAAAAGGTACGAAAAAGGGCACAAAAAAAGGGTACAAAAAAGGGCACAGAAAAAACATGAAAAACCGGTACTCAAAATAGGTTTGTGAAGTTCACGAAAAATTTATGCACTAAAAGCGTTTGTGCCTTTTCCCTACTAATGTACACAGGGTGAACCCATTCACATATATATTTATGTAAACATCAGATCCTATATTATGAAGAGTACAAGCCAAACTAGGGTGGGTGTGTGGAGGGGAGAGAAGGTATTTTTTCACTTTTTATTTTATTTTTTTTTTTTTTTTCATTTGCTACGCATACGAATTTTATGGTACACGTCGAGAAGAACGCTGAATAGGAGCTATTTTTTCTAAAATATTTCCTACCACCATCATATGTACATACAAGCATTTGTGCATATGCATATTTTATGTTCATACATCTTATGGATTAACATGTTATGAATATACGCACTAAGCATATATGGATATAAGCATATATAATACGCATGTTCTTTTTTTTTTTTTTTTTCTTAGGAAAAATTACGTTCAAAGGAAGCATGCCCGACTTGGCCTTGGCCTTTCCTTTCCTTTCCTTCCCTTTGCACGAATAAAAAAAATACATTTGGAGTATCGAAAAATTTGGTGTACTTGTGCTTTGTATATTTTTCATTTACCTTTGTTTTGTTTTGCTCTTTTTTTTTCTTTTTTTTTTTAATTCTGTATATAAAGCGGTGCAAAAAAAAAAAAAAAACAAAAAATAAATAACGATTTGACGTTATTCAAAATTCACGAACAATTAAATATCCCATCCCCACTGTGTTGTATGTACGTGGCAATTTATATAGCCGTAACACCCCATGTATGTGTCAAAATATATGTAGCATCCATCCATCATATATATTTTATTATAATTAAACATCCTCCTCCTCCTCCCTTGAGTTTAATTATTTTGTGATGGATTTTATGACCTTGCTTCTTCAAAGTGTCTCAAAGTAAATATGAAGTTGTTAGAGCAAGAATGCACCACACTGTATAGTTAAAAAAAAATGTAAAAAAAAGAAACAGCAGCAGAGTAGTAGCAGCAGTAACAGAAGTAGTGGTGAAAGTAACAGGAAAATAACCGAGGGAAAAAAAAGAAAAAAGAAAGAGAATAAATATGCACATAATATATATATATATATATATCATACCCTATATAATATATATATATTTATGTACTTTTATTTGAAAAGTGGAAAGTACTTTTTTTTTTTAACCCAAACATGACACCATATAACAGGGAGCTTCCAGTTATGAATCTTTTGTACACCGTGCGCATATGTATCATATAAATATCAAATAAATACTTATATTGTTCCATATATATATATATATACATATACACGTGCTTAAGCTCTATGTACTAACATTTTACATGACCATCAACGGCGCATAGGCACACCAAAAAAAAAAAAAAAAAAAAAAAAAAAAAAAAAAAAAAAAAACACTTGTTTCCTTGACACATTTTGACACCCCCTTTATTATTCATTTAATTAAATTTTATAATACAAAAACTGAACTGGTAGTATATATAGTGTACTATTATATGTATGTACGCATAACCCAGGAGCCACGGAAAAAATTGCAGAGCTTGAAAAGTTGAAACGTTGGAGAAGTTTAAAAATAAAAAAAATACAAACGAAAAAAAAAAAAAAAAAAAAAAAAAAAGCAAAGCATAGCATAGCATAGCATAGCAAAGCAAAGCAAAGCAAAGGGATATTTATATATACATATTAAAAAAAAAAAAATAGTGAGAAAACTGACATAAAAAATATTTACAAAGGAAATGTATATGTATATATATATATATATATAGAGAGAGTGAGTTACCTAATTAAAGAAAAAATACTTTTGCTTCTTTTTTTTTTTTTTTTTTTTTTTTTATTTTAAATAACTTTACAATCACTTTTGTAACGCCTAAGAAGCATATAATCGTGTTTGATTAATTAATGTATGTATATACATATGTATACCTAAATAAGCGTTCGTACATACACATATATTCATATATATATATATACATATATGCATATTCTCATATGTAAATCAAATCTATAGTAGTAGGGAAAACCAATAAAACTTGCATGTTTTGCAAATTACGAAGATTTTCCCGCAATTTGTATATATATTTTAAGTAGCACATAAAAATAAAAATACGTGAGTATATCTTCCCCACCTCCGACAATTGTATATATATATATATATACGCTTGTACATATAACAATCACACCTGTATACACTTTTGGTGAAGAACTAAAATTCTTTACGTCACTGAAATATTCACTAGAAGAAAAAACTAACGCGCACCATGGAGGAGAACAGCAATGTAAGCCCTATACTCTTTTTCCACTTTTTCATCTTTTTTTTTTTTTTTTTTTTTTTTTTTTTTTTTTTTTTTTTTTTTTTTAAATTTTTTTTTTTTTTTTTTTTTTTTTTTTTTTTTTTTTTTGATTTTTTTTTTTATTATTTTTTTTTTTTTTTTTTTTTTTTTTTTTTTTTTTTGACATACACGTATAAAACCTTCATTCTCTATAGACTACATTTTTTGTTGTCACCAATTAACCGTTGAATGAGTCTTGTTGTTCGATCTTGCAACGTATATATTTTTACGTGCGTGGGAAAAAATGAACAATCATACCTTATGTGTAGTAGTTATGCATTGTTCTTCACTCCCCATACGCATATGTTTATATTAATTTGTGAACCCTACTTTTTGCATACTAATATGTGCATCCTAATTTGTGCATGTGTATAGAAGAGAGGACTTGTTTTTAATTTTCCCTTTGTGTGCATGCTTGAGTTTACAGCTTCATGTAACAAACCAATTTGAAAGTGCGTCCCATCAGACGATAAATGCTTTTGTGGGAAGAGAAAAAAAAAAAAAAAAAAAAAAAGTAGAAAATGTGACGTGCCTATCACAATAAGGAAAGTGTGTGGATGTGTATGTAGTATAAGTGAATTTTTTTTTTTTTTTTTTTTTTTTTTTTCGTTTTTCCAATTTTGGAGCTGATCGAATTTTCAGACTTTTTTTTTTTTTTTTTATCGCCTGATGGGTGAATCAACCTCACACTTCTTGCCATTCACACCTACTCTAACCATTTGATCTATTGTTAAATTTTCCATATTTTTGTTTAATTTTTTCTCTCCATCTTGATTGTGCAGAGCCCAGCTAAAGGTTGCCGTGTTTATGTCGGAAATTTACCATGGAAAGTTACTTGGCCTGTTTTGAAGACTCATATGAAAAAAGCTGGAGATGTAGTGAGGGTTGATATATTTGAGGACACACAGGGAAGGTCAAAGGTTGGTTTAGTGTGTTTAAACATTATCTCTATGTATGCGTGGACCATTAGGATATAAAAAATGACACGTCTTGAATGAATGTTCCTTATATTTTATGCGTTGTGCGTCAATTCAAATTTTTAATCTGTCCAAATTTTCCCATTTTGTATTATGTTTCCCACTCCTTCTATCCCTCCTGGCATATATATATATAGCTGTGTAGCCGTTGTGGTTACTGAATTATTTGTACATATATAGAAATAAAAATATGATATATCATAGTTTTATATATAATGAATGTGATATGAACCCAGTTTATTACTAAAAAAATAAAAAAAAAAAAAAAAAACGATAGATTTTTGGTGTGGATATATTTATGCATGTGGTGCATATATTTTTTTTTTTTTTTTTTTTTTCCATTTATCTATCTAGGGATGTGGAATAGTTGAGTATGCAACATATGAAGAGGCGCAGGAGGCCATAAACAGCCTGAATGATTCCAAGCTGGAAGGTATGTCATTAATATTCTCGTAATGTGTGTGTTACAGTCTTTTTTTTTTTTTTTTTTTACTCTTGTAGTTTCAATACCGACACGTGCTTCATCATACTACTGACGTTCATACAAACAACCCTATGCGCTCTCTTTTACCACATTATTTTTTTCCTCCTCAGATCGACTCATTTTCGTTAGGGAAGATAGAGAAGAAAATTCCGGGAATTATGAAAAGAGAAGATTCAACAATGTAAGGAAAGACAAATTTTATGATCCAAGAAGGAGACGTGACTTTGATTATAGAAGAGATTTTCGAAGAGATGATTTTCGAAGGGATTATCGTAGAGATGAATATAGAAGAGACTTTAGAAGAGATTTTCGAAGAGATGATTTTAGAAGAAGTGAATTTAGAATGTCAAGCAAAAGAAACTGCACATTAATTGTTTATAATTTACCACCACAAAGTACATGGAAGGAATTAAAAGATTTATTTAAAAAGCATGGTCGTGTTGTAAGAGCAGATTTAAAAAATGAAGAAACCTCATCAAAAGAAGTTACTGGAACTGTTATTATGGAGAGTGAATATGATGCAAAGAATGCAATCGACGCTTTGAATTTTTGCAACTTTGATGGGTACATTTTAAAGGTCAATTTCGAAAACACAGAATAGAAAAAGGAAAGAGAAGGAGAATGCGAAATGGGAGAGAGAATGGGAGAATGCGAAATGGGAGAGAGAATGGGAGAATGCGAAATGGGAGAGAGAATGGGAGAAAGCGAAATGGGAAAGAGAATGGGAGAATGCGAAATGGAAGAGAAAGGAAGAAAGAAGAAACCTATTTTTGCTGTAACCTATGTGAGCATATTTCGTATCCCCTTTTTTTTTCTCCTATATGCTGGTGAGACATGCATATGTGCTTGCATTCAACATGTGTGTATATTCACGCTAAAAGGTGCATTTGTTTTGTTATGGGTTCACGTATATATATACACATATATTTCGTGTGCATATATGCGAAGGTATACCTGCCGATACTCATCCAAAAGTTATGAACGTGTTAATGTAAACCTTTTTTTTTTTTTTTTTTTTTTTTTTATGGAGACAATGTTTTATGAAAATGAAAAAAAAAAAAGAAAGAAAAACCACTCACGTGTATTTCTGAGTTCACAACACATATGTATATATATATATGTATGTATGTATATGTATGTATATGTATGTACATACCCACGCGTCTGTGCCGTTTCTTATGCATTACCTACATGTTGCAATTATATGTGTGCGTGAGTATGCACATGTGTATATGTATGTGTGTGTACTATGCACATGTGTATACGTACGTGTGTATGTTTCTTTACACACTTGCATATGTATGTCCATGCGTTCAATACCCATTGTTAAAAACACTATGTTATATTTAATCCAAAAAAAAAATAAAAAATAAATAAAAAAAAAAAAAAAAAAATAAAGAGAAGATAAGAGAAGAGAAAAGAAGAGAAAAGAAGAGAAAAGAAGAGAAGAGCAAAAAAAAAAAAGAAAAAACATGCATATATTTTTTACTGGAGGAAATATATATGTGTAAATATAGATTTTTTTTAATTTTTCGCAACTCATATTTTTGTATTTGAAACTATTCAAAATTTTTAATTCATTTTAAAGGAAAAATTAAAAAAAAAAAAAAATACCTGCAAAGTAAAAATTTTATCATGGTCTTTTTCATAAATTTTTCCCACATGAAGGGTGTATACTTTTAACAAATTTCCAATTTGTGCAAGGAAAATAAAAAATATAGCTTAAACAAAAATACTCTAACAGTGACACCCAAGTGGGGGTGGGCGGGGAATACCTTTTTGCCTATTTTTCTTAAAAGAATACACTGTGAACTTTTTATGAAAATTTTAATATGTTTAATGTGCATTCATTTATTTAATAAGCATATTTGATTAACATATAATTCCAGCTAAAAATAATTATATTAACAGTTATACATTTTTCAAAAATACGTATTCCTCTTATTTATTAATACTATAAAATTTATATGTGAAAGTATAAGTGAAAAGGAGAATATGAACAAATGTGTATGGATTAGTCAAATCAATTTTGATATATATATTTTACATACATTTGTGTTAACATAAAAAAATGTGTGTCCTCATTAATGACAATTCTGAAACTTGCATTGTGAAAAAAAAAAAAACACTACTAATAAACATTTCAAATTAAAATATTCTTTTAATATCTTTTAAAAAATTCAATTTAGCAACCCCATAATTGGTTTATAGCACATTATTATGTTATTTTAGGAGAATAAAAAACTATGTAATACAAAATAATAATATTTACTCCACCATGATGTATTATGTGAACAAATTCATCTAGATATAAAAATAGAAGGTTTTAATTCGTACGAATACCTAGTAATAAGCTAAAAATATGTAGGGACAACCCTTAAATGTTTTTATTAGATATTAATCTCTTAAATTATTTAGCATCATCTTTGGGTAAATATAAATGATTACATTATAGGAATAAAATTAGGAAAAAATAATTTAAAAAGTGTCATTATATTATGCTCGCAGAATATTCCTGAAAATGGACATAAATTAAAGTAATTTATATATAATGTGTTCGTATAAATTTCTATGAAAAGGAATTTTGCAAAGGTGGTATCTTTAGGATTTTATTATATTACGTACATAATATAAAATCAGTAAATGTGAATGTAGTATATATTATGCGTATAGTTTAAACTCACGTTCCATTAGTTCCTTTTCAGTGTTTCAGTAATATTACATTGTTAAATAGAATTACTGTAACATTGATAATTATTATGTTTTATTGTCATAAAAAAAGTTTTTAAAAATAAATCTTATATAAAATATACATGTAATACATATCATCTATTTATAAGAGTATTTAATAAAAAATATGTGTTAAATAATATATTCGTAGGGACTACGGGTTTTATTTAAATATATTTATTTTTAATAAAAATGTTTACGCATTACAATATATTATATAAATGTAATAATATGTTGTTAATTTTTCCCTCTTTGTTGTTTTTAAATAATTACAACTACATTTGAATTATTTAATCGGGTTTTTGTTGTTCAAATTTAATTCTTGGTGGATTTCAATGAAATTGTTCTCACATAAATATTCGTTGATATATTATACTATTTTAATGCATTATTAATCATATCAGATAAGGCTAATATAATAATGGTTTACTAGTTCAAAGGGAGTGTGAACAGTATTTATTGAAATCAAATTATATATTATATATTATATATAATTTTTTCTTTTCATATTTAAATGTTGAATGCAACAAGTGTTTTCACAGTTTCACACATTTTTATGATGTGTATTAGAATATGTCTTGGGTATAGCTCCTTACTATTGTTTTGTCCATATATTTTTTTATTACCCCTTTTAACGACACATATCCTTATATTTCATAGGAATTTGAGTAAAAAATAAATTTTTTTTTTAAGAACGATAGAAAATTTAAAGAAGATTAAAAGGAATTATATGAGTTGGTATAATATGTTTGTAAAAAAAATTTTTACAAAAAAATAAATTAAGAATTTAAAATCATCCTTTTTAAATTGGATAATCGTAATTGTTAACTTTTCTTTACAAAATGTTTACTATTAAGACAGATCTTTTATAGTGCACTAATATATAGCTCTACTATATTTAATATATAAATACTGCATGTTTGTATATATGGATTTGTTTCTTTTCAAATCCATTGCATATTAGACAATATTATACCAATTTTTGTTAAACCACTGAGACATTCTATATCAAATATAAGCATAATTAACATTATAAAATAATGAATACTATTTTGTATTTCGTGTAGATTAATGATTGAATGTCATTAATTTTCACTGTATATGCATTCTCTGCAACTTTTTTCATGTTATCAATTTATGACTCTTAGTTATTTCATTTCATATCATTCATTTTGATTTTTTATATATTTATTATCAATAAATTTCCTTTTTTTTTATACCATATTTAAAGTAATTACTTATATAAACCTATCCGCTACCTACTCTGGATGTTCCAATTCTAAGCGTTTTTTCGTTAACTCTATAATTAGCAAAATTTTTATCAGGAAAGAAAATAAGACAAACATAATTACCTGGTTTGATTATATATATATATATATATATATATATATATATATATATATATATATAAAGGTTCTAAATCATACCATGATCATTTAAATCGAAGTTGATTATAATTGTGTATACTAGACTTTATTATTGTTAACTAAATGTTTTTAAACGGTGATTTAATCGATGTATACTATCATGCAAAAAAATAAAGCTTACACCATATGCAATGTAATTATTTGAGAATTGTAAATATTAACACAAATATATTTTGAAGAATAATGTATTATATTTACCTGTTCATACTAAACTATTATTTACTATACAATAAGAGATAAAGAATGATACAGAACCTCTTATTCAAGCGTATACAATAAAAGGGTGATAACTATCCCTTTATTTTATCTTATTATTCGTTTATATTGTAAAAGGTGCATCAGTAATGGTCTTACATAATATAATATGAGGTAAGGGCTATAAGTGTGGAAGCATATTTGATTATTTAATCCTTTTTCTTTCCATACATATCGATAATAAGTTTATATATTTTACAAACTGTTCACATTTTTTTCTACATTTTTAATGATTCACTTAATGTTATTGTAATTGTTGAAATAATAATATAAATCTTTTTACTCATATCTATCTCCGGATGCACTAGAAAAGACGCATTTGCAGGATGATTTATCCTTACACTGTGAGAAAAAAGTTGGTACTAAATCCAAAACTTCGTAAATTGAATAACAATGTCTATATTACTCACGTTTTACGAGATATGAGTTATTCTATTTATGTAATCAAAGAACCATTCTTGAAAATAATAGCAATATTTCTTACGTATATTCTATCTTTTTCTAGTTAATCTACTTAAAAAAGTTGACCATATTTGTTTGCAGAAATGTTAACTCTAAAATATTAATTTCCTTATTTATTACAGTATCTCATTTCATCTTTTAAATATTATTCATTATTTATATTATTAAAACTTTGAAGTTCAGGCAGCATTTTTTTTCTTTCACCTCTAATTACACAGAAAATGGAAGACATTTTATATATATACTCGTTAATTAAAGAGTATTTTATTTTAAAAAAAAAAGAAAAAAGATAATGCTCAATTAAAGAGATATCTTTACAATAAAAATGTTAACATATACAACTATTTTTTTTCTAGAAGGATAAGACCATTTTAATATACTTGAACTAAATCAGATAATGATATTCTTAAATCTGTATTTGTTTACATGTAGAAACACAATAACTAATAACATAATGGTGTATTATTCATAAGTACAGATTAATTCTAAAAGAGAAAATAATAGCTTACATTTTATAACTTTTTTTTTAATCAGAAACAAATATTTCTTTTTTACTTTAATAACAATAAGAAATGAACAATTCAAATTGTACATTAATGCCATAAGGAATTTATTATATTGGAATTAATCAATTTGCCAGTGTTGTGAAGATCTCTTAATAATGCTTAATAAAATGAATTATTCTTATGTTATCTCAAAATGGACAATATTTTTTTTCATACCCCAT